GGATATATCATATCCACAACTACGAGGCAAGGGCTTTAAACCTAGAAAGACGACAACAGCAGGTCAGAAGGGAGGAGTTGGAGGTGATGAAGGGGAGGAGTCATTGGATGAGGAATAGGTTCTTAGGAGAGCCTGAATGGTAAAGAGGAAGTCTACGTTGAATATTTTGTATATGTCGCTAATGATTTGTATACGGGTTTATTCTGGCTGCTGAATGTTGTTCACAGTGTTGGACGTGTAAAAAGAGCGCAGAAGGGTTAACAAGTATTATTATCACGTTAGTATCGTGTCTAATCGCGTTCCAGATTCCATTTCGCACACGGTGCATGTCTTTGAGTCGGGACGTCAAAAGCACGTTGAGTAATTTAGCAAGCATTATAGCTGCAGCAGCAAGAAGGGAGGTATTAAAATCGCATCGAGGAGGTGCTGCTCGCAAGAGGACTATCTACACATATCTAGCTGCGGCCGCAAGACGTATAGTGAGTCAAGGTCGGTTGGGCGAGCCCACCAAACTCGAACATTCAAACATCAATCAGCAGGAGCGGCAAGACAAGCAGCCAATAGAGAAAACACAGCAAGTAGCTCCTAGCCATGGTGGCCAGTGTAGATACTATAATAGGGTCGATCCGAGATGGTCTTGCTAGTCTGGAAACATCGGAATTGTCAATGATCTTTCTGCCAATCTTTTGCTACTGGGCTTATTCAACCCTGTTTTACGTACTGAGCATACTCAGGATTACTTCTGTCGAACTGCATAAAATACCGACAAATCAACCCTCAAGAAGGCCGCCAAATCCTACTGTCTCTGCTGTCCTCACAAAGGTAGAAGCAATCGGAGTGTAAAACACACCCTGGCGGTAGTGCAGCCCCAAACTCACCACGTTTTTGTATCTTAGGTTGCCATACAGCATGTATTCCAAGCCATAGTCGCTCTAGGTATCGCTGTAGTCGCTAGACCATCATCAGATGCCCCACCACGACAAATAGAAGAATGGTATATCATGATACCAAAAATAGTCATTGCTGCACTCCTTCTCGACACATATCAGTACTGGATGCACCGCTGGATGCATCTGAACCGCTATTTATATCGTACCATACACTCTGTACATCACGAACTCACTGCACCATATGCATTCGGTGCACTGTATAATCACCCATTGGAGGGCCTGTTAATGGATACCGTTGGTGGAGCTGTGCCTTCGATATTGCTAGATATGCATCCGTGGACTTCGACCATCTTCTTTACTGTTGCTACGCTAAAGACAGTGGATGATCATTGTGGGTATACCTTACCGTGGGATCCATTCCAAGCAATGTAAGTGACCGATCAATCTCTTGTGTATAGCGGCATTGAGAGGAAAGAGTTGCCTCGTATTTCCATAGTATTGTATAACTTTTTTTTGATTATCCAACTCACATGTCACATAGGTTCCCAAATAATGCAGCATATCACGATCTTCACCATTATGGCAAGGGTATAAGGTAAGAAAATTGATCACCTTGTCCGTCTGCATTCCCTTCAACCAACCATTCATCCATGTTAGGTACAACTTTAGCCAACCCTTCTTCAATTTTTGGGATTACTACTGCAACACCGATTATGAGACTGAAATGGCCAAGCTGCAACAGAAGAAGAAGCACGTGGAACATATAAATGGCACCACAGAAGAGAAGAAGAAGCACGTTGAACATATAAATGATTCAAAAAAAGTGGGGTCGACGAGCAATGGTAATGCTGCTGGCAAAGCCAATGGTAAAACTAACGGCAACGGTCATGCATATACGAATGGGAGTGCTACTGCTACCGTTACTGTCACTACTCCAGTCAGAAGGTCACCACGTCGTCATAAATAAGAGAACCTGTGTCTTAGCCCGTCTATATACTTCCTCGCTCTCTTACACACACACACCAAAAAAGTAATATAACTAGCGCCCTCCATTTTGATTATTATAAGTTCTCAGAACCAAGTTACTATATTTTGAATATGCAAATACAATCTTTTCCGAACATGTGTGGGGTACTTTTCATTGATGATTATGCTGATGATACTTTGGAAGGTTGGAATACAGTATCTTCTCTACTCTTTCCCCATAGTTTGACAGAGTACTAGGTTGAAGGTGGGTTGAGTACATGATTGCGAGATATGCACCGAATACACGACCAGACAAAGCATCAACAACAAGAACTATGTAATATAAGTATGTACCTTGCCCCACGAATCAGAGCCCCACCAGACCAAAGCAGGGATTGCCAGTCCAAAGACAAAAGAGTATTTCAATGTTTGACTGTTGAATGTCCAGTATGCATGGGTGTTTTCCTTCATATGATACCATTTCTCAATTGCTGGGTCAATCTAGGAGTGTAATGATGCAAATGAAATGAGCTCTTGCTATGTCCATATATCGTAATAAAGGTATGGGACTTGCCAGCTGTTTTAAAAACGAGAGGTTTGGTTAGAAAAACAAGCAGTAATAGGGATTGCAAGGAGAGCAAATGCATACCACTGGTGGATATTTTCCATGGCCAGCCATTCTTCTGACTAGAGTCGCCCTCATTGTTGCTTGGTCTGGTTGTGTTTTACTACAAAGTTAAAAGCTTGAGGAGGAGGTGTGGAGGAGGATTGTTGACGTCGAATGAGGTATATAGACGCGCACGATACGATTTATTTCAGCTGTTTACGTGGAATGAGGCACTACTAACACTTGATACTTCTTTTTCATAGCGCAAAATCAAGCAAGGGTGTAAACATTCGGCCAAACAACCTTCATTCGAGTTGTCAAGTCAAAGTGGACGTTGAAATCGACAGGAACTGCCATAGATTTTATCGATCGATCGCTGCAGTATACTATCCGTGAGGAGTGGTTGTGAACAATTCCAAAACATTTGCCATTGACCATCAGGGCATCTCTCGTCAAGGACCAAGACTGCCGTGTTTCTCTCCGTTTCCTGTGGATCCTGATCTGAAATGAACGTGGAAAGTGCTCGCTGGGTTGGAAGTATCGCCTTATTGATATCCGTGAGTTGTGATATGTGGATTTGCTAGTTGACAGTACCCACACTGGTGAAAGCATATACACCAAAAGAGAGCTCATACCGTATTTTACGGTTAGGAACGTAGGAGTATGGTAGGTGTATGATGAAGCTAGTGTGAAACGCTATTACCTTGGAAAAGCTCTCTTTGAAAGTTGCTGCAACCGTGAGTTTGATATCCAAGACAAACGCATTTGGATGCTCATGAAGACTTTCATCACGTTGGAATTTAGCAAAGCAGATCTGGATACTCAAGGACTTATTGCGGAGTTCGTCGAGTTGGTGAGAAGACTCCAGAAGATCGAAGATTGCATCTCGAAGGTCTCGCAACCGAGATATTGAAACATCAAGTATTTGAAGATGCTATATCGCATTATGAAGCATCTTCGTATTATTGAAGTGTTGTTGCTGATCAAATTTGTACAAATTAACTTATAACCATTGCATTTCAGACAGAAAAATATGAATTTCAGATATTGAACTCTCATTACGCCAATGATTACTAGCACGAGACGCACAAGAATGCGAAATGAGCGATCGCAACAATGAGCGATCGCAACAATGAGCGACACTATAGTTTACAACGTTTTTGACATATACGGACTGTCTTCAACTAATCCCGTGGGCATTTCCATAAACCATGCCAAGACCCTCTTGTTGGTATGCTCTTTTGGCTTCGATAACATTCGTTCATATTGCATTGTGTTACGGAACGAGAAATAATCCACACAGCCTGTCGTGAACTAACTGCTTGTAGAGGACGTGATTGGGGAGCGACTTCACCGTCCAACCAATGGAATCTAGTGGTTGCCGTGGGAGAACCAACAGACATAGAGCATCGACGGAATAGACATTGTTGAAGTGGTGAGATCAACTTCGAGCATCGATCGTGACCTGATTCCACTCGTTCAAAAGGTGTTCCCTGTGATGAGCTGCTGTTCACTGTGCATGGTACGTTGAATTTCATCAAGGAAATATTATTATAATCAAGGAAGTATTTGGATTGTACGGAAACCAGTAGAGTCAGCTTTGTCTTGGAACACCAGCGGTGGTGCTTTCTCATTCGGGTAGCGAAAGGCAATGAAGACTTTCTCAGAGAGGTCCGCGAGGCCTACTTTACCACTCTGCATAAGAAAACCATCGACTGGGAATCGGACATTCCATGGCAGATTGGGAAGGATACAGACTTATACAACATTTACCTGAGCAAATGTCATGACTGCCTCGAACTTCAAGTTGTGTGATCAACATCAGAAAGCAACATGTCAAACGCCCAAGAGTAAACAACCGAGTGGGAAACGCACCAAGGCCATTGTAACGAGTGTCATGTTACAGCAAGAAGAATCAAGAGACAAAGGTAGGAATAGTATTGTAATCCATTGTAAACTCCAGGAAAATGTAGATCCAGCGTAATTCCGACCTTAGATCAGATTAGCATATGCAGCAATTACGTTGAGCTGTGTTAAGCAACATAGTCCTACCAGATTCCTACATTTTGAATGCATTTCTATATACAGTCAGCCTTATGCATCTGGATATTTAACATAATATGTCTGAGCAAAGAAACATATCGCAACAATGAGCGACACTATAGTGCGATGGATACAGCTCTTTCAGCGACTTGCTGACAGAGCAAACGATCAATCTGCTGCTGTTGAAAAGTTGGGACGTGCTACTCAACTAGAGGTGAAAGGTGCTCAAGTCACAAATATTGACAGACTCTGCAAATATGTCATCGATCATGAAGACTTCAAAGATCGATTAGCTGATGTGAAACCAGATCAATTATATGTATATATGGATGCAGAATGCAAAACGCCACTGAAACCAAGTACATCAATGAAGGACATCAAAACATCGGATGACAATCCATTACGAGTTGTGAGACCAAGAGCTACCCATACAGGCAAGTAAGATACAATATGAAAACGGACTTTTTATGTTGTATTGTATCAAGATCTTCTGCAGAAGAGCCTCCTATTTTACCACGATGTATCGCGGTAACGCCTTTCTCTAAATGTTTTTAAATTTTTACCACCACCAGTTACAATGACGCCTATCGGTTGGCCAGCTAATTGGGCGGTGATTGTCAGCGACTTTGCAGAAAGATCTCTGGATCAGAAGATGATCGATACGCTTCTCCGGAGTGCAGACCTCCGTCTGGCGGTTGACCTCTTTGTCCAAAATCAACAACATGCTGGTAATCGTGAAAATCTGAAGTTGAAATTACAGAGGCTGGTTTTCAATGTCTTAAGATCGACCACAAAGAAGGCAAGCCTTTTTGTTTTGTTCGATCGTTGTCACCTCAGCCTCTGAACAGGTGTGATTCGTAGGCTATTTTAGATGATTTAGATTTAGGATTTCTTGCTGACGGTGTCGTTGATGGTGCATATGGTCAAGCAGATGTTTCTTTCTTCTATGCATTCAGAAACAATAAGTGGCAAATTGGAAAGGTATTGATTTGCTCTTACCAACAGCTTGTTCAATGATTTTCGCATCATGTGTTTTACGGTAGGTTGGGCCACAACACAAGATACAGATGGAATTCAAGAAATACGAAAAAGCAACTTCAAACTGGACGACCCCGTGTCTTCTTGGAAATCTTGGATTGTACAATATTTCTGGTAGTCGCAGTATCATCTTGATGGATTATTGTGGACTTCCTTTATCAAGGATGATTTGAAGGTTTAGAAATGGATTGCCAAATCGTCCAGCCTGTCTATCTCTAATATTCGATACATGTATTTGTGTAATCACAGCAATGTCTGTGTTAGCACAGAATGGATATTCCCACAACGACATTAAGACGTCCAATATAGTCAGCAGCTTTCACCAGCCTCATCTGCTCACTCTGATCGATCTGGTGAATGAATCAGGGGTGTCCCTCACTGATTCAGCAAAAGTGTCGTGACTAACTTTATCGAAAATATATAGGGAAGCTCTGCTATGTGGAACTCTTCAGAGGTTCCAGCCACAACTCCTTATTATGGACTCGGAAAACGGTTAAACACGCCAGCGTATGATATGGCTTGTTTATCAAATTCAGTGAGAGAACTGGCAACTGGTAGCATTGACGGAAAGATTGAAGGCCAGGTGTTGGAAGCTCTTACGAGCAAATTGGAAGACCGAGCATGGTCGCACCTGGATTTGCAATTGGACACTGTTTTGCAGAAGTTTAATGCATTTATTGATGACCTATACACTCTGGCTGACCAAAACCAAGTGCATGTAATAGGCCAAAATCTTGTAAAGCCTGTTAAATGGTAGTGTATCGTGTTCATTGTATCTTTGGGGTTGTTACTGTCATTGTCATAGGGGTGTTTCTTTGTGTGCACTTTAAAATATATGCTGGGCTATAAATATTGCCAGTCATAACGAAGAAATCGACAGCTCAAATGGATTCGTCGTGTGTTTTGGTGCTATGTCAGCTATGTCTGACGTCGTTATTCTCCTGATCTATTCTCTGTTGGGACCAAGTCGGTCCTTGAGCGCGTTTTATTTGCTTCGAAGAAATCGACCCCTTGATCATAGATGTGTGTCTTTTTTGTCCCCATACATCTACCAGGCAAACACCACCAAAGCAGGGACTTGTTTCAAGAGCATCAAAAGATATTCACGTTGAGCGGGATCTCTTATATACGTATCAATCAACAATGAATACATTTCAGCGTGTATATTTTCAAGCATGATTTGAAATCCATAAAAGCAACGAGCTTCCGGGATTTGTACATCTTGAGAGAATCTACCAACCAGATTCTCATTTACAATACCATCAGATGCGGCAAAGAAGGCAGGGACGTGTGAGATGAATTTGCGTTCGTCGTAGGTTAATCGTCTCTATATGATGATATTAGAATGGTTGAATGATTAATATGATAATTATGGACGTTCTTCACTGATAAACAAAGTAACATGGCACTGCGATTCCGCCAACACGAAAAGCACAGTTCGACCCAACACTTACATCCCAATCATTCAGATCCTTTGACAGGTCAACTTCTTCAGCAGTCCAAAAAGTTGCTTCTGCCTTCTTGTACATCTGCGATACCTGTCAATCACAAACGCAGATCAAGTTAGTTAAAATGTCGTTGATGAATGCTTTGATTTCAACCGAATAAACGTCAAGATACGATGACGAACCGTACATACATCTTGATATTGAATAGGAGACAATACGAACCTATTCGGATTCTCCTGTAAGATGGGTTCAATCAATGGTGGGGTTGGTTGTTTAGTCTTGACTGTCACTGCAAGTTCTGACTACAGGCATTGTTTCGAAGGATAGCATGATGCCAATAGATATTGTTATTTAATTGTATAATGATGATGGATCTAATTGCCAGACCTAGTGACAAAAAGCCAAAAAGCTTCTTTAGACAGATGGAAAGAGTTTGCTCAAATCCAGTTGTATTACCCTTCGCCGTGAATCGTTCTTGGGCAATATCAATTTCAACAACAGTTTCCAATCCTTTAGCATCATCAGAACAACGCCAAGAATCGAATTGTAATAAAGTCAAAGACTCGTCGCTCATTACCGAACAGATCAGGTGCTTCTTCAGTAGGGTGAATGGTAGGATGTGCTTTATCATCGTTGGGTCCTTTTCGTGGTTGTTTGAACTTGCCCTCCAATAATCTAAACGACAAAATGACGATGAGCAAAAAAGAGAAGAAACCCTGGCCTACGCTTGAATGCTCCCATGCTTTACCGTTGAGCATAACCTCCTCATGCTGGATCAACCACTTGTTTTTCAATCAAAGCTCGTAGTTCCAATCCTTCATCGAATACTTGAGTTTCAGTACGTGGATAACTCAGGATACCACGTGAATACAGAGCTTCAGCAATCTAAGGATGAAGTAATCCAGAGTGAGGTAACGCGTATTGTTTGCTTCAATACCAAATCATGATTCAACATACCTGCATAATTTGGTCACCATACATTCGTAACGCACTAGTACCGATTTTTTGCATTTCTATAGTATTGAGCGGAAGTGGTCTCCTATTCAAAGCGAAAAATCCAGCAACTACTAAAAATGGATACGTTGCCAAGCACACGTACCACTTCTCCTTGGGCTTGACATTGCGCTCGCTGGTTTAAAGGAGTTCCTGAACACTGTCACGGTCAATGCCATGCATGCTCTTGTAAGTGAAAGGTCCCGAAAAGTTAAAAAGGGTATAAACAACAGATGTATCCTCTGGATACACCTACTCGAATTATTTCAATGAAAACCCCAGATTTCCATTCCACAAGCTTTTTTCCCCAAAGACAAGCGGTATCTTGCAGTATCCGGATAAATCTGGCGAGCCTGTCCCAAATGTTTCAACAAAATATGGTTTTCTTCTCCACCAAACTGTTGCGGTATCCTGACACATTCGTTGCAATTGTTCCAACTGTTTCCGATGAATGTTTCTCCAGAATTAACTTTTCCCAGAAAGATGAACGCCACGACACATTCGCGGTATCTGTATACATCTGTTTGCAAAATGAAAAAGTTCTCCAGAAATGAAATTCTCGTGAATCCAGTAAAAGTAAGAAAAAAGCAATTCACAGCAGCGGTATTCTCGTACATCTGTTACAACAGTCCCAGCTGTTCCCAACGATAAATCAACATTATCATTCCTGATATTATTGTCTCCAAAAGTTCAAGAACCAGCACCAGTATCTGGATACATCCATTGCAACTGTTCCAACTGTTACAATGACAAATCAACATTAATATTTCTGAAATTGTTTTTCCAAGAGCTCAAGAAACAGCAGCGGTATCCTGATCCATCTGTTCCAACTGATACAAAGTCAGTAACTCTTTTTTCAAGAAATGTGAAATTCCAGACAAAGCAGCAAGCTGGTTTTTTCTTGTAGGATAGGTCTTAGTATACGTTTTCTTTGAGGAAGAATGAGAAATACCCAGAAGAAAGTAGCAAGGTATTTCACACAGTAAATTTTTGAACCGCCATGTAACATACCATTTATCGTTCTCAACAGAATTAGACTTTATAAAATGTGAGAACGTATTTTCCATGGTATCAGTTTTGCGAACAAATCTGAGAATGTCCACAGCACAAAGTAATACACTGTATCTCAGGTATTGTTTGATCCATTGTAACCCTCTTCAATCTCTTTTCTCAGTTGAAATGAGAATATATTGAAGCATCCCATAGTATCCCAGGGTATCCCAGTAACAGGTGAAGTATCCCTTAGTATTCTGCAAAATCCAGGAACAAACATTTCAAGTTTCAAATTGTACAAAACTAAAGAAGTTGGATCTATCTCATAACCATGGGAGTCTGTTTGCCCATATAGAAGACATTGCATGGAAACAGTAATGGGTACCACCACTGACAAGAACATTATGGCGTCGTGCAGAGATATGCCAATTCAAGCCCCAGGACAAGACACGACAGTGCAATACGTGTTGTCAATTGCAAAGACTACCAAAAGAATCTGTAAGTGGTGCTTTCTGATTCGGGTAGCGACAGGCAATGAAGACTTTCTCAAAGAGAGGCCTACTTGACAACTCTGCGCAAGAAAACAATGGACTGGGAATCGGACATTCCATGGCAGATTGGGAAGGATACAGATTTATACGACATTTACCTGAGCAAATGTCATGACTGCCTCGAACTTCAAGTTGTGTGATCAACATCAGAGAGCAACGGTATGCCCAGACATGTCAAATGCCCACGTGTAAACAACCGAGTGGGAAACGCACCAAGGCCATTGTAACGAGTGTCATGTTACAGCAAGAAGAATCAAGAGACAAAGGTAGGAATAGTAGCGTAATCCATTGTAAACTCCAGGAAAATATAGATCCAGCGTAATTCCGACCTTAGATCAGATTAGCATATGCAGCAATTACGTTGAGCCGTATTAAGCAACATAGTCCTACCAGATCCCTACATTTTGAATGCATTTCTATATACAGTCAGCCGTATGCATGTGGATATTTAACATAACATATGTCTGAACAAAGAAACATATGGCAACAATGAGCGACACTATAGTGCGATGGATACAGCTCTTTCAGCGACTTGCTGACAGAGCAAACGATCAATCTGCTGCTTTTGAAGAGTTGGGACGCGCTACAAGACTGAAAATTGATTCTTCAATGGACGTCGACCTACTACGCAAATATCTATCAATCATGAAGGCTTCAAAGATCGATTAGCTGATGTGAAACCAGATCAATTATATGTATATATGGATGCAGAATGCAAAACGCCACTGAAACCAAGTACATCAATGAAGGACATCAAAACATCGGATGACAATCCATTACGATTTGTGAGACCAAGAGCTACCCATACAGGCAAGTAAGATATAATATGAAAACGGACTTTTTATGTTGTTTTGTATCAAGATCTACTGCAGAACAACCTCCTATTTTACCACGATATATCGCGGTAACGCCTTTCTCTTAATGTTTTTAAATTTTTAGCACCAGTTAGAATGACGCCTATCGGTTGGCCAGCTAATTGGGCGGTGATTGTCAGCGACTTTGCAGAAAGATCTCTGGATCAGAAGATGATCGATACGGTTCTCCGGAGTGCAGACCTCCTTCTGGCGGTTGACCTCTTTTTCCACAATCAACAAGATGCTGGTAATCGTAAAGATCTGAAGTTGAAATTACAGAGGCTGGTTTTCAATGTCTTAAGATCGACCACACAGACGGCAAGCCTTTTTGTTTTGTTCGATCGTTATCACCTCAGCCTCTGAACAGGTGTGATTCGTAGGCTATTTTGGATGATTTAGATTTAGGATTTCTTGCTGACGGTGTCGTTGATGGTGCATATGGTCAAGCAGATGTTTCTTTCTTCTATGCATTCAGAAACAATAAGTGGGAAATTGGAAAGGTATTGATTTGCTCTTGCCAACAGCTTCTTCAATGATTTTCGCATCATGTTTTTTACGGTAGGTTGGGCCACAGCACAAGATACAGATGGAATTCAAGAAATACGAAAAAGCAACTTCAAACTGGACGACCCCGTGTCTTCTTAGAAAGTTTGCATTGTACAATATTTCCGGTAGTCGCAGTATCATCGTGATGGATTATTGTGGACTTCCTTTATCAAGGATGATTGAAAGCTATAGAAATGGATTGCCCAATCGTCCAGCCTGTCTATCTCTAATATTCGATACATGTATTTGTGTAATCACAGCAATGTCTGTGTTAGCACAGAATGGATATTCCCACAACGACATTAAGACGTCCAATATAGTCAGCAGCTTTCACCAGCCTCATCTGCTCACTCTGATCGATCTGGTGAATGAATCAGGGGTGTCCCTCATTGATTCAGCAAAAGTGTCGTGACTAACTTTATCGAAAATATGTAGGGAAGCTCTGCTATGTGGCACTCTTCAGAGGTTCCAGCCACAACTCCTAATTATGGACTCGGAAAACGTATAAACACGCCAGCGTATGATATGGCTTGTTTATCAAATTCAGTGAGAGAACTGGCAACTGGTAGCATTGACGGAGAGATTGAAGGCCAGGTCTTGAAGGCTCTTACGAGCAAATTGGAAGCCCGAGCATGGTCGGACCTGGATTTGCAATTGGACACTGTTTTGCTGACGTTTAATGCAATTATTGATGACCTATACACTCTGGCTGACCAAAACCAAGTGCATGTAATAGGCCAAAATCTTGTGAAACCTGTTAAATGGTAGTGCATCGTGTTCATTGTATCTTTGGGGTTGTTACTGTCATTGTTATAGGGGTGTTTCTTTGAATTCACTTTAACATATATGCGCGGCTGTAAATATTGCCAGTCAAAACAAAGAAATCGACAGCTTAAATGGATTCGTCGTGTGTTTTTGTGCTATGTCGGCTAAAGAATGTTGGTGATGGTGGGCTAGTAAACAATTCAAAAAGAATGTAAAATAGAATAAATAAAGTAAAAACCATTATTTGTGAAAACAGTTGAATGTTGGTGTGAAAGTTTGATTAAGTAGGACTTCTATAAACACTCAGTGAATACAGTAGATTATTTCAACACTCTACTCAAACTCGTCTGAAATAATGCTGGCCTGATTTGAATATAGAAATGCATACAATCTGACTGAGGAAACGAGTCGACAGACTGCTTGATGTCGTTTTGGTCGTGGTGCTGAATAGCAACGTAGAGAACAAGTAGGCCAGCAGCAAGCAGCACCTTTCCACGCGTTGTAGCACGTGGAATCAAGCCTACTGGTATGTATTTGAGAAGCTTCCAACATCCACAAACCACCAAAACTGTCTTAGGCGATTGTGCAAAAGCTTGAATCTTGAACAAGATGAGCAGTCTTGTTCCAAGTCTAGCGGCTCCATCAGATTACAGGGACCGTCGATACAAGGTATACACTCAGAATCAGACCATATATCTCCTGCCTTCATTGAGCTTGATTAACTAAATTCAATTTTCTGCAAATTGTCAATTTGTGAATAACAGGGCACGGATGAAGATTACTGGCGAGCAGTAGCAGAATCTACTACTCTCTATGTCGGAAACCTGTCCTTCTTCACCACCGAAGAACAAATATACGAATTGTTTTCCAAATGTGGTGACATTAAACGAATCATTATGGGTTTGGACTCGCATCAACGAACGCCCTGTGGCTTTTGCTTTGTAGAGTACGTGTAATTATCCTTGCAGTTCAAGCTCTTTGAGCTATCCAGTCTACCAAATCGACCTCAATCAAACAAACTAATCACATACATCTAGATACTATAAACGAACCGACGCACTCGACGTAATGAAATTCATCAACGGCACCAAACTCGACGAACGGCCAATCCGTATAGACATGGATCCAGGATTTGAAGAAGGACGACAATTCGGAAGAGGCAGATCTGGTGGTCAAGTTCGTGACGAGTACAGAGAAGAATATGATCCTGGTCGTGGTGGATGGGGTCCTATCTTGAGACGACAACAGGAATTGGTTCGTGGTGAACAGCAAAAGGATACTTACCAGTCGTATGCTATACCGCTTGGGCCTACGTCAGAGTATTATGTCAAAGGTTAGGCGTTGCTGGACAGATGGATTTTTTTGCTCTTTGGGTTGACTAAAATTCTGTTTTGTAGATGCTGTACGCAATGCCAAGAGAGATCGTGATGAAGGCTTTGATACCAATGAAGATACATCATCTACCGTCAATCTGGCCAAACGTATTACTCGTGATCGTATTCGTGAACCTGATGTGGTACTTATTCCTCCTTTTGCGTTATTTTCTGCCTTCTTTTTTCGCTCACATGTATTCCTTGTATAGAACCCGCGATTCCGAGGAGAAGACAAGGACGATGAATGATGAAAAACACCGAACACCACCAAAACTTCTTACTTCTTTGCACATGTATTATATATTGAGTTCTACCTATATACACTTTTTTGCACACTCTCAGACAAACAGTTTAGTCCCAATCGTCATCATAATCATCGTTATTAGCTGGAGCTTTACTACTACTACCACCAGCTTTAGATTTACCTCGGCCTCTACCTCTGGTAGATGACCCTCCACGTCTATACTGTCCTCTCGCCCCTCTACCTCTTGAGCCACCACGAGAAGACGAGCCACCACCGTCATTATTATTACTACCATACTGATTTTTATTGTCTGTAGTACTACTATTACTGCGACCCAACCCAGCACCATCCTCATCATTAAATTGAAAATACTTGCATCGTCCAACTTGTTTGGGACATACTAATATTGGACGTCCCTTATCAGGTCCATCTTTCACAATCGTTTTTTCAGCAGGGACAAGCCCACAAATACATTTTGGTTGCCGATCTGCTGTTGCTTGTGGTGCCATGTTACGACGAAAGTCCTCCATTGTGGCTGTTTCTCGATTATTAATGCTATTGTACTGTTGTTGCTGTGGTTGGTAGCCATTGTATGGCTGATAATTATTGTTGGTATAAGGTATTTGATTTTTGTTGTAGTTTGTATATGGTGCTTGATTGTTGTCATTGTAAGGTGGAGGCTGCTGCTGTTGTTGCTGATTAAACATATTAGGTGGCTGAATATAAGTTGGCACAAGTTGTTGATTAAACATATTAGGTTGGCTTTGCTGTGGTTGTGGTTGTTGAATGGATGTATTCGGTCCCTGACCATTCTGAAAGAAGTTGTTATTCGGCCTGAGATCATTCTGAAAGCCATTGTTCGGCCTCTGATTATTCTGAAAGACACTATTATTCTGCCTTTGATCGTTTTGAAAGCCATCGTTCGGCCTCTGATCATTCTCAAAGCCAATATTGTTTGGTCTCTGATCATTTTGAAAGCCATTATTGTTCGGCTGGAAGGCATTATTCGGTCTCTGATTGTTCTGAAAGACGTTAGTCGGAGGCTGATTATATGGAGGGCGATTGTTCTGTTGCTGTGGTATTGGTGCAGGACGATATAGTAGTTGCTGCTGCTGATTATTTATCTGAGGCCTTTGCGGTGGTTGAAATGGTGAAGGTATGTACGAATTATGATTATTTGGATCCGGTGGTTTTCCTGGTGGCGCACCATATGCTGGTTGATTTATTGGTTGATTCGGTGGGCGAGCGAATTGCTGTGGCTGCTGAAATTGTTGCTGCTGCTGCGGTTGAGGTCTCTGCTGACTCTGAGCTGGTGGTCGTGGTTGTGACGGTTGTCGTCCACCTCCGCCGCCGCCACCACCACCTCCTCCTCCACCGCCTCGATCATTGATATCCAATGATTGTCGTAAGAAGTCGTCACACCATAGACAAGTTACATACTGCAAAAAGATGGTCTAGTCAAACAGTAGACCATCTTGGTGAAAGCGCAAAGCTGTTGGTACCTCGAGTGGGATACCCGGTGGCAACCTCCCCCTCTTGAAATTGAATTTGAGTCGTCTTGTAGCGGGTGGAAAATTTGGACGGCTAACAGAGAACAAAAAAGGGAATATAGTCAAATAAGAAAATGTGCGATGATACTGTCTTTCAAACTGATACCTGCAAGTATCACACACTTCATCAGTCAGAGATACTTCATTAACAGATTCTGGAATCCATATTGAATTTTTGCAGGTTGGATAGTTTGTACATCCTAACCGAAACAAACCGTCCAGATCTGAAACGATGGCAAATTCACTCAAAGCACTCACCAATGTATCGCTTCCCATTCTTGGAGGTTCGGAGACACATGGCAAAATTACAATGAGAACATGACCTCACATCTTTAGGAATTTCTCTAGGAGCCTATAAAAGAGGGTGAGACACGGCAACAAAAAGAAGAATAATCATGTTTCATGCTTACCAGTTCCCCATCAGCATCATGTCCAAAGTACTTTGTCATGGCCTACATATCAGTACTCATCAACGTTCTCTACCGCACTTCGAACACCGCAACAAAAAACCACATAGGGATTACCTGTTCAAGAACCTGGAGCTGATTGCTACATCGTACAAAGACATCACGATACATTTGCACACTCTCATTCACGACATCAGCTTTGGTACGTGCACCGGAACATACTAGTTTCAAGTTTTCTTCCATCTACAGCAAGCAAGTGTTTCAACGAAAAAAGATCGTGAGTATGTCGCAAAATACCAGTTCTTTACCTGTCGACGCAAATCAGGTTTAGACAATGACAAATCAATCTGCATATTATCATATCCGTCGATCAAAGCCATGCCCAGCACTGTAGGATAAAACAATCCATCACCGTGCTTGGTAGCATATTCTCGTTCAAGGATTTTTTTGATGTGTTCATGAATGGTGGCATCCGTTCCTAAGAATACCATGCTCATCGGTTTTTTTGTTCCAGCTGGTTATAAATCCAATCCAGGAAGATGCACTCACCAATTCCATTCTTGTCCATTAAAGTAATCAAGTCTGCTTCAGACAATGCTTTTGGAGGTGTCGTTCGGCCAGAGTTCAACTTGAGCTCAGCAGGCTGAATGACTTCATCAACTTCAAATAGAGGTACAGTATTTGCAGACCAACGATCAAAGGGATAGACATCCAAGTAGTTTCTCTCTCTAATTGCCAGACCTAGTTACAAACGGCAGAGAAGCTTCTTTAGACAGATGGAAAGAGTTTGCTCAAATCCAGTTGTATTACCCTTCGCCGTGAATCGTTCTTGGGCAATATCAATTTCAACAACAGTTTCCAATCCTTTAGCATCATCAGAACAACATGCCAAGAATCGACGTGTAATAAAGTCGAAGACTCGTCGCTCATTACCGACCAGATCAGGTGCTTCTTTAGTAGGGTGAATGGGAGGATGTGCTTTATCATCGTTGGGTCCTTTTCGTGGTTGTTTGAACTTGCCCTCCAATAATCTAAACGACAAAATGACGATGAGCAAGAAAAGGAAGAAACCCTGGCCTATGCTTGAATGCTCTTATGCTCTACCCTTGAGCATAACCTCCCCATGCTGGATCAACCACTTGTTTCTCAATCAAAGCTCGTAGGTCAAATCCTTCATCGAATACTTGAGTTTCAGTACGTGGATAACTCAGGATACCACGTGAATACAGAGCTTCAGCAATCTAACGATGAAGTAATCCAGAGTGAGGTAACGCGTATTGTTGCTTCAATACCAATTCATGATTCAACATACCTGCATAATTTGGTCACCAGACATTCGTAACGCACTAGTACCGATTTTTTGCATTTCTATAGTATTGAGCGGAAGTGGTCTCCTATTCAAAGCGAAAAAAATCAGCAGCTGCTAAATATGGATACGTTGCCAAGCACAACGTACCACTTCTCCTTGGGCTTGACATTGACTAGTACCACTTTTGCAGAGGGAGTTTCAACACATTTTTCATACAAGACTACACAGCACTGTTGATCGTATATTCTATCACGTTTCCAAGCAAAGTGGGCACTGGTACCGTCCTTGGTGATCACCACATCAATCTTCCAAAAGTCTTCAGGTACGAAATCCTGCAGTCTACGATATCGATCTACTACAAATCGTAGTGTTGGAAATTGACAAGAGCCTGAAGAAGATTGAAAGTGTGAGTCATCGGAAAATGCAGTCATTCAAAGGAGGCCAACAAAGGGACGACGTATGATGCTTGATCTCACGGACTTACCAAATGAGATGATCTTATCAGCCAATTCATGATACCGAGATTGAAGTGACAGCGTTTGGAAGCGAGTGAAAGCAGCTCCTGTTCTCAAATCCAGCTCGATCCTAGCATCGACTGCAAATGCTTGCCGCGTATCTAGATCTCCCAAGCGACTCCATGCGTCTTGGATTTGTCTATTTGTCAAGGTTGGATTGAATAGGGACTACCTAACGGCTCTTTTTTCCTGTGGTCGACGTTTACCTTGGTTGAACTACAGAAAAGTGAGCTCTTCTCACTCTTATATGAGGCTTGACTTTTCTCACGACAGTAACGACTTCCATTCCAATGTTTTCTCCTTCTCGATCACAATCTGTCCATATGACGAGGACATCACAGCGTCTGCCTTCATTTTCCAAGTTTCTTGCAATCTCTTTGCAGTCCTATATGAGAACAGGAGTCAGACCACGAACACACAGGAGGAAGCGGCGATCTTTCACGTTTACATCCGAGACAGATTGGACGGTAGGAGCATCAAACATTGCAGTTGGAGCGTGTCTAGCCCAAGATCTGTAGGCGTCAGGAAAGTCGAGTTTGAACAAGTGCCCACGTATTGCCGTCATGACGACATCACATTGACGACCATCCATAGTAGAAGTAAAGTCATAATTTTTGGTGTACTTGTCGGCCGTGTTTCTCTAAAAGGAGGGAGAAAGATGGATGTGAGGGATGTGACGAGTGTGTTGCGCAAGACTATAGCTTTCAAATGAGAACGCATGCAACATGAGAGGAATGACTTGCAGTTCTTGATTGTCCTCCAGATAAAATGGCCGCGACCGATTTACCAATAGATGGCTAGTAATGGAGTAATGTTGAGCTCCGAAATTCCAAAATTCCAAACGTTGCAATGGTGCGATTTGATCCAGTAGTTGAAAGTAATGTGAAGATGAGTCTACCTTTTCTGCGACACAGAGTACTCTCATTACATATACATTCTTTTCCTAATCAGCATCGTCCACAGATAAGTGCTTCAGATCTTAAAAACTTTGAGAAAACAGAGCTACATAGAACGTAGAAGAGGATCAGCATTAGTTCAAGACGGGAGACTCAATATGGTATGAACCTTGCATGCAACTAGTCAATGATCTATGTTCTATCCGCCGTCCTCGTCTGGAACTATTATTAAATGTAATTGTTTGCCTAGATTCTGTCGAGATCAAAACCAACGAATGCAGCTGCATCAAAGAACGAGGCCATTCTGCGTAATAACAATGCCGACAAGAAAATACCACGTCTGGACTCGCTAATCGCTAGTAGAGACTACACCGGCGCCCTTACTCTCCTCGAAGTACATTACAGCATTTGAAGTGACTTTGACAATCGGCAGATCAACACGGATACATTGAATGATCTGCATTCAAATTCACTCATACTGCATTTTCCTCAACCGCATATTCGTCTTATAGTTTCAACGAGCATCGGGAAAGACTGACGAGGATACTCTACTATGGATTGGTTACTCGGCATTCCATCTTGGAGATCATACGAAAGCATCGGAGGTCGGAATAAATTTGAGATCCTGGATCAAGTGATTGTCACGTTACTCAATTGCTACTCATGTTTGCAGATTTACCTGGAGCTGACAAAGGACAAGGCATGCGATCCTACCATACACTTACTACTGGCTTGTTGCTACTTTTTCATGGGAATGCACAAGGAGGCCGACGAAGAATCAAGGAAGGGTATGCTTGAACTCCATTTACCTGGTGAAACCTGTGCTGTTTTTTTGTATTTGTTGACTCGTGATTCTCAATCATACAGGTCCTGTCTGTAAATTACAAAACAGGCTGCTATTCCACCTTTCTCATAAATTCAACGACGAGAAACGCTTAATGGGACATCACCAAAACCTGGAGGATGTCATTGAAGACCAAGTGTGTAAAAAGGTCGAGCAAGGAAGTACATGCCGAAGGTAGTCTTGACTTTTTGCTCCTATCTCTTCTAGCTATGTTTGGCATCCATTCACTATCTTCGAAGCCATTATCAAGAGGCGATTGATGTGTACAAGAGAATTATGCTTGAAAACAGGTATTATAATTTGTTTGGCCCTTTTTTTGCTCCCATTCCGTCCTCTTATTCAAAATAATGTGATAGGGATTTTCACGCCATTAATGTTTATGTCGCCATGTGCTACTACAAACTGGACTATTACGATGTAGCTCAAGAAGTCCTGTCAGTCTACCTTCAGCACTATCCTGACAGCATCATTGGGCTGAATCTGAAGGCTTGCAATCAATATCGGCTGTATAATGGGAAGGCTGCTGAAGTGGAGCTTAAAGGGCTTATGGAAAACATGTCTGCCAGTTGCCAATTCGCTGAAGACTTGTTGCGTCACAATATGGTAACAATTGTTCACGGCCTCTTTTTCGCCGCTGTACAATTAAATCATTCATTGCTATAGGTTGTATTCAAAAGCGGAGAAGGAGCCATGCAAGTTCTTCCAACCCTCATCGACGTCATTCCTGAAGCCCGACTGAATCTCGTCATTTATCATCTGAAGAATGAAGAGATGAATGAAGCATACGAGCTGATGCAGAATCTAGAACCAGCAACTCCACAAGTATGAGCTTACATGACATGTGACGAAGAAAAGCAGATGAACCACTCATAGAAGAATGCTGACACGGTTTTTTTTTCTCGACAGGAATACATCTTGAAAGGCATAGTGAATGCCGTAATAGGTCAAATGAGAGAATCTAGAGAACATCTCAAGATTGCTCAACAGTACTTCCAACTGGTTGGCGCTTCTGCCAGTGAATGTGATACGATACCTGGTCGACAAAGCATGGCTTCATGCTTCTTCTTGTTACGGCAGTTTGAGGATGTGCTGATTTACTTGCAATCCATCAAGGTAAAAATAAGAATTACATGCGGCACATGTGGTATTTGTGATTACCATAGAACTGACTTTTGTTTGTACAGAGTTATTATTTCAACGATGAGAACTTCAACTTCAATTATGGACAAACCAAAGTCGCTGTTGGTGCTTACGATGAAGCAGAGGAAGCGTTGCTGATGATTCACAGTGAAAAGATTAAGAATGAATATACGTACTTGTCACATCTGGCAAGGTGCTGTAAGTGCCTTAAGTACTGTCGAGTGACGTCAAGACGATTTTTTTGCTCATTTCAAAAAACAACTAGACATCATGAACAAGAAACCACGAATGGCTTGGGACTTGTATTCCAAAATGGAGACATCTGCCGATTCATTTAATATTCTCCAACTCATTGCTAATGATTGTTACAAGGTGTGTGTGTCTATGTGATTTGCAAACGTGCACTTCTACTGTTTCATTGCATCCTCTTTTGCAGTTTGTATCTGTACAATCATATCTTCTCTTACGGCCTATTCACCCTCCTCTTACTGCTTACTTCGTAGATGAGCCAATACTATTACGCAGCTAAAGCATTCGACGTGCTAGAAAGACTTGATCCAAGTCCAGAATTCTGGGAAGGCAAACGTGGTGCTTGTGTAGGAGTCCTGCAACAAGTATTGTCTGATCAAGAACCCAAAGAAGCATTACGTGAAGCTATCTCCTTATTAAAGAACTCACCAAATAAGGAAGTTGACTCGATTGTCGCCATGATGAGAACGGTGGCGAGACAGAGCAGTGTGCAGATATGATCTGTTTTCATTTTGCAGAGGTACATTTTTATGAAATAAAGTCCCGTTTCCAGCATTTTTGACTTTCCTTGGAATGGCGAACTTTTTGTAATTCTATTGCAGATCGGCAGACGCAAACATGTTGACTTTCGAACAAAGAAGTCTGAATGTTATCTGAAAGAGGCCACAAAAACATTTATAGATTTAAAAGCAGGTGACAATAAAAATATGGTACTATATGGCGAACAGCCAAGATACAATAGCCATACCTAGCTGCTTCAGGCAGCAGGTCTTCACACAACAAAGGTAAAAGTACTAAATAAAGTTCACGGCAATGGTACCAAATTATTCCTCAACACAACCAAAAACCACAACCAACTGCATTGCAAGCAGCGGGTTCCTGCAGACGTTATTTCTTTGAGGACATATCAGGTCGAGTTGGAGCGACATTAAGCAGTGTGTCCATATCCATATCTAAAATCGAGTCTTGGAGTTCTAGTTGCAAAAACAGAAGAGATTGTTAGTTGAATACGCACCATTTGTATCCGACAATAAGGTTGACGTGCCATTTACCTGCCAATTGCTTCTCAATATTTGCCTTGTATATACCAAACAGACGTTCGAAATCCATAATTGATATGTTGCCTGGGTAGCTGGTCCAGAATTCAGCGAAGGAATCAAAGACAAAATCCACAGAGTTAGCCCGGTGAGACAACGTCGTTTAACAAAGAAGAAGAAGAGTGAAAATAATCATACTTACGATACATTTCATGGTAGATGCCAATATCAGCACCGAAGGAAAAGAACATTGGCTGCAATTGTCCCGACTTGACAAGGTGCAAGACGAACTGGGAGACCATGATTCCAGCGAGAGCAAAAGAAAACCAGCGGTCCTTGTCATTAGAGATGGCGAGTACCTTGGCGGCTGACACTGGATATTGAGAAGCATAGTAATGCAAGTCATCCAATCCCAGCATTCCTATACATGTACGAATTGTCATCAGTCTTCTCTACTGATACATTAAGTTCATTTCGCTTCAAATGAAGACATACCCATCGCTCGAAAGTCTGTAGCTGGATCGCAACCTTGAAATCCAATCTCCTGCCAGCGTTTCGTCTTTCGATCTATGTGGGGAGAAGGAGGGTCAAAAGGGAAATTTAAGGACAGGATCGAAAACTTTACAATAGTACCAGTCAAAGGAGAGTTTGGCATCAGCAAATCCCATAACTGCGAAGTGAAAGGGTCTGTGAGTTTGACGAAAATGATTTCAAGACAATAATTGGTGAAAGCGACATACGTCCAAAAGTTTCAATTCAGAGGAAAGGACAGTAGAATCATACGGCGTGGCGGCTCGCCTTTCCAATTCACGTTGAAGGGCATACGTGCAGCCGATTTCACCAACAATGGCTTCCAGAATCAATACATGTGGACTATGGTAAGACGGACGTCAGCTACAGCGATAAGTGTGAAGCACTCATTCGTAATAAAGAAGGTCTTCAAGCTAGCAATAGGAAACAACAGAAAAGATAGCTGAAACCGTGACGGACATACCCAGTGAAGCCAGCAACGCCTGTCGCTGGAATGACCTTTTTATTGACCAGGCCATACATGACGACTTCGGTAGATCCACGTCGTTGCAATTCCTTCTTTTCAGGCTAAAATGGGGTTGAAAATTGTGGATGAGAATGCTGAAACATGCAAGTTTGTCGCACTACTATTACCTTGAGTTCTTTTGATAGCCTTATGGCCCGATCTACACAATGCGGCTTTCGCGTGAGTATAATAGACTAGTAGCCAACGTTTTGAGAAGCGATGAACTTACCCAGTTCGTATATGAGCTTGGGCGATACAACTGCATGAGAATCATGGCTCTTGTGAAGAATCTTGTCCAATAGTTGGAAAATACGAGACCTCTTGGAAAAGAACTAAAAAGAAGAAAATCATCCATTAGCTTTCATTGTTGACGAAACTTGTGCAAGAGCGAAAGCACCGAATAGGAAGCACACCTTGGGCGTGGCCCTAGATTCGTCCAATTGCGGCAGAGGCACCACGATAGTGGGAATGTCCCACTGTACTTCAGATGCCACTGCAGCTTCTGTTGAGTGAGTCCCTGGAGAGAAAGAGTGTTAGAAATGTGACTTGACCGGTGGCAATGGCGATTACATTTTCCAATAACAGAATGAAGCTTACAAGGGCTGAGTGGCTTGAAGATGGATGCCAAAATAGTAGTAGTGCGACTCCAAAAGGAGGGTGTCTCCTTGGGAGTTTCAACGGCAAGGAATTTACCATCCTTACTGTTTTCAGCCTAAACAAGAAATAGAAGCAGAACGAAGTCAGTAAGATATCTTTCTGGTGCTTTCAAAGCGCAAGCTGACGTCAAACCATGGTAGGCGTCGTGACTTACGGTGTCAATGTTGACTTCGACATTTGCACATACTTCTTGACCAGTCTTCCACCAGCTCCAAGAACCTTTACCCATTATAGAGGCGTGGTGTGCTTTTTCGAGTGACGAATAATAGGTTGGCTGGGGTCTTTCGAAGTAAATGTCAAAACTGGCAGTCTACTCTGAAATCTTTGGGTTTTATGAAAGTGGAAAAGATGCAGTTGTGGCTAACACGATATTGAACGGCACGGTTACAGGAACTTGAGATTTCGAGCTGATATTATGCAACGCGTGAAGTCGATCTCTGCTCTTAGATTGGTGATTGAACCAGTGTGTTTGAGAGTGATTTCAACCAACAGAAAACGTGATTTAGCTGAGCGATGAGGAATGGCAATCAAAGTCAGAAGATTCTTCCCGTTGCCATTATCATTTTCATCATGAAATTCAACTTCTGAGTGCTTCTATATGCATCTAAGTGATTTAAACACGTTGAAGACCTTCATAAAAACCAAACTTCAATATTTGTCGGGCACAGTAAAGGAGAGTGTGAATGGAAAGACCCGAATCAGCAGAAAGTATATAATTATACTAGAATAGGCTCTTCCTTCCTCTTCAGCGTGGTTTGGTCTCCGCTTGTTCAGCATGGTCTGCAGGCACACCTCCCGTAGAAGCAAGCTTTACACCGCCATTTTCCTTATGCATCGAGTTGCGTTGCGAGTCCAGACACGTTATGTCTCGTCTGAATCGATCGTAGTTATACTGATTCTATTGGTAGGCCGTAGCATCTCTAGAGAGGAAAGATCTTCTTACCTCATATTGCACTCAAGCAAGGGAAAGCCAACAAGGACCAGCAGTTTATCTGCAATCTCATCACTCATAGGACCATAGCAAATTTTTGATATTAGATTAATGTTCTTCTGTCACTGCCTTGGGATATTCAGTCATCGTCAGAAACCTCCTGCCTACAATGAATTAACAGCAGTCAACAGCAGCATGCCAAAGGTATTTCAATCCTTTTTCGTTAGCGTGTTACAGATACTGCTCAGCTTGGTCGACTCGATCTTCTTCCTCAATTCGTAGGTCATCAACACATTCCCAACATCAATCGAAATCAACTCCCACACTCTGCAAGTCCCAACAGGCAAGGTCAAGATGGCTGAATACTTGCTTGCAAATGGTTTATCTTGCCAATATGTATTAAGGTATGGCAATAACAAGGTAGCTGCCTCTTTACGGGATCATCGTTTCTTACCATTCTTACCTAATTTGCAATCAAATCTTTCCCCGACGAAATGGTTTCGAGATCTCATTGGTGCCCTCATTGCTATTGCACAGACTCGAATCATTGAAACAATGCCCATGGACGCCATCTTGAAGCAATGCTTGAAGGGATTGGACACAGAGTGCATTCCTGACAGGGATCTAGATGTATATCCAGTAGCATCTACGTTTGCTGAACGTATTCAGGTGTTTGGAACTTTTACGGACTACTCGACTGCTATTACGATAAAACGTATGGGACACAGAAAGTCATTATCAATCCCGTCTGTTGCCAGACTTCTCAATCTCTTTGTCAAGCAGCGAGCTAGAACCTTTGCTCTACGTTTCGTATGTCTTCCACCGTGTACGAGGAGGAGACTTATATGACGGCCGCTCAACTCGGTTGTATCGCCTTTATGGCATTGTCCACCTGAGTCCAAGCCTTTGGATAAATCTGAACCAGATGAAGGTGCAATCAAGGTCTTGGTGTGTATCATTACCAACATCTATAAATTCCTAGCAGTATGTCAACGTCATGTATCAGCCTGATAAGACCCACCATCCAATAAGAATAACATTGTCGCATAGCCTAGTTTCCATAAAAACAGAAGATGATAAAAGCAAGAAAGGCAGTTGTGGTTGTGCTGATCGATTGTCACAAAAAGCTTCTCCTGTACGTATCATCGTCTGTTGGCCTGAGGGTTTCGACAGGTTCTTAAATCGGTGTGTGTAATATTTTCACCTTCCGTGATATTCCTGGACTTAATTATCACTCACATAATACTTTCGATTGTTCTGTATTCGTAGGCACCAGAAGTAGTTCTAAACTGAGCCATGCTGACTCAAGCGATGTATATATGTGTACCTCATCAATCAGAATCAAATCCAGGCAAACCGATCCAGGCAAACCGAGGCAGCTCCACTAGACAGTACCTCTGTTTTGTGGATTGTCGGTTCCGCAAGAACACATTAACACAGCAGTTAGTTCTGTGGTGAGCAGTCTTGAGTTTCCCGTGTACTCCCAAGAGACAAATGAATAACAGATCGTGAGCAAGGCAACTCGATTGAAGAGTATAATGCTAAGATTGATGCCGTCCTCGATGATATCTGATGGTTTGCGTCCAAAAACATCAATCAAAAATGTCAGCGTCACGATGGCCATCCGGCCTCCATTCAGTGTAGCGAGTTTTTGTCATAGTATAAAAGTGTGTTTTGGTCTTTTGCTCCTCCTGAAAAACTAGTTTTAGAAGCACCTCCACTGAAGAAACAGATTGTTGCTTTCCAATTTTCAAAGCACCGTGTACGGTCGAGAGATGCCTGATGAAAGCGAGGCGAGCAACATCAATACGAGGACAATGACCTGGAAAGAAAAGGCGGCTTACCTAAAGTTGCCCCGCATGGATGAACTTGTGCAAGGTTTTTTTTAGTTGCTCGTTTTGTTATATTGTTGAAAATGCAAGACCGTATACTACAGTATCACTCAAACATTTACCTAAGGTCTCCACCCCGTCGTCGAAATCCCTCAAATTTACTATCCTTTCTTCCACCTTTCCAACAACGTCTACTTTTGGTCACATCATCATACAATGCTTTTGTTTCCTCTTGTTTGATATTCCGACAGTACGAGCCAATTCGAGAATCAAGTCGTTCAGTTCGGAGAGATTGGTCTTTTTCTTGGAGCTGACCATGATATACTTTGAGATGCCCCATTCATTGGCATAGTCGAAGAACTACATGATGGGCAAGATTGGGTGAAGAGGAATCAGGACGAATACGTAAAGGCTATTCCAACCAATTGCCAGAACAATGCTTACTTGATCCGTGGCAAGGTGCTTGTAATCTCCGGCAACCCGTTGATCATGTTTTGTGCCAACAAGTATAGTAGACCTTCTCCACCCAGGTTTGGCTTCATCAAGTTGTGATAAGAGCTACAATGTATTGAAAGAAGTATTCACATAAGGCCAGAGACTGCATCTTGCATAAAAACTCACATTTTCTTGGATTTTGATAAATGTTTTTCGAGCTGAAAGGTCTCCCAAAAGGACTATCATCCCAGCCTTGGCAATGCATTGCTTTCGGAGTTCCAGCAGACTTTCATCACCTCCAATCTCCTTGACCTTGATAGTGAGTGCATCGTTGCCTTCGCCGATCGTGAACTCCCCTTTCAATTTGATGGTAGTTGGGTAACTCTACGTAGAGCTTCAATATGGCCTTACCGTTCATTTGAGTATTACAGGGTGTTTATAGCAAACTTACGCAAAGCTGCAAGAATTTGTTTCCCATCAAAGCGTTCAAGAGTGCAGTCTTGCCAGCATACGTGGGGCCGATAATCAGTACGAATCTATACATTATGAACATGAAATATGATTGAGCTTGTCTCTCTCGTGGATTGAAAGCAAACGAGTTGATCATGGTGCTTTGATGCTGATGATGTGTCGTAATGTACCCTCATTGTAACTCATACGAAAGCAAGTCCAGGGCCCACGTTCTGATCATCAAGATCAATCTCGTCATCAGATTGATCATCGCCTTGCCCTGAAAACCGAAACGAAAAAGACACCATTCCGCCGACATTTGCAGCTCAAGAAAGGACTTACTTTGGCTTTCGTGCCATGATACGATAGTTCCGAATGCTTTTGAATGAGATTGCTACGTGTTTAGTGCAGATAAGGTCACCATTCACTCAAACTCATGGCTTGTTATGTGTTTTGTTGAAGGAGTATGTCGAATCAACAGAAACATGTTTGGACAACCTGGACGCGTCGTAGTTCTATTTATTCCAATGTTCACAAGCACGATAAACACATGAGCGGTATCATTTACGCGACAGATGTCGCTAGATTTGTTTGGTTTCTTGTTGTTCAGTTGAGAACAACAATCGCGTACTATAGATCCTCGCTTGATCATGGCAAGAAGATATATCAAAGTAACAATATAACGACAAACATCCTATTGTGACACTCGCCTCCTATGTTCCTCTCGTTTCACTACGTGGAGCAAACGCTGCAATAGAGTTTTCCTACTAAAGGGTACAAATCTTGATCATAGTAGTATATTGAATTCTGGAGCATGCTACTTAAAATGATGACGAGCTACTTCCACGTCCACGCTCCTTATAGACATCACTTTCGCTATCATCTTCTCCTTCATCACCTTCTTCTTCCTCCTCCTCCTCTGCATCAGCCTCCTCCTCCTCTGAGTTTTCCTCGTCTTCGTCCTCGTCCTCCTGTTCGTCTTCTACCTCCTCCTCCCCTTCGACTTCAGCTGACTTCTTACGCTGCTTGTCATCCTTGTCTCCCGCAACTTTACGTTGCTTGTCGTCCTCATCTCCAACAGTTTCTCCATTCGTTCCTTCTTCCTCCTCTTCCTGCACTTCTTCCGGAGGCGGATTGTTGGCAGCTTTAAATAGGAATGGTGACCATCGTAGCAAGTCTGGTTTTACAGTTGTGTAATTCTTCTTGGCCATGTTATCGAGAAAAGCAGTGATGAGCTCATAATTATACCGAATCACGTAGTCTCCGTATGCATTCTTCATGATCATATCCATATTTGTCAGAGTTGATACTATGTCATCGATAGTGACGCATGTCCTTTCACACAATTCTGAACAAAAAAATTGAAAGGCAGGTGACGGTGAGCTTTCTGTAAACCAAGAAAAAGTACGTCTTAAAAGCTGAATACCTTGAATGGACAAGGTTGTTGGATTAGTGGCCAATTCCTGCATTATCACAGTCCTCCAATAGTTGCGATAACTTAGCAGACCAAGATCTGACAGAGGCTTTTCTGGAGATCCTGGTTTACCTTCCTTTTTCGATAAGAGATAACCTGGCGAATGCAAAATATGATTGGAACCGGAAAAGTCCATTGTGTAAACAAAATCAATTGTTGACTCACTAAAGTCTATGAGAAAGTTTCCATACCCCTTCCGCTGATGAATTGGCAATGTCATGATACATGATAGATTATAATTGGCTGCCGATCGTTTTTCCTAGCAAAAGGGGTGACATATTTGTACCTCGCTCGTAAGGACATTTTTTGTGCAGTCCTACCTTTGAAAAGTATCCAACGAAATGATGTCCCGTATCATCCTTTTCAGTCATGACGTAGAACAGGAAGGGTTCTACATCATAATACAGCGTCTTGTGATCTAGAAACATCTTGACCAGCAAACAAAGATTCTGACAGTATATCTAGGAGATCAAGACAGTCAAACCACTTGATTTTAGATCAGCTTTGGAAAATCCATGAAATCTACCTTATTTTTTCGGCCATCAACTTCAAAGATGGAGACAATCCCATCCTTGTAGATTTCATCACCAGGTGGATGCGTCAGCGGGCACTTGAGCTAATTGGAGAAGTGGTCAGAGAAGGTGAAGAGACCACAGGAGGTAGTTTGTGTAGTTGCAAAAGAAGGAGCAAGCTGCAATAATAAACGTACCTTGTGTCTTCCAAGCATATAAGAACTCTTCATATACTTGAGACAATATTCACATAAGAAGAGTTTCTGCTGCGAATGAAATTCTTCAGGATAGGGAGAAGCAAACCAAGTGTCGATCTCGAAATCTCCAAATTGCACATGCTTGATCTTGACGGCTGGACCCTCTTCTCCATCATTAGACTGCATGTCTTCTATTTCTGGATGATCATGCGCAGATGGTGGAAGATATTGCTACGTGCAATGTACAGGTCAGACTCTCGGTGCCAGTTTGCCAAAAGTTATGTTGGTTTCTCACCTTGGAGTGTTCTCGAGCTACATCAAATCTCTTCCGATCCTTTTTACCAGGCAACCCCTTCTTGGTATCAGCCTCTTCAGCATTCAATTTCCCACCATAAAACAGCTCGATGGTATCATGGTCTTTGACAGCGAGTTGATCACCTTTACTGCTACCCTCGCCGTTCAAACCAGGTGGTGGACGAATACTAACTATTTTCGGCGACCCTTTGACAGTCAGTTTAATGGTTGGCAGTTTAGGTGTAGCAGCAGGTATCGGTTTAACTGGTCGTTTTGGAGTAAGTGGTTGTGGTGGTGGCGATGCGGTTGACATATGAGTTGTTGACGATGCAGGCGATGCTATTGTATTAGCTATGAGAGCTAATTGGGCGATAGGAAGTCTAGGGCTATGTGGTTTCTCCTTCCTCCTTCGTTTTGGAGGTGAGCTTTCGTCGGCTAGATTTCCTCGTTTGACGGGTCTAGTGTGGGCTCGTTAGCAACCTAGCAGCGAAGGCACAAGAATCACGAGGCTTACAGTGTCAACTGACGTTGACCTTTGCAAGTGTTGCAAAACCAATCGCCTAGATAGAGAAAACGTTGAGCAAAACAAGCTAAACATGTTCTGGACACAGGTCGTACCCGTTGGAACTTCATCTAATGGTGGAAAGACACAGAAAGTATGATATCCTCTCAGACACGAGTCACAAAAGAAGAGCAAGTCCTCCTAACAGTAAGGATTATAGCAACAGTTGGTTGAAAACAGCTGATTGCTACTGCACCCGTACAGATTGTCCACTTCTGCAAGCTTCACAGGTTCGACAATCAGCGCATTGCCAGGGATAGCTTTTGATCATATCAATCATGTCTTCTGTAATATCGTCCTTTGTCAAGCAGCTTGGATGTGCTATGTTTTGGTTGGAAGATCAGCGAAGAAAGTCCAAGCAAGATACACAATCATTCAGTTCCTACCAGTAAGACCACTATTGAAAGTAAAGAATCAGCTCTGAGATCATGTTTAACACGATCAAAGACGTACCAAGAAGAGCAAGTCAATTGGAGTTTTGGATCGAACATTGGCGAAGTTGAATCCACACAATGACATATTCCACACGTTGGTGATGGTTGTTTCTGTATTGCAAGTAGTAGATTTAATCAGTAACATGGTAGTTTGGAATGCTGGTATATTGTTTGGAGCAACAGCCAACCAACAATTGTTGATGACGGTTTCTCAGATCAGACAATGCGAATGAATAAGAGATGATATTTCAAGGACTTGCCTTCTTTTCACGCGTGACTCTAGAAGATGAATCACTGTCAGTTTCCTTAGAGGCCTGAGGGCGTTCTCGTAAAGATGGCATTCTTGGTTTGTTATTTCCAAACGATTCGTGGCTAGGACAACAACAAGAAGGATTTCTCTTGGCAGATCCGTTGTGATATAAAGCGTACTAGCAGGTAGCGAGGATCTCCAACTTGTGCAACGAGTACTATAGCGAACAACGTATTGGCAGTGTGAATGACTAAAATGATTTGTAACAAGCTCGACAAACTCACACCATTTACAATGAACAGGGCTAAAATGACGCGTCTCAATGATTTACTTGGTGGAGCTATCATATTGAATGCGCCAATGGCCGGAACTAGTGGTGCTAAGCTCGTAAACCATTCAACATTTCGCCCTCCAAACTCCAAACAATTATGTTGCTGATACAAACGCTCACACCAGGCCGGGGCTGTTACGAAAGCTGGTGGGTTTGGTTTTATTGGTGAGCATGAGATGACTGTGGTTTTGCCCTGAGATGCAGAACTTCTCACATTTCCATGACTGTTAGGATTCTCCCCCAACGAGGAATGGACTCGCACAAACTACAAGGAGGCAACGGAAATTTGCAATAATGGTGGTATAGGAATTGGGCTGCTGCTCAATCGCAAAACTCCCGATGGACTGATACAAGGCTTGAAAACTGCTGTATCACTAAAACCGAAAGGTCTTTGGTTTGCATTCGGCGCACTCACCCCTAAAATCGTCGATTATGTCAAACGTGACTCGCCAGAAACCAAAATAATACTGCAAGTCAATACCATCCAAGAGGCTTTAGACGCCGTGCGACTCGCTGATATACTTGTGGCTCAATCGTATGAGGCTGGCGGCCATATGAATCCGCTTGCAGAAGGTCAAATGGTACATCTACCCCTACTTGTCAAGGCTGTGAGTAGGGACTGTGAGTTCAACGGCTGGAAGCCACCGCCACTCCTTGCAGCAGGAGGAATTGTAACTGGAAGACAGGTAGCTGGTAAGCCCCCTTGATGACTTTTCACATCTCGTTGAACTATACTGAATACATATCCACGTTTACATAGCTGCTTTGATGTTAGGAGCTAGTGGTGTAGTAATCGGCACCCGGTTTGCGACTTGTCAAGAGTCTCTTTCAGCCCCAGCCTTCAAATTACAATACGGAAAACTCGCTAAACAGGCATCATCAACATCAACACCTGTAACTACAACTAGCTTGGCTTACGACGTGCTGCCGGGACCAAACACTTTCGGCGCACACTATTCAAATCGAGTAGCGAGAAATCGCTTAACCGAGGCGTTTGCAACTAAAGACACGTCACTACCCATTCTAATCGAACGCTTAAAGGTAGCAAATCGTGACAGACCTCCACAGGTAGACTGGGAAGTCGTGGGGCTTCCGGTTGGAAGCGGTATAGGGCTTGTTGAAAGAGTCAATGTCGGTGCTGAAGAAATTGTAAAGGAAATTACGGCCGAGTGCAAGTCAATTTTAAAATCAGCTTCTTCACTCCTATAGTATTGCAGTAGAAGTAAAGTGCCAAATTATTAAATGTTGTACTATACAGTCAATCACGAGTTCAAGACGGTTTCTTTTCATTAGAGATAAAAACACTAGCCGATCGCTCTGTTGAAGTGAGCAGAATACTTAGGTGTGGGATCCAATATTGTCTCAACGCGGTGAGAGTCGCGACGTCACCCTTGTCATGGACCCCATCTGACTTTGTGAAACACAGCAGCTATCATTGAAAGTTGAGGAATCCCAACCACCAGCATCGCTTGAGCCGGCAGTTGCACACTTTTAAAGTCATGTCAGATCCATGGGACTCCATCGACACAGTGAAGATCGCTGTGGTCGATTGGAAGTTACATTCACAAAATCGTGAATTGTTGAAGAAACAGATTAACGATGCAGCAAGGTAAATTGTCGAGCTCATAAGCCCGGCTTTTGCAAGTTCTGAACATAGATCTCATCTGATAGATGTCCTAATTTTTAGAACCCTTGGATTTTTCGTGTTGATTAATCATCCCATTGACAAGAATCTCATTGATGGTTCTTTTCAATTGGTATGCCATGAGTGCTCTTCAAAGCTCTGAAATATCTGGAATCCTCGACTTCCAAGATATTTGAAGATTTTTGTTGATCGCCGTCTGTTGACACCCATTATCCACTCGCTGACCATAGGCCAAGGACGTCTTTGCTCAACCAGCTGCCGAGAAAGAAAAATATGAAATGGGAACTACTGGGAACTACTTTGGGTATAAGGCTCCTAGGAAAATGCCTGGTGCTAACAATGGAGACCAGTAAGGGCATTGGGAAGCTGATTCTGGAATGAAGCGTTGATTTGATCAACCATGACCTTCTAGCAATGAAATGTACAACATTTCGAAGGACTTGTTACGTGATCCAGTCGCTGCTCAGAATCAATGTACGGAAATTCACTCGAGCTATGTTTCGTAACAGTATGTTGTCTCGACCCCGAATCTCACAACTTTTGCATGTTAGTACGTCCACTAGTCGACGCTTACCCAAAGACGAAGGCATTCGCTGAAGAATGTCACTCCCTTGTTTGCGACATTTTGAAAATTTGTGCTGAAGTGCTCGAAATACCCAAAGAAGCTGGCGGTGCCAACTATCTCCTCTCTCGTCACCGATTTGAGGCCAAATCTGGTGATCAGATTCGTCTTTTACAGTATGCCCGAGACTGGACTGTGAATTCGATGATTTGAACCAAGCATCTCAACATACGAACTTTGCAAACTAGATATCCCCCACCGCCTCCAGAATTCGAAAAGAACGAATTATTATTCGCTCATACCGATTATGGTAGTGTGACGTTACTTTTTACGCAATCTGTAGGTGGATTGCAGATTTGCGATCCAGAAGATAAACAATGGCGCTACGTGCGCCCGCTGGACGGCTCGATTATAGTTAATCTGGGGGATGCGGTGCAGCATTGGACTAAAGGTACGCACAATCCCAATATTCAAACCTGCTGCTATATTCAACAACGATCAGACAATCTGAACCTCAACCACGTCTAATCATAGGATACTGGAGATCCAACTTGCATAGGGTGACAGCCCCACCAGCATTTCAAAGGCACATGACCCGACATTCTGTAGTCTATTTCGCACGACCAGAGGATGCCGTAGTTTTGGAGAGAATACCATCGCCTTTCATACCCGAAGACACAGTTGAGGAAAAGCAGCGCAAGATTACTGCTGAAGAATGGATTAAGGCTCGTGTATTATATGGTGTTACGGGCCAACAACAATCGTACTTGTAAAACGTGTAATCGCAAACAGGAAACTAATTAAATACTAAATATACGTGTCAACGATTATTCTACACGTGAAAACAAGTTTTGCAATTTCCTAAGTCATGAGATGTCTCGTATCCCTGTGATCTTAGTATTCACCTTCTTGATCGCACATTTCACGCCCAGTCCTCAAAGCTTTCAAAGAACAGCTGTAAACGTCTAGCAAGGCATAAAGTCGATTCGATCTTGGAGTTAGGCACTCATTGCGGCTCGAATCTAATAAGATTTATTCGCGTTGGTCATTTGAAATTCAAGTTTGTGGACCATGATGGGTGATGCTTTGTCGTCAGAAGCTGGGTACGTTTCAAGTGCAATATCAAACCATACTGGATGTGTTGAACGTTCTTTTTATCTTGATCTAACCTAGAATCGTCTTACCTAGCTCATCACCAACATCACACATACCAATTGGTTGCAAATCTGTCGCGATGAGTCGACCAGAAGGTATAGAACGATACACGTGTACATGTCAAGTTGAAGCTCACTATGAATCGTTTTGGAAACTTGCAGACACTCATCTGCCTCATGAGGTTTGGGGCATCATTCTGTCAAAGGCTTCCGAAGGTAGTCTTGGTACACTTTCCAGAGCCTGTAAAGATATGAATGGTATTGCAGTCAAGTACTTGTATCGAGAGATTGGACAGGTTAGTTTCCCGTGCTCCATTTGAACTCTCCACGAGGATGCACCATTTGAAATCTGACTCCTGTTGAACTTTGCCAATACTTCGTTCCGTGTCATGTGATTCTCATGTCTTCTTGTCTGCTTAGAGGACTCGCAAGCAAATGAAAGCCAACATGACGCACTGTGAGGGCGAATGCATTTTCCTCATCTTGCAGAACATACAGACGCAAACTACAGGATACAATCAAAACGCTCTCTCGAGAGTGCAGACATTGCATTTGAGCGAATATCTATATAATAGCTGGAAGCCGGAATTCGAATCGGGCCTCAAACGTACACGAGCGAATCGAATTGCTGAAAAAGTCAAGGGACTTACTTTAGAAACAGCCATTCAACTAGTGAAAGCTTGTACGCAAGCCTCGTTTATATTCGGTAAAGGTATCTCACACTTTAAAACGTTGCTCCAATATTTCCCAACGACCATTACGAAGCTGGATATAGCGCCTTCTCTATGTAATTCTCCAGAATTTGCCGAATTCGTCGCCAGGAAATCACCAGTCATCAAACACGTACATCTATATCGGGAGCGAGTGATTCGCAGACTAGATGGTGTTGCAGCATTCCTTAGGTCGCAACAAATCGAGACCTTATCATATACAGGGATTCGTGGACAGGGTATATTGAAGGCTCTAGGAGCTAACAGCACAGATTCCCTGAAAGATTTGACTTTGAACAAGGTCGATATGATTGAAATGGGAGATACATGTCTGGCACAATACGTCAACCTCCGTGAGCTATCTTTGTCAGATATTAGGATGAGGACTGCTCATTTAGCGGCTTTTAAGGATCAAAATACTCAGCTCAGAACTCTTGCTATCCGTAGATCAACTGACTTCCACCCCTCCGATATCTCTAATTTACTAGAATCCAGTCGCTCCACACTAAAGACAATCACTCTGATACATACTCGTACCTTCGTCCAGATGCTCGAAGACGGAGTATCTGACGGCCCTCATATCCCACACGACCTCGTAATGCATATAGATCGCCCAATATTCGAACTTGATGGGTTTGGATGTCTCACACATGTAAACATGTCAGTCGCAGATGCTCGTCGTAGTAGATTCGACACTTTTATAGCAAATCGTGGGAGTCAGCTCATACGTCTTCGTCTCTCGTCGTATACCGAGGACGAATTCGATGTGAGACTCATTATCAATCATTGTCCGAATATGAAGAATTTGATGCTGGATAACTTTGACTTGACAGAAGCAATGATGATTAACTTGGTATCGACCTTGTCCAATATGCAGGCTTTGGAAGTTACACCCCGCTTTCGGATTATGGATGTAGATGCTGTATTAACAGGAGCAACAAACCGTAGTGAGCTACATGCAAAAGCAGAGAAACTCACCATCGGATGCCCTCCGTTTACTGGAATCTCCACTCGCAGTGAAAATCTACTAGAAGGCCTGCAAGGAATCAAGCGACGTGGTAGATGCCGAGCCTTGAAGAAACGAATTACGGCCGCAACAACTCCTCTTAATATCGTAATCGACTGGGTAGCAGGTCCGATCATAAATGGTGAGACTCGAATATGCTTAAACGCAGTCAACCATGAAGCTCCAGAAGACTCGGATGACAGTGAAGATGAAGAGGACGATGATGAGGAGATATCTGATGGCGAGCATGATAATTCCGAGTTTGAGGATGTCTTTGCTGCTTTAGCGGCTTTACATCAGTAGTGGAGTGGATTGTGAGGGTGGTGGTAGTGGTTGTCGTTGTCGTTTTTGTAACGTTTGAGGGCTGGTCCGAGTGAAGGACCTGGGAGAGGTCTAGTAACATAACCATTCAAGTATATAAATGAGCTAATTAGTATGTATAAATCACGTAAAGAACATAGATCCGTAGCATTAAGACAGTTTAAGATTCAGTGTTGGAAGTCCGAGAGTGTTTTGAAGGTAACGATACCACGATTGAATTATTCAGGGACATTAAAATGTTAATACGTTAATATGTCCCTCTTACCCTGCGTCAAACCTTCCTTTGCCAGTTGTTTCTGTCATATTGTGGTTTGGATGGATGTGGCTTATACACGACGTTCCATTTAACATTTCTTTCGCACCTTCACCTACAAAAGTTTGATTAATCCCCAACAAAGAGGAGCAGCGTAAGTACCACCTATATCTCAACATACGTATAGCCACTGGATGAATCCACGCACGCCCTTCTTTCTCCCAGTTTGATGTTTTTGCACTGGCCAAAAAGAAAGCTTCACAGCATTCAAACAACCATTTCATTACTAAAACATATATTATTCTTAGCATGCCTGGTACCAACGTAAAAGACGTCAACCCACATGCATTCGTAACAGCATACGCTGCCTACTTGAAGAGAACTGGCAAGCTCGAAGTCCCAAAATGGGTTGATTTGGTCAAGACTGCTACTTACAAGGAATTGGCTCCTTATGACCCTGACTGGTTTTACACTCGTGCTGGTACGATATAGGTTATATTTTCTGCTGCTATTTAGATACGGCGAATGGGAAGAGATGGAGCATCCATAGGATGGACGACATTTCGAGACATTGTGGATGAGACCAGCCCAAACACCACCATTTTGAGTTGACGACCACATCTTTCTTCCCTATTCATATATTTTCTCATTTTTATTAGCTGCCGTCGCCCGTCACATATACTTGCGAGGAGGTGTAGGAGTTGGTGCCTTAAGGAAGATGAAGAGTGGAAACAAGAACAGGGGGTCACGACCACATTTCTCTCAAGTGTCTTCGGGTTCCGTTGCCCGAAAGGTCTTGCAAGCTCTAGAAAAGATCAAGGTCTTGGAAAAGGATCCTTCCGGGTAAGATATTCGTACACTGCGAATTTGTTTGTTGTTCCGTGCTGTCATATGGCACTGTCAGAAACAATCCTGTCGGCAGTGTCTGGAAATGATGGAGAGAGTCTTGATGCTCGAACATGTCCGGCAGAAGCTACTCTCTAAATAGAGCAAAAAAAAAAATTATGGAGGATAAATACACAGTTCATGCCACTCATTCAGATCTTCCTTCTCATTCTATCTAGTGGCCGAAAAATCACTACTGAAGGCCAAAAGGATTTGGATCTGTAAGTTCCGCATAAGCGTCTACACTTTATCCCAAGAGTCTGTTCTCATGCCTTTCCATTCTGTTTAGGATTGCTGCTCAGGTCGCCAAGACTGTGGTCGCATAAAAGATAAACCAAATACTCCTTGTCTATATTTTGTTGTCCTGGCATAAACAAAGAAACAGTATATTGAAAAAGCACATGGTGTGTCTGTTGCTGGAAGAATAGTTGGAAATGCTGACTTGGTGCAGGTATACTGTCGCAGCTTTCAAACCCGTCCGCTTCTCTCCCCGCGCATCTCACCGCTGTTCGCAGCCGCTTCTCCGGAAACGAATTCGAATGTGTTGGGGGTCGATATTCATTTTGAAGTTTTGTTTATTGATATAGTAGTATTCCAAAGAAGAGAATATTTTAAACGGTTTCTAGAATCTCAACCGTTGGTGTTGCTCCAAGTAGGATGCGACCCAGTCAGCAGCCTATGATGATTTGATGGGTTAAGAATCTCAACCGTCACTATTGCTTTCAAGTGAGAATGCAACCTACCTCTCGCCCAGAAGCCAAGTCTCTAGAGAACCTCCTATTATCAAGAAAAAACAAAGGTCAGGAGGTAAGACGGCATTGTGGTCAACACTCTTCTTAGCAGACGTTGTATACCTTAGAGGGGCGATATTGAACTGGAATTCTTCTTGCAAGTCCCAATATAAACCAAATCGTTCCCTATCGTCCATTAATAGGTCGTATGATAGATTTGCTTCGAGAGTAATCCTAAATTGTAAAGTAATAGAATGAGTAAAGCTCAAGTATTCATGTTGTGACGAGTTTGCATCATTGTAATAACAGAGTTCAAAGTAGCAAGCAAGCCAAAATGGCGTTGACCAACATACTTGTCTTCGTCGACTTTGGCAGCATCTAGTAACATGTCGAGGACTTTTTCTTCGACCTCGACCTTGCTCCATTCCTAAAATAAAGGATGCAGATAGTGTATGGTCAACAATTCGACATGACTTGGTGTCCAAGATGTCAGAGTTGATTGCAACCCAGTTCTTTTGTTGGGATTGAATGATGAGAGTGAAGCTTGCCTTCAGTGGTTTAGCAGGCTATCAAAAGGATGCAGATGTTTCAAGTTAGCATATGATACATCTGTCAACATCATCACAACATGCAGCTTCAAAACACACAAAACATAAAGATGCGTACCCTTTCCCAAATATTCCTTCTTTGAAGAGGCAAGACGGCCGGCGCTATCAATGCCGGAGTGGCGATGCGCCGTGACAATAGGCTCGATGCTATTAACCTGGACATGGTTGTTTGCTGGTTGTGTTTTTGAGCAGAATGCGTACTCAACAATTCCAGACGGATGGTGTGTTTATGGATAAGTAGGCGTAATAGCGTGTAGGAAATGGATTTAAAAATAAATCTGGACGTGCTCTTTACTATTTGCACATCGATAAGCTCGCAACTCCGCGAAACAAGGTCGTCGTGTCGGATATTCTCGCCCAACTAAATATCAAGCTTCGTGTTTGCTATATAAAGAATATAATATCGAGACAAACGACACGATTCTCCCTCCTCTCCTTCTCTCCATGTGCCAACATTCCATCAAACATCTTAATTCTTCCTCTCCTCACAAAAAACGAAAAAACAAGCTACCAATTGTATAAATTAGGGAACAGGAATGCTAGCCAGCCAAGTCGCCCGTAATGTCCTCGCCAGACGCATGACCCGCACTGCAGCTCCATCTGTAGCTGTAGCACTATCATCCATCACTGCAAGCACTTCCAACTGTATAAACCGAGCTGCTTCGACATCCATCTTGCTTCCATCCTGGCCATCGCATCATCAATCCACTGCCAACTCGGTACTCCCCACTACTCGCTTCTACTCGGCTGGCAAGGGGCCATTGACTATACAAGGCATCGAAGACAGAGTCATGCAATTGTTGCGGGACTTTGACAAGGTCGAACAGGCAAAGGTACGATAATGTATGGGTATATCATAGTCTATATGAGGGGTACAAGCTAGTTGACCTATGGAGATTCCTCTTCTCTTTGGGTGTTACGTTTTGGTTGAGCTTAATACTATACTTGTCAACTTACCACAAACACTGCTCTCCCAACCAATGTAAACTCATCTCATATCTCACCCAACTAGTTATCCTTGGACTCACACTTTATCAATGACTTGGGCCTCGACTCTCTAGACCAAGTGGAAATCACAATGGCCATGGAAGACGAATTCAATATCGAGATTCCAGATCGTGATGCGGAGGAAATCATGACACCGAGACAAGCCGTCGAAAAAATCTTTGCAAACAAGAATGCCATGTAATTGTTGCTGGGTTATATAAAAGTAGTTTGTTTTAGAATGAGAAAATATCCATATCGAGCAGAGAGAAGGAAGGAAGGGCTTTTATTAGGTTGTATATGTATATGAAAAGATGGGGGAAAGTGCTGTTTGAGGGTGGACTCTATATCTATTGACCATCAGCCGTGTTATATTGTCTAAAAGGCAACCCTTTTTCTTTGATTATAATATATAGCTTGACAAACGGATATCAGGATGGCTTTTGTTGACTAGTTTGCTCTTAAGGAAGGATAACGAGAAGTTGCTTAGCAATCACTCTTTTGAATTTGACACGATCTCAAATCAATAATCACATTGTCCAACCAAGCAGATAACTGTGGTCCAAGGCTCTCGTTATCGTGTTCCTAATTGTCAAAAATGTTCATCAGAGTTTCGTCAAGACAGAGTGTGCTTATTTCCCTTACATCATCATCTCTTCCCTCCAAAGTAGCACTGCTGTGTGATCGTGGTGTTGATTCAATGAGATACAGTCTGATGCATCATCTGAAATGATTAGTTTGAGTGACAATACCAATTCCAAACCGGATCTTTTTTTGCGTAATATTGATCTCGGACCCACCACCAAAACATACAGCAAGGGCTTCGAGCTCAAATGCCGGAAGCAATACGACTTTCAGAGACTCTGACTGAGTATTTTTAACAAATAGCAAGCAAAAGAGAAACCTCAGCCTTGGCTTGCGAGACCTCGTAATCCACACTTACGAGAGAACAGTGATTGACATAGCAGCATTCAAAACTGCGTGGACTATTTCCCGAACAAAATGAGCTTAGCGTCTACAATCCGCGATGCAGACATGAGTTGTGTATCCTCTTAATAGAGAAGTCTCTTTTTGTAATGCCACTTTGATACCAGTTCAGAGTATACTTTGACCAGTAGCAGCTCCTGACAACTTCTTCATTGGCATTAACAGTGAACAAATCTTCAAGGCCTTTCCTTGTCAAGTCAGCAAATTGCCAAAAATGAGAAAAGCGTGAGCGGTTGGTCGATGCGTTTCCAAGAAGCATTATGGAATGATTTTCGTATCTACATTTAAAATGTGTTTAGAAGTGTACCACTCACAAAAGGAGATTGGCTGCACAGCCTTGGAGCCCTAATTCTCGATTTTCGATGGACCGTCTCCTTCCATTTCAGTAGAGCTGATGGCTGATGAAAGATGAGCAATGATGTCAACTGGTACAGAATGGGCTTGTCGAAACACCTCAAAGGAAACCAGCGAGATTGAAGGACAATTCCAGCGAAGACTGAATGATTCTATTTGAGTTTTTTCTAGTGCACTACACTCTGATGAGAGAGAATACAAATAGATGTCTTTGCAACGTTTTCAAGGCTATAGAAGGAGAGGTGGTCAACAACAATAAAAAACGCCGGAAGGAAACAGTGTTAGCGTGTAGATTACTCACAGCAAGGCGAACCGGATCACGCGGGAACAATGAGGTCTAATTATGGGACAAAAGCAGTCAGAATTACTCAACAACAGCGTGCCATGTATACCTTTCGAATGTTTCCAAGGTTCAGATATAACATGACAACACGTTCAAGACCTTGAAAAAAACATGACCGTTAGTGATTATCATAACGAGAAGAATCGACGAGCAACAAACTCACCGATACCGCCACCAGCATGTGGAGGAGCACCATACTTGAATGCATCGATATATGGTTGTATGGTACTGATTTCTACTCCATGTTCACGAGCTCTTTGTTCCAAGAATGCGGCATCGTGGACTCGTTGTGCTCCAGACATGATTTCTTCACCACGGATAAAGAAATCATATGAATTCGAGTACCCCTTTAGGCAAATGTTACGTTAGAACAGTGACGTAAAGAAAGAGACCCCTGGGAATTACTGTCGAAGAGAACTTACAGCGTTCTTTGGGTCAGGCATGGTGTAGAACGGTCTCACTGCCAACGGGAACTTGTCCAAAATGTAGAAATCAGTTTCATATTTTTCTTTGACTAGTTTGCCCAAAGTCCGTTCGTTGGCAGTACTATAGGTAGATGAACGTTTTGGTTTAAAAGCAGAGTTCCGGCTGAGTTCCAGCAGGTTTGTCGTTTTTGGCCTCTGTAGCAGTAAGCACATCTCACTCACGTCAAATCTTCAAATTCCCCCATCTCTATACCAGCAGCTTTGAGCATTGCGACACCGTCTTTGAACTGGAGTATCAATGTCTTGCGTAGATACTGAAACTCTTCAAACGGATATTGTCGACCAACAGTATCCAAATGATCTCCATATCGTTTTTTGAGTCCGTCAAATATGTACACAAATAGGTCACCAAGAAGTTCCAGAACCTGTGGATAAGATGATCAGACTCATAATCCTCGATGCAACAGTTCCTCTTTTGCTACTGGTTGGTTCATCTCTTTTACCTCGTGATAATGTTCTTCAAATGCCATTTCCAAATCGAGTCCGATGAATTCAGTCATATGACGATGTGTGAAGGAGTTTTCAGCTCGAAATACTATTATTTTAACGAGTTAGCGGTGTTTGAGAGTGGACAAAAAACGTAGAGGGTACTCGTTGGTCGACGACAAAACAGGAGTCGTACCTGGTGCAATCTCATACACACGCTCAAAGCCAGCAACAACACTCATTTGCTTGTGTAGTTGAGGTGATTGTGCCAAGTAGGCAGATGCTATATGACAATCGGTGAGACCCTGACAAAAGGAAGAGAAGACGAAACGAAGAATGCAGACTTTTGAAGTAGTTGATTTTGAAGACGTTGGCACCGCCTTCACTTGCTGCACCCATCATTTTTGGTGTATGGATCTCGACAAAGTCACGAGAATCCAAGAACTCTCTAAAGAGTTTGCTGATTGCACCTTGTAACCTAAATATGGCTTGATTTGTGATGGTCTAACAGATGAGAAAGATTGAGCAACTTTTTTGAATGAAAAGGAACCAAGCACGACGACCAAAAAATGTCTGACTGCAAGATGTGCTAAAATCACACGTCTGGCTTACTCTCAAATCAATCACACGATTATCCAATCGGACAGATAGTCGTGGCAAGGGATTCTCTTTGTCGTTTTCCTAATCAATCACGATGATAATGAGTTCAGGTTCTTCATCGTGATACGACTAGTTCAATTTCTTACATCTTCATCATTTCCCTTCATACTGGCACTTTCCAATGTGAAAGGTAATCTTGGTACTGATTCACTGATGGTATGGATCTGAAGAGGATGTGAAATGTAGTCAAGGATTACGCGCTGACCATAATGTGTTGTTTTTTGGTCTTCAATCTTACCGAAACAAGTTTAAGCTCGACATCACGAACAGTACAGCTCTTGATAGGGTCAGGTGGGACAGTAACTTTAGCTCTAATGAGCACCAGTGACTCTGATGGTATACTATTAAAACAACAAAACAGAAAAAGTTACTAGAGTTGGGTGGCCAGTAGGTCGTGTTGAAACTTACGACAGAGCAAATCTCAACATGGCCTTGCTGACACTGACACCATCAGCATTCAGCACTGCCTGAACTGTGCCTGCTCGTTGTCGTAGTACAAAGAATCCAAGCTTGGCTCCTAAACAACCGAAAGAAACCCCTGAGTTATGCATTATACCACTATGAACTCTTTTCACAACGATCGCTTGCCTGTCGGACGTGTGCTTTGAATTCTAGCACTCATGAGAATCTCTTCATTGGCATTTGCTGCTGATAGTTCTTCAATGCGTTTCCTTGGTTGCTCTAAGACAGGAAATTTGTAAGACAGGCCTGCCTCAGACTGTCGACATGCTAGAAAAATCGTTATATAGCTCGTTTACATACTTGTTCGTTCTTGTGACTGATTCAATGGCAATTTGCCATACTTGTCAGGAGATACATCAACTTCAGCAGCTTCTTTGGCTGCCTTTTCAGCAGCCTAAGATTTTGCAAAGAATCGAAATTTGAGTTGAGGATGATGTTCTTGGTGAGATGCGTATAGGGAGTTTCAAGCCTTTTTTTGGCCTGCAACGGTTGACACGAATTCACATACCAGTTTAGCTTCACGTTCACGCGCTTTTTCAGCCTTTTCTTTCTCCTTTTCTAGTTTCTTGATGGCAGCTTTCGATAATGGTTTGCCGTCCTCTCTACAATCAAAGATATGTTTGGATGTGTCAAAAGTTCATCACCAAAAACAATGTTGACAAATTGCTCCATATGTGCGTTTGATTTACCCTAACACGACATCCTTTGATGGTCCATCTGCTTCCATTTCAGTAGAATTTACAGCTGATTTCGATGAAAAATGCGCTTGAAACTGACTTTGGCGATAATGTTGAGGAGTCACGACAAAAGATGACAGCGAACAGCGACTGAGCTGATGATGATGAATTCGAGTGTATCGAATATAGTGTGATGCACACGATCGTACTAGAGCTCGCTTGGTGATTGTGATGACTGCCAGCTTCCAGCACTTAATGTCGAAAGTGCAAGTGCGAAGTTCAGAAAAGGCGTTGATCGCGTGAAATCATGTATATTACATACTGAAAACAATAAAAGAAGTTATATTAAATTCTAAGGAAAGTGGGTTACTGCGTTATTCTACAAGGACACAATCTTTTTGAATGTCTCACTCAAAAAGCGCATGTCTGGTACTTTCTCCGTTGAGAGTGCGTCATTATCGTCAACGTCCATCTTTGCCGACGTGTCATTCTCTTCCACCGATGCTTCTATGCTACTACTACTCTTGGTTCTCGACGGTTGCAACAGCAAATCCATCAAACTCGCCATCATACTAGTTGGCCGAGGCAATAGATGCGATGCGGTATCAGTCAAGAAGGCCAGCGGCGGTATAGCTGATACTACGACACTAGATGTTGTTGTTGATGCAGCTGTGGTTGCTTCAGGAGACTCGCCAAACATATTGTTTAGGAGTGAAGTTTGCTTTGGTATGCTCTAAAGAAGGTTACCACTGCCTGAGTTTGCTGTGATCAAAGCGCAAAAAATCTTGTAAAGACTCTCATATACCTGAAGGGTTCTGGAATTCGACTCTGTGTTTCCCCAAAGATATAGTGCACATTGCCAGTCCATAATAAGCACATTTGTTGAATTAGGAAGGAATGTGGCTCCAACACATTGTGACTTCATGTCGTGAGATGCGATAGGTATGGGTGACTCAGGTTGGAAGATGTGAAGACGTGATGCTGAGGCAACAAAAAGGGATTCAGCAACAGAAACGGTTTGCTTCCAACTTTATTGACTTGAGCTTACTTAAATGTCGACCCTCTGTAGTTATATCTTCAGCGCTTACTACCAATCGAGAGCTTTCGGGATCAGCTACAAACTGAGACACTCTCATTGGTACACTCCACCAAACTATAAAAGCAAAAGATTCTGTTGTATCAGAGAAAAACCACACATCGACGACTGAAAAGACTCTGTTTGAGAGTTAAACTCACCAGTACATGTCAACAGATTCCATACAAGCAAATGCGTCCTGGTTGCAGCATACAAGTAATGACTGCTAGCAGCAAATGCAATCTTGGACACCACACTTTTAAATGTCGGGAATGTTAAGACGCCTTGTAATGTGAAACTGTTTGCATCCCATAATGTTACAACCTAGCGAAAAAAAGCAAATTTGTTTATGTATTCTGCCTGGGCAAGTGAAGCGTCGTCTGCAATATGGGCGCAATATGGGTGTCGCCCAGTCTTGGTATCGCTCTTACATGCTTCTCGGCAACAGCAAGCAATGATCCATCAGAAGATATCACAGCGTCCGTTGGCTTTTCAGACTTGTACATTCCAACAAATTTGCATGCCCATCGAACTAGATGACAAAAAAGGACTTAGCGTTTGAGTCATGCGACATGAGCGTTGACAACGTTCCTACCATCATTCTCTTCCGAAGACACTGCAGCACCCCATAATCTAAACTTGTTGTCATCACCTGTTGTAATACAGGTAGGTGCAGTATCCGAATTCGTATTCATTCTTAAGGACATGATGTTTCCATCATGAGGTTTATCTACTCTGGTATTTACAGAGTACCTTAAAGGGCAAAAAAGTTGTATTGTTGTTGATCTAGGGCAAAACCGTTGTGGCTTACCCTTGAGTTGCAGCATCATATCTCCAAAACTTTAATTGTTGCTCATTAGGACCTGACTCTCGAGACTCAACCTACATAGCAATCAAATGTACGTTAGCAACCATGATTCACTTAAATATCTTGATGCCAGTCGACAGCACATACTGTGGTCATCCACTCTCCGTCACCAGAGAATGCCACATATATTACATGTGCACGAATAATCTCATTTTTATCCATACGTGATACTCGATTTCCAGGCGTTACTTCAAGCTATTGTAGGTGGTGAGGGGGAAAAATTAATCAAGGCGAAGAGCGCTCTAAACGATTATTGTCGTACCTCCATGACATGCTCAAGTGTCTTTGAGTTCAAGAATTGCAAACTTCCAGGCAATCCATTCAATGCAATCAACTTGTTTCTCGGTTCAAGAACCAATCCAGTACTCAGTTGAGAATCAGAGCGTATTCTCCCTGAAAGTAGCATTCGGACGGTACGAGTTAAAAAAAAAAACTACACATTCTGCTATGCCTAAGCACTACCCACCAATTCGCAATCCCGAGACAGCTTGTTGAGTCCTTTGATCAACAGCTGATACAATCCTGACCATATTCCCAAATTGACATAATGCATACGACATATTGTCAGGACTAACTGATATTCTGAATATTGGAGATCCGAGACGTGGTATATATGTAGCTTGTCGCGTTGGCAGTTGCCATATCACGAGGACGGCTTCTTCTCCTCCTGACAACATGGTGACACCTAATAGTAGAGATGACTGAGTAGAATTCCTTGAGGTGGAATGGGGTTGAGACTTATAGCATACCATCTTGAGCGAAAGCAATAGTCTGAACAGCATGAGCGTGCCAATGTAGAGCTGAAACTGTTGGTGCTCGTTCCTCATCATATAAACAATACCTTGGAACGGAACTGAAGGTAAGCTCAAGGCAGCAAAAAACGCATAAAGACGCCTCACGCATACCATAATGTGATTCTACCAAGCGCGTCACCAATCGCAACTAGAGGTTCAGTCGGATGTATAGCTAAACATGTCATGGTTGATTCGTTTACCCTATGTCTGAAGACAGCTATGTTCAGCATATGGACCAAAAACAATCATTCATGAATTACAGATGTCGTACTTGTCAACTCGTTTACTGGCGGTATGGACAACTTTGAAGTAGCTTCTAGCACCAACCACCACATATTTGCCGTCTTGCGAAACGTCCAATCCTGAAAATTCATTGTCTACAGAAGCCAATTTCTCATATCCAGCAAACTTCTTGCTTTCGTTTAATCCGACTCGTAATAAATAGTTTGATGGTTTGGACCGCTCCTCTTTAGAGTTAGGTAGCGGGAGACGTGAAGTGATTACGTATGCTGTGTTTGCGTGTAGTTTCATGGCCCTAATCTTTGGAGCCACTTTCCATGTCTAGGTTTGATACGGTTCTTACGTGTGAGTATGGGACAAAACGATACTCAGTCCTAGTATACAGCTTGGAAGCTGTCCTACTTACATCTCGCAGCTCTCCGGTAGTGAAATCCCACAGTTCAATACGTCCATCAGAAGTAGCCGAGTAGATCTAATCAAATAAGGTTTGAGCATTTCCTACTGGCAACCTTCTTGGTCAAAACACACTCACTAGAGTATGACGCTCCGGATGTGTAGCCAGGGCAGTAATATGAAAGATTTCTCTTTCTTCTTCAGTCACAATGGGATCTATAATGCGGACATGCATGCTGGTGGCCGTGTGATAGACATGAATGGAGTTGGAGTTTGAAAACATAAAATGGCTATGGAATGTGAGGATAATAGGTCAGTGATCGGTCACGGATGAGAGAAGAAATGAGTCTAATTTACATGGCATCAGCTGAAAAGACCACAGGATGTCTTCCTAATGAGCCTCCTCCTACTCTTTTGAAGTTTAACTGATTCTGGGCAACCTTTTTGGGAGCTTTTAGCAGCGACTGAGGTTGATTCTGCTCCGATTGTTCTGAAGCTATCAGCTTCTTTTTTAGCTTCTTGGACACCTTCTTGACTTCTGGCTCCATGTTGACTGTTGATAAACCGGCCATCTTGTCTGCTGAGTTTTGAAGGTGAAAAAAAAAGTTGGCATATTGGTGAAAACTACGCCGGCGTGGAGAATGCGTTTATTTAAATTTGTGAAGGCAAGCCAAGTATACATTTTAAATCACTGATATCGTATTGAATTGATTTTGTCGCCAAAAACTATCAATCGCCTCTTGTAGAGCGAGTCATCGAATAGAGCCATGCAAAGTATTGTCGCTATTTGGCTAGAGCATGAAAAATTGTTTTGATTCAGAGACATTTGCTTTCCAATGTAAGATCTGCTTTTGAACGATCTGATCAACTTGACGACCAACATCTGCCAATTCGTGAAACATGACAAGACACTCAACCGCTGCAGAGCTGATAATAGAACTAGCGTTTACTCCGTCTGAAAGATCCTATCCTACTGTGCTTGCTTGGATCTGGGGGTATGATGGTGCATTTGGTGACAAGCTGCTAATCCATTGTTCACATGTGCTAGTGGTGCGCTGAAGACATTTATTTCTTCATCGTACACTATACATTGTCATGATGAGACTCAGATCTCTTCGTATCTCTTTACAGTCATCGTCAGGAAGAAGTGGTGCCTCTGTCAACGTGCTGATGGACCTCACACATCGATCACATGTGTTGCGAGCAAGACAATCTGCAACTGAACGTGGAGTGTCGTAATAATGATAATGATAATGATCATTGTATAGACACTTGCACACGTTGCAGTACATCGATCATTCGAGAATTATTAGTACTCCATGATCTTTTCATTCACTCCAAAGTTTTCGGAGCTTGCAAGCATTTAAAGTAGTTGAGCTTCAAAAGAGACTAGCCATACTATAAATAATCACATTGAATTTAGTCTTTCTACTGTCATTATGTCTTCCAGCTGCTGGTCGTGGTGGAAACGTTCGCCAAACAAGTTGGAGACTAAGATGACCATGTAAGTCGCGACGCCTACTATACATTTCACTTGTACAATTCGTTAAAACGTCCATAAGAGTATCTTGCTGACTTCTTCTTCTTGTATCTCTTGTCTAGACCGTCAACATCAAACAGCAAGTTGAGTTTAGTCATTACTCCTGCTGCTGTGCCAAATGAACCGCTGTCGTTATGGAGCAGAGCAGTGGGCGCTGCTGCATCTCTTTGCAAGCACTCTGCAAGCCCTGGTAAGCTTCAATCTTTGTCTTGAAAACAAAAAACTGTGACGACCAATGCCTTATCGTCCTAACACACATTCTCTCTTATCAGGGGCCCACTCCCCAGGCGCTGCAGCAGCTGCTCAAGTGCATTGGGACTTTGTCCCAGTCGTGGTCTCACTGCCCGGCCTGGACGCCAGTCGTCCTTCACCAAAAGTATGTTTTGCTCCGACTGTCATTTTTTGCTAGGAATTGGTCTCTTTCAACAAATGAAAGCTTATCGACCCTTTCTTTCGTCAATTATTCTCCAAGAGAAGTAGGATTTACAAAATACTGGACGCTGCTGTTCACAAAACCTCTGGTCGAACCTCCAATACTTCAGTTCGCTGTGTCGAATCTCCTGAAACCCTTTTCACTGTTGGTAAGTCCCTCTTTGCTTCTCAAACAACATCAATCAGACGTGCTCACACAACACCATCATATGTACTAGACAAAGCTATTAGACAATCTAAACAGCTAGAAGTATGTAGAAGGCATTGTCATTCAATGCAATTCCGCAATGCAAGGAGACTCTAGGTCACTACATCACACGGTAGAGCGAGCGAGCTGGATTGGAACGTGGTACATATTTGGACATGGCTTCGAATGGTATCATGGAAAAGTAGCTCACTTGTGGTGTTTCTGACTCGACCGGGTAGGTGTGGTTTTGTGGATTCGATTTTACTCTCTCGTTTGATTCAATTATACAATTGGCACACCGACAAGGCACCCTTCACAAAAGGTCATCACATGCTGTTTTGCTCTAAATCCAAATTCCCTCCTTCCGCATGTCACTATTGAAGTCCGTCTTTGACAAATTTTCTTGCACGTGCAGTCTATGACGCGAATGGGAAGCTCGTGCTGCTATGGCTTACGATGCCTCCGATGCATCATCAGAACTCCAGCTCTTAGAGGTAAGGTTTGCATCAGTCATCAAACCCAGATTTCACGTAGCCTTACTAAACTTGCCCCTTTTTCCGCTTCTTAGCTATGGTCCTCGCTTATGCCTGATACCTCTCTCCAAAGTAAGATATCGAATGATGTGTGTTTCTGTTTCTGCATGCACATTTTCTGATCTGGTGGGGTTCAATAGGACGTATCAGCAAGCAAAGGCAGGACATTGCTTTTCAGGGATCTGATCCCGCAACCGACTTTTGCGGAATGGGTACCCCTAGTCTTCAAGCGAAATAAATGCAACCATGCAACTGACTATATAGGCTCGTTAGTTTAGGTGATTTGTATTTCTATGCATCCCAGTATCCATACTCTGCTGCGGAAACCTTGGCAATCTCTCGTGATGAACGCCGATGGTGAGTATCTTTGCATTCAACAAATCGTTGCTGTGGTCTTTGTTGAGGCAAATGTTATGAACTTGAAATCCAAGTTATGGTGTACTCTAATGTTTTGTGCATGGTAAGGCTTTCCTTCGCCATCGCCGGTATTATGATTTCTCGCTTTGTACTTCATTTGGTCAAGACCGGCCAGTTGCAACCAGCGTTTTATGTATTTGGTGCCAAGATTGCAGTCTACAGAGAAACGTACCATGAGTACCATCTTATGCACTTCATTCTTTATACGCCAATATCTGACCGATGCACTCCGTAGGATATATTTTTGATGCATTTGCACACTTTTCGGCCACTTATCCAGAACAGACTACGTTTATGGATTTCGAAAGGCTCTTCGGTGTTTACAAGTTGCAGTCTGAAAGGAGTAGTTGGGTGAGTGCCACGACATTGCCTTTCGAGATTTGCGTTCCAGAAGCTAACATTCTATCATGAGATTTGCAAGACACACGCCTATTCATGGATGCAGCCAAGGTATGTGAAGCTTCTAAGCAGTCTTGGATTTGATTTCCTCTCCACATAATATTATCTTGGATGGCCAGCTACACGAAGTAGTTTGGTCGGATTTATCAGTTGTGAGTTGGAATGTAGTGCGGTTGAGAGATGTAGTACGGTTGTTTTCTGTTAGAGCATATTGTTCCTTAATTATGGCTTTTTTGAGGGCCTCTTTTCAGCAGACATCTAGTTTTACATAGCGATGCAACATGGTCAAAGCGATTACATCGGCAAGGACAGCCTAGTCGACATGGCTTGGAATGCTATGATCCTCGTCAAATACAGCTTGGTCAATGCAATATCTAACACTCGGCCAATCATGCCTTCTGGAACTCACAATGCTTCACACATCGTTTCCCCTTCCAAATATATATCAACATTAGAAAAAACGTGACTGTATACAAAACTAAATCTTGAAAATGTTCCACTTAAAGGTAGTATGCGGGCACATCAGTCACCAGCACTAGCATATCACTTTACTGGACCAGTCTTGGGTTTCCAAGTCAAAGGCTTTTGAAGCGATTCTTTCAGATCAAATCGTTTTTTCGCTACCGCAGTTGTTGTCGTAGCTTTGCCTATTTGCCGAAAACGTAAGCATTTGCAAAGGGACCTAAATCACAAAAGCCAAGCAGTCAACATACCGGTTGTGGTGCCAACAATTTGCTTGGTTGCCGTTCCCAATGCAACTGGCAATCGAGATACAGGTTTTGCCACTGATTGAGGAGGCTTGTTGAGCCTATGAGTTAAGCATTGATGTAAGCATGGACGAGCCAGCTAACAAAGGAGCGGTTTCAAGCAGTGGATACCTCAGAGACGATTTTCGGGCCGCAGACTGCTCAGTCTTAGGCTGCATGACCTTCTGCTTCTTCTCAGACTGCGGGTATCTCACTTCAATAGGCTCCTTTCGTTTACGGTCTGTAGTTGACGCTGGAGCAGCAGCCACTTTTGTCACAACCGCCTTCTTTACTGCTACTGATTGTATGACCATCTTTGTTGTCTGTGGTGCAGAAGCACCACTATTAGTAGGCTTTTCAGCACTACCACTAGCCGCAGTAGCCTTGACAGCATAATGAGACTCGATTCCATCCATCTTTTTAAACTGTTTGTCGTGGATTGCAGCAAAGACATCACTCTTGCCCTTCTTTTTCTTGCCGAGTGTAGGGTTCTTACGAGTATTAGAAGCCGATTTCTTCAATAAAGCATCCTGTTTGAGTGGATCCTTCTTTACTTCGGTTATACGGGCCTCGAGTTCTTGCATGACTTTGGATTGGATTATAGGGTTTGTCGATTCTTGGAAGGTTACAGCTGGTTGTACGGTAGCTGGTTGTTCTTCTTCTGCATTGGGTTCTGATACATTTGATGACACTTGTTGTCCTGAATGTACTATAGTCTGTGGAATCACAGTCTCTTCAGGTTGCGATGTGACGGGTTCTGCACCCGGCGGAAACTGTTCTACATTTGTGTCATCAGCACTCGAAGCAGCAGGTACGACCAGTTCATCCTGTTGTGCTGCTTCCTCGACGACTGTGGGTTGATGCGATTCCAATCTCTCGATCAGTTCTGCATTCTGTAGATAGGAGACAATATGAGCGATCAGTACTAGTGTTAATACGATAGTACATGTGTAAAATATACCTTTCCGGTAGCCTTCAAACCAAATTGTTTGCACCATTTCTGCAGTTCGGACCGCTTCAATGTAGAGATGTCTGATGGTAGTAAATTGTCCATGATCCAGCTAAAGAGAAGATGTGTTAAATTCATCCAAAAATATTCCATTAAATCTCACTGTATGCGTGCGCCTACCTTGTAAAGTATAACACGCTCTCCTCCTTGTCCTGGCCTTCTCCTTCAGTCAACAATCTAATTCAAACGAACCAAAAAACTCGACTCAGTTTGCGTGAAGAGGAAGGTATGTGCCAGCTGATGCATTACGTACATACTAGATCCTTGCTATTAAATAGTTGATCCCGCTAACCTTTCTCTTATTTGTTATTAGAACTATGAGCAAAAGCAGCCTTCTCATCCATCACGACCATGACAAGGAAAACCAGCTCGTCCCCCAAATGACTCCTGGCAAGCAGCAGATTGTCAACTCAGGTCTAGCATTCAAGACTCCGGGTCTACTTGCCAAATCAGGCGCGTATTGTCCTTGTAATCAGAGCCATCAACATCAACAAACATTCGCACATGTTTGGAACTTTCATCTTGGATTCTATTCACATTTACAGTTACTAGTATTTACCTGACTTTATCATCAAACAGTTGATCTGTACAAGCCTACAACTGCTGCAAAAGGAAGAGTCAAATTCGACGTCGCCGGTAAAGACACTGTCGAACGACAACCCACAACCAGACCATTACGAGACAAGACACCTGCTCATACAAACACTATACACAAGAATGCAAACAAAGCCAACAACAACAAGGAAAACACCGTCATATCAAAAAAGATACCACTGCCATCATCTTCTCTATTATATACCGGAAGCAAAAAGACTTCATCTGATGGCATTATATCATCTACCAAACACAATGCTACCATGATGCAAACACCTATACAACGACGCCGTAATCATGAAGACGAGGGAGAAGAAGAAGAACAGATGAGCCGTGCAAAGGCACAGACTAGGTCAACAACAGTGTCTCCAGAGTTGGCGGAAGAGGACTTTGAAGATAGAGATATTGAGTATATGGCACCAACCAGCAGATATGGTAAGCTTGATTGCATACCCCTGGTCGAGCTTTCTCCTTTTTGGCTTGTTGCATTGACGACCCAACAGTTGGTTTGACCCAAAACTCCTTGTCGCTCACATTGCTGCTACCCCTATAGAGGAATTTTGGCAGCCAGAATCAGACTTGGAACTGGACTTGGACTTTTTGACCAAACCACGACATGATGTTTACATTGATCCAGCCATTCAAAAGTCGCTCAGGTCTGATCCAAGAGAACTCAACTTTGTTGAAGAGCCTTATTATACAAGTCTCAGAAATGACCGTGATGATGGTAAGTAGTAGTTGTGGGTGTCAAAATTATCCATCAATCCAGCTCATCGTTTTTGCTGATCCTGATTTAGATGTGCTATCTTTGCTCGAAGAACCAATACTACCACCTATTGGTCCATTGCCATCTCTCATGTTTGAATTTGCAAGTCCCTTCGAATGATATAAAAACGTTGACAAAATCAGCTTTTGGTTGTGTAAAATAATGTATTCTCAACCAAAATCATTATCACCAAATTAAAGAGCCCTTTTTTTACACATCAACATTACAGTTTTTCTATGAAAACAGTTTATCCAGAACTCTAGTCCGATCCTTGAAATCATCCCAATCCACATAAGCCCCCTTCAAATGTCTCTCCCCAGTCATCGAATCAAATTCGGTACGTCCATGCAACACCCTCCTATTCCCAAATATAACACAATCACCCGGATCCAGGCGTCGTTCATAGACCATATCAGGACGCTGCAGTATATCCTCAAATTCCTTAAACGCCGTAAAGAATTTAGCTTGTGCAGCCAAACCACCTGGGATTTGTAACGGGCCTTGGAATGGTGGTGCGTAGTATACTGTTAGAGGATCTACTACTGGGGTGTTGGGGTTTGATGGGATTGAAATTGTTGGGTGATGGTATTCGAGATGGTGGCCATCATTATCTACGTTGACCGTGTTGGTTTTTGTATTTTTGTAAGTTGTTGTAGATGACAAAAAAACCCACACTATGAAGTCGTAGCATACCGTAGTGAAAGGTAACAGGAGTGTTCACCAACGTATTATATGCGTCTGGCGACGTTTCCTTCAACTCTTGCACTGCTTTGAAAGCGTCGACAAAGATCGATGTGCCTCCCTGAACAGAGTTCTTTAGACAGTGCAGGAATTGGAGGCCCGGTGGGGCTTCGAAATATCTAGAGAGAGCGACATGTGTCAGAAAAAGGTTTGCAAGAGGCAGCAAAAAAAGGGCCGCAAAACTCATATTGCCAAAAGGGCCAAACAACTTACAACAAATCCATATGCAGCCCCAAATACAAACTCGTATACGCGATATTCCTAGCCTGCGGAATACTCTTGACATCCCAACTCTTGCCATAGAAAGTGCGTCGTATACATCCAAACTTTTCAGCCAGCGATTCAACTGCCAAATCCTGATCTGGCAAACCCTGGATAAAGACAAGTCCATATTTACGTATCGTGTCCAGCGCTTGCCACAGTCCTTGATCTGTATTCATGACAGAGGTATATGGTATAAATGTGTTTGGTGCATTCGTGTATTGTGAGGATGTCCATGTGTGTGTTGCGAAGGGATGTGTCTTTGGTGTTGCAATGACAGCGTCCTTGTATTTCCTCAAGAAGGATATCGGGAATACAGATTCATGACCAGCATCCTGCCGTAACGAGTTTGCATTCCACGTAATAACGAGTTTGGCGTCATCGTCTTTCACACTGATCTGTTGCTCACCACCATCAACAACCAGTGTTCTACCACCATGTACATCCATAACCTCCAGTTTGGATGGCGTAGCTGCACCCACATCGCCTGACGAATGTAGTTTTTGGCGATTATCGGGATGCACACATTTAGGGCACTGACATGTATCTCGTAGCCATTTATAGTGGAAGCTGGATTGCGTGGGGAGTTTGTGAGTGTGGAAATCTACGAGGAGGCCTTCGGAATGGCGTTCGAGTGTCCATAGCGATCGCTGGATCTAAATATTGAGGAAGGTGTCAAATGGCTTTTTGGTTTCGGGGAAAAGTGGAATTGTAGGGATATAATGACGAACTGTACGAGTGCTGGACACGATCTGTCGTCTCGGTCTCAGAGCCTTCCCTATTATAGATGCCATTTGGTGTTGAATTCTAGGGGATGACGAAAATTGAAACAAAATATTGGATTGTTGACCAGGATTGTTGATCACAGTTTGTTGAAACATTACAGAATTTATATTTCTATTTTCTACTCTAAGGAAATGCACATTAATGTGCATCGCATTTAGTTCGTGTTAAAAGCCTCGCATCAGGAGGGAAGTCACTGGTTGTAATGACGGTATACAAGCGCAGCGACGATGCCACCAACCAATGTGGTGCGGAACGTGACTTGCGCTTGCGTTACAGGCCAGATCAGGTTCCTATTGAGTTTAATGTAAGTTGTTCGTAACAAGGTTCAACAACCAGCCAACAGAAATCTGAGACAATCGAGCTGACTTCGTTTGCCTCTTCAGCGTGCTCAAACGGAGAGACTTTACGCCGAGCGAGAAAGCTTACCAGATAAGGTTAGTTGGGAATGAAGTGGCAGGCTCGAAGATTAATTGACGAGGTGCCCAAACGTTCATGTAGAACTTGGTATCCATTTTAGGATCTACACAGAATAAAAGTATACGTCAGATAGAGGCGAATTCCGTATCAGAACCACAGCCAACAAAACAAGAGATACAGTAATGTACATTCATGAAGGCTTGTCAAATCACACATACCAGGCTCTAATCCAGCGGCCATACGAATAATCTGGCCGGAATGCCAGAACGATTCGCCTGCAGTTTTGCTCCAGTCGATTTCAGACTCAGGCACCTTCCAGTCTGAAGAATCAGTTGGGGAGATGAGCGCGTTTGGCATTTCTGGGTGAAGACAGAGAGGTCGTCCAATCCCGATGAAATCAGTTGCGCCGGCTCGTAATGCTAGTAGAAAGTAAACACTTCAGCCTCTTTTTTGTTTTACTTTGCTTAACTTTAAAAAGTTTAAGAGACGTACCACCAGCCATTCCCGATCGAGATCTGAAACCGCCCGTTACCATTAACGGGATCTTGGTTGCTTTTCGAGCCTTTTCTGCGAAGTCCAAGAAGTAGGCTTCTCGCTTAACGGTTGATTCTCGCACTCCGATTCCCATCATTGCTGGACTTTCGTAGCTACCACTGTGAGAACAAAAAAGTTACAGTACGTTCGTATAACCAGTGAGAATCAAATTCATAAACTCACCCTGATACTTCAACAAAGTCTGCCTTTTCAGCTTCAAGCATCTTCAGGACGGCGAGATTGTCGTCTTCAGTTGCGCCACCAGCTTGGAAGTCAGAGCTGTTGAGCTGTTTGGAAAAGTGCGTCAGACCGATATGCAAAAATATGATATCGGCTCTCTGCAGTAGTCAGTGGAACTTCCGAGGTACCTTGACACTGATTATGAATTTCGATCCACAAGCGTTACGAATACCAGCTACGATTTCCTTTAACAGTCGCATACGGTTTTCCAAGGTGCCTCCGTATTGGTCTGTTCTTCCGACGTTGACCAGAGGGTTCATAAATTCACTCAACAAGTACCCATGTGCAGAATGGATTTGCTAAAAAACGAAAGCAGAGTCGAGCTCAGCAACGGTAACTGCGAATGCAGCATAAACTCAAACCCAAGAGTACATACAACACCATCAAATCCAGCCTTCTGAGCCAATTTAGCAGTTACAATGAATTTGCCTCGAGTCTCGTAAATGTCTTCGGTTGTCATAGCACGTGGAGTAGCAGCAAATTGACCAAATGCTCCGGAAAGCTTAATGTTTGAAGGTGCAAGAGGCGTCGGGTTGACTGGTTTGGGGGTTTGTCGTCCTGCGTGAGATATCTGCATTACTGCCAGACAGCCGTATTGTTTGCAGGCTTCTGCGTATTGCTTGTATAGGTCCAGGTGTTTTTCGTCGCGAGCTTCGAGAGCCATGTTACGGGCGGCCTCTACGAAAGTGCACATGGTGTGAGCGTTCGTGTTGACCAAAGGGAGGAATTGAGCTGGTGACGTGGTAGATACCCATGTGCTTTCGGTCGACTGGTACGTTGCCTACAAGAGCGATGCGTGTCAGGAGACATTCCAAATTTCAATTCATCGCGATGTCCACGTCTTCGAACCTGTAATGATCATTCCTAATCCTCCTTTCGCCCATCGTTTGTAAACTCGAAAGACGTTCTCGTCGGGCAAATTGAGACGTGGATCGGCCAAATTCTCAGTCTAAAATACATGCTGGTTAGAACAGTTCGAAACATACAAACTTGTCGTCACAGAGCTTGTTCGAATGGTTGGGTACCATGGGAGCTTTGGCCAGTCTGTTCTTTACTGTAACTCCACATGGCAGAGTGAATGGTTGTGCCAATACGATGGCATCTTCAGCAGCAGTAGCCATATTCGTTGGTTTGCCTTGTTGTTGGTATCTCTTTAATCTTGATTTCAAACGAAAACACCGAAAGCTCACAAACGCAAAACTGCGGAAAAGCGGTATAACTATTTTGGTACTAGAGGCGAACAAGATTGAATTGCGGGGCACTGTTCTTACCTTCAAAGTAGTCGTCGCTTGAAAGTGTTGGATCTGGCTCGGACGCACACAATCGAGGATGCCAAACCAGGGAATAAGACTACAGGTCATCATAACGAGATTGAAAATACATTAAGAAAATCATTTGTTTGACGCGCATTGGGTCGTTTATTAGACGTGTTGAAGCCTTTTACGTGATCGCGATTTTCCTCCTCCTTTTGACCATTTTTTCTGGGAATCATCGAGCATTGAGTAATTAGGAGACGATGGAGGAAGAAGAAGAGGCTCTTTATGGTAACATCACGAAATCAAATCATTTCTTTCCAGCTTTCCTAACTCTTGTCCCTTATAATTAGGTGAATCCAAGTGAGAAACTTTGCTATTTTATACAAACGCGAAGTCTATTCCTTACAGATGGATTTTACTGTCATTTATTAGAGAATATGAGCCTGGAGATGACTTGCCATTGCCAAACACACCGAACGAAGAGGAGCTAGAAGAAGGAGAAGAAAGTGACGATGACATTCAATTCGTCGTCGACGGCCCAAGCAAGAATGCGGCTGCCAGTGCCCTCTTTTCAAAACCAAATCAATACATTAAAGGAATGCCTTCTGCCGTCAAAGCTGCTGGTATGTCGTGTTGGCAGTTGGTCTGATGTTCAGATCGTGACCATAAGCTCCAGGTATCATCCCTTTGTTGTTGCTTACAAAATCACCACATATAGGCGAAGGAAATGCTCAAGCTGCATCTGCTACTGCTACAGCAACAGCTGCTAAACCTGCTGTAGACTTGGAAGCTGTAGGCCAATTTGAAGGAAAGGATATTTATGATGTAGACTTGGAATCGCTTGAGGAAAAGCCTTGGAGGAAACCTGGCGCTGATATATCAGACTACTTTAATTTTGGGTTCAATGAACAAACGTGGAGACTCTATGTCCAGAAACAAAAGCAGTTGAGGGATGAAATCGGTGCTGTAAATAAGATATCGGTGTGTTATCATTATACGACGATGGAGTGGTTTTGTTCTCGCATCGTCTTGAATCTGATTCTCTCCTTCAATCAAGGTCTACGAATCATCCATACAATCTATACCAACATATCAAAGTGGTGGTCCTCCTCAACGCCCCATAATGAACAATCCACTCTTTATTCCACCACAAGTATATCAAGCAGCACTACCGCAGCAGCCACAACAAGGAGGATACATACCACGTCCTCCAAGACCGAATTATCAAGCTCAGCCTGGTGGATATCCTCAACAGCAATCACAATATCAACCTCAACCACCTACACAAAATGGAATGCCTGCACCTGGTCAACCGTTGTTTACTCTGCCTCCTGGCGCTGGTCCTAGACCTCAATGTAAGCTCCTTGACAATTAATATCTCCACTCATCGGTTGTTTTTCGCCACATACCTTGAAACGACCAACTGTCACTAATACATGGTACCTTGCTATTTAGTGAAGCGACCGCGAGAACTAGAGGAAGGAGGTATGGACGAACAGACACCACCACCACAAAGACCATATCGGCCCATGCCTCCCACAGGTATTATAAAGCTCGACGCTGTACTTTTTGGTGCAAAGCCTTCACATCTTGTTCCATCTTAACCCATCTCCTCTGGTATTAGGAATGCCACCAGGACAAGGTCCACCATATCAACAATACGGGAGGCCCATGCCTCCTCAACAACAGCAACAATGGAGAGGTGGCTACAACCAAAGGCCCCCTCCGGGCGGGTATGGACAGCCAAGACCCTCTGGTTATCTAGGTCAAAATCCCAGGCCTCCAATGCAGAGGGACGATTCGTCCGATGGTAGTGAATATGAGGCCAATAAGAGGTCAAAAAGATAGTTTGCAACATGTATTGAGAAATCTGTTTGGCATTAATCTCTTGTAAGGCATTCAACGTTTTGTCGCTTCTTTGTATACATACATTTAGCATGAAGCAAAAAAAAGCGTGAAACCGTCGACTTCTACAATGCGCCTTTTGACTGCTCTTGTTGTATAAAAATGTTATAGATATGTCAAGTACGGATACAAATTTTATTGTTGATGTCATTGAACAATATGACTATGCTACAAAGGAGGGGGCTTTCATTGTTGATGACACTGCTCTTGGTCGATTTCTAGATCGTCTGATTTTGTAGTTGATTGATTACCAGCACTTGTAGAAGCCTTCGGTTTATCAAATGTGGTCTTGACATCCTTCCTCTGTTTCTAAGAGTTGGAAAAGTGACATAATTAGTGAACATCATTTAAGGTATTAGTGGAGTTCCTTTTTTACCCTGTACGCAGCTACTGGTGGTGCAGGAGCAGGTCCTGCTGCCGTGGCTGCTCGAGTAGTCCTCTTCTCAGGAACATTTTGTTGTTGTGGAATGGATGGAGGGTGAGGCAAAGGTTGGGCAGTCTAAAAACAAGCAATGTTAACACAGTCTAACAGATAACAAACAAAGTCATAGTTCACACACCGATTTGGCTGACTTTTCAGCAGTTGCGGACACATTTTCCTTTTCAAGTTGCTACATTAAACAGTTAATGTTAGCATTTCAAGAGAGGGGGAAAAAATTAACGCGAAGGTGATGGAGGAACTCACTTCTTTCCGGGCAGATATTGCTACCAACTGAGATTGCAAAGCCTTGACTTCTTCTCGTGCCTTTTCCAGTTCTTCGAAATTGTAACGGAGTTCTTTACTGTACTTGGATTTTTCTGCATTCACGAGATCTCGGAATTGTTGCAATTCTTGCTGCGAAACGCGGATCTTCTTTTCAGATTCTGATAGAGCGTGCTGCACATCAGATTGTTTTATGTCAGCCCAGCGCCAAAAAAAAACAGATAGCAGATGCAAACATACCTTCTTGTCAGACTCGAGCTCATCAAAACGACCTTCCAAAGTGTCATACATAGTTTGAAGACCGTCCAATTTCTTTTTCAAATCAGTCGCTTCGGCCTCCTTCTGAGCTTTCTCAACCTTCAGCTTTTCAATCAATTCAGAATTCTGATGTTGATCAAAAGCAGCAGTTTGAAGACTCTATCAACACGAAAAACATGCTATCAACAAGGGAGATGTAGAGCAAACACAACTTTTTAACGAAACCTCATTCTCAGCAGTAGTGATAGCCAATCGAGCTGACAAAGCAGTCATTTGCTCATTGACTTGAGCTAGTTCATTAACAACACGTCTTTTGTCTTCTTCAAGTTGCACGAACAGTTGCTCTTGGTGTCGTGCCATGGCGGCTTCTTGTGAGAAACGCTAATGAATGCATGTAAGTATCTGGACTTCTTTGTTCTCAATTCAAAGTGCGCAACATACCTCTCTCTCAGATGATGTCAAGGACAATCGAGACTCCAGGCCAGCTATTTGCTGTCGAGAGCGTTCAAGCTCCAAGATTTGTACATCTTTATCTGCTACGGCAGAAGCAACTCTATATTCTAAGTCTACTACTTGTTGTCGAGACTCTTCTATTACTTGTCTATCTGCTTCTTGATCTGTTCGTGCCGACAACAGTTTCGTGGTCAAGGCAGCGATCTTTGCTCGTGATTCGTCTAGAGCACTTTCGTAGGCTCGGGTGTTGGCCGTGAGTTCGGACACTCGTGATTCTAAGTCGATTTGAGCTTTGCGACCTTCTTCATATTGTGAATTGGCTATAGCACGTTCTTCCTCCAGACTGGCTAGTTGCGACATGACTTCAGCAACATTTGCATCGTATTCCACTTGTTGCTTTTCGCTGTCCTCCAGATATACAGCTATACGTGTCTCTAATTCTCTAACATTTTGACGTGCTGCCTCAAGCTCATCGATTCCTTCTGCAGTAGATTTAGTCAAATCAGACTCCAAATCTTTTGTACGTTGACGAAGCTGGTTGAGCTCCAACGCTTGACTTTCACTCAAAGCTTTGGCTTCTTTCAAAGCAGTTTCGAGTCCCATTACTTGTTTGCGAGATTCGGCTTGGATTTGTGATAATCGCGACTCGCTATCTTCAATTGAAGCAGAGAGTCTGGATTCAAGATTTGCGACAAGTTGACTCGATTTGCCTAATTGAGTTTGTAGCGACGAGATTTCTTCTTCAACCTTAGTCTTTTGAGACAGGTAGAGCTCAGCAACTTCAGTCACTTGGGACTCATATGCTTGAGCCTCCTTCTTTGCGTCTTCCAAGAGCTAAAAGGACGGTCATTGTCAGAATTTGCATTACTGGTTAGCACTCAGCACAAAACTCACTCTCTCTATCTCAGTCTTTTCAAGCTTCAAGACTTGAACCAGTTCATCATAATCGGTACACTTTTGGTCAAGACCTTGCTTCTCAACCAAGACTTGATCAAGCTCTTGGCGGATTAAACGTCGTTCCTTTTCTACCGATACGATCAACTCTAGTTGCGAGACAGCTCGCTCACCAAGTTCATTTCGTTCCTAAGAAGATGAGGATGCGTCAGTTTACCGCCGAAAACCGTAGTTCCATAATGCATTTGTACGTTGGTAATGATTTCCAGCTCCTCTTCCAACGCTTGCTTTTGACTCAACAAGTCTGTCTGGGAAGCTTGCAACGCCTCAATTTCTGTGAGATGCTTGGCAGCTTGCTTGGTAGCCTCATTCTCAAGTTCTCCAATACGACCAGAGAGATCATCACGGATGGTCTGAATACAATGTTCTAGCTCGTCGACCGAAGCAGACTTGGTATCGTGTTCCAGTATCAGAGCTTCATATTCACTCTCAAGATTGGCAATTGTCTAAAAGTTTGAAGAAAGACTATCATCTGACTACGTAGACTTGTTGTGGCGATTATAAAATACATACCTCTTGAGCTTGCTCCAATGAATCCTGGGCCTTAGCCAACTCTGATTCCAAACCAGTCAATTGTTGGTGTCTCGCAGTGGCATCTTTATCCATTGAGTCTCGAATGGCTTGCATTTCCGCCTCCTTCTCCTGAATCTTTTGCTGTAACTGCTTTACGACGATGTCGGCATCACGTCGATGACTCTCGGCATCACTCTGGTATTTACGAGCAGCCTCCTCATATTCTTCGAGGTTAGCACGCATCTCAGCATGAATCTTTTCATTTATGGCTGCAGATTGAGCAAGTTCCTATTGAAATACAGACAGGTTAAAATAAACGACACCTCGGCGAGCTGTATTGGACAAAAGGAAAAGCGTCCACAACGAGCTTTATTGGGCAAAAGGGAAAAGGGATACCGTCCTCGGCGAGCGTGTATTGGACAACGAGAAAGCATTCTTACATCTTGTTTCTGTAGTAGAGCTGTCTGCAACAGGTCGAAATCTGCGTTGAGGGTTTGTATCCTGGACGCCATAGTCTCATTTTGAGAAGCCAAGTCATTATCCAAGATGAGACATCTTTCTTCTAAGCCATCACACACTGATCTGCTTTCATTCAAAGCGGCAGTCAGACTAGAGCACTCGTGTTGAAGTTTGGAAATGTTCTATGAAGATATACATTAATTACGCTGGGCAGTCTTTTGGTGGACAAAATGATCAATACCTCATTTGCCAACTTCATTTGAGCAACATGGCCCTCAATCTGAGCTTCGAGTTCACTAATTTTTTGTCGACTAACTTCTATTTCAGCTTGATGTTGTGAAGAGACTTGGGCCATAAGAGATTGAGATTGTTCTCGTTCGGATTCCAACTTCATCTCATACTCGGTTTCACGAGTGGCAATGACATTCATCAAGTCACTCAATTTAGATTCTTGAGCGGTATGTCGCTCAACAGCAGAGACCAGTTTCTATAACAAATGCAAGTGCAGTCAACGAAAATGAGCCACGAAAAAGATCTGTAAATTCGCACCTGATTGTCTTCAGAGGCAACTTCTTGAAGTGCTTTCAATTCTGCTCCACGTTGTTCCAAAACAGCCTGTAGATTGTGTGACTTTCGATCCGATTCTATGAATTTAGCTTCCCATTCTTGAGCAATGGTATGAACAGCAGCAATCTCGTCCTACGTGAGGAATGCATCGAATATGAAGATCTTTTTTTCAGTGGATTGGTGTGTGACTATTGCCTCTACTTACCGTAAGAGCTTTCTGCTGGATTTGGTGATTCTTATTGATGACGGTCAGGTCATTCAAAGAAGATTCCAAATTTTTGAGCTGACTTGTGGCGTTCATCAAGGATTGATTTGCCTAAAATCAGACGATGAGCGACAAAAAAGGATCTTAATTTGCAGTCGGCATAACCGAACCTCGTCAGCAACAGCATTCAATGCTTCGATCTCGATTGCATGAGATTGCTTAACCTCTTTCACCTTGAGTTGGTATTCTTCGAGATTCTGTTTGCCTTGTGCCTATTTGTAGACTGTGAGCCAACAAAAAACTCTGTATGCTAAGTAATGTTTCTTACTTGTAGAGCATCCAATTGCTTCTGGAGATTCTGATTGTTGTCAGTCAAAGCTGTGACGTGTTCACCATGTTCGAATTGTAAATCAGCAATCGCATTTTCAAGAGTCGACCTGTCTCTAGACAATGTCTCGACTTGAGACTGCAATCCACAATTTAGGGATTCAAGATCAGCAACCAATGCTTCGTGTTGACTATTTATATCCACAATCTGTTGTTCAATCGTCGACTTCTCTTCAGACAGAGTCTCGACTTGAGACTGCAATCCCGAATTGAGCGATACAAGTTCGGCGACCACTCCTTCGTGATTGCTATTTATATCCATGATCTGTTGTTCAAGTGTGGATTTGTCAGTAGACAAAGTGGCAACTTGAGACTGTAGTCCAGAGTTGAGTGATGCGAGATCAGCGACGATTGTTTCGTGGTTACTATTCATATCGACAATCTGTTGTTCAAGAGCAGACTTGAGATCGGACAGAGACTCTATTTGAGACTGGAGTCCAGTGTTGAGTGACTCTAGATCAGCAACGATTTTTTCATGTTTACTATTTATAACAACAATCTGTTGTTCAAGAGTCGACTTGTCATCAGACAGAGTCTCGACTTGCGATTGAAATCCAGAGTTGATGGACTCAAGATCAGCGACAGCTCCTTCATGTTTCCTGTTTATGTCAGCAATCTGCTGTTCAAGAGTCGACTTGTCAGTAGACAATGTCTCAACTTCAGACTGGAGTCCAGAGTTGAGTGATTCAAGATCAGCGACGATGGTATCGTGTTTACTGTTTATATCAACAATCTGTTGTTCAAGAGCCGACTTCTCTCCAGACAAAGTCTCGACTTGAGACTGCAATCCAGCATTGAGTGATCTAAGTTCAGCTACCACGCCTGTATGACTACTATTTATGTTAACAATTTTCTGTTCAAGAGACAATTTATCACTAGAGAGAGTCTCGACTTGAGACTGCAATCCAGAGCTGACTGATCCAAGTTCAGCCAAAGTGACCTCGTGCCTACTATTTATATCAACAATGTTCTTCTCAAGGGTAGACTTGTCGCTAATGAGACTAGTGACTTGAGTGTCGAATTCGGACTTGACTGATTCAAGTTCAGCCACGATTTCATCATATCTGACTTGTAAATCAGCATTCTCCTGTTGCAGCTTGACCTTATCATTCGTCAAGGCTTTAGCTTGAATCTTCCAGCCATCTTCAGCTTCTATTCTTCGCATCTCTTCCAGTTCCGATGCCAAGACTTCACATTGTGTTTGGTATTCTTTGGATTTGACTCGCGCAGTCTTGAGTTGGGCTTCCATTAACGCCATTTCATCGTTCTGCTGTTGGTGTTCGGCTAGCACACGACGTTCTCGTTGAGTCTTTTCAGTTAACTGCGTTGTTAAATCAGTTACTTGCGTTTGGAGCTTTTGCTTTATTTTATCGTATTGTGCTTTCTCCTTTTCGAGAGTGGCCATGTTGGAGATAGCATTAGTCAAGTCTTGAGTTAGAGTTCTGATTTCGGTTTGGGTACGGGCTTGCAACTTTCCGTTCTCTGCCTTTAATATGCTGTGCGCTTCTTGCCACGATTGCTCTTTTGCTTGATGCATTTCGTGGTCTTGTTCAAGTTGGGCTACTTTATCACGCAACTGAGCGAGTTCCTGGAAACGTGGATGTGGGTGAGCAAAAAGCCACTATCAGTCATTATCACTATTCTCACCATTTGAGTTTGCCTATCACTACTCTCAGCGGACTCAAGCATCATTTGATGTTCCAAATTGGCAAACTCGACGGTCTCTGCATGCTCAAGCATCAATTGCTGAAGATTGTATTGTGTTCGAGCATTTTCCAATCGAGATATCTCCAAAATGTCATGGATGGGCTAAGTTTTCAATAAAGTGTGAAGATTATTGAATGCTCCCCGATTCGCCTTTTTTAAATAACAATGTACCTGAACTTCTGGCACTAGCTCTCGACGATTTGTCTCCTCGGACATGAGATTCTTGATACTCTTCACTATCTGCTCGTTTTGTGTTCGTAAGGTCTCCAGAGCCGTGAATGTATCTCCGTTCCGTTCGATCAACTGGGGCATAACGAAATCAGTTAGATCACGAGACGGTCAACATGGCCACGCCGTTCTACCTCAACAAGTTCAGGATGGAAACGTTTTGCAGCAGACACATCTGATTCTGGATTTAAGGACTGGAGGAAAGCAAGTTAGTCTCACATGTCAAGGAATGAAGCATAACTGGCACATACCAGTTTTCTCTTCTTCTCATTCCACATTGCTTCAAACTCGACGTGTCTTGAGGCTTGACCTTCTGCAGCAACCATACCGCCTCGCGCCTCATTCTCAGATGACTAGGGAAAACGTTGAGCACTTCTCTTGATTCCATATTCATCACGAAGCAGAGATTACCTGAGATCTGGAGACACCTGGAAACCAGGTTTGACGACGCTTAGCCTTCTTAACCTGCGAAAGAAAGTTGTTCGGCGTCTGGGTAGAAGAATTCGTGAATGTTTGTGGCACTCACTCTCTCAGGCGGTGGTTCAAGATTTAGATGAGAAGCATCGAGAATCATCTTTTTGAGATTTTCCAGCTGAACTACCAATCTTGCCTGCGGAGCATGTGGGTTAACTGATAGTCAAACTGAACAGATCAGCGTCACATCCCAAACCTTCTCGGATTCTTGTTCCGCTAGTTTCGTTTCGTATTGGTCTCTTGACTCTTCAGCCTGGAGGAAGAGCGAGCTTAAATTTTTCATCAAACAGTAACGTGCTGTCTATTCGCAATTTCTTACTCCTTGTTGGCCAGCATCCTCAACAATGGCATTGACGACAGGTTGTGATACATTTCGATGTTTTACCTGCGACGATAAATCCTAATGTTAGAGACGAACTAGCTCAAGCAGATCGAAGAGTGGAAGAGACTGATGGCACCTCTTCCAGTTGCTTTCTCAGAACTCCAATTTCTTCCCGATATTTTCTGAGCAGGGTCTCATCTGAAGGCATCTATTGAGTGCCAAAAAAAAGGTTCAGGTTTAGTGGAAATATTGTCCATGACTTTGCCAGTGATACCTCATTGACTTCTGGTCTATTTCGAATAGTCTTGGCTCTACTCGCAAACTTGAGCGTAGAAAGGGTCTCTTCACTATAGTTGCTCGCAGCTGTGACTGTACATATGATGGCGGTTCGTGCATTCCCACCCAGCGAAGGCTGTAGGATTCTAGTCAATCTTGAATCACGATATGGAATATGGACTCTAATTTGGGGCAAATAAATCCATCAGCATTGCGAGATAGTATGATGACTACCACAATCATTGCTCACTTGTCGCCCCCATCAGCTAGTTTGCCAATGACTAGCCCAAGTGTCAATAAACTCTTGTTGATCATAGCACCTTCCTTCAGTCGTAGACCGTCAGCACCAGTATGTCCTACACGTTCAGAACCTGCAAGATCCACAAGATTCTAGCAAAAACAAATCCATGGTATCAGTGATAGAAAGACGATACAAATGCTTATCATTCTCACCAGACACGAGACTCGTACAGCTCCGGTTAAGGAAGGTCGTCCATCTTTCGTAACATCGCCACATCTCTCTCGACTTTCGATGACCATTCTGAAGAGGGTGTGTGATCTACTACTCCTCTCATTCATGTTTGTGACGCCCTTATGACGATTTCCTACCAGTGGGAAATGATAAGCAACGCTCACAGAAGCGTTTGATGTTCATTTGACAACACTTACTCTCTCCACGCGTCAAGACTTCCTCCACATCAGCAGCTTCCGATACTACAACTTCACCCAGACCACCAACATAAATCTCTTTCTGTGGGAGGAGGTGAAAAGGTGAGAATTGGTCCTCCTTCGGTTTCGTAAACGCAAACAATATACATTAACATTCTCATGTATCTTCAAGTTGTCGTTTTCAGGGTTGAGCAAGTCCTTTATGACTTCATTGTAGATCTCCAAGTAGCTGATTCTTAACAAGAATTCTCGTTCGGGTATCTAAGGTGGCAAGAGCATGTAAACATAGAAGAATGTGGTATGGTTTTTTTGGCGGTGACTACTCGTACAGCCATGATGGTATTGAAGATATCAGCAATGGTCAGGGGAATGACACCGGGTTCTTCAGGACTTCCTTGCATGGTATGAGTCTTTCCTGTATTGGGAAAGAATGGTGAGTTTTTGACGCACATACATTCAATCTCTTCTTGATCCAACCTGAAGACGTCATTCCATAAGCAAAGATTGTTCCTACGTTTGATTGCATATTGGAAATGTAAGTTTCATCCAAAACCAGAGATCTTAAACATTCACATCTAGTTGTAGCAAAATATCATCTATACCGTTGACGCCTTGCATGGCAGAGTGTATGATTTCACGAACAATAGTATTGTATACGGTTTCGGTAGTAGAGGATGCATCGAATAAACTATCTATATGTTCATAGTCATGAAGAGTGAAAGTTGAATGTTTGATGTTGAAGCAGTTACAAGCCAAAGCAACAGTGGATCAAGCAAAGGAAGACGGTCTTCACATACCAAATGAGTAGACGCAGCCTGGAACTGGTCTTCCATCCAGGGTGATTTGGGAGATACTGTGCGTTGCTTGGTTGACGACCCAAACAGCTTGTTCTTTGGCATTTAGTTCTCGGTCGTTGAGAGGCCTTACTCGGACTCCTACGTGGATGTTGTCTGTTCCCTCCATGCGCGCTGCCTCATCTATGCTGTTGGCAAGCGGAACTGTCTGTTTTCGTCTGGTTTCGTTTTGATGTTTGGAAATTTGGGTAAATAATGATGATCTAGGCTCTTTGAAGGAGATCAAAAATAAATCGCTTTTGATACACGCATTCAAATCTATATGACTATTGTTTTGCTCATACTAGAAACCTTTTGCAATTGCAAAGTCATCACGACCTCTTTGCTGATGGCAGTGTTTTCGGATCAACAACACGTCTATTCACGTGCAAATGAACATTTTTCATACCAACGCTTACATATCTACGAGCGTAGCACTACAGGCTGTTACTTCTTTGTGATCCAAACTCGGGTTCCTTCTCCTGACTTACGCCAACTTCAAGCACCAACCCAACTACCTCAACATTTGAAGACGATCAATAAGAGAGTAACAAGATATGCTTGGAAGCACTGCTGGAACCACGCCAGCTCTGGTTAAAGGAGACGTAAGTTGGAACTGAATTTCACATGCCGCAAACTTTTCGGAACTTGTTCTTGATGGAACTTTTCGCAATAGGTCCTGAATACGACTTGGCCCGTCGTATCCGTTGGAGCTGCTCGAGGAGACAAGCTCGATTTCTTCTTTGCTCAGGACTTGGAGAAGGTTAGATTTGAATGACAAAACAACTCATCCAACAACCGAATTGGACATTGTACGCTTCCCCCGTCAAACCGAACTCAACCCAATCGCTTCTCTAGATACTTTCAAGCACTGTTAAACATGTCTACTTGGCCTTCCAGTCTTCACGGTCCACATACTATGAATTCACAAGCAAGGTGTTTACGGGATACTGCTTTAATGCTGTGGAAGCTCAATCTGCTTCCGGCACGACCTTATTCGTTGGAATGCCTGCTCAGACTGCCAATCTGAAACTTTCCCGAGTAATTGTTGGAAAAGCATCTGAAGCCTCCAGCACGAGGATTTCCAATATTTGGCTCAAAAACCATCAGGTATCAGTTGGATTCGTAACGACCTTCCAAGTCAGAAAGCTCAAGCCATGGATCTTTTAGGCTGTGTTTGCTACTCGGGTTAACGGGCTAAGTGGCAATGAAGCTATAACACAGATGGCGGAACCAATAGTGGATGTTGCAAGGTGTATCCTATCAGACGAGTTACGAACCCCAGCAATGCTCAACACTTTAGGTATCTTCTTTTACATTGAAGGCCAGAAAGAATACTATGAAGTAGTAGGTGTAGGCAAGGCCGAAATGATTGTAAACCGATGGAATATCGAATCAGTATCATATCCTACCATACTGCTGGGTGAAAATGGACTGATAGACGCCAAAATACTCGGAAAGGCTCAACAATTGCGAGGAAAAGTAGATATTAGTCGATTTAATCAGGAAATTGAACTTCCTGAGTGGTATAATAAGAAGAGGGGATCGCAACTTTCTTCAACAAAAGATATACCAACTACCGCATCATCCAACGTTTCATCACCGACTCCATCCGCATCCTCTGTATCCGATTCGTCTGTTGCTACACTGGTTATCGAACCAGTTAAACCGGAAGTTGCTCCATTGGCTGCTGTAGCTGTTGCTCCATCTGTAGTTGAGGTGCCTCCTGTCGTCGAAATGAGCATGGTGAATGATAAAAGACGCCATTTTCCCTTGAAATGTGATACTCACTGTGTTTTTTAATTTGCAGGTATCTCCAACGCCAGCCAAAGAAGCAGCCAAAGAGCCGATTAAGGAGACCACTGACGTAAAACCCCCATCAATCACGCCAGAGCCCTCCATTGCAAAAGAGTCTAAAATTGAGGTTTTAGCTGATGTATCATTGGCAACTCCAGCAAAATCAACACGACCAGTAACACCTCCACCAACACCAGCCAAGGTATAACACAGCAATTAGAATCAAGAAGCATTGCAGTATCGCATCTACTGACATACCTTTTTTTGCCTTATAGCAAGCCGAAATAGTCTCAGTCGCTGAGCAAATGGCTCGAGGAGGAATCGCTCTTGTGGGCGCCAGTAGTACTGAAGGAGGCAGTTTCGATATACATCATTCTTTGGATTCTTTACCGGCAGAGGCACAACGTAACGAAAGGAAAATGTACATCAGTTTCAACAAGTTCCAGTGGTATGAAATTATGGCCATTGGTGTGGATGCTGGTTGGCCAACAGGTCAAACCTTTGTTCTGCCGTTATCACACTGTCGACCTGCACAGGTAATTGTCTACTTCACTGGATTTTCTCGCCAACAATCCTCACTCTTGTTTTGTTGTATATAGGATGAGATACTGGGCACGCCTGCTCCCATACACAAATTAGCAGCTCCAGCTTCATCGAGAGAAGCTGAAGTCCGGATAATACCGATGTCCGTAGTGGATGAGGGTGTAGGTGGACGCAAAAAGAAATCCCAACAAAGTCCCGAATAGTTAAACACTCTTTCAACTTTCAATAGCTCGTACGAATGGGGTACCAAATCGAACAAGAAGACAACATCATCCTCACAATCATTGAATCAACCGGCCGGTCAAGCCATAAACAACTCGATGTGAAACTAGATACAACACCGCTCTTCATCTGGTATCAACAAGTATGGTATCGAGTTTCTCGAATCGATAAACAAAACAAGGAGATATTTGGTGAAGTTTGTGCACTTTTGGAAACTCAGGCTCCTACATTCAAGTCCAAGGCTAGTGAGGGGTTGACAAAGTTGTCACAGACTGATAAGCCATATATCTGGAGGAATTGAGAATTGGTGGTAGAGGGGAGATGGTAATTATTAAGACACACTGCTTTTAGGATTGTATTTTTGGACACTTTTACTTGAACAAACCCCATTCGTTCCGAACTTTCGAAAACGGTGCCAAAGACGCTTTTGTGAAAAAGACTGCTGCATGTTGAGCGTTGTCAAAACAGCTTCTACCGTAATCATTTCTCAGCAAAGTTATTAGTAACGATAGAGGTTTGTTTACTATGGATTTGGTGTTGCTTTACATGGAGTTATACAAACAGCCAAAAACAAGTAGTTTCTAAACTATGCAGCCTATCTGGAAGGCCCATAAGCGGCGCAATAGTTTTCATGATAGTCGGCCCTCACATAATCGAAGCTTGGCCTTGGAGACACAAATGACATTGCATCCTTTAGCATGCGTTCAAAGCGACGGAATTCAGTTAGTTCGTTGATCTGAATTCTGAAACAAGCCAGGGTCCCTTCCTTGAGACGAAATGTCCTTTACTTGATATCGTCACAAACCATTTCAAACTCTTCTGTGATTTTGGCGTCAACCAATATGAAGGTAGCATCAGCAAAACTAGGCAAACACTTGAGTTACTTGTTATTTTCTAAAAGCATAGGCGAGCAGGTATCCATCACGTACCATATATAATGGGTCTCGTCAGCACTCTTCACAAGAATAAAACTACCCGCAAAATGGTCGCTCGCAACACTGTCTTTACCAAAATACAAGACAACTTGTTACAGCACTTGATGATGAAGCCTACTTCACCTAACATAGTAGAAGCTTCGCGGGCACTTCCTTCATATGAGAGATGGTGGAACTTGCTGGCGGGGTTCTGGGGTTGTACGTAGTCAGGTACGTCGAGATGAGTGGATAAGCCGACTACATCAACTTCTGGACCCGCCATAGACACATTTTCCATTTCAAGTTGCGCTCTAAAGAAAAGTTGCTGATAGCTTTTCGAGAGAGGGGAAAGCACCAAACGCAAAACAAAGCAAAAAAGATCACGACAAACCTCACTTCTTCATCAGCAGACATAGCTACCAACTACGATTGACCAGCCTTAACTTCTAATGATTTTCCAGTTCTTCGACATTGTGATGGAGTTCTTTGCCATTCTTGGCCTTTCTGTAGTGACGAGATCAGCCCTCGTCGTGAGCTTTGGCAATGTTCTAACAAGATATAAATTAATTACACTGAACGTTTCCTTTGCTAGATAAAATGATCAATACGTCATTTGCCAAGTTCAGTGAAGCAACATGTCCATCAATCGGAGCGTCGAGGTCACTAATACTTTGTCGACTAGCTTCCATTTCAGCTTGATGTTGTGACGAGACTGTTGCCATACACGATTTTGATTGTTCTTATGGTGGTTGCAGCTTCATCTCATACTCGGTTTCACGAGTGGCAATAACATTTATCTAGTCACTCAATTCAGATTCTCTAACGGTATGTCCTTCGACGACGGCATACTCCGATTTCTACAACAAATGCAACTGATGTGAGCGAAAATGAGCCTACAAAGATTTACAAATGCACATCGGACTGTGTTCAACGGCAGCTTCTTGAAGTGCTTTCAATTTTGCGCCTTGTTCCCCCAATACAGACTGTAGATTTTGTGACTTTCGATCCGATTCTATAAATTTTGCTTCCCATTCTTGAGCAATGGCATGAAAAGCAGCAATCTTGTTCACCATTTTGGATTGTAAATCAGGAATTTCATTTTCAAGACTCGACTTGTCTCGTAACAATTTCTCGACTTGAGACTGCAATCCAGAATTGAGTCATTCAAGATCAGCAACAAATGTTCGTGTTAACTATTTTATATCCACAATCTTTTGTTCACTCGTCGACTTCTCTTCAGAGTTACGATCTGAGACTACAATGCCGAGTTGAGCGATACAAGTTCGGCGACCATTCCTTCGTGATTGCTATTTATATCAGCGATTCGCTGTTCGAGAGTCGACTTGTCACTAGATACAGCCTTGACTTGAGGCTGCATTCCAGAGTTGACGGATCCAAGTTCAGCCAAAGCGACATAGTGCCTACTATTCACATCCACAATCTCCTTCAGGGTCGACTTGACATTACTTCTTAGACAATTTACTTGAGTCTCGGATTCGACTTTAAGCTTGACTTTATCCTTTGGTACAGCATTAGCTTGAATCTTCCAGCCATCAGCTTCTATGCGTCGTATCTCTTGCAGTTTCGATTCCAAGACTTCACATTGTGACTAATACTCGTTGGATTTGACTCGTGCCGTCTTGAATAATGAAGCACCTTGTACTAAAAATTTGTTTTTTCGAGTTCGTACCCAGTACGGCGAGGACAGAACGTTTTAAGACAATTTAAACTGTCAAATACCTTTTTTGGTGCTCGCATTTGACTAGGGTTTCATCTCACGACCTTAAACTTCCTAGTGATGGACCTAGTAAGGTAAATCTTGTTAGTAGTGTGTATTTTGTTGGGTGCTTGAGAGAAGGTAGAGCCACCGAGATATGTTGATACGGATAATAGTTAAAGAATGGATACATTAATATACTGGTATAAATGCCGTATAGGCTGATGCAGTTCGATATTAGGGTGAACTGGGTAAGTAAAACGCGTTCACAAAAAGTGTGTTGGGTATGTGAGGTTTCGCTGCTTGGAAAGTTGTGATGAGACTAGCAGAGTATTGAATTATGATGACAAACTATATTATACAATTGCAGACACGCTCCTTCTTCTAGTCTACTATGATGTGCATGTTGATAGTGAGCAAACTCACTGCTTTTGGTGTCTTGCTGACTTTTCAGTCAAAACGCCTGAACCTCGGTCAATGACTCATTTGACGAGAAATAGTACTCCCACTCATCAGCACGCATAGAGTAGGTTTCCACGACGTGCTCGCGAATCTTCAAACACAGGGCAAAGGTCACGCCCAGATACGAAGAAACCCGACTTACCAACTATCATAAATGGTATAATCAATAATAAACGTGATTTAGGGCTGGTAATTTGGAGCTGCAGGATATTCTATAATTTTGGATTACATTCTCATCACAAGTGGAGTCTCTTGGTAAGTTCAACACGTAGACAGCAGAAAAAGCAGAGATGACGTTGTCTGGCTCCGTGGAGAAAGAGCTACACTGTAACAATGTGCAGTGCAGACGTGGACTTGGAGGCAGTACAAAAGCATGCGTCACTACTTGCTCTCGTAAGCACATCTAGCAAATTCGTTTGTTCAATTATCATTATGCATGTTCAAAATGTTGGCTGTGTGGTCGAGGCCACATAAATGCAAATAGCTGGATACCATTCCATCCTCATCTTCCTGAAGCTCTGACTATGGTCTTGTCTTCTCCCTCTCCACTCTTTAAATTCAACACATTAGATATATTCTGCTGCGATTGCGCACAGTGCTTCAATCGAGCTCTAGTTTGGTATGATGCCATTGAATCCAATTTATATTTATTATTATCCTAACATGTGTTCAAATCTAGTCCTGCTTGCGAGACATCATTGACTCAGGCGTGAGTACCCCCAAAGCATGGGCTTCAAATCATCAACCACACCTTATCCTGACTTTTTCAATCCTCTAAAAGGGATGATATTGTATTCACGGACTTGAATCCAACAGAGGACTATAAATCTGTGAGTATATTGGCTGGATACCGTCATGCTCAAGTGTCTGGAAGCAAGCACTCACGACTTTGCTTAGAGTGTCTTGGCTGGACTCAGGCCTGAACTGATCATGGAGATTGCTGGGAGAGCTCTTTCATTTTGGGCCTATCAAATGACTCAAGAAACGTGCTTCCAGGAGATGGTATGGTGTTGAGCAGCAACACATATCGACTTGATTTTCATTTTTTCGCCCCAGCCCGTTATTCACTTCATTTTCTCGCTGCTCTGGTATCTACTAGATGTACAAGCAACTTGATGAAAAGTATACAGCTCTGGAACGGCAAGTTCATGCTATTGTTCGAGAAGCTAATCATGAAATCACTGGTATGCCATACAGACTATCTTGAGATGCTCCTTTTGAGCTCATCCCTTATAACACATAACCTGTAGGATTGCGTGAGAAAGTCGTCAGTAAGCTCGATCTCATTGATCATGGACGACTCAATTATCAAAATTCAGGAACCAATCATTTCTTCACACTCACAGACTTGCAAAAGGACTTTGAACTTGAAAAGCATCGAAATCATGAGTTAGCTGACAATTATGCAGAAAAGGGCAAACAGTTACAGAAACTTCAGGTAACCGAAAATCATTTTACTTTAAAACAGAACAGTATCCTAGCAACCCCGCATTGTTTTGCGTTACAGCAAATGTATGAGAAAACCAAACGCCGAGCGCTCCTCCAAACCACAACACTTCAGCAGCAATCGGGAGGTGGTGTCATACATGACATGGAAATGCTAGAAAATCATCTTATGACAGACACGAATGTTGGCGTTGGATTGATGCACATGAATATGAATCCTATGCAGCAGCAGCAATCATCCAATGGTCCACTCCATCACCAGGCTCCTCATCCTCCTCTTTCAAGATCTAATATGGGGTTAGGCAGTAGTAATGGTGGTAGAAGGCCTGGTTATAATACTGGAGTATGCCTTGGCTTGGTTTTGTACTTTTTCAGCGACATAATTCCATCATCACTCTTTCTCTCAATCATAGCAACCTCCGCTCTCGCGACAACAACATACAAATCAACAACAGCCGCCTCTTCTTCCTATGATGCCTGGAATGCCTGGATATCAACGGTCACCTTCTCCCACTAATGGAACGCCCAAATTTACGAATCAGCCTCCTACATTGCCGAATACGTTTCAATCAAACAATAATCGTGAGCTTGGGTCTTTGTGCGTCATGTCGACCTCAAATTGCAAGTTTTTACGCTTTTTGTGTGTTGGTTGTTTTCTAGGTCAGAGACAACCGTTTTCGATGCAGAATGGTCGAGCAGGGACGTCATCAAGGTGGTCGCCAAACATGAATCAATGAATAGGCGGAAAAGTTTGCTTAAAGTGTTGTTATAAAGAGACGATCATACCTAATTTGTTCACGTTTACCAGAAAATATACAGTGTTTTGATTTCAGACCAATGTACGGTGCACGCTGCTCAAGATAACATCAAAAGGAGTATGCTGTTAGTTTATTGAATATCTGACCTTGCTTCCTTAACGGTTACGAATGAGCACAACAGATGTGTCCTGTTGTGATTGCGGACATTACTTCCATCTACAGCTCTAGTCTGATACGATTCTGTTGTTTCGTCGTCATCGATTGCTGGTGTAAAAACTGTCTGACTTCGTGCTGCTAGTAAGAAGCCATTGACTCACGCATAGCTGGATGAAGGAAACATTGCCCATCACAAGACATCATCACCCGCGACTGCTCAAAATGCGGCAATGTCGTATTCGGACACTTGAATCCAGCAGAGTCCCACAAATCTGTAGGAACTCAGTGTGGACGCAGAAGCTGATCTCGAGTAAATCTTCCCCACAAGTACAGCACAAGAAGATACAGTTGATGTGAAATCAGATCCGGAATTGCGTTTGTGGGTGCTTTTCTACTGTTACATATTGTTTCTTTCGTGATTCCTTCCACAATTCACCATAATCCAAACATTACAAGCGGAGGTGGTGTTGGGAACGACAGCAAAGCAAACTACTTTGTACCAAAATGAACAGAAATTTGCAATTTGGATCTTCCCAGGTCGTTTCATCGCTCATTTGGAGCAATCTGACTGAATGTCGTTGATCTTGCAGACATCTCTTGCACATTCTACCAAACAGTCACCGTTCGAATCTGACAGCTGTCTGTCAAAATGACATTTGCTGCACTTGGTCTCTACGACATCTTCTTTTTACCTCTCAAAAAGTACTCTCAGTAGCTCAGTTAGTAGAAGCGACAGAAATTGGTGTATACATGACACACGTAGGTTATCTGTTCAACTCAGGTGTGGGACATGTACGAGGAGATTTTTTTCCACACTACTAGCTGTTCTTATTACTGCAACTCGATAAGACGATACTGGAGTGGCTGACGAAAACGATTGTACATAAAATTTGTCTACATTTTACAATAAAACATACAGTGTGGTGATTAATTTAAGAGTCTCTGTTTAAGCGGTTTCCTCTACGAATATTGACATGTCTACTTGAACATTTGCAAAAAGACTGGGAAGTGCACTAGTTTAGATTTGACGTGATCAGGTAGGTTTCTGTCAATCGCAAACCTACTGAGGCGAAAAAAGATCAGTCCGCCAATTCTTAAAGGATTCAAAACTCGTTCGTCATTACCTCTCACTAGCACCACCAGTACTCCCATAATCACAATACAGCAACGTTTGATGCTTGGCTTCAACAGTAACAGCAATACCATCTTGAAATAACATCAAAAATTTACCATCACCGTTTCTGATACACCACCCTACATCCCGTAAATAACATGGCATGGCTTGACTAGACGTCCCATTAGCAGACGTAGAAGCTGATACGACTGATGCCGCATCATCGTTATTACTACGCCGAACCCCATTCGGTTTCGAATGGAGGGTTGCTGAATCAGAAACAGCAGAGCGTGCCGGTCTTGATTTCGTGGACTCTGGCGGTGCTGCACTACTACTGCTGCCAATACTGGTAGCCATTACTCGTTCCTTGGAAGACATGACTGATATGGGTCTAGACGTTGATTGTGGCTGCTGTTGCGGTTGTTGTTGCTGCTGTCTAGATTGTGTTTCTGGTTTAAGAATTGAAGATGCCGGTCTCTTAGATTCCATAGACGCTACAGGAGCTTCACTGTGAGTCGGTTTCGAAGTCACAGAGCGCCCTTCACCATTCTCACTATAATTACTCTTGTGTCCAACACTACCACCATTTCCATTAGCGTTACCTGCAGCAGAGGCAGTATACGTCGACATTGAGCTGGGGTGTAGAGACAATGTTGGGCTTAGAGCTTGACTAGATCGTGCTGACGGTGACACTGAAGCACTAGACGCTTTAATGATCATGGGATACTTGGTCGACCCATCTGTTTTAGAAGACGATTCTACATCTAGACACTGTCGTAAACAGTCTTGCACGTGTTTAAATATCGGTATTAGATGCGATTGGAGTGACAGATTCGACACATTTGAAGTATCAATCGTATGTGTCTCTGTTGTTGATGATCCAGGACGTTGGCAGGTGATTTGAAGGCTATTCTTGGCTACGGAATAATGCACCTTTGTCTCACTGTTATGAAACGTCATTTCAAAGTCTGCTAGTGGTCCGTTCTCCATCAAAATACATTTGGCTTGTGGAGAATAAAACAGGATCTGTGAAGGACGAAGGCGTGGTTTAGGCCATACGCCCAAACAAAACTGTAATGTTCTAGTTCTGCAAATACCTTGGGAGTCTTTGATCGCACCAAATCCACAAATCGACAAGCGTATCGAAACTTTTTAGCATACGAGGTGGGTAAAGTACTACGTGTAAACGACTTCCATGGTCGATCTGTGCACGTATCAAGGGTAGGATCACAATGACGCTCAAAAAAATCAATCTAACGGATCAAATATGTGGGAATATTTAAAGTCTTGAACTCTAACAGGTCTCATACCTGTTGACTATCAGGGCTAATCATTAAGAGGAAGGGCTCCTCAACAAAATCTAAATACAGCCATCCTGAGTTTAGAATCGCTACATTCCCATGTTTTGTCTTTTGCTTTAATGGTTTCAAACGAACAGTGCTAAAAGGTGGTAACTGCTGATCTAGCTCCGTATTTGACACTGGTTGCGACCCTATGTTCAAAGATTGTAATCATGTTTCGGGCAAAAGAAGGGAAAGAAAAGCCCTGCCTATTCACGATACCTTGAATTCGTGATAGTCCGCCTGCTGCGACACCCTTGTCAGCGACACCCTTGTCAGCGACACCCTTATCTGCGACAGGCCTACTAACAGTACTGTTAGCAAGAAAACCATTACGTTGTTGATCCGGTTTCGATTTAATAGCATCTGTCGAAGCTGTCTTCTTAATGCATTCACTTCCAAGAGCACGTAATGGAGTAAATGGCAAACTTGGACTGAAGAAGGGATGTGCCAAGATCTTATTTAGTGGGAGACGTCGTTTAGGATCCTTCGAAAATTGGACGTTTAGTGAATGAGAAGAAAAGCTCGCAGAATTTGGCCGATCACCTTTTGTAGCAGACGAGTTATCAGATCCTTGGCTTCCACAGACAAGGAATCTGGCAAGACGTAGTCTACTCGAGAGACACGATCCAGAGTTTGCTTAACAGCAGAGCTCTAAATGAGTTGGTGGGTGTAAGCGTCCAAAAAATCGTTACTGCCGATGACGCATACCTCAAACGGAGGTGTTCCCGTTAAGAGCGTTACAACCATACATCCTAATGACCATACATCTGACATGAGCCCGTAAGGTTGACGAGACACGATTTCTCTATGACAAACTAGATTGTAAGAAAAAAAGCTCAGAAACTAGAGTTTGATAACTCACGGCGAGATGTAGTTTGGAGTACCACACATGGTCTTTTGCTCTCCATCAGGCTCTGATAGTTTGACTGCTAGTCCAAAATCAGCGATTTTCTATGCAAAATCAATTCAGCAAAATAACTCAAGGTCATGGCTAAGAAGTCTGTAGATAGCCAACCTCACACACATACCACATCAAAATTATCCGTAAGCAACAAGTTCGACAATTTCAAATCCCGATGAATAATCCCATTAGCATGTAGATACATGAGTCCTCTCGTGATTTGGGACAAGACATGCCTAGCTTCAGGTTCAGACAGTGGTTGTTTACGTTTCTGAATATACCGATATAATTCTCCCTGTTTACACAACTCCATGACGAGATATACGTATTGAGTGTCTTCGAAATAGTTGTAGAGTTCGAGGACGGATGAATGGTGTAGTTGCCAATGTACTTCGACTTCGTTTGCTACTCGTCGAGTCATGTTTGAGGCCTTCATTAGTTTCTTGTCGATCTATGCAAGAGTTTGTTAGATCCAAATGCGATCGTGTGTGAAATGAGTCTGTAAGTGGGTACCAGCTTGATTGCGACTTCTCGTCCATATGATCCTCGACATTTGCTTATTGCCTTGTGCACAAATCCAAACCCTCCCCTTCCCAACAATTCACGTAGCTCATAATCCTATATGGAAACGAATGATCAGTTGATGTAGACTGCCGTAAAGATAAGTACCAGGATTCCTTGCGTCTTTACTTTACCTCAATTCTGTTTGAAAATGGACGTTTTGTTGGTTTTGATGGTGATGTGAAGGAGTAGTTTGCCAATGGTTCTGTAGGTGGTATTATTACCTTTCCTTCCTTCATACGTGCAGCAGTTGACTCGACACGTCGAACTGGAGCATCGGTCCATCGTTCTTCGTGTGTCAACATTTCTTAACAAAACAAGAAATTAATTGATGGTGGTGATGTAGAGCAAGAATGACAGTGAGGAAGTGAGAAACACAACTCACTTGTTGCTGCAGAGCTGATCCGCTCTAAGAGACTAGTCAATCTACCGGCACACTGCGCAGATCAATTCTTTGACAATGTCAACAAAATGAGAAAAACGTGACGATCCAGGTGACGATTTTGAACGACAAATCTCTTCTGACAACTCGCGAGAGAACAGAACTCTACCTCTGAAGCTTGAAGAGTCGAAATTAATTGAAGATAGAATTTTGGCCGTCTTTGCAAAACATCACGACAAGCCAACACATCAATGGGCAAATTTCGGATTGAAGATGAACGAGTAAAACGTGTTTTTGGAATTATTTCAAATCAGTTTATTTATTTCTATGGATTGTACTGCTTGCAGTCCCTGAATCGTGAAATACACGTCTGAATCGTAGAAATACACGTCAACAGTTCTCTTGTCTCAAAATGGATAGCACTTTCCCTTACTCACGTTCTCAAATCCCAATTTTCAAATGCTCTTTGTAAACGAAACTTCAAATCACCAACACCCAAGTGCCATAACGACAAAAAACTACTACATCGCCGATCATCATCACAGACACGTGTATACCATCTGTATTTTCATTCTCTCTCAACACCTTTCAAATATATATACATAGCCTTCACTCAAGTCTGGATGTGGAGCATGCACTACCTTCTCGTCATTAAAGAGCACCCATCGACCATCCTTGTAAACATGAGCAACATAATGACCACAATGAGGAGATGTGCCCTTGTGAGAGATAGCTCCAATCAGACGATACTTGGCTGGTCGGGTATCAACGACTTCAGGAGCTGGACCTATTCAAAAATACATTGAGGTCATTCCATTGGGTGTATGAAATGCTCTTTTGCTCATCACACACCATTGCTTGTACTTGCACCTCCTTCGTCATCAGCTGTATCATCCATATGACTGAACAGCCAATCGACAGCACGTTCCATATTGTTGTTCTGAGTGTGAATGAAAAAAAAATCAGTACACACCACAAACACAGGGATGGAAAATTATGTAACGCACTGTCTGTTTGAGTGCCTTCTTGGCCATGGGTATAGAGAAGCCCATCTCAGTCAATGAAGTAATGTCGGCAGCAGAGGCTCCACCATCACCACCTCCACTGCTGACTTGCTCAGGAAGTGGATCATCAATATCTGCATCTTCCATATGTTCAAACAGCCAATTCATGGCTGCATCAGCACCACCATTTCCTGTAGCAAGTATAGCTCGTTTGCATCTTATATCAGGGAACCCCATGCCTTGAAGTTGTGCCATGGTGGCAGCATCAAATTGAGGCTCTTTGGCTTTTTCTGGTGATTTTGAATATGTCGGGATTTTAGCGGAGCAAAAAAGACAACCAGAATGCAATTGGATACCTGGTTCATCCGGAAGGACCTCTTCACCAGGTTGTAATCCATGAGCTCGATATGCTTCAAGATCAAGTTCAAGAGGGACTTGAATAGGTATATCTGATGAAAGAAAATAAAAAAAAGAATTGGCCAAAAAGCGCAATACATGCCAACAAGCATGAGAGACAAGCGCTTTGACATACTCAGTTTCTTCAAGACCCAATTTTCAAAGGTGAATCGACTCATAGGAGTCACAAGGATTTCTGGAAAGTTTGCGATCTTGGTAGACCTATGGGTGAGATGTTGAAATTCTTTAGTTTATGGCAGAAACAAGATCACGAAAGCGTATGCCATGCTCTACTTAAACACAAACATCACTCACTTCATAGCTAATGTACCACGATGACATGAAGGACATTGGTATTCCATAGCTTCATCACTCAAAGTCAATGCCAAACAATCTTCAAATGTAGAAGGCATGAACTCTTCCACCTTATTATCCGTCATTTCAACATTGTCAGCTTTAGTAGCAGCTACTGGCGTCTTCTTGGCTGGTACTCGTAAAGCCAATTCTGTAGCATCGTCCTTCTTGTATCGGACTTTGCCACAATCTGTACACACAAGACGTTGTTCAAGCTTGAATTTGAAGACTGGAGTAGGATCCTGACCAGAAACACGTTCTTTCTGTTCAACGACTCGTATGAGATGTTGGAAGAATTCATATGCGTCCTGTTAGAAAGAATGACGAATGAAATCAATGGAACGGCGACGAGAACAAAAAAAAATTCCGAAGTAAAGAGACAATATCCGACGATATCAATACCTGTTGCCTCATGGTTGAAAACTCGACATGATCCTTTCCGATATAGAGCTTGAACATGGCTGGTGTGATTCCTTCTTGGCCTCTGGTGACGGTCTCATCACCATCCGTACTTTGGATCGGAACTGAGTACCGACCACTCAACAGGCCATCAGCGACTTTGACCATTTGACAATGAAAACAAGTTGATGGTGTTTCTCTGCAATTAACAGAGTGGTCTTTCAAACTCTCAAAGTATCTAACGATTCAAGCCATTTGAGCGATTTGTTGTCCTGAAGAAAATGTTGTAACCCTGTACCTCATACGAAATGTTGGAAGGGAAAACACCGTTTGCAAGACAGATGCCATGTAACAACTAATCACAAGTAGAAGTCAGCAACACTAAAATCGAGATTTTTGGCTCAAGAAGGAAACTGACCTGTTTCCCAAATTCTTGAGCCCAGTATATCCTGGACCAAATAATGGATCCATCTGCTTTCCATCTTCAGTGGTCATGCTGAAGTCAAACTTGAGATTCTGCTCCAGTTGCTAATAGTACAGTACGAGTTAGCACTTAGCGAGAAAAAAGGCTCTACACCGCAGAAAGTATGTCACTTACTAACTCGGCCATACTCTTCTCGGTCTTTTCTTGAGATCCAACATCAATACCAAAGTGGGCCAAATGTTTGCCCAGTAATGGATCAAGACGTTCATAATCACACGTATAACAGTATATGTCTATCAAGGGAGATTTTTTATTCAAACCAAAAATACTTCAAAACACGTATTTGACTCAAAATATATGTATACCTGCGGTTCCTTCTGGAGTGACAGTTCCCAATTTACAAGCGACACCATGACCGGTTTCTAGAAAGTGTTGAAGAGCATGACCATTTCCACCAGTAACACCACTAGCATCCCATTGTTTACGCCCACATCCTAAACTTCCACAGACCAAACACAACCATAGATTGTTGTTCAGTTCACAAAGAGCACAATGTGCCAGATCTATTCGTTAAACTTGAGAGTTAGGACCAAATGAGGCAAGATAGGATGTTCGTATACCTTGAGCAGCCATCTTTTTCGAATCCAATTGCATGAGATTTTCGGTATGGGTGCATGACTTTGCTTCATCTTCCCAAGCTTTGATGTCTGACTGTTTCCTGGCAGAGAGCGCAGCTAAGACGGCATCTGCGATCATACCAGCCTAACGGGAGAGAAAAAAGCTATGAATTGCGCGTCCCGAACGGTCACTTCAACTGAACAATCGCCACCATACATTCCCGACACTTCGATCAATCTCCACACCACCACAAGCATAGCACTTCAGCGAGGTCAGTAGTTCATGGGTGTCCTCATCGTTCTCGACAGTAATAGCTAGCCTCGTCATCTTTTGAGGTGGTGGTGCATCAGGCTAGATCAACGTGGTATCTGTTAAATCCAAACATCAAGAGTTGCGAATCAAGACCAATGTAATCCAATATCCATAAATATAGATACCTGACGTGGTTTCTTGACACGTCGAATGTTTAGGACGATGGCATGTGTTGGATTCTTGAGGAAGTGTGAGAGAGCGTGATTTCGATCGTTGGCGAGACATCCTCCATTGAAGCAAGACAGGCAGACATCAACGCCTTGCGGTAAATCCTATTTAAATAAAGTGGTATTTTAATTGGCATGAATTCTTAAACCTCTGACAGTCAATTCACTCTTGCCTGAGAATCAAAGCATTGAGTACACTCGTCCTTGTAGATGGGAGTAGCAAGCGTAGGAGGCTTGAGCCTGGAATTGGCAACGTGCGTACACGTCGTGCTCATTATTCGATGCTCGATAGACTATAACGGCAAGCTCGAATGATGCGAAATGGAACTCGTCAGCATCATCACATTGACGGCTCACTTGATCACGTCAAAGGCACAAAACATTCCCGAAAAGATTTGTTTGATTAACGCGTAAAAGGTACTAGGGAAATCATTCGCCACATGGCTGCCATCGAACCCTTTTTTGGAATCGCATGCAATATCTAATGTTGTTGAAGCTGTCTGAAAGTGCGCTAAGGAACAATCGCGAGAGACGAGACTGGCCCCGGTGAACTAAAAAGGCGTCTGCACGTCTTTCTTGTGAACACAAACCATGTGGATTCCACACAATTCCTCTGTGTCGACTCTGTCGTGTTGCTGCACAGGTAAGCTTGCAAAGGACGCCATCCTTCAAAACGTGCGGGATTCTTATAGCTTACCTTCGAATCTCAAAAGTCTACATAGTGACGCGGACGGGCCAAAAGTAGCAAACATTGAGCAAAATCTCGCCTTGCAAAACATTCCGCCGTGGTCGGAATTGACCGTCATTGAACGCATAAAGCAATAAATCAGAACGTCCAGTCCCGTTTGTCTTTGCCTATCTCCTTCTTTGAGGTAAAGCTACAGAAAACAGAAACACCAATTCAACCCAACTAACGCAAACGTCGTGTAGACCACGGAAATTAGAGTCCTGTCATTGGATTATACCTCATATAACCGTAAAATCATGGTTTCTGTGACTCCGGATCGTTCTTTTGGCACTCCGTGGTTTAGTATCTTCGGCCGAATCTATGTCGACGTGCCAAATTTGAAATTGGCAACGCAACTTGGCTTTCGAGCATGAAGGACCTTGCAAACCTTTTACGGAAAGCTAGCAATACCGCTTTTATGCTCTTGGAACCTAGAGCTGTTTTGGTGTTTTCGAGTTTGAGGTGGAAGATTTTCAAAAGTGTTCACGACCATTTGAACGGTCGCCAACTGTTGTGGACAAAGCAAATGTCCAAACGAATCGTGCCCTCATGACTCAAAACTGACTTATGGCCCAAAGCGCAAAGCATTAATCCTTGTACGGTCATCGTGTCGCTCGAAAGACCACCCATAGTAAGTCATAGTAAGACTGTCTTACAGTTGAATTTCATGTAGTCACGGAGACGGGACCAAATTCCGAGTAAATGAATTCCACACAGATGCTTCACCGACGTCGATTACAACACAACATACTCAATGGCACCAGTTCATCGTCAGCAACGTTTCACTCTCTGGTGACTGCCGCAGAAACTTTTTGGTTCCTAGTTCTGTAGAAAAAGAAGGTTCAATAAGCAATAATATCCTGTTTCAGCACGTGAATATGATGCAGGAGAGTCGTTTAGCTCGTTCTGGCCATCTGACTGCATCGTCGCGATTTTGGTGAGACAAATTCTGCAGAGGTGACGTCAAAAGACTTAACAACAAAGTCCACGTTCCAATACAGAGCAACGAGTGACAAGAAAGGAATCTCACAAGGTAACGCACTCGCAGTCCGTTCCATTTCTACCGCTCTCGTCTTAACCGAGCTCGTGAAAATTGCGTGCCAAAACGATTGCCCCGACATTTACACTTGGAGCTCACGTTCTTGTTCAACATCTTGCATAGAATGTCTGCCAAAATCCCAATCATTGTCGGAGCTGCCGACTACAAGAATAGATCCAAAGATGTTGTAGATGCCCTGGAACCTGCAGAACTTATGGCGAGAGCCATTGATGCTGGTAAATGTGTGGATATGACTACGGCCATTTACGCGGGCTGACTTCTCCCTTATCATGTAGCTTTGGATGATGCTGGCAGCAGCAAGATCCGTCAATCTGTTGATTCCATAGGTGCGCAAACACAAACGATGACAACCGTGTTTTTGCCATACTTGACCAGGACGAAAGCTGAGTCCGCCTTCTTTGTCTTGTAGATTGTGTCATCAACTGGGGATGGCCTTACTCTGACTTGCCTGGACAGTTGGCTAAAAGATTGGGACTCAACCCATTAAAGCACAAAGATCTCTCTGGAATGAATGGTGCTGAACCAAACCGATTGTTGGATGAAGCTGCTCGTCGAATCGCGTATGGAGAGACTACTGTCGAAGTGGTTACTGGTGGAGAGGCTCTTGCTTCGTGTAAGTCAGTGTTCAGGCCTTGAACGCCACCAATTTGAACTTGAACCGAACTGTTTGCAATAGTGGAGGCCTTCCAAAAGGCCAAGAAATTCCCTCCTCCATGGACACCTTCCGACAACACACCTACTGAAACTTTCAAGGTCAGCAACAGACCAAGAGCCAAAGACCTATTGCAAAGACACGGCTTCATGGTACCCTCTCAAGGCTACTGTCTCTATGAAAACGCATACAGAGCACACCGAAACCAATCTATACAAGCAAACCATGACGAATCCGTTGAATTGTATGCCGACTTTGCTCAAATCGCTAAAAAGCATCCCGCTGCTTGGAATTACGGAACAGCTGAAACTAAACAGACCATTGGAACCTTTTCAGGAAAGAACAGGATGATTCAATTCCCATGTATGTATTGTGTGGTTTGTATTCTTGTGACAATTGCTAGGTACTTCAAAAACTGACCTTTGTCGCCGTGCGTAGACCCATTGTTGATGAATGCATTCAACTCTGTCAATTTGGCTGGTGCTGTGGTGCTGACTTCTACAGAAGCTGCAAAGGCCATGGGAATCCCTGAATCCAAGTGGGTTTATATTTACGGTGCTGCTGGAACACAAGATAGTGGAAACAGTTAAGTCCTGTTGTTTGTAAAGTTCGGTATACCCATTTTTCCTCCCTTTCTTTACTAACATAATTTTTCACTCTAGTTCTATTACGTCCAAACTACATCGAAAGCCCCGCTTTGACACGGGCTTTGCAGACTACGATGAAGGTCGCTGGTGTGACTCCATCAGATTTGGATGCAGTTGATATTTACTCGTAAGTGTCTGCTTCATTTGCTTTACACGCCTTACTGTACTCATCTTTAATCGTTTTAGATGCTTCCCAATTGTACCCAAGCTTGCCTGGTGTGATACTGATAGCGAAAATCGGATTTACTGTCCCGTTCCGTATGCTGACTGTGTTCCCACTCTTTTTTAGCGCCCAACTGGGTCTCCCAGTTCTGAATGGTCCCAAACCCGTGACATTATTGGGCGGTTTGACTAGTTTCGGTGGTGCTGGTAACAGCTACTCTATGCATGTAAGTGTCTTCACACTGCGTTGTACGAGTATTCCAAGGGCTTTACCAATTCTTTTTTTTCCATAGGCTCTAGTCGCCATGTCTAAGAGCATTCGCGAAGGCAAATACCGTAAAGGCTTAGTATTAGCAAACGGTGGATGGCTTACATACGAATGGGCTGTAGTCTTGGCCAAGACTCCAAGAACTGATGGTGTACCATACACCACAAAAGCCGCACTTCCAAAAGAGGTCACTGATGTGCCTATACCTCCCATTGCTGAGGTTGCTAATGGTGCTTGTGTTGTCGAGGTATGTGTGTGACAATAATTGGTTGGTTTTTTGCGCATTGTCGTCTAAGTACTGCATTTTTCACTAGTCTTACACTGTCCAATACAGTCGCGACAACAAACCAGAACTCGCCATCATTGTTGGAAGACTCAATGCAACTGGTGAACGATTCATTGCAAATGAAGCCAATGAGCAAACGCTTAAAGAGTTTGTTTCGAGTCGTGAACCAGTTGGCCGTGCTGGTATTGTGACATCTCGAAATGATACTCAAATCAATATGTTTTCGTTTGGATCTTCTAGTTTGTAAAACCGGTGAGAAAGAAATAAAGTGTTTGGATGAACAAAAATAACCTGAAATTTCTGCTGAATACTCTTGCCCGTTGAATTCTATGTACGAAAAATGCGTTTATGTACTACTACTTTATACACTCATTGCGATGTGGCATCCTCGGCTTCCACCAATCCTTCACCACTACCAATCTTTCGGCCCGTTTTCGAGACGACGGTACCGTCTGGTGCTCTCTTTGCCTTCTTTTTCACAGACAATGGATTCGGCCCTTTCGTTTTTCGTCTATGTGGATGAAGAGGATTGATTGCTCGTGGTTCCTTTTTGGGTGTTGTTGCAGCAGTGGGTGTTGTTCCAGCAGGTAGCATTAGCATTTTGGACCTCTCCATCTAGTTTTGTTATAAAAGTTTAGATACACCAGTTCCCTCAAGCAAAGTCACTTTCTCAAGCTCACCTCCTGAGCTCGTCCATCCGTAGCAGCCGAAGCAGGCTCCAGAATCATGACACCCTTGTTGAAATACACTAGCGGTATACCCGGCACATTCCTCAATCTAGATCGCAACGATTTGTCTTGGGTAGCGACACAATATCGATGCTTGTTTTCAGGTCCAACAACACCAGTTAGACAAGCACAAGGTGACATTCGAGGCGTGTGGTGACATTTTCGTAATTCAATGTCTCGAGCGGCGTTCAAGGCTGGAAAGAGACCTAGTTCTCGTAGTTCGGTCATTACGCATGGGGTAGTCACTAGAAGTGTGTGATTTTGTTAAGAGTGCATGGGGTTTTCAGTTGCAAAAAAAAGTCTGATGTTGGTGAAGACATACTAAGTTTGACTTGTCCGACGAGTGTTTTGCATAGCTGGTCGTATATGTCTACCTTTGAGGCCACACATGCTTGTATGAAGTTCCCATCCACTAATAGATCAAAGGGTTAAAACATTGCAATTCACGTTTTTCTGTTTCTGCACATAGACTTGCCTACAACTTGATATGGTTCTCGGAATTTGAAGGAGCGCAGATATATGTACATCTGCCTCTTATTGGTCTTCTTCCTCGCTACCTTTGGCATGATTGAATGACTCTTGAGTGACTTTTAAAAGTTGGCAGCAGTCATCAACTCGCGCTGGAGACCAATCCGGTCTTGACTGTACGTGTCCATGAAAATGACACGTTATTACTGCTTTAAAGCTCAAAGTGCTCGGGGTTGAAAAGAGTTTTCGCCCTACCTAGTAAATCGTTTCGGGTGTTAGGCTCATGGCGCTTGCTTTGCAACTCAGCAAGTGAATGAGGATTGCCAAGACAATGAACTGATTGATGGGTTCTCCAGCGTCTAAAAGCAGTACCGCGTTGCTAACTGCTTCAACGTTCAAGCTGCTGTCGATCTTCGCGTCTTGTCGAAAATCAAAGGCAAAGCATCAACAGCTGGATGAAGAACCAAGCTTACACGACCCAGAAGGACTGCCAGTAAGTGGCAACTATACACATAAATCAGTTCTTATGACTGCCTGTGGCTGTTTTACTTGTCATTGACTCGAAATTCGAGTTTGCTCCATTCCGAAACTGCTAAGCATTTCCTTTTCAATCGCACATCTAGTTCGTTACGAGCTTATATGTGGACGGCAAGATCGTAGCCGTTAGGCCTGGTGAAAATGTGTCTAATGTGACTGCTTTGCTTCCAAGTGGGACTCAGCAGTCGAGTCAGATTCAACAACAACCGAAGACCGTGTTGAAGGAGGCTGACAGCGCAAATCTTTTGGTTCCCGAGGATACTTTAAAGTCGAGTCCTACAGGCACCTCCAACTACTTGAATCTGCCTTGGGAAACAAACTCTCGGCCACCTTCAAAACCATCGTGAGTTTAGTGAGCGCACATACCACCAAAGCATACTGACTGCAAATTTTTGAAACCTAGATATGGTGGTAGATCCATAGGCAGATCTATTGGTGCATTTAGCATCACAGCTCGCCAACACTCGACGGCTAGAGTCGAGAGTCATTCTTCAAGTCGGTCCGCACGTCTAAAAGCCAAAAGGATTTTCTCAACTGTACGTATCTCGTAATTTCAATGCACACGAATGGCAAAGTAATGAATTTCTACACATAGGACATCACCTCGTATGAAGACGAATTCAACATCACACCTCCCAACATTCGTGGCTACATTGCCAACTTTCCATATGAACCATGCGAATGTGACGAGCTAATCATTACGCCTGGAGATCTCCTTCTAGTTGAAGTGGCGTTTCCTGATAACTGGGCGTGGGCGTATAATTCGGCAACTGGAATGTCTGGAATGGCACCATTGTCGCTAATGTCGGTAGTTGACAAGACTGCTTCTGATCTAATGAGGTCGATGTCGCTATACGATGGAATGTTATCGTCGTCACCAGTAGACAAGTTTGAAGTACAGCCGTCAGATGGGAGTACATTTGATGTTATGATTAGTTGCCATTGGACGAATAGGCAGCAGGCTGTTACTATTGCAGATTATTTAAGAGAACGAGGCCTGAGTGTCTGGATGGACAAGTTTAGTTTAGGACGAGACATATTTTCGTTGCTGGGTCAAGCTATACTGTCTAGTAAAGTTGTTGTGCCCTTGCTCTCTGCCAAATACGAAGTACCTTGTCTGATTGTTTCACAATTTATATCCACAGGAAGTGCTAATCTGTTGTTTTATTAGCGCTCTGAGAGTTCCATGAAGGAGCTATTGTTCGCTGGATTCAAGCATAAAACCATCATATCGTTAAGGCTAGATTCAGGCCCATTTCACGAATCCGTGTCACTAACGGCAGGGACTAATCAGCACGACCTCGCTGCGTGTGGATCAGGAGAACCTCGTAAGAAGGTCCTTCTCTCCTTCTATGCCGATATCTTATCATCGCTACCGCGAGCAACGGCGATGCCATGGCCAACTCCCGAAATCGACTCCACAATAGAATCATCCGTAGTATTGCAACCAGATCAGCTTGAAGACAATTTAGAGGATTTGTTTCAATGGTTCCAGCCTATCGATATGAATTCAGTAGTTCAAGACTTGAAACACAAACGACTACCAAAGACTCGGAAAGCGTTGCTTGAAGAGTTTGTAGAATGGAGTGAGGAGGAGAAGCCGGAAGACTCTAGGATATTCATAGTGCATGGTGCTGCTGGGATGGGCAAATCTGTGCTGGCATCCGTCTTTGCCGTTAAACTTCAGAGATGGCATCGATTAGCAGCCATTTTCGTTTGTAAGAGTGCCCATGTATGTCACTACGATCCCTTTAAAATCATAGCAACGTGGGCCTTCCAGCTAGCGTCATTTGATCCTCGTATGAGAGATGCATTGAGACGACTGCTGAAAGAAGAACCGAACTTTCTGCAACGGAGATCTCTAGCTCGGCAATTCGAGCATTTGATTGTAAGGCCGCTGAAACAGCACGACTCTCGTAATGGAACCATAGTGGTAGTTTTAGATGGACTTGGGTGTGGACCGAAAGATAGCAAGCTCAGAACGGATTTCTTGAACATATTGAACGCCCAATGGAAGAATCTGCCACCCTCAGTACTCCTGTTTATTACCACTAGGCACGAGGAGGATATATCAACTAGGTTCGCGTGTTACTTGCCGAGAGTCCTTGAGTTACGACCAACAGATAATCATCACGACCTTCGTATATACGTGCTCGATCACGTTACCAAACTACGTAACCGTCTCTCTGGTCCAGAAACAATGAAGATGCTGGTTGATAGACTAATAACCTTGTCTCGTGGATCCTTCTTATGGATCGTTCTAGCTTTGGACGAGATCGATAAATCAGAATCAGATGAGCCGTTCGAAGCATTGGAACAGATCGAGCAGGAAGCTCAGGGAAACGATATCGAACGATTGGATGCATTATATACTAGGTCCTTAGCCAACGCACATAAAGGTGTAGGTATTGTGCAAATGGACTTGTATCGACGCATTGTCGGTACAGTGTTATGTCTTAAAGAACCTATGGGACTGGAAGGAATCTCTGGGCTGTTAAAGCTGCCAATCTCAAGAGTCAGATCAGCATTATCGCGAATCCAGTCTCTAATAGGTATTACCGATTTGTCAGTCCAAATCACGGATGGTGAATTGGTTGAGTATTTAACAAGTTGTCGAAGCCGGAATTCGGAGCTTGCCCGTCGCTTTTATATAGACTTAGAGGATAGTGAATGTGCCGTTGCTACTACATGTGTCGCAGCACTAGTGGATTTATATTTACTCATTCAGGCACCAATGACGGTGCAGGACAAGGTAAAGTATCTATCTGGAAAGAGCTTGAACATTGTACCTTACCAGTTGGAGTACTCTTGTCGTAACTGGGCATCCCATTTGGACGTTCTCACGATATTGGACAAGGACTTGTCGGCGGATCTCAAACACGTTTGTGATTTATGGGGACCTGCGTTATTGTTTGTGGCCATTCAGAAGGGATTGGCAGGATCAACTAGCTGGATTTTAAAAACATGTGGTGGGCCCGAACTCCTAAAAGTCGCTACTGAAACCATGTTCTACTCTAATCCAATCGTATGGGAAGCAACAAAGATGGGATTTGCTGGTGTTGTTGAAGCTTTGATCTTGTATGGTGGTGCAGACGTCAATACTCATATACCGGAACGAGGACAGTATCTATCCAATCTGTTGCATATGTCTGTACGTAGTAGGAATCTGGACGTGGTAAGAGTGTTGCTACGAAACGGTGCGAATATGGATGAAAGGTTTAATAATCTGGGATTGGCTAATGCCTTTGCTGATGTACTTACTATCATTGGTGAAGAAAGACAATCTCGACTGGATCTCGTGGAGATTGCTAAAATGGTGAGTTTTGATACAGACTCAAGAGAAGTTCGTAACTCAATGCGTTTCACGAACTAGGACGAGATCCACCGTGTTTGTAGAGACGGCGATATATATCGAGTAGCCAGATTGGTATCCTCAAACTACAAACGTCTTCAACGCCCACATCCCATCACGAAAAAGGTACCACTTCACTACGCATCAGAAGCAGGCCATCATGAAATCGTACAAGAGTTGCTCGAAAGTGGCGCCGACGCAAATATAATAGACGCAATATATTGGTCGGGCCTCCACTACGCATCTCGAAATGGTCATTTGAAGGCCGTCCAAATCCTTATAGAGCATGGCGCAAACGTCAATAGTAGAGGTAAAAGTGAATGGAAGGGACCTTTATTCAAGCATTGGAGTGCCACGCCTCTTTGTTTGGCTTCTGAGTACGGGAGGAAGGATATTGTCCAGTATTTGTTGGATAAAGGTGCGATTGTGCAACCAGACGATAATTTGTGGTCACCGTTAATGTATGCTGCTGTCGGTGGACATTTGGATATTGCTCGTGTCTTGATACAAGGTGGTGCACAAGTCAACGTGGTGTCATCGGTAGTCTTCAGTCCGCTGTTGCTGGCAGCCCACTATAATCGTTATGAGATGATATCATTCTTATTGGAGCAAGGTGCTAATGTCGAGATGGGACGTGTCGCACCAACTCCTTTATTGGTAGAAAGCACAGATCCAGTAAATATGCCACGAGTATCTCCTCTATATTGGGCCTCTGGTGATGGAGACAGTAGGACAATGAAACTGTTATTGGATCATAAAGCCAACGTGAACTTTGTCAATTACAATAGTATCGGACCGGTTAGTGCGTGGTATCAGGCAATTCATAGAGCTGCTGTTTGGGATAGTGAAGAAGCCATTACAGAGCTGTGCAGGAAGGGTGCAGTCGTAAATCACTTGGGTAAATCGTCTGCTGAGATGTATGAAGGGCTGCATGCCATGCATCTTGCTGCTTTGAATGGTGGGATTCATGCGGTGAGTTTGCCTGTGGCAAAACAGACAGTATCTCCATTTCATACGTTGAACGCTCAGCTGACAGTACATGTCTTCGCTTTTTGCCAGACGAGGACGTTGCTAGATCTAGGCGCTGATATAGAAGCCCGCAGCTACCAAGGTGAAACTCCCTTGATTGTAGCAGCAAGGGCACTTCATAGTTGCATGTGTAGATTCCTCACCATCAGAGGAGCCAATGTGAATGCAACAGGACCGCAAGGTGACACTGTACTGCATGTTGCAGCTCGAAAGGCAGCAGGTGCTGAGACAATAAGAATACTGCTTGAACTTGAAGCCAATCCGTTGGCTCTCAACAACCGGGGAGAAACCGCATTACATGTAGCTTGTAGACTTGGTCATTTAGGAGTCGTCAAGCTTCTATTACCATTTGGTGGAATTAGAATTCGAAACTCACGGGATCAGAGTGTGTTTGATGTGGCGGTTGAATGTGAACATTTGAAGCTCATTTCGTTTTTAAAGGAGCAAAACATAGACATTGTGTAGTAGCAGTAGTACTTTCATTTCTTCATTTTCTTAACGCGCAGTATGTAACTGTTTCAGTGAACTGTACTTCATCTGTAATTTGTCAATGAACAAAATTAGTGGATCTGCGTCCAAGGTTAATGTTTTCGAACACGTCTAGCTAGAACGTTGTTCTTGGGTTCAAGAGAGCAATTCTATCATCAAGATAGAATTGTTTTACATCAAGCTGCTGATCCAGCAGCTCCCAGCTGTCGTCTAGCTCCACTCCGGAACAACCGCGTCGCTCGCTCATCACTGATGTGGCACAATCTGCAACATACGAACAATCTCAAACAAAACTCTCCAAACTAACCTTCCAAGCATGCCAAACCAGGGAAGGCCTATACCTAAATTACCTGTACCGAAAAATGAGGCAGCTGAGAGAGCCTGCATGGACGTACTCGACAAGTTTTTTACTGAATTCAACAGAGAAAACGATGCCGGTGTCTGGGCCACGTTCCATACTCCTCATGTCCGTGTGAATACTGACACCGCAGTAACCACAATTTGGAATTCCATTGATGGTGAGCCGTCGTGCTTGATGGGACATCAAAAGTTTGGAAAACGTCACCTGGAGGTTGTTGCTGGCTTGACGCAAAACTTGTTCATATATAGAGTATGTGGCCATGCTGAATAGCCCAGCTTCAAAGGTATAAAGCCACGTTTTGATCGTGCTCGGCTGCTTCTGAGACGTTTTTGAAGGACTTTGTTCCAAGGCACGAAACCCGTGCACATTGTCATCAGACGGAATCTTGACCTAATACGAAGCATCATACATCATCTGTGACGCGTGAACTTTCCGCCTTTGAACGTCGGCTTCACAATACATCCGAACTAGGACGGGTCTTCACTGATTGCTCTTGTTTAATTTTCAGGAGGCCTTAAAGGACTGGCATCACACGGAATGGGACCACCGCAACGTGCAAACTTCATCGAACACGTTTGTTCGAATCGATACCCAATTCTCGAGGTGGAGGAAGGATGGCTCACTGATAGGCCGATTCAAACTCTGTTATGCCCTGACGTTTAAAGATGGACGGTGGGGCATTCAGTGTGTAGTGTAAAGAGAGGTAGAGACATGTTGATTTAAATAATATTTGAACGTGCTAGTCCGCGTCACTGACATGTTAGAGACCTGTACCTTGATCAGAGTTTTTGTGGATGCTGAAGTTCTATAACCATACCACAAGGACGCGTAGGTGTAATTACACTACATTCTTTTAAATGGCGCTTAAAATTATTTTAGATAGTGAAGAAGATACTATGGAATTGTGTACTAGGAAGGGCGCAGTTAGTATTCCGTGCATGTTGCTGCTGCGAATGAAGCTATTCATGTGGTGAGTTTGACTGTGCCAAAAGACAAGTAGTAGATTTGCGTCCATAGGTGTCTGTTTTTGAACGGCGCCGCCTAGGAAGGTCTTTCTCGATCAAACGAACAATGCCAGCATTGAATCTCACTTTGTCGCGAACTACTGATTGCTATGCTCCTGTAGACAAAAGGCACGGTCTAGCTCTCAAGTTCGTCGTTTTCGTCGCTTGGATTCCCATCATTCAGCACTTTTGCGAACGTTTATAGTAGATTAACAACATAGATCAAAAGTCTCCCGAGCCCCCGTAAACTTGCCACGATGCCAAACCTTGAGAGCATCTTATCTACCCCAAAAGATGAAGCAGCTGAAAAAGCTTGCCTGGGTTTACTGGACACGTTTTTCGTTGAATTCAACAGGGAAAACCACGCTGGAGTTTGGGCCACATTTCATGCGCCGCATGTGCGTGTAACCAATGGAGTAACGACAATATGGAACTCTCTTGATGGTGGGTCATCGTTTCCAGTGTGACATCAAGTTTTGGCAACCGTGGTTTCATGTTGACGCAAACTGGGTTCTATAGACTTTGTAGCAAGGCAGAAGACGCAAGCTCATAAAGTATGCAAATTGTATCCTGAAGTGCTCGGCTGGTCTGAGATTTTTTGAAGCAACAAGTGTGAACTGAAGTTCAGACACGACACGACGTTGTCACATTTGGAATCTGGAATCAAGACGGAGCGTCTTTAGTGCACGCGTGACCTCACGTTACTGGACATCACACTGCATCAAACTACTCCATCGATCTTCACATCTTGTCATCCACTGATTGCCAATTTTTTATGCACAGGAAGCTTTCATGGACTGGCACCATACTGAATGGGACTACAGGAAGGTGATCACTTCGTCGAATACGATGGTTCGAATCGATAGCCAATTCTCGAGGTGGAGGAAGGATAACTCTGTAATAGGGCGATTCCGATTGATTTACATCCTGACGTTTAAAGATGGACGATGGGGTATTCAATGTGTAGTGTAAAGAGAGGTAGATAGGTAATGATTTAATTGATTTTTCAACGTATTAGTACGCGTCACTGACAGGGTAGAGGCCTGCCACTTGATTAACTGTTTCTGCATAATGAACTTACACGACCACAAGAATGACGCGTACAGCACGGTGATTACTACGTTCATGTACGTGTAATCTTATAACAGACGCTGAAATAGCGTTCAATTGTGCGCTCGCTTGTTCCTTCCAAGCGTACATTCAACTCTCATTCACAACCACCATCCAATAATTGTCAAGAACGAGTCAAGAACGACGCGGATCTAGCATGGATACCAATGGCCAGATCCGATTAACAGCAGAGCCAGGCAGTGAAGACAATGCGCCGTCTCAGGGGGCGGTAGAAGCAGGTGTATCAGCACCAAGACCACCTTCGCAACCACTCGTTGAAGGACAGCCCGAATCGCCTAGGAAAAAGTCAGTAATTGGATCCGTTGCCAATATATCGCAGAGTCGCAAGCCATCTGTTATAAAGTCGGCCAGTCCAGGCAGATCTGGAAGTCGTAATTTGATTGCATCAAAGACAGCCCTTAATGATACTACGACAACAACTGCAACCGCAACAAATGGATCAACAAACAAGCTGAAAGGATCTACAAATGTTTTAAATAAATCAATGGGTAATCTGCAGAAGGATCGGTCGAGGAGTACGACTGAAAAGGCAGCCACACCGTTACTTCCTCCTCCTGTTGCACCTGTTGCTGCTGGAATAATACCAACGGAGGGCGTCCTTCCCGTCTTTATTACTGGCCCGACCCAGGAAATGTTCAAGATTAAAGGATCTGAAGATGTCACGAGAGAAAGACCGTTTAGATTGATTCCAAAGGTGGACCTGTTGGCGGATATAACAGCTCGAATCGCTATTTCGGATTGGTATCCCATCAAGAAGGAGATCATTGTAAGATGCCATGTATCTGCTTGAGTGAATGCTTCTTGTTGACACAGCACTGGGTTTCTGTAGGATTATCCTCAGCCAGAGATTCTGGTTCACTGGGATCCAGATTTCAAATTGGGCCAGAATTATTTTATTTGCACTACAGTTGCTGCTGCTGACTCTATTATGAATGTACGTATTGTGTTTGAATCCATGTTGATTTTTACCATGCAGAAAACCTGACGAGTTTCGTCCTGAATCGATCTGAATAGCCCATCGTGTTGCCCGCGCTTGGTAAAGAGAATAGTGCAACCAATATTGCTCCGAAAGAACGAAAATGGACTAGTCTTGGAAGTGAAGCGGAAGTTGAAGAAGAATGGGCTCAACCGAAGAGTGAACCGGTATATGCACTGATCACTTTCGCGTTGTTTTTTGCGAGGAATCTGACGGCTGTATTCGTCCTTTAGATTCAAATACAGTTATCACGTAAACGGAAGCTCTTTGGGGCTACCTGTACATTTGTAGATAGAGAAGCTTCAGATGGATATACTGAAATTAAACCCGTCAAAGATCCAGCACCTGATATTGCAAAGTCGGAATTGAACAAAGGTGTACAGGTAAGCTCAGCTCTCTGATGACGATGGTGCTTCATGACATGCAGCAAGTGTAGCTCACCCTTCACAACTAGGCCATACCACAAGTGACAACAACAGCAGCCCAAACTGCTTGGTTTAGGCCGCAGAATTTTGCATCACAATATCAACCAATCACGCTTCCAGTATCCGAGTGTGACCGAATCGTCAGCACAGAAGATATGAAACAATTTGTAAAATCTGTCAGTGTTCGTTTTGAACGAGCCTTGCTCCAAAATGATATGTTTGATATCTTTGCTGATGATTATCAGGAATTGGGAGACGACGATTTCGCCTTGGAACAAGGTGGATCACAAGCTCATCTGCAGGAATATCAATCATTTACAGATTTGAGACATAGTAAAGACCGAACCATATCTTGCATTGCTTGGCATCCTATACAAAAGGGTATTGTTGCTGTATCGTGTGAGCAGCGTGTCACGCTGGATGAACGTATAGAAATGGGACCGTCGTCTAGATCTCGTCAAGCATTAATCCTGATATGGTCGTTCCATGACCCTATACATCCACAACTCATATTGGAAGCACCCGACGATGTGCATTGTTTTGCATTCGCTCCCCATGATCCAAGTATTGTAGCGGCTGGTTGTATTAATGGACAGGTAGCTATTTGGGATCTAAGTGATTTCCAGGACAAGCTACGGGTTGGGCGCCGTGCACGTTCTGCTGGTGGTAATAGTGGTAATAGTGGTGAATCTGAAGTATCCGCTGGTCATACGGCTGCTGCTACATCTGCCATTGGCGCTGGTAAAGCACCCGAGATACCTATATGTCATTGGGCAGCTGCTTCGTCTATAGAGTCAGGACATCGTATGGCTGTTGGTGATTTGATTTGGTTTCCGAAAGGCATGGAGGTGCGTTCGTGGTTGGATTGCAAAAAAAAAATTGCGACGGTCTGTACAAGTACTGACACTGCCAACTCGTTTTTGATAGCTAAACTCACATACTGGAGAGATTGTCGAAACATCTGACGGTAGTCATCGTCAATTTATGACTGCCGCACTAGATGGACAAGTCTTGTTCTGGGATGTTCGAACTCGAAAGGATTTCCGTAGCATGGATTTAGTTTGGAAACCATTTTGGCGTATTACTTTGGCTCCTTCTGATGGTGCATTCGAGTATGGGCTGACCAAGCTTGCTATTCGTGGGCCTGTGAGAGAACGAAATGATGCCAAGGGGTCTCGTAAGTTTCTTGAAGGTATTCGCTATACATCATTTCTGACTACGTTTTCTGTTGGCCGATTAGAAAATATGTTGGCTGTCCATTCCGACAAGATTTTGGAGAAGGCCATCTCTAAATTCTTTTGCGCTACAGAGGTGGGCTTCAGTAACAAAAATGCTCAGGCTGTTTAAATGGAATCAATTTTTTTGGCTGATAGGAAGGAGATTTACTGTACGCGGACTGGTTGTCAGAAAAGTCCGACGAGAAAGCTCCAAGTGTGTAAAATCGATTCTCTGTAGCATTGATTGTTTGGATTTTTCTCACCACACAAAAAACACTCATCTATTGTCTAGCATCACGCATCGAATCAACGCTTCCCGCTCATCCTGGGTGTATATCAGATTTGCAGCGTTCTCCATTCTTCCCAGACATTCTTCTTTCAGTTGGTGGATGGACGTTTAGTATCTGGAAGGAAAAAGTTACAGTATGCTATGCACCATTCTTGAATCCCGGTTTTTTTGGCCACGAGGTATTCATATGTACTTTTCTAGACTGGACCGTTGCTGACGTCAGCTCCCTCATCAACGTATCTAATATCTGGTCGATGGTCACCGACACGTCCAGGTCTCTTTTTCATTACTCGTGCGGATGGAGCAATTGAGATATGGGATTTGATGGATCGATCTCATGTCCCCTCGTCAGTTCAAACCGTTTGTTCTGCTGGAATTGCTAGTATGGAGATTCATCAGTATGGTGGTAAGTTCCTGTAACTTCGAGATGTCGTAGGGCGGTGCAAGCTAGGAATTTGATTTTTGCGAATGTGACTTTAGGCAAAGCCTCTGAGAGGAGGCAGTTTATTGCTGCTGGAGATGATGATGGCTCGCTTCGAATTCTGGAGGTCCCACGAGGGCTTTCTAAGGCAGCTAGGAATGAGGTAAAAAAAGCCAAAAGATGTTGCGATGCCATCGAGATAAATCTCATCACGATCTCTTGACTCAACTACGATTCTAGCGCTCATTCGTAGCCAGCTTTTTTGACCGTGAAGTCAAACGACTCGATTACGTTCAAGAACGTAAAAAGATGCGAACCAACGATAAAACCAAGTTTGATGCCGAAGCCTTGGCAGCCAAAGCAGCTGAGGCTGCTGCTGTCGCTGCAGGTGGTGGTGCTAATGCTGCGGCTGGAGCTGCACCAGCTGCTGAATCAGAGACCAAGGAAGGAGAGGATGATCGGATTGAAAAAGAGTTTAAAGAAATGGAGAAACAGTTTCTTGAGAGTTTGGGACTGCCTGTTGAGGCGTAATTTACCTGTTGTAGTATAATCGTTCGTGTTAAAGAGCTGTATATAGCTGTTTGATAGATGTTACAGTTTGCCATGGACGTATTTTGCATACTCGTTTTTGTGCCTCTATGCAAATCAGAAACGTTAAGTCAAGAAATTGCGTTTGCCTTTTACATCTCTACTATCTCTACATTCCAATGCGTAATAATTCAAGGAGTGCTTAATAGATAGAAATGTAGACAGCAAATCTCACCAATGCAAAAAATAAGCTCAAGCCGTCAGAGTGGCTAAGGATCACAAGCTCAATGGTTCCAAAAGTATTTCCAACGATTAATGTGAATCTGAACTCAGCTGCTTCGTAGTCCTGACCCCCACCACAACTCCACCAACTTCCTATTCTCAACACCACCACTATTGCTATTCTCAGCAACACGAAAATGACTATGATACGATGATAAGCCAGAAGAGACTCCATGAGTGCCAATTGTAAGAAACAAACTGTAACAACAAAGAACAGCCAACAGCCACCACAGTATGCACATCGACGACGATTCAGGTTGAAACCCAGGGTGATAGTAGCATCGTCTTCAGTTTCACCCATGATGGCAGATAACTAGTCCTAGTTGAGTTCTTGAATTGGACGACAAACGTGGACAGTAATGTCCCACACATGTATTTGCCTTTATAGCTCTATATTCCTATCAAATGCGTAAATAATACAAGGTGGTGCTTCATTGATAGATATCTAAACACATCCAATCCCACAATGCAAAAAAAGACGACAATGCCGTTGCCAACCATGACGATAATTCAGTCTTCCACCATTTTCCTCAAACATTAATAGAATCCGAATTCCTCTGCCTCGCAGTCCTACCACCTCCAGTACTCCACCAATTCCCATTCTCACCAGCAACATTCCCATTCTCAAACCCACTATTACCATTCTCACCAGCATCAGGCGACGACAAGAAGGGCACATGCATACTAGCATCTGACGAATCCTTCCTTCCACCCATCTTAGTGTCTCTGCGTCTCGTTATAGTCGGTGTAGAATTCAGTCCACCACTACCGCCACCATAAGCCCTAAAATGCCATTTTCTGATCTCATCGGCAATCAAGACGGTGCTGGCCAGCAACACAAGCCTCGATAAATCGTATAGTGATATAGCTTCTGTCTGGAAGATTGCTTGTAAGAAGGGCACGTAGATTACTAGAAGTTGGCCCGATATCACGAATGCGGCTGCGTATAGAAACATTGGGTTGCTTGTTAGGCCGATGGTAAATATGGATCTTGTTTGGGAGCGACATGTGAGGGAGTTGAACATGTCGTAGAATACAAAGCAGGTGAATGTCTATACGCGAGATTGAGTGTGATGAGGAAGTTGCCAAGACGTGTTTATGCTGGCAAAAAGAAAGCTCCGAAATCCTGTAATAACATACCATAGTAGTGCCGTGAGCAGTTCCTGCACCCTCTTTACCTTCACTTTCATAAATTAATAAGGTACCACCTACTATTATTATGGCACTCAACAAGACTCGACCCATTAGTTTCCTAGTCACAATTGGTTCATTCGGTGACCTTGGTGGTTTCCTCATCACATCTGGATCTACAGGTTCAACACCTAGCGACTGGGCTACAGGACCATCACAAATGATATCTAAGAAGAACAAGCAGAAAGTGTAAGTGGGCAAACAAAAGCGGTGAAAGCTTCAAAATGATGACTTCATACTAATCCACAGTATTTGCATGGCATTAAGAGGATTATGCAGACCCAAGAATGTAGATATTGCTATTAAACTGATGGCAGCCACAGATGTCGATAATTGAAAACGCAAAAAGTTCTGTATGTTGTAAAATATGGATTTGCCTTCCTCAATGGCGTATAAAACCGTTGCTAAGGTTATGCGAAAAGATAAGCGACGGCGCTCAAACCTATTGCTGTGCAGTACTAACTCACTGAAATCATCATTCACTAGGATCATTTTAGCAGCTTCCTTGGCAACATCTGTTCCACTCTTGCCCATCGATATGCCAATATCCTGCGTAATTATTGAAACACGTGCATATTTAGCTAGCCAAAAACAGACATAACTGACTGAATAAACTTACAGCAAGTCTCAGAGCAGGACTATCATTGACACCATCGCCCGTCATGGCAACTATCTCACCATTAGCTTGAAACGCTCTCACAATAGCCATCTTGTGTTTTGGTGTTGCACGATGAAACACTCCAATAGATTCAATGGTAGCCTGTAATTGAGAATCACTCATAGCATCAACTTCTGGACCAGACATGGTACCAGATCTTCCCAAGAGTACACTCGTTGATGAAGGTGAAGGCATTATTCCAACTCGTGTGGCGATAGATACTGCGGTTTCAGCTGTTCAAGGGTTGAGTATAAACCGTTTGATTTCCTAAACACAAAGGGAAAAAACCGCATGCTGCTGATTGCATACCAGAATCACCAGTAATCATAACCACTTTAACACCACCCTCCAACAGCTTTTTCACTGCTTGAGAAACACCAGCTCGTGGTGGATCATGCATAGCAACAAATCCAGAAAACGTTAAATCACTTTCTTGTAGTCCATAAGCACAAGCAATCACTCGTAATCCTTCCGACGAGACAGTTGTGACTGCATTCATAATAGATTGTCGGGTTACACCATCTAAAGGACGTTGTTGTCCATCTTGCGTTAGGTATCGACTTGATTTCGATAAGAGGACTTCGGGAGCACCCTTTACGTTATATATTGGTGCTGAGGGAGCATTTGCGGGAGATGCCGCTAAGACGGACATGTACTTTCGTTCTGAAGTAAATGGTGTTTCTGATAAGCGAGCAATTGCCTATTGTAAGGATTTGTATTGAAATTTTGGTATAATGGTTTTTCTTGCGACCATAGACCAACCTTTCTCTCATCCTTGAATCCCAGAGAACGAGATAAAATCAACAAGGCGATTTCAGTAGGCTGACCTATGCTATTGTCGCCATCATTAATTTGGGCATTGTTGCATACGGTACCTGAAGAATTGTGGTGTGAGCTAGGGGCAAAAACGATTCATGCAACACATCCATACCAATTTTCAGGAGCGTCCCAACAGCTTGATTCTCAACAAGGCCAGGTTTTGAATAATGACCATCCATATCCACGACACCACCAGAGACTGTAAACAGCTTTGTTATAGTCATCTTGTTTTCAGTCAATGTTCCTAATTTTGCGCGATGCAATCGTCAGGCCAGCACAAAAAAAGTGGAGCTGCGCGAAGATTTTTACCTGTTTTGTCTACACAGATAACGCTCACAGAACCCAATGATTCGACAGATGGCAACTTTTTGATGATACATTGCCTCTTGGCCATTCTTAGCACTCCAAGGGCTAAAGTGACTGTGACGACTATAGGCAGGCCTTCTGGAATGGCTGCAACGGCCAAACTCACTAGATTTTGCAAACCTGTGAGTGTTAAAAAAAAACGTCCAAAGCTCCACTAAGTTTACCTCCGATGGTAAACATCTCCAACCATTGTCTGCCCTGTATTAATCCAATCAACATGATGACACCAATAACTGCCAGCGATAATGCAGATAATTGTTTGCTGAGTTGATCCATTTTGAGTTGTAACGGCGTTTTGCGAGTTTCCACCTAACATTTGAATAGGGCTTTTTTGCATTTTGTCGTCACAACAACCATGGCATAATTCTTACCTGATTCATCATGTTGAAAACAAATCCGAACTCTGTATCTGCTCCAGTTCCAACTACAATCCCTCGTCCGTGACCTAGTTTTGGTCAATGCGCACATGAGCGATAAAAAACCTGATCTGAGCACTTAACCATGAGACATACCATTCCGAACTAATGTCCCCATGAATGCTATATTCTTTCGGTCAGCAATTGGTAGGTCAGCACTTTCTCGTGTAATCTGTTTGGTATTTTTTCTACATGGTTCTGTTTCTCCAGTTAAACTCGACTCGTCAATTTCCAAGTCTACAGCCTGTGCAAAAGTGCGAAGTTTGCCATCAGTATTTTAACCAAAAACCCCCGAGCACCTGCAAGATCAGAATTTGCTAACACACCAAGGCTATTCTAATATCAGCGGGGATTCGATCACCCGTTCCAAAAACAACTAAATCACCAGGTACTAGTTCACTGGCCATCATGTTTAGCGAGCGTCCAGACCTGTGAGATAGGGCGAGACTGTGTTAGTCCTCATGGAGGCATTACATACCACATGTTTCACAATAGTTCTATACCGAATGACGTGACAACTATGAGGCACGAGCTTATTCAGAGCTTCGAGTGACTTTTCTGACTGGTATTCTTGTACAAATGCCACTAATTTGATCAAAAGAGTCAGAAACATGGGTGATAGTGAAGAGCTTTGTGTACTTGCCTGATACGACAATCACTATGGCCTGATGAAGAGCGAAAGGAGACAAGGAGAAAGTATATGAGCATCAGTTCTAAAATAACCAGGAACGAACTGCAACAAGAAAGAACACGCGACCACCAACACAAGCACCATTTGCGAGCATTCCACTAGCAGCCAAGTACTTACCAGGGTGATACTGATAGCATCTTCGATTTCACCCATGATGGCAGATATGGCAGCACTCGCCAGAAGTAGCAGTATCATTGGGTTCTTGAACTGGTCAATAAACTTGGATAGTAATGTCTCGCGGTCTTCCTGGACCAGTTCATTTGGGCCGGCCAGGCGTCTCCGGAAATCGATATCAGCCTCAGATAGGCCATGTTCTATGTTTGTATTCTGTTCGCGAATGACACTTTCCACGTCCCTAGATTGCATTCGCTGATTATCAGATTGCACGTTTTGAGGATACAAACCATATAAAAGCTAACAGATAGCACTTACTTTGTGGCATAGACAGCCGAAGGGCCCCCATCCTTCTTGTCTTTGGACAACAAATCTAATGCAACATCGCCCATCGCGTTGCTTTGCTGAGTTGCAAATTTCGAGGATTTGACAAGGTGCTACTGCTACGAAAAGGAGAACGTTTGGAGCCGTCAAATTATTGATTCTTACTACAAGACACGTGAAACTCTGTAATTTTAGCTTGGGATCTTTCTTGGAACTGTGGCATCAATGGTCGCGGAACTGAGCTATCGGTGTTTGATTACGACCACATGCAAACCCGTTGCACATCTTCATTTGATTTTATATGTGCCGAAACAACTTATTTTGTGTGAGAAATGGATTGACTCCCGTACTTGACTGCAAAAACCACCCTACTACTCGACCGACTTTCAAGAATCAGCACAGCTTTACACGGTTCTGGATCATGCCAGCCAACCTTGAAAAGTCTTGAGATGCATCCACGATACGCGGAATCGTATCCGTGAGCCCGGCTACTGATGGTGGATTCTTTGCTGCTCCATTACCAAAGCCACTAAAGTAAGATTGATAGTGCGGTGGAGCAATGTGGGCGAATGTGTTTTGCATGATATCATTCATATCAACACCAGAACAGTCACATGAAAGTACAGATTGGTCAATCTGGTTGACAGTGGTGACCGCCCTGTTGAAGAGGTTCACAATGGCAATAGCCTTTGGAACAGCAAGCGTTGGGTTAGAATCTTGGCCAAATCGATCACCAGCCACACAACACTATAGTTAAAAGCAATAAAAGAGGGTTGTACCTTGGGCTTGATTTGAGGATCCGTGGGACTAACGTCCTTAGCCAAGTTGATGAGCTCATTGGTATCAGTCACCAAGCTAGCCGAGAGGCTGATGAGCTTGGCAGGTGCTGCCTACATTAAGAAATGTTATGTTAGTACCATTCAAAGATCGTGATGTGCTGAACAATATCATGTGTATCTTACAGCTTGAGCACTAATAATGAGCAAGGACACAACACCAGCGATGAGAAAACGGAAGACCATTGTAGCGTGATTGTTTCGCTCTTGTCTTATGTGTTAATTCCTTTCGATACGTTGTTCTGGGGGTTGAGATAAAAACTGCGTAAACTACAATGTGGTGTGCACACGGGTTGTAGCTGCAAGGCGTCATGCTCACGTTTTTCCGTTTTAGTAATCCTGTGACCTATCCATTGCAGCATTTCAGGGCCTACCGTAGTTCCCTTTTGGCACCAATGGAATTGCATTCTTGGTGACGCAGATTCAAAACCCTCCAACTGGCTGGGATGAGCCTTTGCTGCACCCAAGTTGCAGATACATTGTCAGCAATCGCGATCGCCTCGCCTATGCATCACTTTCAAGTGGTTTGGTACATTTATTTTTAGCAGATGAACTAATACAGGCAGCCATGCAGCAAACACGTCGGAATTGAGCAGCACTTTTACAATTTATCGGCTGACCTTCGAGAATATCAGCACAAGTTTGCACGGTCTTGGATCATACCTTTGGAATGTCAAAATTTTCATCCAAATTCTATGCTAAGAAATAAGTTCCCAACCATCTTTTCAACGAGGTTGTTGATCTTCACCACTTGAACTTGAAAAGCCTCAGACTGTTTGTAAATGCGAGGGGGTCTATTCAATCAGAGATGGTACCACGACAATCACAAAGCAGAAAACAAACAGCAAGAGAAAAGGGATGTATGACTCCAGCAAGCGAATGTAGATGGCCTTTATGCTTTCGGATGCTTTTTGATGTTCCAGACTCGAGAAGACAATTGCTACACAAGACGAACACCCAAGTCAGTGCCAATAAAGCTTTGGCCAAATCAAAGAAAGTGTAATTCGGCAACTTACTCGCCAACAGTGAGGAGCTCCAGCTGTCTTGTCATCACACATCACGAGCGCATTCACGGTGAGGTAGTCATCCTCGGTACCCGTGGGCACATTCATTTCCACTTCTATAAACTCTTCGCTGAGTGGGTGACTGTGGGTAAGAGCATTTTCCGTGCCACTGGCACATTTTTGGGTCTGCGTAGTGTAGATAAAGCCTGGAAGACCAACAGGATGACCTTGAAGGTATAGACGAGAGAAATGAGTACACTTTGTTGATGTGCCAAAGCTGGATTTACCACAAAATAAAAGAAAATGGTCGTACCAGGTTGATTGACAGAAACCATGAGACCTTTAATGTTCATGTTCACTCCTGCAATCCCGATATACAGAGTTTTCCCTGCCTGAAAGCGGTCATTGTAACCAGCGCCACCAGCAGTTGATACGTTGGCGATAAAGTTGTTGTTTTGAGTGAATCCATGTTCGCCGTGGAAGTCACCCAAAGCTACGAACAAGGAGTCCATAAAATGAATTCCACTTTTGGTGAAAAGACGTAAGACGCATCAATGAAATCCTCACCCGCTTGGTCAAATGAACATATTCCAGCTCCATTTGGGTGTCCCTCACAGTAAGGAGAGCAAAGCAAGACAAGAAAGAAAACAATCACTGTAACTGCTGCTTTGACACTAGAATTTGCCATCTCGAGGTGTGTGGGATCTATTTTAAGATGATTGAGAAATTCAATAAGTAAGCCTTGACAACTACAAACTCCTTCCAAGTTTCGACAACAGAGCGAAACCTTACCTTATCAAGCAGGACGTTTTTAGTCTTGTCCGAGGAAGAGGATATCAACGGAAGACCTCATCCGTTGGCGGTCACCGCCTGTTGTAGACTAATGTTGTAGACGAAGGTTGTGGACGAAGGGGAACGTCACTCGCACATAATATTCTCACCAGGATCGTGAACTCCACAGAAAGCGACCCGCATTGAAGCTCAATTACTAAGGGAATTCGAGACTGTACTTTGCGTCAATCCAATCAAAACAAAATAGCGAGAAAACTAAACTATTACTTAACTCGGATTGGCGAGACAGTCATCGTTATTACCGGATGGTACAGTCATTTAATGAAAAGCGGGGTTGTCGGTTGAGCGAATTCGTGTGTGCAATCGATGCTGCTGCCACTATCAGGTTTCTTGGTATTCCTGAATCCCGAAAGGCCCACATTATGGCTTAGTAAACAAATGGAAAATGAAGGATCAGGTTTCTTCCTTTCTCTGTTTTTCCGTGCAGGTCGTTAACAACCTTGTATCAGGCTGATTGACAGATACCATGAGACCTTTGGTGTTCAACTTTTCACTGACAGCAAGGATTCCCAACCCTTGTCGTGCAATGTACCGGTGGTCTTGATTTTGGCACTTTACGAAAACACTCCAAAGTGGGAGGATTGTATAAAACCTCGTACACAGGACCAAAACAAGCATTGGGCGCACAAATCCGTATAGATGCTTCCACCCCTCATAGATCAAACTCATTTTCAACCGCCTTTCCAACGAGGTTTGGGTCTTCACATATAGAGATTTGGTTTATTTAATGAGAGATGTAACCACAGCAATTTCAAAGCAGAAAACCCACAGAGCGAAGAAACGCAGACAACTGCGGAGAGCCAAAGCAGATAGTTTTTATTCTTTTGGATGGGTTTTGTAGTTCCAGACTTGTGCAGTCACTTTCTACACAAGACAAACACCCCAGTAGTCAGGACAAATAAAGAGTTGGCCAAGTCAAACAATAGCAACTTGTCAGTCAACAACTTACCCGCCAACAGTGAGGTGTTCCAGAACTCTTGTCATCACACATGATGAGCGCATTCACGGTGAGGTAGTCATCTGTGGTACCAGCAGGTACTTCCATTTGCAAGAAGAGAATCGGTTCGCTGAGTGGGTGACTGTGGGTAAGAGCATTCTCCTTGCCACTGCCACAGCTTTTGGTCAGTGAAGAGTAGACAAAGCCTGGAATACCAGCAGGATGACCTAGAATGTAAAGATGAGAGATATGAGTACACCTGCTTGATGTTCCAAACTGGATGTACGCAAAGAGAAAAGATCTTACCAGGTTGATTGACGGTAACCATGAGACCTTTAATGTTCATGTTCATTCCACCAATCCCTATATAAAGAGTTTTCCCTGCAACAAAGCGGCCATCGTAACCATCGCCACCAGCAGTTGTCATTTTGACCATAAAGTTGTTGTTTTGAGTGAATCCATGTCGCCCGTGGAAGTCGTCCAAAGCTATGAAACAAGGAATGGATAAACTGAGCTGTATGTTTGGTGACAGGACGGAAGGCACAACAACAAAAGCTCACCGCCTTGATCAGAAGAGCATATTCCAGCTCCATTCGCGTGTGCGTCAGAGCCAGGAGAGAAGAGCAGGACAAGAGAGAAAGCAATCAAAGTAATTGCCGCTTTGATACTAGAAGAAAAGTTTGCCATCTCAAGTTGTGTGGAATCTACTTGGAGAGACTTGAGAAATGCGACAATAAAGCCTTGGAAGCTACAAATGCAATCCAAGTTTCGGAAACAGAGCAGGCCTTGCCTTATCAAACAAACGTTTTTGAACTGCTCTATATGTTATGTAGATCGGGATTGAAGAATCGGGAAATTGACCTCAAAGTCGGTTGGGTCACCACCTGTTGTAGACGAAGCGAAAAGTTCCCCCACAGGAGTTTTACTTGGGCCGTGAACTCCAAAGATAGAGAAAAATTATACACTCCAACATAATGATTCGAGTTCCACGTTGGTTTTGATTTTCTCGACATGTTGATAAATTGATCGGGAGCCTTGAAGGAAGAAGACACAATACGGTCAGCGTTGACAGACCCCCTACAATCCTCATTTGAAGGCAAAGTTGCTGGCCTGAGTCTCTCTATTAGCACTCGTAGAGTGAGCCAAGAAACCGAGAGGAATATTCGTACTTAAGAACTTTTCATCCAAAGAGGAAGACGTGCGACGAGACATCAAATGGTCCCTTACATGATGGAAGGAGAAGACGTTGTCACCTCGATTGTGGAACTAGTTTCAGAAACGTTTGCGTCAGGATTTAAAAAATACGAAGCCATCCAAAGAAGCTCAATAGAGTGTAGTCGACATTAAACTCTCCTTATCTATGAAGCAATAATCCGAATCATTCGGTCCAGAGTGAGCTCCTTTCCCCAGTGTTTCGCTTGGCCTTACTGCGTGAGGAAAGATACGAGGAGATGACAACCAAAACCTCCAAACACGGTGCAATTCAGGAAAAGTCAAAGGACTCATTGCAATGAGGATGAGGGAGGGTATATTGTACAAGTGGAATAATAACAAAAAATGGCTTCAATCACTATTACTGTTGTTGAGGTGGTAGTGGTGACTGCGGTTGTGGTGCTTCCTGCGATGTCGGTGGTGACTGTTCGTAGTCTCTTAAAATGTTTGCCGCGTATGGATGTTGATCGTCAGCGAATATTTTGAGTCTAGACATCCAAACATGCCGTAAATTGTTTTTGGGTAGCAACCCATATACAGCTTTTTGTAGAGGCTAGAGATGAAAGATTAAAGTCAATCAGAGGGTTCAAGCGTGAGATTCCAGACCGATAGCGGAGTGGATTCAATGAGAATGAAGAATAAGGTGTATACCGAGGTTGGATTCTTTTCAACGAGTTCCTTGAAGGAAGCCTTTCTCAAACCACCTGGCCATCCAGTATGCCAATGATACATTTTGGTGTCCTTTTTGTCACCAGAGAGGGCCACATGTCTGGCGTTAATGACTACAACGTAATCTCCAGTGTCGACTAATATGTGTGTTTTTTTACAACAGATGTTTGGAATGAGTTCATCGTGGAATCAGTCAAAGGAACGGATAATACATACCAGCTGGATTGTATATTGGTTTGTATTTGCCTCTTAGGGCAATTCCAATTCGTTGGGCTAGTCTTCCCAATGGTTTGTCTCGTGCATCAACAAGATGCCATACTTTGGCATAGGCCAATCCAGTCTAAGTGGAGATGGGTAAGTAAACGATGAATGAACGAGATGCATGCAGCTACCGTCTTGCGCTTACCTTTCCTAATGGACTCCAACTCATACTCTTAGTCTGTCGCTTGCTATGAAATTGAAACGTTTTCGAATTGAGCTGCTTCAAGCAAGGACACTGTAGAGACTTCGGAAACGACCCTTAAGTGGTCGGATCGTTTTAAAACGCGTAGGAACCTTGTCAAATCCACTTTCTTCGGATCAAAACTCAAAAGTTGTGCCTGTTATCCCGACCTCATCAAAAAAACCAAATCAAGCTTAGGCACCAAGAACTGGACGCGAGATTGCCGGACTGGAAATATGAAGTCAATACTATGGACCCTTATTCTGCTATTACTCAAACTCGCGATCAGTAATGCTGCCAACCAATGTCCTGTCCAAGACAAATGTACTGCACAATGTACTGCTCAAGAGGCCATGGCCAAAATGTGTGCTCAGGCTAATGTATGTTCAAAATCCTACAAGTACAGCTGCATTTGCTTGCGCTACTCTGCTATAATGTTATACGCTTCTCTCGTTTTTGAAAGACTACAATACCTATCAAGACACTCGAGATCTCACACATACTCGCACATATCTATCATATACTCACACTTTACTCAACTTTAGAACAAGAGAGACTGTATATGCACGAATGCCGGAGATGTAGCTGCCTGTGCTCAGTGCCTCCAAACCGAAGTTAACTTGCAGGCAACTCAGCTTGGTAACTATTCGTCAACACAACACACAACATGTTTCCAGTATATTCCGGATGACAAAGGCCCTCTGATCCGAAACTTGTTCATCTAGGCAATGCTCTCAATAGCATTGCTACCGATTGCAAGACAAACGCAAACCTGAATGTTGGTGCTACTGCAACGATTCTAAATGTAGCAAAGACCTGCAAGAATCAACTAGCTGCCGCCGCAACAAATGCTGCACCTGCCGTGACAGCTGCAGCGCCGCCGCCTGCTGCTACTGGCGCTGGAAAAGCTGCTGTTGGAGCTGGAGCGACTTGTCTCATTCTTCCATTAGTCATCCCTGGACTTCCAGTCATCAAGGATGGGGCTGCTCCAATAGTCGCGAATCCGAATGATCCTCCAGCGGCTGTTAATCCAATGGCCATGGCTGGAATGTTTCTTGGTGTCAGTAACCCGGATCCATCGCCAGTACCATCACCCAGCAACGTCAACTTATTCGCTGCCGCCGCAACGACAGCTCCTGTTGCTGCTATGGCTGCTGCGACTGGTGCTCCAGGCGCTACTGTGAGTTTCGAACTGCTTTGGCCTTGCACTTCCTTGCAATATTTTCGAAAATCTCACATTCCTCTTTATGAAAAGTGTCTCATTCTTCCGCTCACAATCGCGGGCCTCAAAGTACCTGCACAAGCGGCGCCGGTAGCCATAGCTGCTCCTAATGATCCACCAGTTGTTGGCGGTGGTATGAAGAATGGAAATCTGACAATACCCTCGCCAGCCGCTGGTAGTCTCGTAACCATGGCACCTGGTGCTCAGTATACTGGTACTGGTATGAGCAGCATGTTGTCAGTCCCTGGTGGCTACAGCGTAAGTTTGCATTACTAGTTTCGACCAGGAAATGCTACATCAGTTGTCTCACACCTCCTTCACCACAACAAACAACAACAAATAGATGCCACCATACTGTATTCCCATGCCAGGAACTAAGCTAATGGGTGGAGCTGTATCTGCGGCTTCATTTGATAGTACAACCATGTTTTGGTCTGTATCGATTGCCTTGGTGTTTGCTTTGATAGTATAAGAAAGACCATTTCTTAGTGATTGTTAATTGTCCCCGCTGTGTGCTTTCTTATAGTTTTGGTTCAAAAATAAAGTGAAATATTCGCTCATAGTATAGCATTACGGTTGCAATGGAGTTGAAGGCGTTTGTGGGTTGCCTGATAAGAAAGCGTTTGTAGTGTCTTTGGCACAAGGGGTGTATCCCGGCTCACTCGGTAGGCTGAAATTGTATTTACTGTACGACAAATATTGATATTGACTCATCTTCAAACTAATGAGTCATTAACCGAAGTTGAGGCGTTTTGACTGAAAAGTCAGCAAGACACCAAAAGCAGCGAGTTTGCTCACTATCGACATGCACATCATAGTAGACTAGATGAAGGAGCGTGTCTGCAATTGTATAATATAGTTCGTTATCATAATTCAATACTCTGCTAGTCTCATCACAACTTTCCAAGCAGCGAAACGTCACATACCCAACACACTTTTTGTGAACGCGTTTTACTTACCCAGTTCACCATAATATAGAACTGCATCAGCATAGACGGCATTTGCACCAGCGCGAAGATTGATTGCCTTCCTTTTCCTATTATGCGTATGAGCATATCTTGCTGACCAACACACGTTTACTTTCTCTCGAGCACCCAACAAGATACAAGTTACTAATTATATAACTCGCAAGCTTCAAGTCATGGGTGCCACATTTCTCGTCGTAAAGCAAAAAAAGAAGGTACTGGCTTGTCTAAATTGTTGTAAGACGTTCTGTCATCGTCGTACTCGTCGCTAGCTCTGAAAATCGCCTGAATTGTTTTTTAGATTCTCAATTCTCATGAGAAAGGATGGAGGCGAGCCCTCGTATTTGAAAAGAGCACTATATTGAAGGGAAAATACACCAAGGAATTCTCTTCTTCTGCTGTTATTGTCTACCACACTACACTGCCATCACAGTCATCGTCATTGACTGATGCTGATGAAACTAACGGATTCGTGGCGAAAAACACGATTTCCACTGTTTCGCCTTCTATGCATTCCGAGTCAACTGCCTATTCTGTGGTAAATTCGGATTTTTGCATACTGTTGAAATTCAAAAGATGAAGACGGCACTCGCTGCTGGTGAAAGTAAGTGCAGGTTACCCCTAAATTGACTTTACAAACAGAATTGAAAATCTCATCACTTTCTTTTGACGTCTCTAGAATTCACTTTTGTTACTCATGTTTATGCTGATGATTCGCTTCTGAGACAATTATCTGCTGTTTCGTGAGTACTCTACCGTTTTTGTCTTTGTGCATACGAAAATTTGGTAATATCAGATAAGCAACTCCTAACGCTCCTTTTTTGGTTTTGTCAATGTAGTTACGGTATTGGTAGTAAGCAAGCTATTGTCAAGGTCGAAGGCAATGCCGAGGACAATGAAGGTACCAATTGTCATGTCTTGTATGAAAACACGCAGCACACAAACGTATTCACCTTTCCTCCTTCCATCAAACAGCCAAACCAGCCAGTGAACCTAGTGGACTCAATCCCAGCGAGTTGCTGGGATCGCCATGTGTAAGAACCGACTCTCTCATCTCCCTGCTACAATCGCCATCACGCCAAGTGTCACAGCCTATAGAACATCGCGAGCCTGATTCAACTGTATCTACATCGTCCGGACTCCCTGGAGAATCAAAAGCTGTAGGGTTAAAGGATTGTGAAAAGTAACAACTAGAATACGATGCAAATGATTCTGCAGTTGTCCATCAACCTGCCAGTTTGGAAGACGAAACTGCTGCAATCGACTCGCGATATGGAAAAGGGGCCAGCTCCCATATCGAACTAGAATCACGAGTGTCCGAACTCCACGGCCAACACCCGAGCCTACGACACTACTCTAGACCAATCACGGGCAAAGATTGCTGCCTTGACCACGAAACTGTCGTCGGAACGAGCAGATCAAGAGGCAGATAGACAAGTTATAGTAGATTCTCGAAAACAAGTAGTAGACTTGGAATACCGAGTCGCTTCTGCCGAAGCCGATAAAGATGTACAAATCTTGGAGCTTGAACGCTCTCGACAGCCAACAGCTGCTTTGGAGTCTCGATTGGGTTTGACATCATCTCAGAGAGAGCAAGTCAATGAGCGAGCGCCTGCCTTTTCTGCTGTTGGATTAGATGTTATTGATGCTGAGAATGATTTATGTGTGAAGCACTTTCAACAGTCCTGTTCTCCTTTGTAATACTCACACTACGTTTCTGCTCAATGTTGCAACAAAATCCATACTTTAGAAAGACCTTGATACACTGTAAATAAAGCCTCCTGTATGTAAACACCAATTCAAGGTTTAGTGTCTTGCAGTTGTGAACAATGAACTCTGTCATTTGACACGTTTGATGATAATATTGGGCAATAACAATGAAGTGACGGTATGTTTGGGATGCCAATCTAGACATTCACATTTATGTTAAAAAAACACAGGTTGGGAATGCCCATATGAATATCATTGCTCAAGGAGAGCCCTTGAAGTAATCATACGCATCACTTCACTAGTACCCTCTAATATCTGATGCACACGTAAATCACGTACGTATTGCTGGACCTAAGTATTTACAAAAAAGGGGTAGTCAGAAAGAATTCCCTCAACACTGAGAAAAGACACAAGGTCTACTTTCTGCTAGAGTTCATACCTTGTAATCCTTCAAATACCCATACCCTCCATGCAGCTGCAACGCAACATCCGCAACCTTACTGCACTCTTCAGTAGCGTACACTTTGGCCATGGCACACCATGAAGGTGCAGAAGGATGATTTTCATCCAACATGGCAGCAGCTTGACGGATATACATTCGTGAGGCGTTTAATGCGATTGCCATGTTTGCCAGTTTGAATTGCACGTCTTGGTTTGCTGAGAGTGGTTTGCCGAATTGTTTGCGGACTTGGGTGTGAGCGAGTGCTTCTTCGAATGCTGATTGTGCGCCTCCGAGACTTGCTGATGCTGTAAGTTGGATGGACAATAACAGAGGAAAAGTGAGTGAGTTTGACTTGGGCAGTCTCCTTCCAATAAATTGCCGAAGGTTTTTTTCTCCTCTCCAAATATCGACTCTTACCGATGTTAATTCTACCACCATTTAATCCCTTCATGGCTATTGAGAATCCTTGACCTTCAGCTCCCAGTCGATTCGATATTGGAACACGACAGTCTTCGAATATCACAGCTGTAAAAGAAGGCCATTGAGTGTGTGAGGTCTACCATAACATCCAGTCATGTGAGTGCATCTTTTTTGGTTCGTACCTCTGGTAGGCTGCGAATTCCATCCAACCTTCTTCTCCTTCTTCCCAAACCCAAGTCCAGGAGTACCCTTTTCCACAAGCACACACGATATACCCTTCGCACCAGCACCACCAGTTCTGCACATGACAAGATAAATATCACTGTCACCACCACCTGAAATGAATGCCTTTGATCCATTCAGGATGTAGTGGTCGCCATCTTTTTTTGCGGTAGTTGATAATGAGGCTGCGTCTGACCCTGCTCCTGGCTCGGTAAGACAGTATGAAGCGAATTTGGACATTGTTGAGAGGGATGGAATGTGTTTTTGACGGAGCTCTTCAGAGCCGTAGGTGTCAATCATTGCTGCTGCCATGCTAGAAAAACAAAACAAAGGCCAAGGGAAGATGTCAGACACCAATTTACCACATGGAATCTTCCTATTTCCAGCATAACACGTGCATCACGTCAATCCACACAGCGACACTCACTTGTGTATAGACAGGAAGGCAGTGGTCGAAACACATCCCGTACTCATAGCCTCTATAATGAGCGAAGCATCCAAGCGTGACAAGTTGGTGCCTCCCACATCTTCACGTACATACATGGCACCAAATCCCAAACCAGCAGCTTTTCGTAGTGCATCGACGGGGAAGGTTTCGTGTAAATCCCATTCGAGCATGTTTGGAGCGAGCTCCTTGTCGGCGAATGTCTTTGCGGTGTTGTAGTATTCAGCCTGGTCGTCTGTGAGGCCAATGGTAGCTAGATGTAATGATGTTGGGTTAGATGATTGCTGATGCTAGGAGCAAAGCGAAACAGCAAAACAAGCACGTGCTTCAGAAAACGAAAACTTTGGAGGTCACTGGGAATCAAGCCGTAATGTTGACATGAATGAAGTAACGTAAAAAGCACATACTGTTGACCACACTCGTAGACAGTGTTCTTGTAGCAGCACGCTGGCATATCTTTATGCGTCCGAGATGAGAGGATACACGTCCTGCCTGCAAAACTAGCCTCGCTGTTGTATTCATTGTCGTAACGGGAGTATAGTCAGGAATCCAAACTCCAAAAAAGTTTCACACCAATGAATCAGGAATCAGGCACCTCGTGCAGAGCCTTCGCAACGAATTTCACGTGACGATACGCGTCAAGGCAGTAAACAATGCTCATATTTGGTCTCTTGACACGTTCAAGTGGACTCTGTGGTGTCCATTCAGCCCTCTACAAACTGCAACATTTTGTTTATGTGTGAAAATAGAGAACTCAGGGCGGTGGACTTGTGCGGTTTTTGAGGATCATACCCGAACTCTGATATCTTCAAGGAGGACGGAATCTCTTGCTTCTCCAGCATCATTTATTGTACTGGTCGTTTCAATAAAACATTATGTTATCAGCATCAGACTCTCTGGACTTTCAAGGCACAAAACGTAACAAGATCCTCATCATTGGGCCTGATCATACCGTAATTCTCAGCTTTGTCACTCGTAAGTCATCAAGTTGGTGGATTCGTTGGTGGGCATCACTATATCTTTGAGGTAGGGTGGTTTTTTGCTCACCTCCAAGTCCTTTTCATACAGGACTGCTACGAGATACAAACCAATCTGATCTCATCCAAACACACTTATCATCACCTGAAATACAAGACGGACTGACAATTCCATACACGCTGGATACAAGATACTATACTGCCCAAACCTCATTATGGGTCGCATCAACCGATACTGCTGCTAACGATATCTCACATTGGAATGTGGTTGCTCCTGCTATCGATGCTGTCATATACGTGTTTGACCGGGCTGAGGTATTGTTCTCGTTTGATGACACCTTTTCTGCTTTGTTTCAGACACGCCTGACTCTCGTAATCATATATACGTAGCCTACGACATTCACGCATATACATCCATGGTCGGATTTTCTGAGTAGCCATGATCCGAACGTATCGCTATGTGTTGCTCATTCGATGGACGACAGACAAGACAGCAGTAGTGGACTAGACGCTTGTGAAGATTGGTGTATAGATCTTGGATTTGAGTTTGTAGATGTGTGTGCTTCCGCAACTAGTGAGGATGCTGGTGATGGTGGCAATAGTGATGGTGAGTTGACACCTCTTGAAGGTTTCCAGTACAGCAAAAAGCGGAACGCAACTTTCGACGAATTGCCCCATCGAGCTTTGCTCAATCATTTATCTACTTCAAATCCCTAGCAGCACGAGAAAAATTCGGCTTCCCTCGAATTATAGAAGCACTAGAATCCAACATGTGGGATGGCCTAGTTCGCAAACCAACACGGACTAGTGGTGTGTCTGGTGATATTACAAGTGCACAGAATCGACTGTCTGCTCCTGTTACCACTAGTACCGGTAGCAGAGGTGGATCAGACCTAGCAGCCCTATATACAGAAACCATGAGTTCATTTGCTCGTGAGTTGTCTGATAATGACGATGAAGATGATCTTGATGCAGAGGGGTTCGAGGTTGCGTTGCAGAGGTTGAGACATTTACGTGGTGGGTGATGCGAATAGATTACTGCCTTCTTTTTTTTGCCGTGACTGGCGAGACAATGCAATGCTAATCACCTGGTTTTATTTATCTTGTAGAGCAATCAAAGCTCCTCTCTGACGAAGAGAGACGAGAGCTGACTGCGAAGATATCGTCAACGTTGGATGATGACGATAAGGACGATTTCGGAGAGTTTATGCGTGCACCAACAGTTGTAGGTGAACCTAGTGGTCTAGGTAGATAGCTTAAACAAAACTTTTGTACATTCAGTCATTTGTATCTCTTTGTAAAACAGCCTGTGTATAGGTCACGAACATGCAAACATTTTCACCTAACTAAAATATGATGTGGTTTATAATATGCAACCTTTTTTACTTGTTCTTGCGTACAACACTGCAACTACTGCTCTATGTAGACAACCAATCCCGCACATTCGTCTCATTCTCAAGATTCCACACCCGCTCAATAAGTTTCTTGACTTCCTTTTCAGTAGCACCGTCCCCATATTTCACCAGCTTGTATGTCTTTTCTTCAAGCTCTGGCCGTGATAATGTGTTTCCTGGATCACCTTTAGGTTCGTCGCAACGAACAGTTAGTGTCCTGCCATCGGTGGTTTCTACATCTACGAGACCAATCCATCGTGCTGGATATGCCTATAATAATTAAAGGAGGGTGGAGTCAGGATGAGCAAAAAAAATGGTCCGTGGCTGTAAGGTCTTGTCAACCTCAACTTTCATGGCATCAACAATTCACATACCGCTTCAATGACAGGATCAACGACCATCTCAACCTTCCCCATAAACTCTCTCAAATCACTCTCCTTTAGGGCAGCCTCGGTGAAATCTGTGATTCCAGCTGATCCTCGACATGCAATCATTGCCAGTACAAAACCCATAGAGAATTTCGATTGGTGGATTGTTGTTGCGTTCTGGCCGGCTGAGAGGACGTCGACTGCAGCTTGATATACGTGGGCGGTTACTTTTTTGATTTGTTGTGGGGTGAGGTTGTGTTGACGCATTGCTTGTTGGAGGGCGTCTGCGGATGGATGTGTGTGTCGGCTAGGTGTTGAAGAGAAAAGTTAGAAAAAATTGTTGTCAAAGTTGACAACTATACACGAGAACGATTTCCGTCTTTTTGCATCCCTGTAAACTCACCATGAAGCATGATACTTGAAGGACGTCTCCATAAGCGCCCACCTCGTACCATCAAGCCCCGACGTCAATACCTTCGTACTAGCCCCCGGATTCAACATGGCATTAGCCATCCCCTGCTTTCCCTCCAATATCTGACTCGCACCCGTAAATCCATCTTTAGCCAGATACGCAGCCATCAAACCATCACCAGCGGCCTTTGCACAATGCAACTGTTTAGAATCAGCGGCATCTCTCAGGAACTCCCATAGTCCAGCAGCCTGAGTGCCCGCAGATCCAAGAGCGTTGAGTGTCTGTTCAGGATTTAGAGATAGGATGGAGGACGTGGCAGCAGCAGCACCGAGAGTGCCTGCGGTAGCGGTTGAATGGAAGATCTTGTAGTGATTTTTGCCTAGGAATTCGCCGACACGGATTGCGACTTCGTAGCCTGCTACTGATGCGACTAGGAGGTCTTTGCCACTTGCGCCAGTTTCTTGGGCTGCTGCAAGGGCTGCTGGGAATATGACCGCTGCTGGATGGACTACTGAGCTATTGTGCTAATAAGATTGATTGATGGAGTTAGTTAACGTGATTACATCTGTTTTGGACCATTTCATCAATCTTACAATGTCATCTTGTTCCACAACATGGGACGATGCCCCATTCACATAAGCAGCAAATAGAGGAGAAGTTCTACGCCTGTTAGTCAACAATTCACAAGCACCGGTAGATGGCCCTTGTCTGGCAGCAAACTTCTCCAGAGCTTTTATAGGGCGAGATGTTCGACCAGCGATTCCTGATGCCGCCCAATCCAGAAACAAGTCCTCAGTTCTACGTTTGACTGCTTGTGGGAGCTGTTCGATGGTTAGGCCAGATACGAAATTGGCGAGCTGGCGAGACATGTTAGCTGGTTATGGTCGTGACGTCGTATTGAGTGTAACAAACTACGGAGAGTCTCGGCGTGTCAATATGTGGACTAGTTTCTCTTGTAGTAAAGTAGTTATACAATATACCTTGATTCTATGATACTGGATGGACGCGATTGACACGTTCAAATTAGGTAGCTGTGGCAAGATTCTGGTCCAAACATCTTACAACTGATGTTGTCAATAGTTCGACGATTGTTCGACGTGCAAATCGCGTTTAGATCACGTTCCGGATAGCATGGAAACGTGGATTAGCAGTGTTCTCTTCCAAAGTCTTAGTGTGGTGTGAGTCAGCATCACCAAAGTCTCCAAATTTCAATTCCCGACATTTTGGTTGAAACTAGCTTATACAGCAAACTTTGGTTGGAAACAGAGGGAACGGAGGCATAGCTCGCTGAGCACATACTCTATTCAGGAAACCAAGTTGAAGCAGGCACAATGTTTGCATCTCAAACAAGTGAGTTGAAACCATTGAGTCACAGTTACAATTGGAGACGGTGATGTTATATTGTTATTTGGAATCGAACACACAGTGAATTCAAATATTTATTCTACTTAATCTCACACTCCAAATTACTCTCCTTCATCAAGGAATCTCGCCAATTGTGGCTCGAGCATTCTTCTCAATTCAAGGAACTCGACGAAGCTTGGTCAATGTTACTCCTTCTCGAGTACGATCTGGTGCTAGTCGCTTCATCTTGTTCTCGGGCTCGCTAGTTACTGGTGTGGCTCTGGGTGTTGGCATGTGGATTCAACAAAACTCGGTCGTAAGTATCTTGGGTGTGTGCAGGTTTTTTTCCTCTTGATCTTTCTATTTGACTCAGCTATTTACCATTATATAGATTTTCGCAGATGCCAAAAAGCCACAAGCCATCGCATCATCATCCGTATGTGTCAAATTGAGAAGGTTTCGGATTGGCAAAAAACCCCCAATGTCTTTGGTCTGTATTGATCACACGTCATCACCTAGGATAAACCACCCATGCGAAAACAAATGGAACTATTCGTAAAAGACCTCCAAACCGAAATAGTATCCGCCATCCGAGACCTAGACTCATCCGCAACCTACACTCGCGACGCTTGGACACGTACAGAGGGCGGTGAAGGCATATCATGTGTCATGCAAAACGGCACTGTATTCGAAAAAGCTGGTGTCGGTGTCTCTATAGTAGGTGGCACGCTCGCAGAGGGTATGGAGAAATCCATGCGAGCTCGTAAAAAGGATGATCTAGGTCCTGGACCGTTTAAATTCTTTGCTGCTGGTATATCGCTGGTTATACATCCACATAATCCTATGGCACCTACTGTGCATGCCAATTATCGGTACTTTGAATTGAGAAGGGAAGAAGATGGACCACCTGTTTCAGCGTGGTTTGGAGGTGGATGTGATTTGGTACGTATCAGATGATGCGGTTGCTGGTTTTACTCTACGATTTTTTTTGCCGATGATCTCAATCTCGCCAATTTTGGTCCGCTCCAAACTTGTGCTTACTCCGACACCTTGCTTTATCTCACCTTTTTATAGACACCCTCATATCTATTCCCAGAAGACGCCATCCACTTCCATCAAGTAATCAAAACAGCATGTGACAAGCACAACCCAACATACTATCCACGCTTCAAGAAATGGTGTGATGACTACTTTTACATACCTCATCGAGGTGAACGACGTGGTATAGGAGGAATCTTCTTTGACGATTTGGAGTCTGAAGGAACTCCAGACCAGCTATTTGCTTTTGTCAAGGAATGTGGCAAGTCGTTTGTCAATCAGTATATCCCGATTGTAAAACGACGTATCCATTTGCCGTATACGGATGCTCAGAAGAGGTGGCAGCAGATACGTAGAGGACGTTATGTGGAGTTTAACTTGGTAATGTTATCCAAAGTAATTTGGTGTTTTTTTATGCTCCTCTGGTTTCCTGACCTCTGCCCATGCAGGTGTATGATCGAGGCACCAAGTTTGGATTGGCTACACCGGGAGCTCGTATTGAATCTATATTGATGAGTTTACCACTCACAGCTCGTTGGGAGTATCAGCAAGCTCCAACTCCAGGATCAGAAGAGGATAAATTGTTGGACGTGCTGAAGACTCCCAAAGAGTGGCTTTAAAGTCGAATTAAAAATGTATATGGACGGCCCATTCAATAAAGTTATTCACGCGTAATGAGCATCGCGTGCAAAAAAGTAATCAGTCTGCTCTGGCCAGAGGAGCTCCAAACTTCATGACACGAAAAATCACGACATCGTTAGCGAAACATCCGAACATGAACATGACAGCTCGCCAAGCAGTGAGGCTGTCATGGCGGGCAGCTTATAAATCATGCCAGCCAGCTCCAATACGCAGAAACATCTCTACGGGCTGGTTTCCTCGCTCCAAGCAAATGCACGCCAATTCTCTGTTTTTTGGAAGTGCTGCCATAACAGCAACATCAGCAATATTATTAGCATACCACTATCATCTAAATCCATCTATAATATACGCTGATGCTGCTCCTCAACATGCAGAAATGGCAGATTCGATCAGTGCTAAAGGAGGACAACGAATGGAACCTACCACGAAAACCTTGGTACCTGAATTCATAAAGCAGCATTATGCCGATAAATTGGGAGCGTCTAAGAGTGACGAGTATTGTCACGAGTTTCATCTTATTGGTGTTGGCGTGAGTGAAACCTGAAAAATTGGATCGGTAGTGACATCTAATGGTTCTTCTTTATCTAGGTCAGAACAGTTACATTCTTATATATACCCGTCTATGTCGCCTCCTTGTATACAAACATGGCGACGGTGTCTAGTCTACGGTCTCTGCCGAAATGGAAGAGTGGATTTAGCATCGACGGATTCTTGAAGAATCAGGATGGGTGTATACAGGAGTTGCTGAATCTTAAGGGTGCTGAATTCAGTATTCGGATAGGTCCGTGTTGTCAAAATATCATTGAATAACAGCACACCCAAAAAAGGAACCGTCCCCAGCTGATGATCATCTTCAATTCTATCATAGAACCAGTACGAAACACAAACGGTGCACATCTCCGTAACGGCTGTCTACGCGCTCTTGACACCAAATACAACGCCGAGAAGTCAACCATGACAGATACCGAACGCATCGAAATACGAGCAGCACTAGATAAATTCGCATCTGAATTCCCAGTTGGTACCGTCAAAGCTGGTCAAGTACTAGCATTTACACGTAAAGCTGACGGGTCATTCAGGTTTGCTTTTGATGGGAAGGAGTTGGTGACGATCCCAAATGGATGGTTGAGTAAGAGATTTTTTGAGGTGTATTTGAATCCTGAGAAGGCGCCTAGTGAGCCTTTGAGGAAGAACGTTGCTGAGGGGATTGAGAAGATACTTGGGAAGAACAAGTAGGTGGCAGTTTTTGTAAGTTAAGAGGTTGTAACAGGGTTTGCTGTAGCTGATGAACAATATAGAAAAGAAGGGTACCCAGACCTGAAACGAAACACCTAACAATCAGTTCGAGACTTTGCTGATACAGCTCGAAACTTGCGCCTGGCACATTTTACTGATGCACAAGTTTGAGTTTATATTATTTGCAAAACGACAGCAGCCTACATCGACATTTATAATATACGACAAGGCGAATCAACCGAAAATCCCAGCCTTTACGTTTCTTTTACGACGTATCAGTATAATGTTGTCTTTTACATCCATGACACGCTTGTGTTTTGCCCTGCACAGATCCTTGAAGAATTCAGCAACTGCTTCTTCAGAACCCTCAGGATACATGATCTTTCCAACTCGAAATCCATCAGCCTCTGGGCCGGCATCGAGGTATTCAGTTTGTATTCCGACGTTTGGTTGACCTTGATGTTAAGTCAGTGCCTCCTGCATCCCACGAGAGAGCTTGGCTTCCAGAGTTGATGGAGATCTAGTATTTAGACAGATTTAAATTAATTCGTTCTATGATGGTAAGAAGTTGGCTAGAGCGAACGGTTCCCAAAAACAAAAATGAAACGCACGAATACGAATTTTAGAGAGTTTCCGATACATATCAAGTGATACTTGAACTTGCATACATCGGGCCCCGGAGAAAACTCCCATCGTCATTGTTACGTATTGTAAGTTCGATGTTTCGTAGTCGAGAATCTGCATTTGCTTTTCAAAACTGCGGGAAATATGTGTGGTTCTGTTGTTTGATACAAGGATAGCAAAAGACAAGCGACGATGGAGCGGGAATGCCTTGAATGAGTGCATTTCGTGGAAAAGATTTGTCCGTGTCATGAAGATGAACATAATATCTAGTATTGCGTCTTTGATCTCAAAACGTTGGAGCGCCTTGAAGACGCCATTACGCGAAAGCTGGAACGAATACCGAGACATGGAGCCCCAGCTTACTGCTAGCCTTGAAAATGGGCAAATGATGCGGAATTGCAGCTAAAAACTCTCAGTGTTTGAAGTGGCAGGTGAATATGAGACTCTATTCTTGATCTATTAGAGTGGCCGCAAATTGCAAGTCGTTCGATTATGGGGTTTGCATATCAGCTTAGGGCAGCCCAGATTAATGGTCTTGTGTGCTACACCATCAGTGTGATAGGTCCTGGCGCATCCGCCGCAAGCTTGGTCTGTGTCCTGAGATGTGAGATGTCAACCACCCATGATTCTAGTTTTTCCTGTATTAGCTTGAAGAGGTCTGTATTAGCTAGTTTTGGCAGCTTCAACTACTTGCTTTTGTGCTAAACCGTCAATGTGAGTGGTACCGGCGCATCCGCCGCAGTTTGGTACTCCACCTTAATTGGCTACTGCTGGTCGTTTCAACGAAGATAATGTGGCCATAGCCGGTTCCAACCACAGTTGAGAAACACAGAGGACCTTGATGAATGCTTTTGCTACTCTTTTTTGATTTGAGCTAGACTATTGAACGGGATCTTTTTTACTTTGTAGTAAGACGCAATTGGAAAGAAACCCGAAAACCATCTAGTTTACTGGGATTACTGTGACTGTATCTATATCATACTTGGGCTGTTTACATAGAATTAAAAAAATCCAACCAAAAACGATAGATTAAAGTTCCTAACCCTTCAGCCCCTTATATATTTGCATAAAGCCATTAGTGGGCGACACCCGATTCAGAAACACATTACTCTGTCGTTCTACTTCACCAGCCCACGGATTCTTGCCAGCATAATACGTCCTTTCAATCCTTACAGCACTTTCATGCATTTGTAGTATCGTCTGGGTATAATCACCCTCATCTGGATCTGTTATCAGCACCGGTATCTGATCGGCAGAAAAGATCCGTAGTGAAGGCAATGCAGCAGCTAGAGCTGAAGGTGTAGAGAGCATAGGGTGAAATAACACGGCAAGGTCAGGTACTGGTTCTAAAGTCCGATAGTGGCATGTCCGCCATTCATTATAGAGGCCTTTCCATGCCCGTTGCTTTACATCACGACCTTCTACTTCGACCGCATCCCGGTACGGATCGACATCAGGTCCTGTACATAAGATATCTATACCAGAGTGTCCTAGTAATATAGCATCTAAACACCGCGGTAGTACTATGGGTGGTATGCTATCCGGAATATCAGTTGAGGGGAATGTCAATATATGTATACGTAATGGTCGTTTCAGTCTAGACACATCCACGGATATATGCCGTAATGTGAGTGCAATCGTAAATGGATAAGTTACAACATCAGTGAGACACCGATGTAGAGATAGATGAAAGTCCTTTTGAGGGCCTGGTGCATTTGCGGGTGGATTCCATTTTTCACCAAATGGCAGAAACCGGTCAACAAACTGTTGAACAAAAAGGAGCTGAGTTCGTGAATGAAAATGAAATATATTCAACATTTGAGCCTTACTGTCGTCCAATTGTCTACAGCAGCCAGATCTGCTTCTGTAAACAGATTCAGAGGAGGTAGAGATACCGGCCAACCTAATGTTGCCTCGTCGATCTTAGCAAGCTTCAGCCTATCACAAACTGACTTGTGCAGCTTCCAATCTTCCTTTTGGTGCTCTTGCCCACAGTAATCTGAAGATAAAATGATGAGAAAAAAAGCCATACCAAAACTACTCAATGAATGCGAATCAAACAAGGCACTTACAGACGCAGTGACACTTTGCACATTGCTTAAGCCCATCAATTTCACGACACACTACACAAAACATACGAGCCCGTTCTAAAGCCTCCAGTCTCTTTTCAAAGACACCACCAGCAGCAGCTTGCCCTATATAACATTAAATTTAAAAAAAAACATCAACATCAAAGGCAAAAAATACGTGTTTTGGAATATAAACATACGAATCAGTCTCGCCCAAGCCGACATAACAGTCTCAGCACCAGCTTTACTAGCATTAGCCAAAGCATTCATCTCATTAGTAGCAGCGCCCTTCCGTATCCTCGGATCTGTAGATGATAGTCGTATTAGAGCTTCTGGAGTTAAGAAAGCGCCTGGTAGACCAGACGACTGATTTCCTGTCGGTGGCCCCAGTCCTAGAGCACCTAGACGAGCACCTAGCTGCTGCAGCGATCTATTTGATTTACTACTTAGTTCCAGAAGCGATGAGTGTGGTGCATGGGATGCACTAGCTTCTAGTCTACTTTTGAATGTCGTTGGTTGTGCTGGTTGTGTTGGCGATATTGTCGTATTATTACTGCTTCCGTTTACTTCACCATTCGACCCGGCTGGACCTGTACTATAATTCACGCCCTTCATTTTACTAAACGTTCGTGTTGGGATGTGTGGATATCCAGCAGATCCTGGCGTTGGCACTCCATTAACAGCCGACGATATCTGCGTTATGGTACCAATCGTCTGCGGCTCTCGACTAGATTTCGGGGCAGATACGGTCGTTGTAGTGGTTATCTGCGTGATGGTGCCAATAACGGGAACATCTCTAAAAGCTGTGGTTGATCTTTTTGTACTTGTGGGAGAGCTTGCAGCAGATAATGGTTTCTCTTTTTTGGCAGCAGGAGGAGTAGGGGCCGGGGACATATATGAATTTTCTCTGGAATCCACGTAAGATCTCGATTCAGATATGTGGTTGTTCTCTATACCGTTCGAGTGGTTTTTCTTGATTGAGTCTGGTTGAAATGTTGGTTTGTTTGATTCCTTGGGACTAGCAGTCGGGCTGGCAGGAGTTGCAGGTGATATTTTAGCGGAGAAATGGGCAAGATGAGTCACTGTGTGGTCTGGTTTTACGATGTTCGGCGTGTCCTTCTTCTGCTTCATAATTTTTTTGGCAAGTTTTGTTTTTCGTCAAGACACCCAAGCGGATGGTTCGTTCACGTAGAGAAGCCTGCAGCAGACTAGTCGAAACTATATATAGAAAGACGTGGCTGGTTATATCATTGACAGACCATGCAAATGGGATGAAAGAGTTTACTTAATGTTTTGCAGAAACAAAGGAAAGCTTTAGGGAAGGATAAAGTGGGCACTGCTGTGCATGTAACTTGATTTTCAACGAACAATGATGCTCTTCAAGCTAAAACGTGTCACTTGGACTGGCGTTTTCTGTTGCTTGCATCCGTTGCAACGGTCAAGAATACAAACTTCATATCAGAACAGTTGCTTGGATTTGAAGGAGCTTGGACGACTTTTTACGCGTCTTAAATCTCTATCGCTAGACTGTTCGGCCGTTTTAACTCCCAAAGGAACGTGTTGAACATTCACGCTTCACTTCTGCTGCGAAGTCGGGCCAAGAAACAAGTCTCCCAAAAGCCATTCAATATGCAACATGCTATCATAAGTAGAAAATACAAGAGTCCAAATACATAAACAGCAAAAGTCGATCTAGTAATATGTGGCAAAGTGTCCTTTCTCAATCAAGCGCATCAAATACAGTTTGCTGAGGAGTATCAGAGTCCATTCCAGAGTACTTTTCCACACGATATTCCAGATGATGAGCCGCGTGAAGCCTCGTATCGGTGTACGTGGCACTAGATCTAGGTTTCGGCCTTGGTGAAGCAGAGGCTTCAGGTGAGCTAGGCCGAGTTTTGCTCTTTTCGACGTGGTTTTCTCGCCATTCACTGGCCTGGGCTCGTTCCTGGAGACTGTATTTATGCCTGTTGGCCAAGTAGACTTGACCAAACTGAAGAATATGTAGTGTTGACAAAAAAGACCCACGTAGTTGAATGTAATAACCACGACAATGCTACCTGTTTCCGTTTGATTTCATCTAACTGAGATGCTCTCACAGACATTCTCAACTCTCGAACGAGAGCTCCATCATCTTGAGGTAAACCTCCCGGCACTTGATGCCACTCTGCGATAAGCTCTGTCGACTCCGAAGCCGGCATCTTGTGAAAGTGATGATATGGGTCTTCAGGATATACAAAGTACAATCCTACGTGAAAGAACGTTAGAGCAGTTTGATTTCCAAGAGCGCTGCATTAGCTCTGCACATACGATCGTCAGGAAAGTCCTGTATGTCTAACGATTCACTGGATAGTGTTGCTTGCAGTCGCTTCTGACCATTTTGGATAGCTTTTTGGGTCTTTCGATGTGTTTGCGGTTGTTTCGACTGTAAATGGGACCACCTATCGTGGCTCTGTATCGATTGAGCTAGCGAAATTGTAGGTGTTTTAGTTCAATGCCGTATAAATCACCACGAATAAACGAAATGGCAGTACCTGTGACCTGTTCTATAGCATCAGATAAAGCCTGCTTCTTTAATTGAGCGTGCAGTTGTAACCTCGACTACAGATGGTGAGAAGAAGTCAGCCCGAGTAGATCATTGCCTACGGCGTACATGAATCAATTGAAAAATACCCGTAAAGAGCGTTGAAATTCCGTCATTTCATGCTGCCGCCTTATTCGTTCCTCTTCTACTCGTTTGCTCTCAATTATGGCAGAGTATGTAGCCCATTTCTGCAATGGTATGGATTCGGCAGCCCCAAACGAATCATTAAATGTAGGATCAGGCTTCCACCGTTCCACCTTGATGGGTATGTGGAGAGTGTTCAAGTTTGAACTCCAGTCTACATTTTTAGCACTAGCGATCGGCGGTGAGTCTACGGTTATGGCGTAGGATCGGTCTCTTGATGACGGATCAGTGGGTGTTGGCCTCTGTCTATTCCTCTGCCTGTTCATCCTCGTACGTCCTCTAAAGTAAGCAACTAAGAGGTTTTCTGAATGAAAATAATACAAGTTAGTGCTGGTTGCAAAGACGTTGTTACATAGGGGCGATCCAGCAGTTCTATAGCGAGCCGAATCGTTCTTGGGCTTCCTCATGTACTTACACTAGCTTTTGAGTCTGATTTGAGTCTGCAAAGGTGAACGAAAGTATTAACCGACGTGATGAAGAGACGAACATACTCTTTTCTAGACCTGATTACGTGACTTTTCGTTATTTACATTATTTACACGTGAACAGTATCAATTGTGGAAGCTCTCATACAAACTGATATGATTGAACCTGCTAATCCGTAAATGCACATCTGAATTTTGTTTCTTTCACAATTCGGCGTGGTAGACCGACCCGGCAATGTAAGCGCCGCGTCCTATATTTACAATCATCACGCAGACACCCTCGTTTGCCCGGTTGAACCGCTTCTCTTAGTGATCGCTCCTCCTCGTCAAAACTCATAGAAGCTCAACCCAATACAAAGATGACGAACGACTCGGACGATGAGGATGCCTTTCTCAGGGCCGTAGCCAATGCCAACATCTCGGGCCCCAAAGACTTAAAGTCGAAACTCGCAGAGTTGGAGCGTACTCCACTCTTTATGACTGCTCTTCCAACCGATGGACAGGAAAATGTCGCATTCGAGGCAATGCAAGCTCTTCTTTATGATGGATCTCCCGAAGGTACGAGATCGGGATCAGCTTGATATTCTGGTTTGTTTGAAAGCTTGTAATCCAATAAGAAATACATTTTTTGCTGACATTGAATTCTTGAAAAAACCGTAGAGATCGCCACAAACTTCAAAAACCAGGGCAACGAAGCGTTCAAAGAACGTCGATACAAGGACGCTCGTGTATTCTACTCTCGAGGGCTGGATCACAAGTGTGATGACATTGACCTCAATACTACTTTGCTCGTCAATCGAGCTGCTGCTCATATAGAGCTGGGTACGAACTCACAACCAACTAGTTCAATCATTGAATTCATGTGGAGCTGAATCTGTACATTGTAGGAAACTATCGTCAAGTTCTGTTGGATTGTGCAGCAGCTTTAAAGCTATCACCGAAAAACGTCAAGGCTTTTTACAGATCAGCTCGGGCCTGTACAGCTTTAGAACGTTTTGAGGAGGCAGTAGATTGTTGTGAGAGAGGTCTAGAGGTAGCTTCAAGTTCTGCATAGGAATACTTAGATGTCAGTTTTTTTCTCACAATATGTTCTAGATTGATCCAACAAACGACGCTCTGAAACGTGAGTTGGAAGTGATTGAGACCAAACGTGGCGAAGCAGTAAAACATCAAGAGGCTAAGAGGGCACAACAGCTTGAAATACAAGCTCAGGATCAAGCCTTGTCAGATGCCTTAAAGGTAAGAACCATTCAATCTTTTCAAGAACTGATTCTAACTTAGTCCACCAAATCATGTCAGGCTCGAAACATTCGCTCCATAGAAACAGGCTCAGGCATCCACCCAGCCGCAGAAGACCACCACATACTCCTCGACCCAGCAACAAACACCCTCTCGATACCAGTCCTATTCCTCTATCCAGAATACTCACAATCAGACTTTATTGCTGCATTCAACGAAAACGATACATTTGGAGAACACATACATACCGTGTTCGACGATCCTCCACCGTGGGATGCAAAGAAGGAATATTTGCCAGACAAGCTAGACGTGTACTTTGAAACGCGGAATGATGGACACCCGAAACTTGTACGGATTGGACATGATAGGGTGCTCAAGGATGTATTCAGGCATGATGGGTTTAGGATTGTGGATGGTGTTGCATCGTTTTTTGTGGTTGTGGGTGGTAGTATGTTTGCTAAGCAGTTTAGGAAGCTGTATCGTAAATAGATTTTAATTTAAATGCTACGAGCCACATACTTTGATCGTTGGTTGACCTATTTTTCTCATGTGCTCCTTTTCACACCATCACACAAACTCAACACACGAAACTCTACCATCAAACCGATTGCTATATACAAACTCCACACATTTACAACAATGGAAGACAAATCCCACATCCCGAAATACGAACGTATGCCTCAATCATACACTGAACCTGGTGCTCCAATCGAACAAGAACCAGACGAAGACATGGATGCAGAATACAACCCATCACAAGAAGTCGAAGAAGGAGAAATTACTGACGAAGAAAAAGAAGCATCCGACGAAGACACCGAAATGGTTGATGCTCCAACTGAAGAAAAGAACATTATTGATGAAATCGATACCACCATCGATGACAATCAACCAGGCAGCGTCAAAGCTTCAGAAAAGGATGAAGACATTGCACTTGACGTCGAAGAAGCTCAAGAAGAAGCAGAAGCATCAGATCCAAACGTCGTCACTCGAACTGAGATGCCCGATTTTCGAGAATCGACCTTGAGGGCAATGCAGACGCCTGGAATGTATGCTGAAGATGAAAAGTATGACGGTGATGCTGTTTTGGGGGCGGATGATGAGCGTGAGGATCAACGACGTGTGCAATCGTAAGTGTTGCTGTTGTTGAGGCGTACATTTGTATGAGCGATCGCTGACCCTTTTTGGGGTTGTGTAGATACGTGGCTGCCAGTCATCGACACAATCTATCCCGTGAATCCAAGATGAAATCTGCTGAAAGGGCTTCCAAGTTGCATGAAAAGATTACTGGGGTATGTACTTGTTTGTTGGCGCTCATTTCACTTGAAGCAAAAACAGTCAACCTGGGACGTCTCGATATAGTATCCACTCGAAATCAACCCAAATACTGGTGAAGTCATTTTAAACTCGGAAGAATAAAGTGTCTGAGATTGATTTTGCAAAATGTATTATTAGTAGTGTAGTGGTAGTGTATGCACATAGGAAACCAAAGTTTTGTAAGAAGCATAATAAATATAAAAGTCATATGAAATTCCTGAAAATGTCATTTTTTCTACATACGTGTATTTCTATGTCTGAAATGAAATACCAGCTTTCATGCTTGGTATCGCTGTACTACGATCATGCGTGGCAATAGTGATGTGTGGCTTGACAAGTTGATTTGATAACGGCGCTGCTGAGATATGACGGTTGATAGAAATTTATTGCAGTGGTAGTTTAGTGTATGCACATAAGAAACATGTTTTGGTCAAAATGAACGGGTAACTGAAATGTTTTACATATCCTCAGAGTCACACTCAGACTCTCTACGATCCAGCCATGCTACATCATCTTGATGTGTATCATCCTCATCATCCTCCATCTCCTGCTGTTTAGCAATAAACTCCAACCCTCTGACAAATTTGCCAATAACAACTTGTGTCTTGATTGCCTCCTCCAAATGTTTATCAGCACCTCCGAAATGATCTGATTTCAACTGCATGCCCGAATCAATTATCTGTTCACACGTCTTGCGTGCTTTTTGAGCGTATGTGAAGGCTTGACTGATGTTGTTTGTGAAGGCAAAGTATTGAGCTATGCCGATTAGGGCTCGAGTGTGGTACATGGTGGATTGGGAGTGGTGGCGGTGGGTTAAAGATTCGAGGAGTTCTGTGGTACAAGGAAAAGTTGTGTGAGTGTTTGGCAAAAGAGTAAATAAACTACAAGGTCGTATACCTAATCGAGCATGAAGTTCTTCGTCCACATCACCATTATTCTGCGCTTGTCCAATAGCCCTCTCAAGCTGATGCACGCCTCTCGGTTCAGCAGAATCCAAATCTCTGATCCCTCCGCTCTTCCTTGGACTTGCACTTGCTGGTCTTAAAGTTGAACCAGAAGAAGGCAATCCACGACTAGTTGTCCTCCTATTCTGACGTATATCACGATCCTTTTGCATCCGTAACGTAATAAAATCTAATGATGTCGACTTGTAACCCAGTCGAGCAACACTGAACGGATCATCTAGACGTTTTGGCGGACGTGCTGAAGACGGTCGAGAGTTCTTTGATGGTGATTTGGGTCGTCGTGGGGAAGAGGATGTCATGCTGAGTGATCTTGATCGTGCTGCGAATAAAATTCCTTAGTTGGATGTATGCAAGGGTTTGACGAAAGTATGCTTACATGGCGGTCTCATCATCCTCTCGTGTTCCGAAATTAATATATGAGATTCGTGAAGTTTCTTGCCAGAAGGAACACCAAATGGTGGTCGTGGTGTCATAGGCATAGCGATTTCTCGTGTCTACAACAAGTTGAGAGTGTTAGGCACAAAAACATCAAGTAAAAGCTGAAATGAGCCAGCCATCACTCAACAGCACATACCCTGTCAAGTCCTCTAGATCTGGGAGCACTCGAAACGTAAATACTACGATCAAACACCTTTGGCTCAGCCCATTTACGAGGATCACGAGAGGCAGATGAAGGTCTCCATGGTACAGTTGGTGATATCTTCTCAGATCTTGGCCTTGCAGAATTTGGTCTAGATGCTCTTGGAGTCTCATTATATATGCTTCCTATCTTTGAAGGTGTCGTCGATGCCTCTCTTGGTTTTTTAGCAGGCACAGAAGACGACCTTCCTCGACTACTACGTTCAGGAGCTCTACTAGTTCGCCGATACATTGAAAGCCGATCATTAGACGAATAGCTGGATCGTGGTGTGATTTCGCTAGCCAAAGAATCTTGCGATATGATTCTGCCATCTGATGCGACCCTCCATAAAGACGAATGCCGCCTATCTGAATCTTCTGATGCGCGTCGTGATGGTGTCCTAGATGGTTTTGGGTTGCAGACCACTCGGTCTGAATCCTCTGATGCGCGTCGTGATGGTGTCCTAGATCGTTTTGGGGTGGAGACCACTCGGTCTGATTCATCTGATGCACGTCGTGATGGTGTCCTGGATCGTTGTTTATGAGGTGTGACTTGCTGCACCTCGAAATGCTCATCATCAGAGTATTCCGCCTCTACCATCTTACTTTTCGATGGTGATGATTTTGGAGTTGGTTTCCTGTCCATGTCCTCTGACGAATCATTGATTTTTTGCTGTTTTTTCGGTGATGGGCTCTTTGGCTTGAGAGACTCAAGACTCCTGTCATTAGACTGACTACGTTCCCGTCTCTCGTCGAATATCTTTTTAATCAGCGACTGGTTAGAGCTTGATCTAGGAAGTCTCTTGTTTTCTTGTTCTTCTTCTACATCAATTGATCTTGAATTACTTGGAGCTCTCGGCCTTGGTTGAGCATTTGGTTCTGGTTTCGAATTGCTAGCAGCTCGGGATCGTGGTTGCATTTTGGTTTCAGATTTCGAATTGCTAACAGCTCTAGACCGTGATTGAGACACTGGTTCCGGTTTCAAACTACTAACAGCTCTTGACCTTGGAGCAGCTATGGGCTTGAAGAGTAACACATCTCCTGACCCGTCAGACTCTGATACACCACTATCTTTAACATCACGTTTCTCAACCGCCGCCTTATTCACTTCATAAATAGGCGCATCTTTCGTAACAGCTCGTTTCCTATCACCGCCTGCTCTATCTCCTTCACTCAGCAAACTAGATCGTGATCCGTGTGACCTTTTCAGTTTAGGACGATCCCCAACAGCCTTGACTGGGAAATCTGAAGAAGAGAACGAGTCATAGCTTTCTCTCCTCGTCTCAGTGGTTCGTTTGGGTGATGGCTTCTGAACTGGAAAATCATCTTCCATAGTTGATATGTATGGGCTGCGGTCGTATGGTTTGGCTGAAGGTTTTCGTGATCGTAATGGTGCTTGAGATGATGGTTTGGATACTGGTGGTGTTGGTTTTGATATTGGCGTGGCTGATGGAGTTCGAGATCGAGGTGGTTGGATTGAGGTCGTTCTTGAACGACTCTCTGGTTTCGACGATGATAGTTTGTCTATTGATCTACATTCGTTTGCCGGTATACTCCTATCTCGCATCGTCGAGGCAGATGGTACTCGAGATCTCGGGATTCTAGGTGATGCCGATATTTCCTTTGTCGATTTAGGTGGTGATGACGGCGGTACTGGTTTTCTCGTTATGGGTTTATCATCCATTTTTGATTCGTTCTTGGAATCCTTCTCTGAAGGCTTCAACTCCAGTTTTGGTGAAAACGACATACTCAAACCACCCGTTGAAATACCAGCCATTTTCAGACCACCAAATTTGAATACTGAGGGCTGATCAATCGCCCGGGACGACGATACTGGACTCTGTTTACCACTAGGCTGTCGTGATCTTGGTGAACTCTTGAGGTCATCTCCACTCTCAAAATCGCTCTCATAGCTATATCGTTTCACGCCTCGTTTTCTTTCTTCCGGCTTGGGCTGACTCGGTATCTTCTGCTGCTGTTTCGTTCTGGTATCATGACTTGATACTTGTTCCTTCCGTATCAGCGGCGATTTAGGTTTGATGTTCAGGCTCTCTGCACTTGCTTTCATCATATCTGGCTTCTTGGCTGGAACTGGTTTCGATATTTGGCGCCGTACAGGAGCCGAGTACTCTGAATCTGAATCAGATTCAATCCGCTGTATATTCTTGGCTACAGCTTTAGCAACATTCGATTTTGGTGATGGTGCTTGACCTTGTCTCTTTTCAGACATTTTCAAAGACATGTTGCGATAAGTCATTGGCGATTCAACGTCACTAGCGACATCGGTATTAGCACTAGTCTGTCTCGACCTGTTATATGTTGGCACTGTTCGATTTGTAGCAGCAGGAGATTGGTGTGGCGACGGTGATTTGGCAAACAATGATGCTGCTGTATTTGTGTTTGAGAATAACGGCCGTGGACGCGATGCATACCGTCGTCTTGAATCATCATTATCGTCATCCGAGTCACTCAGAGCAATATTTGGTCGTTGAGGCGATGTTTTCGGCTGTCTGGTCTCAACAATACCATCGACACTCCTCTTATGAGTATCTCGTCCTGCATGTTCGGGTGACTTTGAAGGTAAATTTGGTAGTGCACGAGCTCTTGGGCTCGACTTTGGCGAACTTGCGTCTTCAGCTCTTGTTTGCTTTGAGGGTTGTCTGTCTCCTCGTCCACGACGGTTCTTTAAATCATCGGGTAGCCATAAATCTAGTGAGCTAATACGGGCTGGTGCTAGTGAGGTTGGAGCTGGTGCGAGGGCTGCAGATCGATTGCTTTCTCTGTTGATTCTAAATTGATTATTGGTTGGTAAATCTTACGTGTCATGGGCAATATAAGAAATACAAGCAAAACAGAGATCTAATACCGGAGCTCATCATCGCTGCTGGATTCTCGCTCCACATATCTCGACGTCTTTGTCACTGAGTGCTGCTGAGCAAACATTTGTGGTTCGGCAGGTTTGCGAGAAGAAGTCAAAGAAGATTGCTGAGAAGGCTCTCGTTCCCTCTGCTGAGCATTAGGAAGACGAGATAGAGCTTCACGAGCCATCCTGAATAGGACTTATGCGGTTTCTCGTCAAAAGATTCCGATTTTTGAGCAAAAAGTTAAATTCGGAAGTTGATTTTGGACGCGATCAAACAGACATCTGTTCGATTTCAATTATAGTTTATTCAAGATCTCCATGAAAATACATAAAATACATGCTGTAGGCACGTCACTGTGATGCATCTGTACTAACCACTTTTTTGTCAAGAATTCAGACGCAGCATCATCATCTACAGACAAGATGCAGCGAACTTTTGCAAGGCAGCTACTCCTTGCTGCTCAAAGGCAACGCCCAGTACTCTCCACATCTAGAGCACCTCGTCGCATCGACTCCAAAACGTCGAAAATCGAGTTTTCATCAACGAGTTACTATAGAGCCAGCATCAGCCCCACGATCTCTCTAGATCCGCAAACAGAACTAGCTAAAGAATGGTTTGAAAAGGGCGCTCGAGCATGGCAAGAAGGTCAGTGTTGTTTGACATTTTGCAAATCACATTTTTTTGAAAGAAGCTTAACACACACGTTTCCTATTTTCAGGCGACTTGGAAAATGCTCTTGACTGCTACGAGAAGAGCGCATGGTCTAAACCCACTGCTGATGCCGTAAGACTGCCAACTTGTCTCGTACAATACCTCACCTCAACCAATCTCCTTTTTTTGGTCTAGTACTTCAACGCAGGCAACGTTCTGCACTCCATGGGCCAACACGACAAAGCAATCGACGCATGGAAACGGTCCTTGAACTTGGATGACAAGAGGCCGGACGCTCATGTAAACATTGGAAACTGTTATGCTTTAATCCTGAAAGACTTGAAGCAGGCTATAAATCACTTGGAGAAGGCGGTAGCACTTGATCCAACAGATGGCGAGATTAGATTTAATCTGGGTGCTATATTGGATGCTACTGGGGATACGGAACGGGCGATAGAAGAGTATGGTGCTGCTGAAAAATATGGAGTAGAGAGAGCTAAAGTCAATTTAAAAAACGCCAAGATTAAGCTGTTGGCAAAGAAGGCTAAATCTGATGGTACTGAGTCCAAATAGAAGGGGTTTCGGGATAGTTTTTGCATGCTAGAATTGTAACTTTATATTATCAAGAGATGCTCATAAGTACTATGTGAATTCTGTTTTTATCGAATACCACCACCCACAATAGATGGTACAGTCACATCACCTTTATCCGTCTTCAGAATACCAATTTTACCATCAGGCCCTGTGAATGTTGCTCTCTTCTGAGCATCTGTCTTGAGCAATGGCACAATACCTTCCCAAGTCTTCTTTTTGGGATTTAATTGAGCTTCTGGTGTACCAGGATAATTCTCCCAAAAAGCTTTATCTCCTGGCTTTGAGCCTGCTGGTGGTGCTAATAGTTCTAGTTTGCCAGAAACAGGATCCGTACATGCCAATAACATTGCTTGCGACTCAACTCCTCTCATCCTAGTGTATAGAATGTATGAGTGATGTTGTTTTTTCTTTCTACCAAACTCACAGTACTTACTTTGCTGGTTTGAGATTGCATACAAACAGACATTGCTTGTTCAGCAAGTCATTTGCATCTGGTATGTACTTTACTAGACCGCTGACAACAGTCCTAGTTTCAGTGCCCAAATCAACCTCTTCCACATACACTAAATACAGCAAAATATCTCAGTAACAGACACTCCACACTGGTTGTTTGTTTGTTTTGTTCGTACATGTGTCGGCATCCTTGTGTTTCTCAACCTTGCGAATCAGCCCAACACGAATATCGACCTTGCTGGGATCAACGACATCATCGCCTAATAGTCAAGAGCGGATGAGCTAAAATTTCAATGAGAAAACCCCCCGAAAAATACCTCCAGCTGCTTCTGGTGGAACACTACTAGCCGCCTTCTTCTCCACTTTCTCCTTCCCCTTCTCCTTAGCCGGAGCAGCAGCAGCCTCCTTCTTGACTTCCTTCTTGTCTTCAGCTTTAGGAGCAGCAGCAGCCTCCTTCTTCTTGCCCTTCTCTGCGGCTTTATCATCACCCTTAGCATCACCCTTCTCAACCTTCTTTTGCGATTTAGCATTTTGTTCAACAGTTCCCACATCCCTCGTTGCATTGGTATCAATAACGACCAATGGTATCGATACATGATGTCCATGAGGGTTTAACTGAGCAGAATGGACGAGATGCTGTATCAAATCAAACCATCTTACAAGATTTGGCGCCTGGTCTTGTAAGGTGGGAGCGAATCGTTTCATTGGTATGTGGAGAGCGGCGAAGAGAGAGATATCTGCTACAGTGGGTTGGTTTGAGACAATGAAGGTTCGTTTTGTCAAGTGGGTGTTCAAGTCCTGTATGTGATGAGAAATAGGTCAGCAACAGAGGTCATCTGCGTAAACTGGATCTGAAATGTACCATGAATACAGCATCTCTCTTGTCTGCGACTTGTAGCGATGGGATGATGGTTTTTTGAGCAGTTGACATCCATTGAAACACCTGCGACCAAATTGAATGGTAAGATTCACTATTGACTGGATCAGCAATTCAATGAGTAGCTGTGCATTACTTCCGCCTTGTCTTCGGTCGAGGCTCCTAACCATTCATCCTTGCCAGCATTCAGGACCATTTGATGCATGGCAGCAACAGGGCTTGATGGCAGAGCTTGCTTGTTGGCCTATTGATATGATGCGTGAATTAGAAAAAAGGATAGTTTAAGGCGTGTTTGAAACCAGCGAAAAAATTATCAATGACAAAGTGTATGATGGAAGCTTACTTTGTTGCTATCAGTGAATCCCAACAGGTCTGACACTAGAGTTGTACTATAATCAGTCATGACGCGTGAGGATGTGGCCGCCAGTGATAGTGACCTTGTAGTTGCTAGTCGACTGACTCCTGAAATCATAAATCGAGCCTGTTGTGAGGATGTTTGGGCTCCTTTTAGTTGTTTACCGTATCAGAGACAGCACTTCTACGCGTTATGTAGGGATCTTAACAAATTGGAGTGTGCTTTACGCGTTAAACCAGTCTGGGAGTCATATTCGTCTCTCATCGTCCCCGTCCAATTGCAAAAACAAAACTCGCCGGCAGACAAGGAGACTTTGAGACAAGGCGGACATATCAGTCGCTTCTATTGACGCTTGCTGTGTCAAGCAGTTAATATCGTTGGTATAATTCCTATTGGTCTGAACTCACACCGAACAGCCACCTACAAATATCAAGACATGTCTGTGGCAGCCATGGCAAATGTCAGAATGGTCAGAGCACAATGGGACTATGATGCTCTAGAGGTACACTGTAGATTGGTATTCAATTTAAAATTGCATCTTATTTCTCACGCTCACTTCACATGTTCAAAACCATTTCGCACAGGACAATGAGATATCCTTCAAAGCTGGTGACATGATCGAGCTTATCGAAGCTCACAACGACGATTGGTTTGAAGGAAAATTCAAAGGTGTCGCGGGCTATTTCCCTGCAAACAGAGTCGTCCCTGTAGATCCTGGTATTTGTGTTTATGGGGGTGATTACCGCTGTGTGAACATGTATACTCACCATCATTGGTTTATAGAATCCGACGTGGTAAATTTACGTTGATGAATAGATTGCCGTACTGTTACTAAACAGGAACCTCGATTCTGATTTGACTTAACAATAGCTGACTCCAGACGGAAGGATTGATGGTGACAATCCCTTTGACGATGACGATCCACCACCGGTTGGTTCACCTGTCTGTTACTTCTGTGATTATCGATCACCAAATACTCAGATTCCTTAATCTCCTAGGGTGCTGAACCAGTATGGAAACAAGTCAAGAGTCCAAACGGCGACACGTATTATTGGAATGTGAATACTGGCGAAACGACATGGAAGGCACCACCTCAGAACGAGATATTAGATGAAGGTCCTGCAGTATATGAAGCTGTACGTGAAAATATGTTCATGCTCGAGAACAAAAAACACCATATAGATGAGGTGTACTGACACAAAAATCATCACACGCTTCCCTTAGGACTCCTCATCCTCCAACAACCTGGCACGTGTAGAGTCAAGGAATACGCTACGGTCATCCTTCTTTGGTTGGGAAACTGATATGAATATTGAGCCTGCTATCAGTGGATTGTCAATCATGATGGTGAGAACTTTGTGTTGCGACAAAACAAGGACCCCATTTTGACTGGACTGGTTTGAAACCAGAGCCATCACATTCAGTTCACTTATAATATTTATTATTTGAAAACAGGATCAATTTGATTCTATTCCACCTGAATTGATTCGACGAGAAGGAGGGCTGGGAAAGAAGTTGAAAAAGGTTGTTGGGGGCAAAGAACCAAGATCACAGCAATCTTGGAGGACATATTGGGGTGTTGTGTGTATTGGATGGCTGGTCTTGTACAAGGATCCACCAAACAAGAAGGTATGTTTCTGGGCGTTCCAGTCGAGAAATGGAATATGCTAAATCTTGTTGAAGTTTTTTCGCTCACTTTTATCCTTCGTTAAAAATCCAGAAACCAGAAAAGGTGTCGCCGGTAGACATCATACCTCTGGTAGAGGTTACTATAGAATCTGCTGGCAAAGATCAAACGAAAAAGAAGAATGCTTTCGCCCTAAGCATAACAGGTGGTGCTCAATGGCTGCTGCTACCATCGAATGAAAGTGAGGCAAGCAAATGGATACAAACCATCAAGGATTCTGCAAAGGAGTTTTGTACTGAGGACGAAGTGAGTATGCAGTGACTTTTAAGGTTGAATTGCGGTATCAGAAGTACTAATGAGCCTTACCTTGTAGTATGACTCGGGTATTCACCAGTTCCTAATCAAGTTTTTTTGTTTTGTTCCCATTTTCCAACCTTTTTTCTCTCTTCCCTTCAAACTCAGCTTTGACCAAAGTGTTTTGTAAAGATATGTCAACTGTCGAAAAGGAACAGATGGCTCGTCAAAAGAAACCTCAAGCTCCCGCTTACAAGGCTCCAGCACCCGAAGAACGAAAACCAGAAACCAAACCCAAACGTGAGTGTCGTTCCATTGAATTCAAGAAGACTGATACCAAAACGACTGATTCTCGTTACCTTAATTACAGCGACCAAGAGAGTAGATTCAGCTAGTGATGACACGGACAAGTCGAATGTCAGAGCCAAATTAGGTGGCTTCTTTTCACGAAACAGGGTAATTCCTAGGCTGCTGCCAGTTAATGCTTTTTTGCTCAATCTTTCGTATTAGACTGGATCAGAAGATCTCAAGAAGAGCAAGACAAGTCTTGTGGAAGGTAAAGAAATCTTGCAGAATTGCTAAAACATACATCCAACTCAAATAAATTCGCCACAAATAGATCTTGTATTCGGTGGATCGCTGTCTCAACAAGTAGCCAAAGACAATTCACCATATCCATCTGTGGTTGAAGCGTGTATACAGGAGGTGGAACGGAGAGGATTACAATCACAAGGCATTTACAGATTATCTGGAAATGCTTCAACCATTCAGAAAATACGGATAATGTTCAATTCCCGTGAGTTATTCATCTCGATTATAGTCTGCTATGTTGTCTTGTTGCTGGAATAACTATTGACTTGTGTTTTTGGATTACTATTAGAGGAAGCTGTTCGGTTTGAGGATGAACCCGATATCAACGTCGTGGCAGCTGTGTTGAAGTGTGAGTGCACATTAGGCGTGTTTCGTGCTTTTTTCCCTTCATTTTACGCCTATTGAACCTCCTTTCCAACCCTGTTAGTATACTTTCGAGAGTTACAGAATCCATTAGTACCATTTGAATTCTATGAAGAGTTTATCGAAGCTGCAAGTATGTCTTGCCTGTCTTCGTTCTAATGCTCAACATTGACTATATGTTGTCATCCTATTTTTGCCAACATTTCTTTCGCAATCTCGCCTAGAAATATCCGATTACAATGAACGGTTGATGCAAATCAAGGCATTGATTCATTCACTCCCAAAATGCAATTTTGAAACATTCCAATACCTCATTCAGCATTTACAAAAGTAAGCGTTTTGGGGTTATTGAATATGCTGCATGGTTTGGACTTCTCTAATGATGCACATTCTGCTTTATTTAGGGTGGCAGCAGAAGGAGAAATCAACAAGATGGAGCCTCCGAATCTGGCCATTGTCTTTGGGTATACTGGTGTATTATCCGAAAAGTTTTTTTGGTCGCTCATCATGCCTCTTTTATTTTTAGACCAACACTTATACGAGCACCGGAAGATGGCCAGACTGCCATGATGAATATGATGAATATGAGTTTCCATAATCAGATTGTTGAGACTATTCTGGTACAAGCAGACTGGATGTTCACAGCGGTGTGTAAAATGAAGGTCGTGGCACATAAGCATTCATTACTTGCTTTACTGAACTTTTTTTTGGGTCGGATCCTAGGACTCGGACGATGAAGGAGCCGCTCAGTCATGAACACATGTTCGTTTCGTGGTCTTGAACATACTTTATACCTGGTGTAACTGCATCAATGAAATACAAACATTTCGTTTTTAAAGAGGAGGAAAAAGGGCTTCGTTCTGCAACGACACAACTTTCGTTTTTGTTTACGCTTTTGATGTGGCGTTCCATTTGGTTTAACTTTGCTATTCGGAGAAGGTCTCATAAGGTCTCATCAGCTGATTCCATCCTTAGCAAGAGACCAACGATTGCACTGGTGCTCTCAAGGTATGATCAGCCTTTTCATTTCAATTCAAATTGTTATTTTTGACACTCACACTACACATTTCCATTTCTCGAAGGACTGTGAGACATCATTCGAAGCTGGGGACATGAGTGAGCTTATCGAAGCTGACAGTGAAGATTAGTTTGAAAGGGACTTCAAAAGGGTGGTTATTTTATAAGGGGTTGGCCATCACGATCGTTGTATGTGGGTTTATGGGCTAGGAAGGAGGAGAAGACGGGGGAGATGATGAGGAGGTGGTGTTGCTAATGATAACATTCTGCTGGAGTTGTGGTGTATGTCGTAAATCTTGTGTTATCGATTGCGGTCAGACATTAACACTCATTCACATTACGGGTGGAAGGAAGGGATCAGATGCACTCATGCTGGTTGTAGCATTCTGCTTGAGTGATGGAAGTACGTTACTAATCTTGTGGTATTGCTTGTTCTTCTGAATCCAAACACCAACACGCATTGTACGTTGCTCCTAGAGACGACGAGCAACGGCTATTTGGATTGAGGATGTGGTAATTTTCTTGGTTCATTTGGTGCCCTTGTCAAAGCTCTTGCCTACTGAGAGGCGTGTAAGTCATCCATTATCTGACAGTGTTAATCGTCTTTGAATGTATCTAACACTCATATCTCCTCATCTAGACCTGTATACTACTGTACCATATTTGCACCTGTTGCAAATTTTCGTTTCCACCTTTAAATTTCCGCACCTGTTACAAGTTTTGCAAAATAGTACAGCAGTAGTAGTTGAGTAACAAATTTACAAATGTGTATGTTTTCAGTTTATTTTACATATGTGAGCAACCCTAGAGATTTCATGACAGGTACAAGCTCCACAAATCCTTCACCCAAGTCATTCCACCACTGTACTTGCGGCGTGTCTTCATTCTCCAAGCTTCCCAATCACTTCCAAGTTCATCTTGAACCCTCAAGTCACTTGAAGATTGACCTTCTGTCATTGAGCTGCCGAGTGGAGTAGAGGCGACAGCCTTCACCTGTATGGAATGACTTCCTAGTATACCATCATAAATGGCACTGCAGAGGACGAGCCAGCAGATTGCATTCGTAGCCTATGTGGTCAAGAGGAGGCCAAGTCTACATTTGCTCTAGAATCAAAAAGCAATGAATTGCCTTGAAGCACATACCGTAAAGTAATCGTCGAATTGGCACCTTCTACAGGCATCAGCCATCCTTTCTCGTAGTGTAGAATCAGTAACGAGCGAGTAGAATCGATCAGCAGCATCTTCCTTATTGCCAGTCTCAACCAGAGAACCTATAGGCACAAAAATTAGCCAAAGCAGTGGAGGGACACAAAACGGTTGTGGTGGGCCTCACCAGTCACACCATCCCAGATCTGAGTAGGAATACCACCTGATGCATCTAAATTTATTGTATTGTTTGGTAATTCTGCAGCAGAAAGGTGATTGGGAAAGCCTGAGCCTACATGCTACAACAGGCTTGCCCATTGACAAGGCTTCAGTGACTTTGATCTCAAATCCTATATAGAAAGATATGATCAGGACCAGCACTGAGCTGATCAAAAAGGATAGTTCTTAATGTACCTTCACTAGTGGACATCTGACAAGCAAACATGGATCCGGACAGTAATGTATTAAGCAATTGGTCCGAGCTTGGAACTCGAGCAACGAGAATATCATCCTGAATGGTTGAGAATCGAGAAGACTCGACCAACTCCATGACTTGCTCAAATATCTAAGAATCAAGAAATGAAGGTGAGCCATAGAAAGCTACGATAGGTGTACCACATGCTATTACATACCACGCTGCCATCAGGATCATCTACACTTCCATGGCCACTAATGACGAGTTGCGGAATCTTGGATTTAGACCACGCTGGATGGTGTTGTTGGATACGAGCACGCAACAAGCCATAGATTTCGATGAGGTCCGGTATTCCTACATCAGCAATTTCAGCTCTTTGACCCCACCAGAGAAAAATAAAGCTACAGCTGGATAAGGTTGTACCTTTTGAGGGATCAAACCGGCATATCTGTACAATGTATGGGCGGTTGCTGAAATCAGCCTGACGTCCAGTTTGTTCATGACAAATGCGATTCTATACAACATAAGTTGAAGTCAACACAATCTTGGCACATTAGCACCAGCAATAGGGCCAAAGAAACTGAGACATTTACGTGCTGCAGAGCATGCTCTCTCTTCAATTCCTGGTCCATAAGTACAGCACAAGACTGGTAAAATATCCAAGTTGAACCACAACTTGGCTGGTAGTCGAGAATTCAAGACTTCTGGTGGATTTGAATCGAGTTGTACAAGACGAATAGTTGGCTTCGGAAAGTCATGGATTGTACTGTCAGTCTGATGTGAATTGTGTGTCAAACTGCCTTCCTCGAGAGACGGTGGCGTGTGGTTTTGCACTCGAACCAAGTTCCTGTTCGGACAAAGCATTTAAGCGAACGTTTTATTCGTTTATAATATTCGTGCTGAGAGGTCCAATAAAAAGCGTGACCTATTCAAGCTGAAACCTTTGGGGTGTTTTGCTCACCTGTCTGCAATACCAACACCGGCCGCTTGCACCGAATATTGATGCGTCTCAGACCACTCTGAAATCCAAAGCACAATCTCATCTTCAATCTGCTCCAGTATCTTGCTCATTCCACGAGCGCACGATTCACCTGATGTTAAACTGTGCTGTTTATCAGAGACATCTCGAACATAGTAATCAATGCCTATTTCAGAGTTAATTATGATTATTTACGTAACTTTCAGGCAAGACTCTTTGATTTAGTGACTTGCAAGATGTCCCATCGTAAAAGTAGACACACCACGACAGACTAAACGACAATTCGATCTCGACACCAGCATAGATTGTCTGTAAGAGGCCGTCTGGAGGTGTCCTTGAGAGTTTCGGGATTGCTAGAGATCGAGGCATCCAAGCTGTATTTGGTCTTCTGTCTGGGTGTGTGTGTTGCTAGCGAATGGTGAAGCTTGGAATGAAGTGAAGGCGGATAACATGGGAATTAACATTTAAGAGAAACAATCTCAAGATCGATTGTAAGGTAAAAGCGTCTAGCTGTCCATAAACTCGGCTGGGTGTCATAAAATGCGAATCCCAAAAAATTCACCGAGGTATTTGGAGAATAAGGAATTCTTTATTTGTTATTAGTTCACGGCATTTCAATATTCTCTTGCGACGTCAGAAATCCGGTAATGTGGAGAACAACACAAGACGTATTCATAGAGAGTTGTAGGCCTTGAAAATATATCTGTCTACATCGTATCAACTTCCCCAAAAACATTCATTCGAAGAGAGCAACCATTTCATTTACTACTAATGTTCCTGAAATCAAGTATCTTGGCTGTGGTATTGTGTGCAGCGAGCATTGTTGCAGTGAGTATCATATCACAAACCGAGAAGAGTGTTGAGTGATCTCAGCACACTAACAAATTTGCACATAGGCTCCAACTTCAAATATGTTAACCATGTCGAATAGTCTTGTATCTGATACAACTTCCCTCGTGGCCATGACTGAAGATCTCAGCAATTGTGGTATCAACGACCCTCAACTGAAATCAAAGGTATTGTATCCCGAAGCGAATTTGTCTGAATGGTTTCCACCTTCGAACAGGGTCTAAATTCTGCTTCCTCCATAGGCCATATCAATTGTCAACCTCTTCAACAAGGCAGTAACAACATTCAACCAGATAGATATGGCAGTGTTGGCCTGTGACTGTGCCAACTACGACATGAATGAAATCATGCAGAATGTCACGGTGCATATAGAAGCACCACATTATTCGGCCTACTTTGCTGACTTTGGAAAAGGAGCAGCTGAGAATCCACCATCTGAGGCTGGATTGACTCACACGATTCCACTTGTAGCTGACGCTGCGATGGATTTCAATCAATGGGCTGGCAAGATTGTCAACCGTGTGAAACTATGCTGAGTTTAGAGAGGCTGCGGCGTCGTCATCATAACTCGTATAAGATTTTGATAATTCCAGTGTTGCTGTTTCAAATGTTGGTAGTAGTTTGTGGGGGTATCATCGTAGTCCAATTTCTTATCCCCAAAATATAGACCAACCATCTAAAAATCCTTCAAACCGTGAATCACGGGCATCGAAATCGGAAATGCACAGTTCTCAGATGTACCTGGCAAACACAACCGACAAACAACACACACCAATCCCCAAATAATGCCAAAACAAAAGTCATCAAGTCTTCAAGAGCATACATTCCTTCCCTTATCGACGCGACTGAATTCCAACAGACACTCATCAGATTCCATTGATTCCCAATTTGCGTCGCCGGATAACGACGATAGCATTCCATCTGCATCGAAAAGGAAGGGCATGCCAGGATTTGGAATGATGAATCGAATTAAAGGTGGAGTGGTGGTTCCATTGGGTCTATCTGGAGTTGCAAAACAGAAGAAACCGCATAATTGGATTACGATTGATATATCGAATATCATGCAGCTGTTTGATGTAATGTAGACGTGATTTATGGAATTGTTGGTTATCTAGAATATTTAGACTGATATCTCTCTATTTCCTTTGTTCAAACAGACAACAGATCAGACTCCATTTAGAAAAGGACAACTTGATGGGACGTTTCTAGCCTTTTTGGAAACTGGTAACTAGCTCAGATCATATTCATATCACGTAATTACATCCATTCTCGTGACTGAAACTCTTTTGATTTCTTGTTGTAGAGGCCGAATCAATAATGCTCTCAAAATGGCGAGCCCACGTCCCATCCTCATTCGCTCTACGCATAACACTCCAAGAACTCCCCATAAACAATCCAGCATACCTAGATCGCATCACCGGTGGCGCCAGCAACCAAGTCGAAATCAACACGTGGACTGAGGGCTCAAACGCAACAGAACTGCTTCGTCTAGCCTCATCAGATCTAAGGAGACAGATAAAAGCCAATTTTGTCATTTCGTCGAAACGATCTGGCAACGAAGTACGCAGAACGAGATGGAGTGGTATATTTGCTCTTGTCACAGGACTCATCATATTGACTGCATGTCTGTTTCTTTCGAGACTTGTGGTGCAATCTGGATCTGATGGGTCGAGTGTGTTCTCCTCTTGGAGTGATGTGGCATCTCAGGCGTTGGTCATTGTTGGGTGGTGAGTTTGTTTTTTGATTGGTGATCGTTTTGTTGATGGCTTTCTAAAGGATTGTGTTTTTAAAGGGTGGCCGTATGGCGGCCTGCTGAATTGCTGCTTTTCGCTTGGTTGCCGTCACTGGAAAGGCAACGACTGTTACAAAGGATTGCCGATATGCACGTTGAAGTGGCATACGGATCCTCCTCGTTTGAAGACGAGTCATAAGCAAACGTAACACGTCACAAACAGACACACGCATAAATAGTCGCAAAAAATACATATTGTGCATAGTTTAAATCTATATTCTCGATCAGTTCATACATTTGAGCAAACTCTTCTCTTTACGTCTGCTTGTTTTATGAGGATTTTTTAAAGTAGAGATCGTGTTATAAGAGGGGCAACAACAAAAACGACGAATAAAGATAATACTTCCTGAGGACTACTAAATTTTATGAACGACACCCAAAGACTTCTCTACCAACATACAGCTTTCACTATGGACGTTTCCCTCAGACAACTATTTTAGCGATCCCATGATCACCCACCCACTTCCTAGCAAACTCATTCAATTCATTTCGAGTAGCTTCAACATCGACTCCTCGTAGAGCACCTTCATAGTGATATACGAATCGATTCACATTTGGAAAGATTCGTTTCAATATATGGCAAGTAGTGACATCCAAGAGACGTGCTGCATTACGACAGTAACACATGACGCTCAATTCCAGATGAGTGACTGATTCTGCCATAGTGGGCATTTGATACATACTTGTCATTGTTGATGAAGAAGACGAGATTGTAGATGTGGCCGACGTCTTCATGATTTTATTATTACACGTCTGCATGATGACATCACCATCTTCATCAGTAGCATATATCGTAGTATTGGCAGCTTTTTCCATAGTCTTAAGTATAGCAGCCCATCCTGCAGTGCAAGGAACGACTTGGGAGATCCGTACGTTGACTAGGCTTTTACAATTACTAAAGACCAATGCCAAAGCATGAGCGATCTCATAACCAGCATGATCATCAGAGACATCCAATGCAGTCAAGTTGAGCCAGTTGGTACCTATAGCATGTATGGCTCGAGGTGTTGGTGTGTACGTGATGCCCGAGATGCGTTCCATGAGGGGGAGATGAGTGGTGAGCACAATAAAGTTATCGGCAAAGAGAGTTGGAGATGGGATGTGGAGGCGTTTGAGACAAGGTGTGCGACGGAAGAGCTTTAATACCTCTTCGGTCTTGCAACCCATCCAAACGCACGGTTCGATGATGAGGGAGGCGAGGATGCCGACGTCACAAGATTCTAAAAACGATATGATTCTGGTTTTGGAAGGATGTCAATGAATTGATGCTTTGATTCGACAATGAAGCGATCGATGTCTCGTCTTCTTACCTATTCAAAAGATACTTTGAGTCCAAGGTTGACTGTGCTCCTGGTGCAGCGGTGGCAGTAGTGATGGCAGCTGCTTCTTCGAGATCGAGCCCACGTTGATGATGGTGACGTGTTTTGTATTTTGGATCCGTTTGCTGAATATGGAGTAGTCGCAGTGGAATATTCCATTTCGTCAATAAGCTGAGGAGATCGAGGAGCTTGTGAGGATGGAGCTTGGGGATTACGAGTAGTTTGTACAAGATTGGGTCGCGAGCAATGATCTTCAATGAGCGACATGTCCTGGTATTCGTTAAGGCGTGATTAGTGGAGATGTTTTGATGCAAACCCAATGTCGATTCTCTTCGCTTGTACAGTTCCTTTGAGATTTTAAATAGCTCCATAATTGCCAATTCAGCTTGTTAGCACAAGCGTCGTTGTGCTGAAGATGAAACTTGATTTTGTTTGATATGTCTTTTTCAAGCACCTCCACTCCGACGTTCGGTACAGTAAAAAACGAAGAAAGCCTCATGAAGAGCACACAGGCGTCACTTTACTCGTCATTCTGACAGTTTCCCCGCTTCAAAGGGTGAAAATCAACCCAACGTCTCGTCCTCTTGACACGAGCAAAATCAATTAGACTTCGAGGAGCGAAAAAAATACATACCCAGCCAAGTAGAAGTTGGTGTCCAGAGGTAGATAAGTACATATCTTGAGTACTAGTTCTGTCGGGATGTCGTTAAGCATGCTTATTCTTGTCAGAGTTGTTGGAATCAGAAAACGTGATTATAAGCGAGGAGGAAAAAAAACCTCACAAGAAAGTGAAGTGAGGTTTCAAATCAAAATAATCGTGTCAAACAGCCATATCTCACCTTCAACGCGTCGCATTTATTTCTCCTGTTATCCAGTCAAGAATTATGATGTCAAACAGGTGATTGAAACGCCTTTTACAACACTTCAACACGTCACATATATTCTTCTGTAGTCTATATAAGTTTTATAACAACTTCTAAACAACTTGAACGCCAAGCTGCTGCTGCTGCTTATCTAACAATACACCTGAATCCGACATCTTTTCTGGTACACTAGTATCTGACGATGAATCTTTCGCAGTCTCCTCGGAAGACTCATCCTCATCTACACTCTTGGCTTCACTTACACCATCAACAGCACCCTCCTTGTCATTTATACTACCATCTACAGCAGCGTCTACAGCTTCAGTTTCAGTAGAGTCGTCTTCATTAGCAGCCTTCTTTAGCTTCTTCGGTATGACTATTTCAACAGGCACTTCCAATCCAGCATCTGGAACGTCAGCTTCAGCTCCATTCAAGAGCTGGTATGCTCGTTCCTTGAGCTTCGGAGCAATCTTTTCTGGATCAGATCGCCACAAGACCATAATCCGTAATGCCTCACAAGGCGGTATCACTCTTGGCGGTATGGCTGTTATATCGGATAGTTTGGCTTCTTCGTCATCAAGGACTGATTGGTACATATGTTGAAGTTGGTAATGCGTACAGTAGCCAAGTTCCAGATGCGTGTCTATACGGCCAGGTCGAATCAAGGCAGGATCCAATACTTCTGGGTGATTTGAGGTCATAATGATGATGGTACCTTTTTGGTTGTTTGTAAAGAGAAAATGAGTTTCCTATACTCGAATAACAGCACACAGGCCATTCACACACCTTCATGCATAGCATACCCATCCAGACAGTTTAACAATGTAGATAGTGATATTGAAGACAATAATTCTGCGAGTTTACCACCGAATCCAGGTGCTTTTGGTGGTCCAAACATTCCGAGATTGCCTATTCCACTTTCGGAATCTGAGTCATCTGAGAACGCTCGGTCGTTATTATTATCAGAATCACTGTCGGCGGCTGTATTCTTTGATGTCAAAGCAGCTAGCCTCTTCTCTTGCTTGGCTTGACGGAGGAAACCAGCTCTCTTGTCTCGAGTATGTACTATGGGCGACTGAGCATCGATATCCTAGTAGAACGGTTGGGTGATATTAGGAATGACAAGCTGGGAAAGATGAGATTATTTTGCTTACCTCGAATACGATGATTGAGTTTTTGGGAACCGTTGAGAAGCACGATTGTAAAGCATTGTCATCCTTGACGTCTTTGAGATTTATATAGTACAGATCTCGGTCAAATGTTGCAGACAGGGCGTTGATCAATGAGGTCTTTCCTGTACCAGGCTAACGATTGACAACGGCTAGTCAGTATTACAGTAAATTTAGAGTTCAAATAACTCGAAAATATTACCTTTCCGGAAAACAGGTAGCCACGTCGATAAGGCAAACCAATTCGAGCGTAAAAATCACGATCAGCCAAGAAGGTATCGAGATCACGCTTTAGTAATTCTTCTTGAGGCTGATCTAATGCAACAGAGGCCAAACCTCGATTCGAATGCAAACTATGTATTCTAGCCCAATACCTGAATGACAAGAAGGCTCATTAGCAAAAGCACAGCATGATTGAAGCAGCAAAAATATCCTGAAAACATTCTATGAACGTACGTCTCTCTCATCTCCCATCTAGCTCTAACTTTATTCTTGGTCTCTTCCTTCAAATAGCTCTTAGTAACACCAACCAACCTAAAAGCATCAGCGTTAGGCTCGAATTGTGAATCTGCCACCCTTTAACTATTGTACCATACCATGCATGCATCCAGGAAATATCAGTCGGGCCAGAATCCACTCGCTGTATAATTATAGGTGGTTCACTGGTAACAGCCCTTGAAGAGCTCCATCCTCTATTATCGTCCTTCTTGCCCTCACCACTATCACCAGAATGATCAAAATACACTGAAAATTTGAATCCGTCATTTTCTACATTCAATACACCATCCCCACGCGGGAGAATATTGAAGGGAGGACCCGCATCATCTTCTTCGGTGGCGTCGTAATTGTATCCGTCTTCTTCAAATGGTACCATTCGGAAGTCGCCTCCAGTTTGATTTTGCGAGGCTCGAGATATTAGCCACGATAGTGCTTTGTAATGTAAGTTTACCATCTGTTCACCGTAGGCATCCATACCTTTGAAACAGGAATATTGCAGTGTGAGATATATGGACTCGATGGCGCATACGAGAAGAGAGTTGAACTTACGATAGTATTCAACCTTGACAGAAACTGAATCCGTTTGAGACTGAGTGGGGGAGAACAGCGACCGTAGCACGCTACCACTGACACTCATGAGGGAGGTTGTACCAGTTACGAGCAGCGATGTAACTAGTAGATTTAGAGTTTAGTTAAAACTGACGTGGCGGATCATCTTAGCATGAGATGAGGGTGCTATTTGGCTCCGGCTACGCTCTCAGGCAGCATCCTCGATTTCGGTTGAGAATTATAATCGAGTTTAGAATCTTACCAAACATGTCCACAGCGTAGATATTAGTTCGAAGCTTATGACCAAGAGGAGATTCGGGAAGATAGGCGAGCAGGATTCCATGCATCGAGGAGACATTTAGCAGCTGGATCAGAGGCTCTCTGTTGAGATAGATTTGAAGTGGTGAGTAAGATGCCAGACACAACCGCAACACCAGAAACTTACAAGCTCCCGTTTGGTTCAACAGATTGGACCAAAGCGTCTTTGACGGCATTCAATCTGCGGCTAACAGCCAAAACAGCACGATACGTCTACATCAAACAGAAAAATGTCAGCTCAAGTTTGGGTTTACGTGAAAAGCATGTGTCGTTTGATTTGCGTTTTACCAGCGAGTTTCTGGCCTTTTTATGAGCCAGTGAATACAAAACGAGTGGATTCACTAGTTTCTTAGCAGCTTCAGAGGTGGCAGCCTTGTCTAGGATCTTGATTGTGCTGTCCAAATCAACTTCAGTTGTAGTCGTCAATGCTTTCTTCAAGTCGTCTGCCGTCGATTGCTCCATAGTAATGGACTTTTTGACAGTCATGACTGGAGTTTGGATCTATTAGATTCTAATGGTTTGGTGCCTTCTCTCTTTGATTGAGGTTGCTTGTGCTGCTGACGGGGCTGAACCTCAAATGTGGAGGTGTCAACCGACTCGAAACTGAACGCTGAATCAGTAACTGAAGCAGAAACTGGACATATAAATACAGGAGTAAATGACAATACTGAATTCAGAACTCACGGTTGCTGCACTCAAAGATTTGCGGCACTTGAACTTATTTCACTTATTGATGATACACATCATTAACAATTAAGTTGTAGCGCCTGAGGAATTCTTATAGACTACACCAAACCACTTTAAAACTATGAATGCAATATCTACTCTCCAAGAGAGCTGATCAAGCCTTCATGAATGTCTCGTGTATCGTCGACACACATTCTTCCCTCTTCTCAAATATGAGAGCATGGCCAGCTCCTTCAAACACTTTGAGCTCGGTACCCAGTACCTTTGCCAAAAAGCGAGAGTTCTTATCTGGCAGGAGTGCATCTTCTGTTCCGACCATTACTGTTTGAATTTGAAAGAGAGTTGGTATGAAACATCGGTATGCTGAAACATGCCTGAGAGTCGATCAGAAACATATACCAATCCAACGTACTTTTGATAGGAATACCCAGCCCCTTGATGCGTTCAAATGCCTTCCGCTTTATTTTGCTCTTCATGATTGCAGCAATCTGACCAGCACTCCCTTCTTGGGACCGAACCGCCTGCTTGCCATGTACTTCTGCTTTGACGGCCTATGAAAGCGGTGTTAGAGAGATTATAAATGTCAGTGTCATTCACTGTCAGGCTTACATTCGTGACCCACTCCCTGTTGGTTTTGCAGCCTTCAGCGAACTTCCCACTTCCATCCAGTGGCGCATCTAACCACTTTTGATTACAGTTGAGTCTAAGAGTGATTCTTATATGTTTTTCTTCTCCGGTGTAGTTTGGTCCTTCTGACAACAGATACGTGAGCGTCGACCATGGGAGGAATGCAAAACCACCACGGGAAGTGGATAGCAAGACACAGTTCTTGAAGAGCGTCCGATCATTCTGCACGGCAGCATAATCAAGCATCTGCATTGCGATCATTCCGCCCATAGACCTGACAATTAGACGTGAGTGAGATTCTCATCACTTTGCGGAGCTAAATTCGAACAACTACCATCCACATAACCGAACATCGGTCGTCCAACCGAGATGTCTGAGTAGCTCAATAGCATCAAGAGCTGCATCTTTCAGATCCCAGGAGCCTGTATGATCAGAATCCCCGACTCCCCTATTATCAAAAGTACAGATCTCGTAGTCGGAGGATAGTTCCAGCAGCCTTTCCGTAGCGACCGCCCACATGGCTCCTGTGCCGGAAAGTCCCATTACCAACATAACTTTAATCGGACCGTTGCCTTGAAGCTGAAAGTTTAAAGAAGATGTTAGGTTTACAACTCATGAGAGCAGAACATCGTAATAGTATGCCAGTATTCATTCATACCTCGTAAGAGATGGTGACTCCTGGATCGTTTGGACCATGTCTCTTCTTACCAACCTTTACAATCGGCATTGTCGTTTAAGACACAATCGTTATAACAAACTTTTCAGCCTTTCTGGGAGTTCAAATGCCTGAAATCCGCAAGCTCTTATGTCAAGATATAAAGCAATCCGGTTGCGGTTAGCTTAGTTGACTTCCTCGCTTCGCTTGTGAGCTCTGGGTTCGATTGCAAACGGAAGTTGAATCATCCAGGATAATTTCAAGCAACTTCAAGACCCGTTTCAACACCATATTATGAGATCAAATCATTAATGGACCGATACTGAGCATGAAATGTCTTCCCGATCGACTTGGGTTGTCTGTGATTAATGAGCTGCAACATCATTCTACGCGAAACGTTTGATCGTCTTGCAGGAGCCAGGTGATGCAACTGAAAGCAGTAAACGATCACCATAATTTTAATCTCAGTTATCCGTTCACGATACCAAGTCGGCCAAGTCGCAACAAGGACATCAAGCGCGAATGGCGATCGCGAAATCCACTGCGAAGCGTTTGACCCTCTTACAAGAGCTACGTGATTTATTGATGCTCATTCAATAATGATGTAAATATCGCTTTATAATATATTATTTGAGCGTACGTGCCTTATGTCAAAACGACCTCTAGGCTGGCCTCTAGGCCTTTCCTCCTGCTGCTTTTCCTGTCAACAACATTTACCATGGTGGAGACTCTGGGCTGAGGTAATCACTCAACGGACATTCAGCCAGAGCTACATCGCATCATCGTCATCTAGATTTGAATGGCTAGCTGTACCGTGAGGGCAGTCTACGCAATTATATTCAAATCTCATCAAATGCCCATTGGAGAATGATAAATGCTGTCCCTGCAATTGTTGACCATCTAATGCAACAAATCAACCCTGGGAACTCGGCCTATAAATGGAGTGTATTGGCTAGTGCCATTCTGCTTTGAGTGATTTAAAGGATGGACTGCATAATCGTAAGTCATCAAACATTCAATGTCTGGGTTGTTGTTTTATGACGAACGAGGTGGTGGGAGGGAGGAGGAATGTGAAATGAATCCACCTAGTAATTGAATTAATCGACCATTTTTCGAATGTCTAACCTATAATTTCATAACAGATGCGCCAGCACTTCACGAGTTCCTACGGACAAGGATGGACGTTGACACCTCTCGCATTGGTTCAAGGGCTGTCTGTGCACGGCCCTTGATGCCCTACAATGCTTGAAACATTTTGTCAGTGCTCTCCCAGTATACTCTGGATGTGGGCTACTCGGAACTCAGTCTTGCCTAGGCGAGATTTGATGCTTCTGAATCCGCATCATAGTGTACTTGGGAGGAGTGGCTTGTTGTACCTATGAAGGCAACAAGCCATTCAATATTGCAAAAAAGGGAACTTGAACAGCTATTCTTCATTAATGGTTTTCATTGCATTGTCAAATGTGATGGGTATAAACAGGGGTTTGGTGGCAATCACACTTCCTCGTACAAACCAGTTTGCTAGTTTATTTGGATTCTCTATTTTCATGCTATTGGAATTGACTGGTCTTGGAATTGTGTCTTCGAAAATTGTCTCTCTGCTGGTCTTGGAAGCTGTCTCGCAACTGGTGAAGAGTGATTGCAGTGAATATGGAAGGTGCAAGCTACTTCATGCCAGGTATTGTTGACTTGTTGACGTCCCCATTCGCCATGCTGTCTGGTAGATACAGCTTCATGGCATACTTTTGTAAGAGTGTTTGACGTTCGAGTCAAAACACGAGGTAATGCGTGGTCCTGTTTGTCGTTCTTGTTGTTTTTTGCACTTTGGAGTCGTTTAGTAGATGGGTGCTATCGTTAAAGGGTGATCCAACAAGTGAGGAGTTGCGTCAATGATGTTTATTGTTGAAGAGACAGCTTCACGTGTCATGTGTATTGTAGCAATGTATTGTAGCAATAAAATCAAATCATTTCAACCACACGGTTTCGTTGGAATGCCAGAATCTCTGAGCTATCCCGTTCCGCATGGTATATTCTTTCGCATCGTTCAAAACGGACACAGTTCAATGGTAAAAGTGCACATGTGTACTGGTTCTAAAATCTATCAAAATAAAACAGAATTTTGATCGCGCAACGAACGAAATGGTGATGACTGCGTGTCTCCATGTGACAAAAGCCAGATTGATCGAACATTCACTCATCATGAAATATCTCGTCAACGTCTACTTCTTTATTATGCTTACAATGTTGTTTAAATATGTCAACCTTCAAGACTCTTCTGATCAACTTCGTACCGGCCACACATCTTGTAAGTGACAATCTTCAATCACCGGACCGTCAACCTTCTCCACCAGGCTCCAATACATGCCCTTTCTTTATCTCTAACAATTTACACACTGAATGTCGCGTGCAAAGATGCCACACATTCATCGTAACGTTCGTGCAAAACTGCGTGCGCAGCTCCTTCGAAAACACACAGTTCCCCTTTGAGATGTTTGGCTAGAGTACGGGAATGCTTGGGTGGGAAAAGCTGATCTTGTGCTCCACAAATCACTATACAAGACGAGGACGAATGTTGAGCGAAGGAGAGCTAGCAACGAAAGACTCTTGAAGGCTTTGCTGGTTACACCTTTGATGGGAATGTCCATAGATGTTTTGAGGCGTTGAAGACTCTTTTTGGAAATCCTGCTCCTGAATGTGGCCAGAAGCTGAGTTTGACATCCTTCTTTTGTCCTAGCCACCTTTCCACCTTCACTTTCTGCGGCATAGGTCTAGTAAGAGTAAAATATAAATTGCGTTGTAACTGTACTTAGTCTTTCGTACGAACAACGAAAGTTTGAGTAATCGCATCACATGTACATACAGCAGTCACCCAATCTCGATTCGTTTTAGCTTCTTCAGTGAATTTCCCAGTTACTTGTAGTGGCATAGACAACCAACGTTGATCATATCCAATCGACAGAGACATTCTAATATGCTTTGGCTCGTCCTTGTAACTTCCCAGTCCTTCACGCCAAAAACATTTAAGAACAGTCCATGAGGGCATAACAAGGAAGCCCCGAGACGTTGAGCACAAAACACAGCTCTTAAAAAGAGCTGGGTTGTTTTGAGACGCCCATTCCAACATGTGAAGTGAGATTAGCCCTCCCATAGAGCTAGATTGTAGTAAAGGTGCTGAGTAAGCGTATTCCAATGTCTCGTAGCGTCTTGATTTTACTCACGATCCACAGAGTGCGACATCCTTCGACCATCCAAGGCGATTGAGCAACTCAAGGCCATCAAGAGCAGAATCTTTGTGGTTCCATAATAGACCCCATCGACCAGTATGGTCACTTTCTCCACATCCACGATTATCAAAACTGGTGAAATTAAGATGGTCAGGAAATGTTGTAGACCGTAGACCATACTGATTTGTGAAGGTCTTCCGTACGTTACGATCTGATAGTCTGGATCAGTCTCCAGTAGCTTGTCAGTTATTTGAAACCATTGTACTTGAGTTGCCGAGAGCCCTGCCACGAGCATGAGCTTCCTCTCACCATTACCATGGTTCTGCGATGTGATTTGATAAGTGAAGCGCTTGTGGAAATGAGAGCATGCTGGCGCTTACTTGGTATGAAATATTCACTCCCGGATCTTCAGGATTGCGTCTGCCAACACCGATTTGGACTTGAGGCATGTTTGCTTAGTAGTCTGGGATTTGGGACCTCGTGAGTTGTAACCTAAATGAGAGCAAGAGGAAAGGCGAGATGCCTACTTTGGTCACTCTTTTAAAGGAGCGTCTTTTCATACTGACGTGCCAATAAAACATTCCATTGCTTAATATTGAGCGATCGCATATTGATTCTTCATGGCGAGTATGTTTTCAGTGCTCTTGTTCATACAGCCTGTTAGAAGGTGAGTCCTGAAAACCGCGTTAGTGATTAGTGTTGAGACTTAGCATAGTAATCAGAGTGAATTGTGGACTAAATTCTCTAGAATTCTCAAAGTGCAAGACTTAATGCGCAGTTCCTACAAAAAATAATTGCTGTTGCCAACCTGTCTGATCTCGAAAAACTACCGCAGATAAAGGCATGACGAAACCCGAGCATCAAATATGGCTTTTAGAAGCTCTAGGAGTTGATTCATTATCTAACGAAGACGCCACAGAGCCGTTTACTCTACTACAGGTTTGCTTGATTAACAATTCTTTTAGCAATGAAATTTATGCTCAGCAACCGTTACATACAATACAGGCACTATCGTTGGCCTCACCTTCATCAGTCGATCTATCATGGTATGCCTCTGATGAGGCCTTCAACTGTGAGGATCTACCGGCAAAGACATTAAATGACCTCAAATCTGGATTGTTGGCTGCCGCAATTCACGTTGACGATGATATATGGCGGAACGTGACAGACAGGGATGCTAAAGGCTGTGATGAATTGCTGAATTTGATATGGGGTGGTCGAGATACCGTTCGACCTCGGACTGCTGCAGTCGCTGTATCTCGCAAAGTTTCAGTCACGGCTAAGGAGCAGAATGGAGCTCCTGTGGGAAGCAGCATGGTTATAGATGACACAGAAGATGATTTCGCTCCCTCTGAGGTAATGACTGGCCGTTCGTAAATAAGTTCTGACCCTTTTTCTTGCTAATCGAACAACTCTTTCTAGTCTGCATTTATACCTGCTGTGAGATGGCTGTTAGCCCTAATCAAACAACAGCCGAATTTATCTGCAAACTGCAAGACAGAAATCACTGACCTACTGGCCTCATTGTCAAATACAGTAAGATGACGCCAGTTGATGACACGACACACGGCTTGACTTTTTTTGTGCTCTCATCGTAGGCTTGCAAAACGTTACCTCCAAAAGCAATTCGAGCCTTATGTGCCGGAACAGCATACCAGCTTGCTTGTGATTCATTTTTGGGATCAAGAATGGAAACTACAGTCGAAACCGTTTTACCTGAAAAGGGGTTTCCAGAATGCTTCTTTTTGGATGCATTAACCAACCATGGCTATTTGAATATTCCAAAACGACTGTGTCAGAATGTTCGCGAAATGATTGCTGATCATTGTCCATTTTATGAGGTATTCGAGATAGGAAAATTCTATACGAGTATGTGTATTAACATTTTGCCCCTCAAACTAGTCCATTCACACAAATATTTTGGAAGCTTTGATGGCTACAAGCTGGAAGGACTTGAAGGTGGATTCTATGGTTCGAGAACTCAAGTATGAACAACAATCCGCGACGCAAAAAGAAGTTCAACGTAGCTCAATTAATTCCACCTATAGGAATTTCGAAACGTTTGATCCGACGTGCATGTACCCATACGACGTTCCAGATGCTCTTCATGCATGGACACATCAAATAATAATGTCACTGATTCGCCGCATCACTAACAACACATCACCAGACTCTAAACTCAGCTCGCTACTTGAATCCACAGATCTGTTATCAGTAGCTCAAGACGGTCGTGCAGTTGGAGCTATCTTTGCATACTATTTCGAAATTGATTGTGATTTAGGTGGATTGCATTTGGAAACAATGCTGAAGGAATCCCAAATTGTGGCCAATTGGGAAAAGATTCGTAAATGGGCTCGTAAGCTTAATGTTTCGTCGCCACCATGGTTTGGAGAGTCTATGGCTTCTTGGGAGGGGAGCAGCAGTGAGGCTTTCAGAGGTTTGATTACAATGTACTTTGCAACGTTATACAAGCGAACTGTTTGTGTTGGGTAAGATAGAGACTTCCATGTTGCCATCATTATCGATTTATAAATCTTATGTGCTTCTTTTGTCCAGTGATTCTCTGGAAGACCCTATGAAAGGACGACGACTATCCATCTCGGCGAAAAGTAGCAGTGAACGTTCAATGGATGAATCCATTTCAAGAGTAATGACACAGTCAACTTCCCATCGGGCTTCAACCACCACTGCATCAATAATGTCATCATCAATTCCAACATCAGCATTGTCAAGTAACAAGGCTGCAGATACAAAAACTAGTGTGAGTTTGAAGAAGACTACTCCACCGAAAGCACCAACACCCAGCAAAGCTTCAGCACCTTCCGTAAAACCTACCACCCCCACAGCACAATCTCAAATACCAGCCTCGACAACTCAGACAACGGAATCTTCCTCACGTCGATTGAAACTACGTGATCGTGGACGAGAGCCAGTAATTGCAACAACACAAGCCGTCAGTCTACCACCAATACCTGCTCCAAAACCAACACAATCGACTCCTACAGCACCTGTACCATTGAATGCATCCTCGTCGACTATCAGCTTACCACCGATAGCAGGTGCGGCTGAACCATCAGACAAGGTGTCGGGATGGAGATCAACAGACCAGATTGCTCCTATTGTCGTGCGTCGTGTCCAAGTTCCGGAGATGATTGATTTGCCTTCTCAAGTCTTTGAGAAGAAGGTTGACAAGATGGATTTTATTGGTGATTCTATAATTCCGGAAGTGTTGCCTCCTAAAGAATTTCAAAGGGTGGCTGCTGCTGCCAGGCCGATAGAGCAAGATATAGTTGAGGACTTGATTGAGTCGACTGAGCAGCTCCCTCCGTCTGTAGAACACGTTCCGGAAACAATAGTCGATGACGATATTGAAAGCGAGCTGGTGGCAGATGACACTACCTCACTTGAAATACAAGAGCTCCAACATCCAGCCCCTGTCCCCGTCATGGACATAACAGATGAAATAATGGAGGATTCACACGAAGGAGATGAAATCATAGTTCATCGAAACCTCGCTCATTTGCTTGGAGACGACGAAGAACCCGAACAAGCACCAATACAAGAGGAACCTCTAGTAGCCGAAGAAGCCGTTGACGATGATGGTTGGAGAATGCAAGATGAAGTAGATCACATGTCTACTGGTGATTACTACGACATACCATCTGCACCAAGCTCGCCTTCTCAGTCACCACCGCATCCACATATTGCCTCATTCTCGCTTTCGGAGGCTCTCGACGCACAGAACAGAGGACAGTCCAGTGAGAGGAAGGGTGGTGTTGCTTTTGTTGTTGACTTGTCTGAAAAGGAAGAGACGCGACAAAGTACTTTTAGTCGTCGAAATCAGACACCTGCTGCCGTAATAGCTCCCAGACCTGAACCAGCTAGGAGTGAGACTCCAGTAAGAAATTTTTTACTGTTTGGTTCTGTGCCAAAAGGAAACTTCCAACAGTCTCACCAATAACGTTTGATAGGTCCAGAAGAGGTTTGCTCGTCTAGAAGCACAAAAATCAAAAGTTGCTGAACAACAGCAACAACGTAAAGAAGCTCAAGAACGAGAGCTAGCTGAGCAACGTCGTGTCAAGGAAGAAGAAGAAAAGAAGAGGCTGGAAGAGCGAGCCAAGAAACGAGTCAAAGAATCAGAACGACCTAGCAAAGTAGATGCTCCTGCCAGTCGAGCACAGTCGAATCGAATCTTAATACGGAATGCTCTTACCCATTTGTGTTTGGCTGGAGCTGTTAATGGCAAGATGAAGGATCAAATCCTTGAGGTACTAACTTTAAAGCGAAAAAGAGCGGTTCACAAGCATTATGAGTAACTCATTTCAACTCTCTGTAATCATAGGACTTGGACTCACATCCTGGCACACACTTTTTAATTCTCTTCCCACCACCGGAATCAAGAACCTTCCGGGGTCTCTACACTTACGATCCAAATCTAGACACCGTGCATCGTGTCTCTGTATCCAAAGGCCCTGATAAGCTTGATCCTAAGGATATTGCGGCCTATTACAAGTATGATTCTGGAGCGAGAGATTTCAAGAGGATCGAAGGATGTTGTGGATTTGGAAGGAGTGTGCATGCTGTTGCGTTGTCTCAAGATTTTGCTCAAGGGAATAAGAAACGTATACTTAATGGTGTATAAGGCAAGAAATAGATACTCTTTTGCCTTTCTTGACATGATCTCACAGATTGTGTTCTTCTTTGTTTGGTTGGTGAGGCCGAAAAAAACCGATTGTCCTGTAACATATGCGTTTATTTGCAATTTAACTTTTGATATGCCTCCATTTGGCAGGCGAACTATGACATTATGATTTACTCCAATCTTAAACAACTCAAATTTAAATCGTTTGGATGGCACTTGTAGACTTGACTCCAACCCCAAAGTAATACTCAAAGAAGGAATTCCACGTAATTCCGTTCTGGCATTCTTGCAGAGCTACATCTTGATCCTCCATAATCCTATCCACCAGCGTAGCAATAGTAGGCTCATTCTTGCATGCCAGTATCGCAACACCAATAACATCAACAATCCCAATCGCCAACAAGATCAACGCATCCATTTCATCCGTCGTGGCGGAGATTCCAGTAGTTTCTTGGTCTGGGATTAAATGTGGAAGCGAAAAGAGGGTTGTGAATGGCATTGTCAGTGCTGATAAGATGATTGGGAAGAAGATGATGGGGAGTGCTCGGATAAAGATTCTTGCAGAGTTGCATATGGTGGGGATGATTGATTTTATGTTGTATGTGAGTCCTTGCAGACGACCTTGGCCACGGGAGCGTCCTAAGAGTAAGAAACCGGCGACGTATGTACTGTTTAGGAGGTATGGTGCTGGGTTTAAGATCATTCCTCGTGTTTGGGAGATGTAGAAGATCATTATGAGAGCTAAAAAAAGGATAATCTTTTCAGAGCAATGTCGAGCGCCAACTTCACAATCACGATTCAACATTAAGGGAAAGATACAGTGCAGAATCTCTATCCGTTTATAACCCATACCGGTATGTAAACTGACTATCCCAGCAACCGTGAAGCAAACCAAATACCAGCACATAGTAGATCCCCACTTGACTACTCTTCCTTGATCATTTGCGGCTCTCATTTGAAAGCGTTTCCAGCTCCATACGCCAATAGGAAGACATAGTAGCGGCACCACTACCAAAACGGTCCAAATGGCGCGAATATCAAATACACTCAGATGCTGATTAGAAGCCCAGAAGCGAGTCCATAGACAGGTCGAGAATGCAAATATCGAGCCTATGGAATGTATGTTATAGTCTTTTCCGTCTTGAAATACTTGTTGAGTTCATCGAAAATCAAACCTTCCAAGAGTTCCGCAGATGCTTGCAACACGTAGAGTTTCCTTACAACACCTAAAAGAGACATAATTAGTACACGTAAATGGTATAAGAGAAGTGTTGGAACATACCCTTTTCGACTGTTCTTTGAACAATATCAGCTGCCCGCTCGACAACTGTAAGGTGGTTATCTTGATCCTGTTTTTCCTGATATGGTGGCAAGAACTCGTCGACTCTAACAGTTTTAAGGATCTCATAAGCCTTTTCATTGATGATACTGAGATCCATGATGATGTTAATTGTTGCCTCCTTTGGTTCCAAATGCAAAAATGCGATAATGAAGTGTGTTTGGTTGAGGGAAAAAGTGTGGAGCGAAACGCTGCTGCGATGAAAACACTTAGACGATCACTGGGGTCTGCAAAGAAAATACGATACTTCATGTAAGCGTGAGGAAGTTCGTGGCCTTGAACAAGCAATGACCCCTTATACAGCCCAACATGCCAAAATGCGAAAACTGATTTCGGTAGAACCTGTACAGAAGAAATCAAACATGACTACTAACAGGACTATTATTTAATATTTGTACAACATTATTATATTACGAGTTCTTACGGCTTCGTGCCGCCCCATCTCTTCCACTTCAGTCGGTTTGCTTCGCCGCGTCTGAACACCCACATGGTCAAGATTATGCCAACCACATTAATTACTGCCAGTATTGCAAACGTGCTTCCTGGGCCTATACTTTGTTCTGCAGGATATGAAGCGAATGCGCCAGTTGCGGCTGCAAAGGACCTCACTAATTAGTTGCAATGCGTTAGCATATGCATCTCACGTCAGCATGGCGTGAGAAAACGTTACCAGCATTTTGGATTGACACTATACTAGCAGCCTGAGATTGAAACGTATCTACCAGATACGTTTGCGATGAGCTGAAACTAGCGTTGCAACAAATCAGTTAGAATTCCACATGTAATCAACCACAAATTCAGTATACTCACGTAAACATCATTCCAAACCCCATCAGGAACTGTCCAATCATTGGTACAGCAAAATGTAAACGCCCCAGTGTTTCTCCATGCAATAATAAAGCAGCCGGTATAATAAATTGGCCCATTAGAGCACTTTTCAATCTTGATTCAGGGGTATAGTTTACTGTTCCGGCTGTAGCTTTAGCCTTCTTCATTGCTCGGTCAGAGTTCCATCCGCCTATCAGACTACCCAGCATGTTTCCGCCACCCAATGCGAAATAGCATAGAGATGATTGAAAGACTGTCATTCCATAGTATGTTTGGAAGTCACGTCCCAATGATGTGCTTTGTGGGGAAGTATCGTCAGTTACATCACATCAATATGATTTCAGTTAGGAATAACAAAAAAGGATGGAAGGCACCTACTTGATAAAGAACAAGCTTCCAAATACTATAGAAGCCATACACACAATCGATGATACAGTAGGGTATTTCAGAAACACGACAGACCTGAAGGGGTTGATATTCCATTTCACGCCTTTCTGTTTCAGCATGTACATTGTTGTTGGTCCCATTGGGTATCGTTCGGTATCGAAATCCGGATCGTTGGGTACTAGGGTCTCTGGTGAGAATATGAAAGAGACGAATGCTAGTCCTGATAGTGCGGTTAAGAACCACATTGTTGATCTCCAGCCTCCGAGGTATTGGGCCAATAGACCACCAACTAAAAAGAAAAAGATGTGAGAGATGTAAAAGAATGGTAAAGGAGCTTGTGACGTACTGGTAGGTCCAACTAACGTGGCCAAGAGGGCAGACAACAAGAATATTCCCATATTGCTGCCGCGCTCCGCAGGAGGGAAGATGTCGGCTCTAAATAATTGAAAGACACGTCAATAAGGGGTGTTCTACGTTGCAAGCGCATGCTACTTACATCACAGCTGCCCCAAGAACCAAACCAATACTAGCAAACAGGGCTTGAAAGACTCGTAATATTATAAAGGCTGCAACGTTAGGAGCTAAGGCACATCCAATCGAAGCCGCAGTCTGACCTCCCATGCATATCATATATAATACACGGCGACCTAGTATATCACTGAATGGAGCGAGAACCAGCGGTGTAAACCCAAGAAGAAACGTTACGGAGGTCACGCTTCCATTTATGGCATCCGACGTGGTATTCAAGTCCTGTTGAATGGCGAGTAGCAGGGGGAATATGATTTGGTTTCCCAGCATGCATAAAACGGCAGGAAACGAAACGAGCAACACCAACAGCTTTTTGGTCGTTGATGAAAATCGTGAATCTAGTCGTAGTTGTGATGTAGATCGTTAGTGCAAAAGGTCCAAAACGATGATTTAGTTCAGTTCTCCGTTGAGGCAAATGAACAAATGCCCAGATCAAATCAGAGATTGAGCATGCAGATGTCCTTTCCACGAGTTTGTGCTTGCAATGTGTTGTGACAAGAACCATCAATGAAGCATGGAAACTTACATTTCCATTTTGCTAGTTCTTCTGGCGACAATCGTCTACTGTCTATTACCAGAACTTCAGGTAAATCGGCTTCCTTATTGTCCACTATGTTGTACTTTGGAGCAGAAACATTTAAAGGCTCAGAACACCCCAAATCCACTTCTTCCAACGGCACCATCGTATTTGGACTTGGATCTAGAACCTCATGTTGCAGAGCAAGTAGCTCCTGCGGTGAGCGACCGGTCATTCTTTCGAGAATGGAAAAAGTTTGGAAGTGGAGTGACTAGCGAGAGAAAAACCATGGGTTGAAGGGTTTAAATCAGCTTCATGTTAGTTTCGGGATGTGCCAAATGATATAACGCGTACTGCACGTCTTTACTGTTGAACTCACGACGTTTCTGTTTGGTCGAAGTTTTGTGGTCCACTTTCACGTCACTTCGCGAAGGATCGCTTCCAAAAAGAAGATATTTAGGCGAAAGTAACATACATCAAGACCTATGCTGATTTAGAATCTTTGGCTGGCTTCATCCTCTTAAAGTCACAAAACTCTTGGTTAACGAACGATGAAGCACGGGCTAAAGTCGCATGCCAAGAAGCTATCGAGGACACCAGCTCATCGAATAGATTTGCTGCGTAATCTGGTCTCTCAGCTTCTCCATCATGAACAGATAGTGACTACTGTAGCAAAAGCAAAGTTTGTCAAGCCTGCTGCTGAAAAGGTATGTGTCGAGCTGGAAGCGATTGATATCGTTGCATCCGTGCATGCCACGTTACACTATCACTCTTTACGTGTTCTAACTCGCTGATGTCTCGTCGATGACAGGTCATCAATTGGGCCAAAAAGGGTGATGAAAAAAGCATCAAGAAGGCAACCTTCGCTATACTGGTACATACTCCATTGAAATGAGGCATTAGATTTGCGCGCGAATTCATTTCTCATCTATCTTTTATCAACCAGGACGTGGCTCAAAGGCATCCACTAGCAGAAGACGAAATATCAGCAACATATAACTCTACCCTCAAAAAGCTATTTGGACCACTAGTAGCTCGATACTCGACACGTCCCAGCGGCTACGTCCGTATACAGAGATATGGATTCAACGAACCGGGATCCGACCATGCCCCAAAAGCACTCGTAACACTAGTCGATTCACCAAACGACGTTATACACAGTCTCGCAGCCAAAAACATAAAAACGCTACACGACGAATTACGGAAACTTGAACAAGCTAAATACAATGCAGTTACCATCCAATTGACAGATCCAGTGACGGGGTTACCGACAACTAGTGTACAGTTACGACCACGCCATGATTTGAATCCTAAACAGCTGGGACATTTGAATGCTAAAGAGATACGATTGCAGACGCTGTTACGTAAATACGATAAATCAATGGCTTCCTTCCCTGCTGCCAGGGCAGCTGAGGCTAGATGGAGAAAGACATTGATAAAACAGGCGGAGGGCAAGCGTGATGCTTTAGAAGAAGAATTGATTGCGGATTGGAATCAAGTTGGTGATGCTGGCATGGATCAAAAGAAGGTTAAGATGGCTAGATCTCTTGGTCTGAAGATGGAGGAGGGTGGTATTATTACGAGAACTAGTCCACCATGGGAACAGGCTATTCGTAAAGCTGACGGGCCAAAGACTGCCATTAGTAGTAGTAGAAGTATCCCTAACGCGCCCTTTAGTAAAGCTAGTCAGAAGGCTGCAATTGAAGAGGCTGCAGCAGAGTCAAGTCAGGCAGCTGCTCCAACTAAGGCAGATGAGGTAGACAAGGCTGAAGAGAAACCAAAGGGTGCAGTCTCTGGCTTCTTGAAACGTATAGGTGTAGATTGGAGTCGCTGGACGTAATTGCTATGTCAAACAAACAAATATAGTATTTTTTTCGCATCACCAAAAAAACTAGGTTTTATATTTCACACGTTGAGTTACTATATCTTCTTTTTGGTTACAGGCTACAGTTTAGGTGGTTGGTCGTTAGACAGACCAAAGAACGTGTTTGCTGCATTGTTTATAGGCAGAGTCACAAAGTGTTTGAATCCTGCCTCCAATCCGTATTGCTTGGCCTGGTCTGGACCCCAGCATGATCCAAGACCGATTCCTCCTCTAGCTAGAGATTGAGTCATGCAATGCAACAGACTGATACCTAAATCGGAAATAAGTGACATGATCAAATTGTTGAACGAAAAGCGAAAAAAAGAATCAATTTGACAATACCAAGAGGTGTATCAATTCACACGTACCATACATCATGCCTAATCCATTCTTCACATTGTCACCAAGATGAGCAGAACACTTCGGTTCTACCATCACGTAAATACCACCAGGCTTCAAACTCTTTTGAAGAGATTGTAAAGCTGGAAGTGGATGTGGGATGTCGTGTATGACCTGCACCAAAATAGGGAAACCCTGCATAAGGGAATGTCCGTAGGACACAACAAATGCACATCACACTTACATCAAAGGTCAAGACAAAATCGAATGAATTGGCAGGCAAATCCTCAGCACCAGCGAGCACGAACTCAGCATTCTTGACGCCAGCTTTAACAGCTTGAGAACGAGCCAACACAAGCGAGGCATCGTCGACATCGAATCCAGTGAATTTGGATTTAGGGAAGGCTTTGGCCATTGTGATTGTAGCGTGTCTGATTTCATGAAAATAGATTGGATTATAGATTGGATTTAGATACAGAACAAAAATCCTGAATCCAGTAAACAATGGCCTTGGCTTACCCGCTTCCACAGCCTACATCAGCGACTGTAATTCCAGACTCCATTCGTTTCACCATTCCGGGAACACCAGGCAGCCACTTCTTAACCAACAGTGCGTTTGAGGAGGGCGCATTGATTCTGTTTAGTGTGTTGCCCATCTTGTCTGTGGGTGGGTTGCAAAAGAAGGCGTTGATAAGATCCAGAAATTGGAATTCGTCCAAATACACCACAGCACAACCACTCACATTCAGAGAATGCGACACCACCTCCTTCTTTCATGGCTTTAACGACACCATCTCTGACACTAGTCAGTCGCGCAGCAAAGTCTGGCCACCCGGCCATGAAAAGGGGCTACAAGTGACAGGTCATTCCAATCATTTCCGCAAATACATGTTTTTTGGTTGTCGCATGCTTACATGCGTCTCATCTGCTAATACAGCACCAGCACCAGGCCACATACTAAAGCAACCAGTCTTTTCATCGTATTGAATGATGGCGCCAGCAGCGAGGGCGTGCAGTGTCTCTTGTACATAACGTTCGACGAGTTTAGTGCCAGCTGTGATTTGAGCGACAGTTTGGGGTTGTTTCAAAGCATGGAGATATTTTAGGAGACCTGTGGCGTCTGCGACACCAATGACCTAGAGGATTGTGGTGTTAGGATGTTGTATGATGAGTGTACGCTATATGCGTCTTGCGTAAATGTAAACGTGTGATATTTTTGTTACCTGGAGCAAAATAGCGCCCGAGGCCCATCCCTGCACCTTGTCAAAGATGGAGCGAAGATCCGGAGTAGATGATTTGGTGATTGACATTGGTACTTTTCGTGGGAATGACGTTGGCTGCAGTGTGTGTGTTGTGTTGGTGTCACAACGAAAGCTAACTGCTATTCATTCGCTCAACCCATATAGACGTTATGAACTTTCGAACAATTGGAAGAAAGATTGTCGCAATTGGACGCAATTACGCGTAAGTTCTCCCCATCGATCCCTCAGTTGAAAAAGATTTCACTCACTTTGTCTCGTAGTGAACATGCCAAAGAATTGGGCAATCAAGTAAAGGAATTCTTGGAAACAACGTCTTTGAATGCTCTTCTCATCATATTTCATCTGATTGTAGGTTCCAACTGCACCATTCTACTTCCTGAAACCAACATCATCGTACCTGTCTGATGGAGAGAGCATTGAGATTCCAAAGGGTCAAATAGTGCATCACGAATGTAAGATGTTGCTGGAATTGCAATGGAAGCACGCCCTCAATTGATTGGCTCGTTGCATCTAGTGGAGCTTGGAGTCGTTGTTGGCAAAGGTGGACGGGACATTGCAAGTGCTAATGCCATGTCTCATGTTGCTGGTACGAGAAGACTGATCTACACATGATGAGAGGACGATCCTCACGCATGTTGTTGTAGGATATGTGCTTGCTCTCGATATGACTTGCCGTTCGCTACAGGTTCGCATGTAGCAAGCTATGGTCGCTGTATATGTCAACCTCTATAAAGTATTTGGAATCATAGGACGAAGCAAAGAAGCAAGCTCGACCATGGTCAATGTCGAAGGGATTCGATACCTTCACGCCGATTGGGTATGACGCATGCTGATATTTCAGCTATGATGACTGGGGTTAACGGTTTTTTAGCTCCTTCATACCAAAGGACAAAGTAAAGGATCCACATGCTCTGAAGCTGTGGCTCAAGGTGAGTTGAGCAGTTTTCACGTCGGTACGAATCAGTGCTGACCTACTCCCACCTTTGAAACAGGTTGATGACAAGATGAGACAAAACGGCACCACCGCAGACATGATCTTCAAGTATATACATTAACGAGCACAGTCACTACTGTCAGCTTACTCACAGTATGTCGCATAGGATTCCAGCATTGATTGAATACGTGTCTGCCTCTATGACACTGGAGGAGGGTGATTTGATTCTGACTGGAACACCATCAGGAGTAGGACCAGTCAAGCCTGGAGAGAAGCTAATTGGTGCATTGAGTGATGCTTCGGGGAGTGAACTCGCCAGCTTCAAATTTGGTGTGATTGCACGTCCTGGATCAGGAATATTTGGGTCTGGCAAGATATAATGATATAGAATACGTAATATAATTCGCGTTATAGGCGATATCTCTTGTGTTGCTTTCGAATCACTTACACACTCTTTGCACTTCACACTTTCAACCAAATCAGTCATACGACAATCCGCAGGCGAAGAGCATAATATAAGCAGAGTAGGATATAGGAGATATATAGAATGGCAGCCGAGGAACTAGGACAATATGAATTCCAATTGCAGCAAGTGGACGAAGCACTATCCAGAGACCCATCCAACTCGGAATTGCTCAAACTAAAGACATCGCTAGTCGAACTCATCCAGCTGGTCCATGCCACCGTAGGAATACCAGCCCAGCAACCATCTAATTCCCACACGACTCCCGACTCTCCTAAACTACAGCAACAATCATCATCGACATCAACATTAAACAAATCATCGACAACCCAATGGACGAGAGGACAGCGAGTCATGGCCAAATATCAAAAGGACGGGCTCTTTTATGAAGCAACTATAGACTCAATCCCTACTGAAAAGACTTTGACTTATAGAGTTGTCTTTACGGGTTATGGAAACTCGGAGCAAGTCAGGCCAAACGATATAAGAGAAGTACCGCCACTACCCTCTATACCTGCTTCTGCTCTTCTTAATACAGCTTCAGCATCATCAACTAATCCACAATCATCATCAACCGAATCCGAAGCTGCCACTAGGAAGCGAACCGCTTCTGAAAGTGTCTTTGGCCCTCCACCTTCTGTCGAACGGAAAAAGGCTAGAAAGGATGCTGCCGCTGCAGGTGCGAGTGGTGTAGCAAGTGGTATTGGAAATGCTGGTGGTCATAGTAGTAATAACAACTCGGTTACTCCTGCTTCTGGATCCGCTTCTTCAAAGGCTGCTGCCGTTGCTCAAAAGAAGAGGGCGCCGAAAGAAGAAGTCGTCAAACAAAAGGAGTGGTTGGCTTTTGCTTCTGGATCTGCAAAGAAGAGTAGTCTCAAGGTGGTGCCATTGAAACAGAAGAGTAAGCTTCTTGGGGAGGTTTTTTCCTGTCCAAGACGACTGCTAACAATCACTTCTTTTTTAGGTATGTTTGCAACACCTGATGATCCAACAGCAAAAGTCGGGGTCGTCGGTAGTGGTAAAGGAATGACTCAATTCCAGCAACGCGGGAAGGTAAAAACGTTCCGCAGTGTATCTCATATACAGCAATGTAAACTAACATGATCTTCTTTCTCTCTCTAGCACATATTTGATGCTTGATTGCTTTATACATTACACACACAGTGTCTCAGTCACTCCTTGTCTCCCAATTGTATAGATTTGCTCAACCGATAGTTTGCTCCAGATACTCAGCCACACACAGACACACTTATAAAGGATGAAAAGAGAAGATTTTGATTATTGAAAAGAGCACTTTTATTCGTCGTCTCACAAATTTGATTTTGAATTGTGTAGGATTACGCTTTTATTATAACAATATAAACTGGAGATTTCATTTCGCTGTTAGCTTGTCAGGTGTTTCAGCTGTTTTAGACGTTTGATCTCTTTTAGGTTTGCACTCTTTCTGTTTTCTCTGGACGACACCCCTCCTCCTACGAGTGGTGTGAGCTCTCTTGTAACTCCCTTGTAACGGGCAGTGCTTCATTAGATTTGATCTCTCTTTTTCTTTGTGACAATTCTGGCTTTATTGAACTGAAAAGAAGAAAGCACAACTACAGTCTCTCTTTCTACGAGCCATTTATCGCTTGATATTGGAATGGCTTTGAACGTGATAGTGTTGAAGTATCGTATACGACGACTGGTGTATTTGGTAGTACAATCCAGGTTCGTCATGCAGCGTTTACTTTTGAGATTACTCCATGCATCCATAATGTAGTCGCAATCGAAGATTCAAAGGAAACGTCTTAGGCCCTTATTGGTATTCTCATGTTTAATCAACATTTTATGTTTTGCCTTTAGAATAAAGCAACCGGTTCTGGCCTTTTACTTTTTACGTAGCAGGTGTTTAACTTTGTCGTTGGCATTCGGGCGCCTCTCGTCATGCTGCTCGATACTCTTCACGATCGGAAGTTTTTCCATTCCCAATCACATGCTGAATCAGTCAAGAAAATCAACCTCCCGTGCAAAAGTCTCCGTTTCGGAATCGCACCCCTGAAATGACCCACAACATACCTTGTGTTGCCTTCAATTGCAACTTAAAATCATTCAGGACCTGTTTCCGTTGGTTTGAAAATGGTACTTACACGATTATTTTAATTTTGATTGCTTCCGATATTTTGTCCAAATATTGGCGATCTAACCTTTTCTCTTTTGATCTGTCGTGTAGTCCACAAACCATATTTCTATGGCACGCACAGACAAGTGAGTACAACCTTTGATTTTGAGGAACTTTAGACGGGTAATCATCGATTTGTCCTCTCTCTCCCTTTCGCCGTTAGAGATTCGACAATGTCGACCAAGGACAAGAAGAAGGACACGAGGAGATGCGATATTCCAATATGGGTTTTACTCGTTGGGCAAACGGTTTTCGTCGCCGTCTTGGTTGGAACCATCATTGGAGTTGTGCTATATCAAGCGACGTTCTTGTCATTGAATTCGTTTGCTGATTCGCTACGAGCGAATTTGATGAATACGGTTCTTACATCGGGTAAGATTTCTGGTAGAAGCTCGGGGGTTTTTGGTGTCGTCACAAAGAGCAGCTGATGAAGCTTTACACCCACACATTATGGCTGTCTCTTATATTTCTCTCTCATCAAAACAGTCAACACATCCATCGTCACGATTGAAAATATGCTCACATCAGTATCTGGAAACCCTCTTGCCTTCCAGTTTGCAAATCAAGACTCCTCCGTCATCACCAATGGAGTCAGTTCCCTTGTGATGACCAGTGCTTCCATGGTGCCCGCATTACTCTCTCTCCAGAAATCTGTATGTGCGCCCTTTATAGCTTGTCAGGGGATTGGAATGACTTTGGGTGATAATGTGCAAGTTGCTTATTCGCGGGCTGGACTATGTAAGAGTCATTTCGGTCGTCATTTTGTGGGGTTTCAGCTGACTTCTTGTGTCTTGTATCTAGTTGCAATTCAGGATTCGACATCTGTTGTAAATGGAGTGCAAATGATGAAACTCTATTACCCAGTCTTTGATGCCAGTTATTCTGCCATCATTGTAAGTTCTGAAATGGATGCGTGGCGTCTTAGAATAAACACACGAGTATTTGGATAACACAAAGACACGTTTTTGCTATAGAGTGGAGCAACCTACTTCGGCCTCCAACCGCAATCAATCAACGAAACACTTTACATGTTGGCGACTGGTGAAGTCGTCACTGATCCAGTAGTGCCGATTTGGGGATCTTCTCTTCGAACTCCCATACTGACTGCCGCATCGAATTACACGCAATACCAACTATGGATTGCGATGAATCTCCCAATGTATTATGGAATGGGTTTCCATCGTGCTAATTTGTCTCAACGATCTGTTGCTTCAGCTTGGGTTGGATTCTCGCTCAACTCGTTGGAAAGCGTCTTGGCTGGAATCAAGATTACGCCTAATTCGTTGATTTATATGATGGAGACTTCAGGGCTTATGGGTATGTCAACAGTACAAAAGAGCTAGTGATATGCAATTTCAGCTGCTGATTTTTTTTTCTCCTCTCAAATCAACATAGTGTCAGCTAGCGTTGTCAACATTACCCAGATTAATTACAGCCCTTCATGTTACAATGCAGTCAACTCTCCAAACCCTATCGTCTCTGAAACCGCTGCCAACTTGCTATCAACTTTTGGCGCCTTTAGCAACATCCCCGTCACCGGTGTCTCCTCTTTCCTAGCAGGACAAACCGACACACTCTATATTAACGTACAATGGTACAATCGAACCGGTCTAAGCTGGCTTGTAGTCACAGTCATTCCAAGAGCGGACATTTGGTCTTCTGTCGATGTGGCCAACCGAAATGCTATTATTGCAACTGTCGTCTCTGGTGCTGGAGCTCTGGTTTTGTGTTTCATTTTTGCTCTGTCTGTGACGAGGCCATTGCATGTCCTTGAACGGGTCATGGCTCAAGCTCGAGAGTTTGACTTTTCAGGACTCAAGGCAGGATACTTGGACCAAAAGTCCATGTTTACTGAAATATCCAGTATGCAGAAAACGTTTCAGATGATGTTGCAGGTAAACAGTACCGACAAGAAATTTAGTCAATATAACCCTCACTCTCCCGCTTCCCTTTACGTAGAAATTCGCAGCCGCTCTTGACGAGAATCGTCGTCTTATGAGGGGGACTTTTGCTCGCTCGCTTACTACAGTAACCAAAGAACCTTCACAAGCCGGGCCCAGTTCACCGATCGTAGGTGGTACCATCGAAGCTGCTTCACCGGTTACAGCTACAATTGTGGGCACAACAAGAAGTTTGTCTAGCCAAGAACAGGTGTAAACTCTCTCTTTTCCGTTTCCTGTACATCTCCTCTTTCTGTGCAGTACCATGTAGTTTCAGTCATTGCCACACATTTTAGAACCAATACATTTGTGCATATATACCATTGATCTGTGTTTTCATGAACAATGTGAGCTAGCATACGAAATGGGTTAGCACAGCGATTGTTGCATTAAAACGAGACGTTTCGTAGTCTTATTTATTTTGATGTACCCTTATACCTTTATTCTAGCTATTTGACGCTAAATACAACTGATACCTATACAGCATTCCTCAGCATACCAATCCTCCTAATCGTCGTCATTGGTTCTTTCTGGTTCATCAAAGTAGACCTGGTTGTCAATATCCTTCAACAAAGTGCCATTCTGCCTCACTTTTACGTCACACGGTCTGAGAAGTTGATGAAATCCTTCCCAGAAGACCCTATACTTGTCCTTAATGTGTGGCAAGTCCTTCAGAGGAAAACCTCTGGCTTCCAACGTAGTTTTGTAGCCAATTGATAAACGGAGCGGGGTGACTTTGAAGGTCGTTTCATAGCTCCTTTGAGGATGGTGTTTGCTGAGATTGATGGATCCTTTTGGGTGAGGTTTATTCTTCTGAGAGACACCATGGCGGATATGAGTTCAACCAACACCAGATCCGGAATCGCAAAGTTATCCAATGTCAAGCATCGGAGCTTGGAGCAATACCTAACTATCAGATCAACATCAGACACATCGTCTGTGTATCCCAAGAGTCGAAGCATTTTCAACTGGTGGCCATTCGTTGTCAAGTACAATTCAAATCCACCTTGATTAGCATCTGCCACAGACATATCTACATTATTGAGACGACTAAAGGGCATATGAAATACCTGGCGTTCCATATGTATTAGAAGCACCTGTGGTGGATTGGGCTCTTCAATCAAATGATTAAGGTTTGGCTGGGCACAACGAGGGTGGACGAGTGATCTCTTTCAAAGTGCTGTGATTGGATTCTACTATATTTCAGATAGCCTTTGGATCAATGTTGCTTGTCCTATCGATGGACAGAGATTCAACTTGGCCTTTGCCTTGCGCAGCTTCAGTCATGTGGCATTCTTTCATAGTGACGTTTCTGAGAGATAGTTTCCGTAAATATTTATAGGCGCTCAATCTCGTATCAATCACGTCACTTATATCAACTCTTTCTAATATTAGCTCCCTGAGGGTTGGTTTGCTGTTTGCTTCCAATGCTGCCATTAATTTTCCACCATATGTATGTGGCAGGTAACCTCCGACCACACTAAAGCTGTCGAATCGTTGTTGTGCCATAAAGTCAGTTACACCACCGCGCCTATAGACGCCCTTAGAGGTTAACGATAAGTGCTTGATGCTGGCAACTTTGCAGCGAATTCTTCAAACTCAGGGGAGTCGAATGTTTGGAGGGGCAGCTCGACCGTATTTAAGGTGCTCGGAAGCAAGCGGGTGCCCGGAAGCAAGCGTACGAGAGGCTGATAACTAGGGATTTGGGCAAACTGGATACAAGTTGCCTGACTACAAGCCATTACTAACTGCTCTGCTTTTTCCATGAGACGTACTGCGACTGCTTTTTCAATGTCTTCAGGGAGATCTGGATTACGACTCAAGTCAGAAGCAATTTCCTGTACAAAGAGTCTGTGTCAAGCTGAATACAGTCCATTCAGGTCAAGGATCTTTACATTGGCTAATGCGTTTTGACTGAATCCTGCTGTTGGTAGTTGCATATTTCGCAGTATTTTCACAATGCATATGTGCATCTTCTTCCTGTATCTCCAATACTACCAGTCGTGGCAAGGTAATTAGCGCAAACCAACGAAATTCAAGGGTTGGTTACATACATTGCTGATCTCGCAGTACAGGTATTTCACTGCAAGAATATTCATATCTTTAGTTGTTCTCGCAAGAGTTCCTAGTGAGCTTTTGGCAGCCTTGGACAAGATGGTATCCCAGATCTCGTATGGGAGGTGATGGTCTATAGAAGCAAAGAAAAGCATCAACTCTTTGAAATCAGTTGAAATAAATAGTACAACGCCTGAGCAACATGCCTTCAGTGATGACTTGATGTTGGGCTGAATTGGTATTGTCCCCATTTGATGTCGATGATCGCCGTGAATTAAAGGAGGAAGTAAATATGAAATCAATCATGAACGTACCTGATTCTTTTATTGACAGCTGGCTCTCAGCTTGACGCCCCATGGTGGACTTTCTGCTCTTCATCCTTCAGATGTTCACTGTCGAAGAAGCCTGACAATCAATGAAGTTACGACTCGAGCTACTTATAGCTTCAACGACAAAATACACAAAATTCTTTGAGGTGGTCTTGACTCGGAGCTCTGCAGACGTCCTAATGTCATTTGAGGAACAACTACAACGAGGGCTGATCGTCGAGATAGTATTCTAAATTATATTGCATATTGCTACTATTGCTACTACAGGGTACTGGGTACTGTATATCTGACAAACGACTATGCGACGTGAATCTGTCTCAACAACGCAACTCCTTCTATTGATCTTCAAGCAACAGAACACTTGCTTCACCGATTAAGATGACACCACCTGTCTACTACGTCCAAAATGCAACAAACACCACAAACGACAACAGGACCACGAAGTACCTCGTGTTTTGACTCGAACGTCAAACACTCTTACAAAAGTATGCCATGAAGCTGTATCTACCAGACAGCATGGCGAATGGGGACGTCAACAAGTCAACAATACCTGGCATGAAGTAGCTTGCACCTTCCATATTCACTGCAATCACTCCTCACCAGTTGCGAGACAGCTTCCAAGACCAGCAGAAAGGAGACACAAATCCAAGACCAGTCAATTCCAATAGCATGCAAATAGAGAATCCAAATAAACTAGCAAACTGGTCTGTACGAGGAAGTGTGATTGCCACCAAACCCCTGTTTATACCCATCACATTTGACAATGCAATGAAAAACATTAATGAAGAATAGCTGTTCAGGTTCCCTTTTTAGCAATATTGAATGGCTTGTTGCCTTCATAGGTACAACAAGCCACTCCTCCCAAGTACACTATGATGCGGATTCAGAATCATCAAATCTCGCCTAAGCAAGACTGAGTTCCGAGTAGCCCACATCCAGAGTATACTGGGAGAGCACTGACAAAATGTTTCAAGCACTGTAGGGCATCAAGGGCCGTGTACAGACAGCCCTTGAACCAATGCGAGAGGTGTCAACGTCCATCCTTGTCCGTAGGAACACGTGAAGTGCTGGCGCATCTGTTGTGAAATTATAGGTTAGACATTCGAAAGATGGTCGATTAATTCAATTACTAGGTGGATTCATTTCACATTCCTCCTCCCTCCCACCACCTCGTTCGTCATAAACCAACAACCCACACATAGAATGTTTGATGACTTACGATTATGCAGTCCATCCTTTAAATCACTAAAAGCAGAATGGCACTAGCCAATACACTCCATTTATAGGCCGAGTTCCCAGGGTTGATTTGTTGCATTAGATGGTCAACGATTGCAGGGCCAGCATTTATTATTCTCCAAAGGGCATTTGATGAGATTTGAATAAAATCGCATAGACTGCCCTCGCGGTACAGCTAGCCATTCAAATCTAGATGACGATGATGCGATGTAGCTCTGGCTGAATGTCCGTTGAGTGATTACCTCAGCCCAGAGTCTCCAATATGGTAAATGTTGTTGACGTTTAGTGCCGAAAATCAGAAATCATGAGGAGAATCGTTTCAGCTTGACACATTGTAGGGCTAAGACAGCTAAGACTCACGTGATGTTTCATAATTTGAATCCACTGGCCTCGTTTCTTGACAAGAAACACGTCCACCACAGAGAAAACTGTACAAGTCGCAAGTTGCAATGCAAGCATCTTTGAATTTGTAGGCACAACTCTTGTACCAATACAATTCATTGATCGGACCTCCTCGATACTTTCAAGCACGATCAGCCTCTAATTTACTTCGTAATCAGCACTACCTGCCCTCCTGATCACTTCTCAAAACATCCATTTCCCAAATCGTGATGAGCATAAGGACCAAAACGCTCTCCTTGATACAGTCTTCTTGCATTTGTATCAGATTGCATCCAAAACTTCCTCTAACAACCTCTCTGCCTCGATATCTCAACACGCAACACGCTCCAATGGCTACCAACGAGTAAGGTTTTTTGAAATTGTTCTTATGGTGTCAAGCAACGGTCGTATCTAACCGGAAATCCTTGTTTTCGTGTATGATAGTCGAAGGATTCGGATCTATACACGTACTGGAGATAAAGGTGGGACTCTCAGATTCGATTCAACATCGACTTCTCGGATGTCAGCTCACTTTTTTTCGCGCTACCTGGAATTTTAGGCACATCAGCGTTATATACTGGTGAACGTAGGCCTAAAGATGATGACATCTTTGAAGCTTTGGGATCAACCGATGAACTCAACAGCCACCTTGGGTAAGCAAAAAATGTGATGTCGTCACTATTGTCACTGTACCAAGCTACTTGTCACTGATCTGGCTCTCAACCATTCTGATCTCCATCCATGTTACTAGACTGGCTCGCGAATTCTGTGAAGAAGCCAACAATGGATTGGTCGAGAAGCTTGAAAAGGTAGGCACCAGTGGTTTTGAACCAAAGTCTGTCAAGTCCAACTCAAATCGCACGTATCTGACTCTTGCATACTCAAGGTACAATGTCTACTACAAGATATCGGATCCAACATCGCAACCCCACGATCAACTGAAAACGACCTGAAAAAAGGTATGATTTCCAAAACATGCTTGTACTGGGTTTTTTTTGCATCACTCTCTACGACACTCACAACCACTCTTTCGCGAAACAGAAAAAACTCGCTTCGACGTAGACGCATCCCTCGTAACAGAACTAGAATCCTGGATTGACGAACTAGACGATACACTACCACCACTCCGAAACTTCATCCTACCCTCAGGTGGACGAGCAGCATCTGCAATCCACGTTGCTCGAAGCGTTTGTCGAAGAGCTGAACGTCGTGTGGTGCCATTGGTTGTGGTTGGTGCTGCAGATGATAGCGTGAGCAAGTATTTGAATCGCTTGAGTGATTTCTTGTTTACTGCTGCAAGGTATGCGGCCATGAAGGATGGGAAGACGGAGGCTATTTATCGTCAACAGTACAAGAATTGAGGAAATGGGTCATGAGAGAGGGACTTGTGTGTGTCGTTGTTGTAGAATAGAACTTCAAACGAATATTCTCATCCATGAACTCTGAAAGCACCTGTTGCGTGCAGCTTCAGATGTTGACTGGCGCTATTTTTCACTGATCGCTGAACAAGACACTTTGATTTATGTGTGCAATGTGTGGGGGTATATTTATTAGGTACTTCGCGTTACATTGCAGCCTCACTGCAAGCACACCTTCATCCCCTCGCCTAATACGACTAGAAATTATATACAGCAAACAGTTACATGATACGATACTATGGATTTAATTTTTTTTGTGTGTGAGATAAATTTAGTCCTTTTTTGTGATAAAATTACATCAAACTGTCCGTTATTTTGCCGTGTGTGCTCTTTTGTAATATATAGCCAGTTTTTTCAGACAACCAATATAACGACAGCATCAAGGTACCTAAGTCACCATCCATAAGGTTCGGATACGGTAGTAGGATAGACAGATTGATACATTCCTGCGTGATCTGATGATGATTGTTGTTGTGATGATGGTGTATACGGTGACTGATCTGGATTTGCTAATGATTGATTCAGGTGATGTTCATACAATTGTGTTTGTGGTAGTTGCTGTTGATGTGCAGACGAGTCCTGCTCTGTGCTTTTATGAGGTTGCAATGAAGAATTTGATGATGTAGAGGACGGCGATGAAGATCTTGAAGATCCAGTTGGCTGCTGCTGTTGTTGTGGTTGTTGAGCTCCATATACAGATGTTCGTTCACGTTGAGGAGTTGATATTCTTCGACCCATAGAGTTTTCATCTATTGATCTCCTTCCATCTTGTTGCTGTTGTTGTAGATCATTCAACAGGTACGATGGAGTCCCCATACCGCCATTGTGATGAGAGTTTCCTGGATTACCATTGGGCATACTGGGAGAGGACATTCGAGCGTTTCTGGCTCGTTCACTTCCTATCGCAAAAGTATCCATCCTACTCGTTGCAGACGCATCCATCCTAGCCGGCAAGGGATCTGATGTTTTCCTGTAGCGCATACGACCGACGTGTAGATTATCATTATAAGATGGCATGTTTCTGTGATGGCCATAGACAATCTCTCGTTCAACGAAGTCATAATCTGGATATTCTGATCGTAGCGGGCTTGAAGATGCTGAGGAGGGATTGCTAGGAGCAGACCATCTATTGGTATCCATATTGTAAGCGGACGAAGCTCCGAATGAGCCTTTTCGTGGCATAGAGTGAGAGTGATGAGTAGGATACAAGTATTGCTGATATTTATATGCTGTCATATCGGGTCGATCATGAGTGCTCATAGTATCCAATTCAGCAGCCAAGTCGACCAATATAGAATCACCTGAATTATTAGCTTCAAGATGATCATCATCCTCTTCACCATCGTCATGTACAATCACTTCACCCAACCCATCATCTGCTTCTTCTGGAGGTGTCCTCAATTGATATTGACGCCTGTAGAGATGGTTGAGTGATGATGCTGAGTGTGCTCGATGTATTGTATGTGTCGGACTACGATATGAATACAAGTCGTATGGTGGTGGTGTAGTATATCCATTTGAGGCGAGCTCATATGATATATATGGTTGACGAGGTAGAAATCGTGGTGGAGCAGAATATGAGGCTGGCACTGGGTTCATTGATGGAGAGTATGGTGGGTATGCTGTTCTTGGTGTTTGACCTGCAAGACCACCTGGAACAGGACGACCGCCATCCATTTGAGGGGCCATTGGTATTCTTTGTTCTTTGAATACTTTGGCTAAAAAATGATATCATATTCGTTAGTGTCCTGCATAGTCAAGATGCATGCGCCATGATGATGTCAGTGACTCGAACAAAACTCCAATGCATACCAAAGGATACGACCAGATTCGTAGAGCATCGTAACTCTTTTCTGGCTCGAGCAGCTATTTAAAAGTCAGAGATATGAGTTATTGATGATCAAGCTTGATTGCCAAGTCATCAAATGATTAATTGTACCTGCTTCATGAGTCAAGAAGTGGCAGTAACTGTACTTTTCATGGAATGTAGCACGCACAAATCTAGAAGGTGATCTCGAATATCAGTAATATGATCACCAGAAATCATGATTGCGTCTAGTTACCCGTCAAAGAGCTGAAATATTTTGGTCATTTCGACTTGAGTCCATCCAGAGGGCATGTGTGTAATATGTAGTACTGCACATGGACCATCATTGTCATCTTGCGGTTGTGGATATGGAATAGTGTATCGATGCTTTGCTGCCTATAAAGTGCGAGAGAAGATTTGCTCATGAGCCTCAAACCCCCGTGATGAATTCATTGACACAGGACCAGAAATACGAATACTTACTTCATAAGTGATGACTCCAACAGGACGAGGTTTGCATAATGCGAGAGCAGCGAATACAGGAGTCTCAAATCGGACAAACAAGTATGATTCATATAATCCTACCAACTCAAAGCCAGCTAGACCACGAAATGTAACATACTAGTATGAAAGATGATGAAAATTATGAGAATATTATCATGGTTTGATTAATCAATAATGGAAAGTTGCTGGATTGTGGATGGTTTCCTTTTTGATACAAGACTCCGCCAAGCACCAACAACTCGACTATCAGTTTCCCATCATCCCCAGCCACGTAATGCTGAAGAAGATGATTTAATCGAGATAATGATGATGGCAGGTATGAGGAGTAAGCCTCCTTCATCGAGGATCTACTCGTTTGAGGCCCCGTTCCGACCCCACCACACACAATTTAACAAATTTTGAGATGCAAAAACAAGTTTACGAAAGCAATGTATACGAAACAGTGGCATCAAAGCGACACAGATGCATTGCATGCATGCATATCCACATGAATCCATTCAGTTTACATCATGAAAGCCCCTCCCGGTTGATGCATTCCATCTTGAAAAACACAATCAAGCGAAAAAGTTCTTGAAACTTACCAAGTCGCCTCTGTCCGTGAGCCTCGGGTCGTAGGTTACGTGCAGAGTATTGGTAGCCACAGAGGGCGCAACTGTCATGGCTGCTTTCCTCTTGCTTTTGTTTGAGTTTTTCACCTACCAAGTCTTTCAGGCTTTACAGTTCTAGTCTCGGTGGGCAAGTGAGTTGGCTATGACCAACGTTATTCACAATGGAAGACGACGATTACTCTGGTTCCTATACGTGCCAATGACTTGTAATCTGACTACCAACTCCTTTTTTTCAAACCAATAATGAGGTGGCGTTGAAATTTGGGGCGATGAGGGATCCATAAACTTTTATTTCTCCTGGCCAGATCTGACAAGTAGGACGTGTTATGACAATAGATCTATATCCATGAAGGTCAAAGACACGTGATTGAACCGTCTTGGAATTCTTTGGAGGTGTGTTGCTTCTTCCTGATGTCTAATCTTGCTATTGACATGTGAAGACACCGCCTTTTTATGGTGATGATCAAAGCGACTTGAACTTCTCACTCTTACGAGTTCCCAATCATCAGAAAATCATTCTCAAGTCATGAATCTACTCGTCAAAGCTCCGCTGGTCGGAAGTTTGTCATTGGTTTGGACAAAGCGGCGTATGAGCTCCAGCAACAGACCTTCAAAATGAACTCGCTATAAGGTACAGGTATTTCCTGTCATCTCGGAATCAAGATGGAATCTCACAATTAGATGGAACTTGGAACTTCACGGTGCTTCGGTCATCCAAAATCCGACAACTGGCATTGGAGACGAGTGCAGCAACAGATCTGCAAGAGAAAGACCTATCCTCAGCATGTTGTAGCATTGATAGATTAAAAAGAGCTGCTTTTGACGTTCATAACGTTCTTGCCTGTCTTATGCAAGTGTTGGTTACTTCTCGGATGCATGGGCTTTTACCACCTAGCTGCAATTCAGAGTCGGATAAAAAGTTTGGTATTCGCGTTGTTCTTTGAAAAGCGTTTCTATGTGTTCGACACTTTCAAGGTTGTGTTTTTCTCGAATGTTAAAGGTTGGTTTTCTTTGCCGCAAGTTGATGTCCTCGTTGAAGCAGTCTCCAATAATGAAGCAGTACTCTTAACGTTTTCACTACCCAATTTAGACGCTCTCTGCTACAGCGATCGGATGGGGAGTTCATGTCAGTTGTTGTCCGAAACTCAGAGAGTCCACCCTTGACAGCCGAACACACAATATGTTAACGGGTTTTGAGTGATTTGAATAAACCTATTCAAACAATACATTCGAATAGCTGGATCTTCTGAATCTCTCAACGATGCAAGTTGACTTTGCCATCGGTAATTTTTCGCTAAGAAAAATCACTTCGCACTTCACATACTCCTGCCCAAAGGACCAACATCGAAAAGTCAGCATCAGCTTCAGCCATGAACAATCTAACCAGACAACCAAACTCCAATTACCTAACGCCAACACCACCTCCATTCTCCCCAAAAGCCAAAAGCACCACAACCCCTTCAACAATTATGAACTCGCGACCCAATATATCAACTACGACTGCTAAGAAGGTCGCATCAGTAATTGCAACAGAGTCTCAAAAGCTAGAGTTGGAGAATGAGAGGATGGAGGAACGTTTGAATGCGTTACGTGAGGAAATGAGATTGCTGAGGGAATCTAGAGGGTGAGTTCTTTTGGTTTATTTTTGCGTGAAAGTGGTTCTCAATTGAATTCATACTAATATTTCAAGTTCTTGGATTGCATCAGACAACGAACCTCAAATTGGAGAGCAGGTGACAAGAGCACTGGTTCACTAGCTCGATACGCAGATGATGCAAGAGCACGTAAAACAAACAAGGCTAAAGAGGTTGCACCACCGTCGGAACCAGCCATGCCAGTGGTAAGAATTCCACACTGGTTCGTCCTTGTGTTTGACGCCAGGATACCAATTCTGTAATCTCATTTGGTTTTCTTGTTTGCCTTGTGTAGTGGCAAGTCAGTATCCCAATGAGTGCATCCAGCACACGTCCACAAACTCCTAACATGGCTCAATCTGCAGCTATTTCAACCGAATCCACCCAACAACGATACCAACAGCCAACGACATCGTCAACAGCAACAACCAACCAACAATCCCTATTCGATGGTAACTTTTCAGAATCTGAATCACGAGCATCGTTCTTGGAAGCACTCGAATCATGGCGCAAATCCAAACCTGAGGAGACCAAAGTTTCTTCTACTACCACTACGACAACCACAACAGCAAGCAAGAGACCATCAACACAGGAATCATTCACACAGTCAAATAGCACGTCTCAGATACAAACTACCTCTTTAAGTAAACAGAATTCAGCTGCTATACCTCTACCAACTCCAAGCATGTCACTCAAGGACAAACTCTTGCTCGCAAGGCTGAGAGCAATTAAGGACAGCAAAGTGTGGGAATCGTAAATACCTCTTCTACCGATATGACCAATATAATAACTTGATGAAATTGCCCTCTTTTCGCACTTTTCTTGTCGTGTGCTTCTGTCGTTATAGCAGTATTGTTTGCTACCTGTATTCGCTAAACGAGTTGAGCAATGAGAGAATGGAAGAACCGTTGAATGCATAAAGTGATGTACGGAGGATGCTGGAAGAATCTGGCAGGTGTGTCGCTGTGTTGTAGGTGACGATAGAAATCGTCATTTTTTCGCCTCGTGGCGAGATCACTGGCTCAATTGAATCCAAAGCTTTACTTTGCTTTAATAAACAGCAAAAATTACCATGGAGCAGGTGACAATCCCATTGTCTTTCCCCTCGATTCGCAGGTCATGCACAAGCACACAAATTCAAGATGACTAAAGAGGTGACGTCTCCTTGTGAACTTGCTATAGACATTCAACATCAGGCTGCTTTGGTGGTTTAACGCCGCCAATAGACCAAGATCATGGTCATTGTGGTCTTTTTTCGCCTTGCTGTAGTGGCAAGTCAGTACCCCAACGATTGCACCAACCACACGTTCACAGGCTTTCACATGTATTCCATCACGAACCACTCAATCGGAATGCAAGCAGATACGCCAAACTAAAAGATCACCAGTACCACTCAAGGACAGTTCTTTATAGCAAGACTACGAGAATCAAGCACAGTGATGTGTGGAAATCATGAAAAAGCGAATACCTGTACGTACTGAGGATGATTTTTTTTAGTACAATCGTTCTCGCTTTGCTTGTTTGACTACTTTACAATACTATTGACTTATAAACTGGTTTTGGTGTGGTTTACAAGTTGAAAACTACAAACTATGACAATTGTTGGGATACTCAAAACAGCAAATCACTTTATAATAATGGCCTTCCCTTCTCCTCTCACTAATGTGGTTCAAGCTAGAGCGGCGACGACAAGTGGTTTCAGCAATGCTGGTTCATCGACAAAGAATAGTTTGGCAGCACTGGCTTTAACCTTTGGACACTTTCCCAGGTTCTAAGTCCACAAAGCCATGTTAGTTGGGTTGTGAGCTCAAAAAACACTGTAAAAGTTGATGGACGAATTGCATACCAAGGCCTTCAGAGACACCGCATTATCAAGCATCCACAAAACCATCTCATCAGTAAGCTCTTCAGACCCTCTGAAATCCAACGATACAAGTTTCTTACATCCTAACACGACCGACTTGATGGCATCAAACACCGATATGTGAATCCTTGTCAAATGCTCTTCGGGGGTATATGGGAGTCTAGACAAGTATGCATTGATTTGTGGCAAGTACGTGTCGGAGAATATAGTAGAGTTGGCCAAATTCAAGACAAGTAAATCCGTACACTTCTCGGCCAAGTCCTTGAGTGACGATGATGAGATCTGGATACGTGGATTAGTTAGGAGTGGTTTTGGGGTTGGTCGAATTACACGGGCACGGTTTTGGGCTTGTTGTGCTGCATGTTGTAATTGCATGTGGTGCTGGTTGAGTTGGAAGACATTTATGGGTAGTGCGTTGTTATTGGGATTGTTGTTATTGTTGGGATGGTTCCAGGGGTGGTTGAAGGGGGCAAGACCATTAACGAATGCTGGATTATTATTTTGCAAGGCATGTTGCAAAAAGAGGGGGAGACCTGCGATAGCGTTTCCGTTATTCATATTGTTGTTGAAATTATTATTATTATTATTATTGTTGTTGTTGTTGTTATTGTATGCCGGTTGATTTTGCATCATATTGAAGTGCATCGCAGCTCCCTGACCTTGGATTCCTGCTCCACCACCTCCTCCTGCTCCCGCACCAGCAGCATTCCCATTATGAAGAACATTGTGGATGACATTATGCTGGACTGGCATTGCCATGTTTGGACCAATATCGTCCTCCATCACTGCCTGCCATAGTTGAAACTCCTGAGCTGCTGCGGCATCGTTGTCTTCTTCGTCCTCATCATTATCGTTATTGTTATTGTTGCCATTGTTGTTATTGTTGTTGTTATTGGGGTGGGCGGCGGCGACGGGAGCAGTATTATCGTTATCATCTTGTGCGTCGAAACGAACAAGAGTAAGAGTGACGCGAGTAGCCAAGGTTTGTTTTATATATGGCACTACCCGTTCGGGAGCTTGTGTTGCAATGCCCAGAATAGCAGATACTATTGAATGGGGGAGTTTTATAGTCAGTGCATTGTGCCCGAACAACACGATACTATCTATTCAAAGTCTAGAATGCTCACCGTCCAAAACCTGGACAAGCGAACCCAGCGAAGATGAGCCGTCTTCTCTTGAAGTAGTATTGTGCTGAGTCAAGGACAATATAAATTGGGCCCACGAGAATGTATTCTTAAACTTTGGCCACCTAAAACAAACAAATCAGAGTGGTCAGTTTCCTTGTTCTCCACGTGCGACATGTGTCAATTCAGCTTGAAAACATGTCATCTACCTGTAGAGTACCCGAGTAGAAGCATTATTGAATGACAGACAGCACAACGACAATGTATGGAGGTCACTTTGCTGGTTGACTATTAAAACCAGATGTTGTGTTCAATATCAAGAAAACATGTAAAATGAAAGAAAGCGGTTTGGTAATAATATAAAACCTACTATATCCAAAAATCTGTGCTAGTATTTCTTCTGGGAGACGGGCTATACATTTTTCAGTCTGGATTCGGCGTGGAATAGGTGCGGGAAGAGGAAGAGGCACTCGTTTTCGTTTAGGTTTGGAAACATTGAACGTTAGTGTCGGGTTGCTGTCGTCTGCATCCTTGGGAGCCTCGGACGGAGGAATGGTCATGATGCTCTGTGGCACGTGTCTCTCTGCTGGTGTCAACGTGTATGTTAACGTTTTTACGAATCACGAAAATGCAAGGACTCTAAACAAGGTTGAACATACCATATTCCCGTGTATAATCAGACCAGAACCGTCATTTGAACGTGTCTAAGAACTTATACACCGTGTCACAATTCGCGCTTTGAGCTTTATTGCTTCCCAAGTGAACATCTGGTGTAGGCGATGATTTTTGTATTTATGAGGTTCACATCATTTGTTATTATACAAGAATTACCAACGATCAACGCTGAATGATTACCGTCCTAGTTGTTTTTGAAATAGGCAAGAGCTCCCACTATCGCTCCTGACAAGAAAATCAGTGACACTAACAGCCAGAGACACCCCCATACTTGAGGTGGAAGACATCCACCTACACAAAAATTGGTTTTGTCGTTAGTAACTGCAATGTCATGTGGAGCCTTGGAAGTAACTATAACGGGACACATACCACAACATATCTTGGAGAACTTTGAGGCGTCAGATTCGTTCACCCTCCTCGAAATCAAGTCCTCAACAATATCAAAGAGAGAGTATAGAACACTCATCGTGCCCATAAACAGCACGAAATAGCGTAATCCTTTTCCTCCATCCACAAACCACTAGATCGAACCGTTAGCTCAAAGCTCTAGTTGCAAAGATGCGATGACATACCAGGCCAACTATCAGTCCCATAAATAAGAAGCATATTCCACGGGTCAGCCAATTTTTTGCCCAGTATAACACGAGAAGCATGATGACACCCAACACAATGGAAGCGATTTGTGATGCCAGAGTATCGAATCCAGCGAAAACCAGCAATGCACCCCTACAAGTACTGTTGCGTAAACATACGAGAAGTGCAATGTCGAGTACTCATTTTCATACCAAACTGATGAACCAATGTATCCCGCGGGTAATGTGATGTATGGATTACCACCACGTAAATGAGTGACACCGCCTTCATCAGGATCTAGCTCTATTCCATCTATCTTTGCACCAGTACACAGTCCTGCAGAAGCGTGACCGAATTCGTGGAGGCCAACAGTGACAATCTACGTCCAGTTGGTATGGAGGTAAGATGGGTGTATTTCAGTCCAGTCAACCAACAATCCGATGCATTCTCTGCTCGGTTATCAACGAGTTGCAATTGATGCAAGCTCGTAGCCAAACAATCAGCAGTTTGAGCCTTTTTCAGGATCAACGAGATGAAAGGGTGCTGCCAGCTCAGACAATCCGCCCTCCGCAGAGCTGCCATCAAGTATAATCAGTAGAGAAGACTGTGTAAATGTACCTTGAAGGGATAGAGGACGAGTTTCAAGTCTAAGAATTTGGGGAGTAAGATGTAAGAACAAGATCTGAGTTTCAAATTCAGTCAAATGTCTTGACCGTACAAGGGACATTCCAGAGTATTAGTATAGCAACGGCCATTCCAGCTATATAAGATGATGGATCAGTCTTCAATAGGAGTTTGCTGGTGGTTCAACAGCACAAATGTTGCAAGTAGGCCGCAGCAGTGAAATTTACCAATTATGAAGAGATTAGTTTCCTGGTCTGCTGAAGGAGAGAGCTGGGTCGCCACAGAAGAGGCAGTTATAGGTGCCATGATGTTCTCTCACCCTCGTCAAATGTGGAAGCGGTGGTTGTTTCGCAAGGGAACAAGTTGTGCAGCGCCAATCCAGGCCAAAGAGGTGCCAAGAAGAGATCAAAGCACGGTGGGCGACATTAACAAAGCAAATGGTATATGTACATTGCTAAATAATTTAGATTACATCTCGCAATTCTTTACTACACCGCACCATCACCACCAAGTTCACTTGGTCTTCCTCTTTGGTCGATTTATCGGACCAGTATGTATGTCAACAGGTATCAACAATTCATGATCCTTCTTCTTGAGTTCATTCAGATGCTGAACTTGAACACTCAAGTTCTCGTATTGAAGCTTGCCATAGTCCATTCTGTTGAACTCTGGTGATAGTGGATTGATTTCTCGAAATTCTCGTTGGATCCGCTTCATGATGACAATCCTCCGGCGTTCAGTAGGTATTAGCCTACACAGCTATCGATTGATAGTGTCAATAAGTGTCGAGATGGAAAACTGGAGTGTGTTTAAAAGTTGTGAAGTTCTTGTGCCAGCTTACCCGCAGGAAATCCCTGTAGAGTGCAACATGTTCTACCACCATGCTTCTAATTTGACCCGTGTAGCTAACACTACTCGTCTCCAGGGGCACCGAGCTTCCAAACTCGAGCTGGCAATCAAAAAAGTTTTTGCCAGCTTTTTGGGTTCGCATGACGCAGAACCTGGCCAACACGCACCACTAGTGCGTACATGGACGAGTGTCGACGCGACAGATTCGATATGACGGTTCGCCGAGTCTCCTTGTTCACGTGTTCATATTCAAACTTTTAACACATCGCGTCCAGACATAGAGACAAACCGTTCGAGTAGAATCCATAGTACACTGATCAATGGTCAGCCACGATAAAGTCATCATCATTCTAAATGCACAAGAATTATCTGGCTTGATTCTTGATTGTCGTGATTGTGCTTTCTTCCTCCCAAGTAATCAGCTTCTTGCCTTCCTCCCTTTTGCTGATTGCTGCTCACCACAACAAGCTCACGGTTGGACGTTACTGCCAGCTAGAACGTATCAAGATCTTCCAAGTCGAGCAGTAGAAGCCTCTGATCACATTCTCACCGATTGCTAGTCGTTAAGCTTTGGGATAACCACCAGAGGAAACCGTATACGCAAATGGCAACCCAATCTGCGCCAATTCACACTGGAGTCACTACGATTCCAGGGTTAACTGCCTACAAAGCATGTCCGGGAATCTCTGGTGCCAGACAGTTGGTCATTGATTCTTCTGGAGACGTACTTGTCTTGGCTAGAGGAGAATCATCAGTGTATGCTTGCTATCCAGAGACAGATAGCACGACCGGATATAATACTGTCAAGATCTTGAATGCTCCTGTAAGTGTGGAATCGGATTGTACTGGAGGGTTGTTTGTTTGGCTCGCAGTGCCCGAATTTGTTACCGTCGATTTAAACTTGACCGCCGCCCTAAGTCATTCATATACCTCTTCCTACTATTTTCAGGCCGAACTGCTGACTCATGGATTAGCGTGGAAGGACGACTGGCTATACGCCACTGCAGGTATTCGCAAAACCTTGCGGCCGTTGTGCTTGATCACGACCTTAAACCAACCTTGTCTACCTTAGCCGACGCATTGTATAGATGGCATTACCCAGGTGGTTCCAGGGCTCTGATTGTAGGAAACTATCAAGTAGTTGTCATAGGAATGCCATTCTTGGGAACATCGACACTGCCACAAGCACGATCTTTACTATTTGGACCTGATGGATACTTGTATCTGCAAATCGGGACTCAAGAGTCTGGGTATCTTCCAACGTAAGACCATGTTGATATTTAACGCAAAAGAAGCGAAAATGGAAATTTTAAATTTCAACGTTCGAGCTCAACATTTCTTATTTGTCATAAGCACAACTGCCCTCAACCGTATCGTCAAGATTGACATCGACTCTCTAAACGCCGGGACTGTATCAATCTACGAATGGGTCAATCTAGAACTAGTCGCAGACGGCTTACAAAACTCGATGGCCATTGCCTTCGATCCCGAAACCAACATCCTCTACACAGCCGAAAATGGAGGCACGGAGCCCTTAAACACAACATCACTCGCAGGTGGATCCGACATATCACAACTAAACCCGGCACAAGAAATCAACGAAATCGTAACCCTCACTGGCCAATCCTCGTTTTATGGCTTTCCAGCATGCTGGTCTGGCGGCAACCTAACGGATAGATTCATAATAGATCCCATCCGCGCAACCCAATTCGCATATAGCTATTACGCCAACAACACATATCCCGCTGCTGGACAGACCATTACCGACACATGGTGCAGCAACCCAGCAAACAACAGACCACCTGTATTCACACTACCAGCACACAGCTCTCCCATCTCAATGACGTTCCTAGGGTCAAACGCATGTGGCGGTGCATCGCAACTCCCATGTGACTGGCTAGGCAACATGTTTATAACACTGCGAGGATCAACAACATCAACACTCGTAACAGGTTTTGCCTTAGTAAGGATCCCACGGCACTATCAGAACTCGTCGACAGCCTTTTCAGAAGGCGGATTCGAAACACTGCTAACTGCCGTAAATTATAAGTCGTGTATCGGGGCAGCTATAAGCTCGTGCTTTAGACCTACGGGACTCGTAATGGATGACGCAGGACAGTTATGGATTGCGTCGGATACGACGAATGAGGTTATTCGTGTGGCTGTCAATGGGACTGTAGATCCAACAGGTGCTGGACTGATTCCAGATACTATGGTGGCTAGTTTGGGATCTTCGAATCCAGTCGTGTCTCCAATACCAAATCCACCTGCATCGTCATCGTCATCAAACAATTTGTCAGCGCCGAGCACGATCGGGATAGCTGTCGGTGTAATCGTCGTACTAGTAATCGCTCTCTTGGCAGTAGTGTTTAGGAAACGATATCAAAAGACTGTGAGGAATGCAGTATTGGCATCTGGTGCTGGAGGAAACGACGGAAGATCATTCTCACCGCTACATGGCGACGATGGGGAAGGAGGCGAAGCGTTGAAGATGAACAATTTGGGCGATGGAGTAGACACGGAAGGATTCTTGACCAAGTTGAATCGCACAGCCTGGCAGAATAGCAGTAGAGATGAGGCAACGAGTCCTCTGACACAATCATAACACTCATATCTTTATACATAACAAACTCTGTTGACCTCTTTACTTTGTATCTTTTACAGACTTTATACATATCATGCACAAAAAGCCAATCTTGCGACGTTTAGGAGGCAGGAGAGCCACACCACGGACACACATGTTCAACTGAGACAAACTTGTTCCAATCTTCTCGATTCGCTACTCCTCGACATGTTCCACATGAAGCTCGTGTTCTCAACACAGGATATCCTAGGAAAGAACAGTCAGTATATGCACGCATATCAGAACCAAAACAAGACCGAGAACATACCAGTAATGATGCATGGCTCATGCACTTGACGACAATTTGGACAACTGAGAGCAGCAGCATAAATAGTCGTACCACAACCTTCACAATTCCTCTTGTCAACTTCTTGACGAACACGTTGATCCATGGATACTTGCAAAATCCAGTCCTTGACGTCTGACTTTCTGGGCATCTGAAGACAAACATGATTCAGTATTGTATCTCACAAAGAACACAGTGGTAAATAGCGTTAATACCAAATTAGAATCTTTTGGCATCTTGAAATCAAACGGTACATCAGTATCCGCGAAATCAGCATTTTCTAGCACCGATGAATCACCAGATTCAATGGCTTCTACTATATCCAGGAACCGATTCCAGCATACAAAAGCCATGTTTGTCATTCCAGCAGCCTAGAAACGATTCCAACTGTTGTAAGTCAAGATGTCATTATCGGCAAAAAAAGGATCTACAAACCTTGGATGATGATCCAGCTTCATAAAACACTCGATCCACAACTAGCTCATTATTATATCGTAACAGTGATATAGCTTGTTTAGCAGCAATCTGCACCAGTTCCCGTCTAGTCCCACAATAATTACGAAGCGTGATTAAATGTGTGATTGTCAATAGTTTTGAAAACTCGGAGGGCAATCCTGATAAGGGCTGATAGCTAACACCATATACCTGAAAGCATAAAAACATTGATAGTTGGAAATCGCGCACAAAAAAATCAACATACATCTTGTACGGGAAAGCCGTTCTTACCAACTTGAAGAGCATTTCCCTCGCAGAAGCAAGCAGTACAGGCGACCCGTTAACTAGCACATGTCTCGTCAGCTTCTTATACACGTCATATAATTCTGGTGTCGGAGGACAATCATACTGAATCAGCAAATCCACAGCAGCATCCACCTTCCCATCCCTAATAAGCGTTCCAGTCCGCACTCCAAGATATTTACTCAGGACTTCAGGACCCTGACCAGCAGCAGTCGCAAGACACTTGTCCCATTCACCACGTTCAGCATACATGTCCAGGCCAGCAGTGACATCAACACTGACGAGTGCGTCAGCACGACCTTGTGTTCGTAAATGTTTGACATATGCGGATTCGACTATATCTGCTACACGACGATCACGAGATGCAGCTTGTCGTGCTTTATCCCATGCGTTACCAGACGAATATGCGTCAGCTGCTTCTCGTATAAGATCGGCAGAGAGGTATACATCTCCTGCTTTTACAAGTCGACCCAGCTTTTCTAATCGACCTCCAACAGTAGCAGCAACTTCTTTAGCTTTATTCGGCGCATTTTTCAATGCCACCTCAACAGCCCGACACCAAATACCCTCTAATACATCCGTATCGTTGGTCATTGTGGACGAAATCTTGAGATACATTTCAATAGCTCGAGGGTAATCTTGATGTTGCTCCATCAATCTTGCAGAAGCTAGGATTTCTTCACGTCCAGCATCAGGTTTTGACGCTAGGAATCGATCATAATCTGAATGCACTTCAGCTGATTTAGATGGTGCATGTTCCTTAGTAAATCGAATGGCGTCCTTCCATTGTCCGGCCTCCTCGTACATTTTAATAGCCAGTTCAGGTCTTTGAGCTCGTAGCAGTAACGTCTCTGCTCTCCCATACTCGGATTTACTAAACAATGCACCAGCTTGAGCCACCAGAACCTCCGTAGCGGATTCTTGATCATGGCGTTCAACAACCATCATGGCTCGCTCCCAATCCTGATTATGTACATGCATCAATACAGCTTCATGTGGTTTACCGGCTGCGATAAACTCTCCTTCAGCTTCCACAAATCGACCAGAATCTTCTAATAGCATTGCCTGTCGTAAATGCACAGCACTCAATTTAGACTTGTCTGGTCCGAACTTGGCTAACTCGAACGCGAAATCAAAGGCGTTGTTTTCCATGGCGTAATCAATTGCTGCGTCCAATAAGGCGAATTTAGATAACAGCTTAGCTGCTGTTTCACCACCCAATGATCGTGCCCAGAGGTAGGCGATTTGATTTGCAGAGTTTGGCCCACCATGTGTTTTGGCCACCTACAAAGCGAGTGTGTGTGGTCAGAATTTTGAGCAAAAAAGATATTTGATAGATTTTACACAATGCACGACAGCTTACTCGGTGCCCTTCCTCAAACATATTATTAGCAACATACATACTACCAGCAGCTTTCCAATCACCACCTTCAACAAAGTGATGCTCTGCACCACGTAAATTACCCTCTGACTCCATCTGCTTGGCCAAAAAGGTATGTGTCTCGCCTAACTTGTCTTTATGATGAGCAGCGACAAGCCGTATCAGAGAATCATATTGTTTATGTGTCTTGTACATTTCAATGGCGAGATCAGGTTCATTTAGTGTGATGTAGATTTTTTCGGCCTCCTTGTATCGTTCTATGTGCAAAACAGAGTTCAGAAACTTCGAGCTAAAAAAAAAGTCAGCGCAGAATACACGATACTTACCCTTCATCTCCAACTCCTTCGCCTGAGCCATCGACAAAGATCTGGCTTCACTCTTGCCCATAAACGACGTAGCAAGAGCATGAGCACGATCCCATCGATCATACGTCTTGTACATTTCAATAGCATCTTGTGGTCGTCCGCCAGCAACATAGTATTTCTCAGCTTCAGCTAAATCTCTGACTTCAACGAAATGACGTGCTAGTTCCAACAAGTATGGTTTGCCTGCATCAGACGGCAGTGAATCAACTATATTGACAGCTTTTTTCCATTGCTTGGCGGCAACTGCTGATTCCATGGCTTTCACGGATTTGCCAGCTTCGATATAATGATTGATGGCTGCGTCCATTTGTTTTGAGGATACAAGATGGTCTCCCCATTGCTGTAAAGGAACGAAATTTGAAAAAAGATCGATAGGATGAACCAAACCTATTGATGTACCTCTTCCAATACAACGACTTCACGAGGGAAACTAGATCTAGCCAATTCAACAGCAGCTCGAAATGCCCTTCCTTTCCTGAATGCGTCCAGTGCACGCTGACTAGCACCAGGGATGCATTGGAATAGTTCTCCAGCCTGCAAAAGATAATCGTAAACATCTATACACTCATCTTTGAATGACACCTAGACACTTACACGTTCATACAACCCAGCTTTAAACAAAGCCGAAGCAATTTTTTCTGTCAGAGCACTATTTGAACCCATTCCAAAATGATTGAGAACATATGCAGCTCGCGCTGGCATGCCTAGCAGATCAATTGATTAATTTGCTTGTGTTTTTTTGTGGCACAAATCAAGCACAAACCTCCTTCCAAGTAAAGATTGATAGCTGCGGCGGCATCACCCTGCGCTTCCTTCAATTCACCTAAGACAAGAAACGTGAGTATCTGCAAGCAAAAAAACGCTGCACATTATACTCTTTTACCAGCTTTTCCTTGCTGACCAGACTCAATCAACCACCTAAAGTAGTTTTCACGCAGCTTGTCCAACTGAGGATGATTCTTCATCTCAGCAACTTTGATGGCCATATCCCATTTGTGAAGTTCTTGATACATTTCCATGGCCTCTTCAACTCGGCCCTATAGTATCTTGAGTTAGTGCGTTTTTTGGTCAACCAGAAGGCCATATCAAACACCAACCTGCTCAAGCATAATACGCTCTGCGACTTTGAATTGCTTATCCAATAGTGCCAATCGTGCACGAATTACGTACTGGTCAGTAGGATTCTAATACAATGTTTCGTGAAGACATGACGTTTGCGTTAATGGCCAAGAAGCAAAAAATCATACCGTCCAGCCCTGTGCTCTGTACTTGTCAGCCAGTTCATCCAGAACGTGCATATATCTAGCACGAGCTACATCACCCATGGCAGAAAAGCATCTTTAACATAGAAAATGGTCAGAGGCAGCAAAACATTACATCAAGGCCCGTACAAATTCACCTTTCAGCAACTGCCAAATTACGATCTCTGAGGGCATTCTGTCCCAATGACTTCCACAAAGCTTCGGTCTCAGGCGAGAGTCCTAACGTCTCCAAAAGCGCAATGGATCGATCGTAATCTTGACCCCCCAAAGCAGATCCAAATTCAATCAATGCGTCATCCAGAGTATATGCAACCATATTCACTCCTTCATCTACAATTACTTGTGTTTTGGAATCGGCTCGCGCGATACGGTCGACGTCACCCTTGATTGGGATTGTGGTGACTCGTTCTGCATAGTCGATCGAGTACCACACACAGAGATTTCCTCTGCTCTGAGCGACTACTACGTCACTATTCGGTACCCACTAACGACGATTTGCTATGAGGTGAGATTTACCAAAAGGCAGCAAATACTGCATGGTTACCCACTGATACATATGTGCAGAACGACAACAACGTGGTGCGAGTCTGCGAGGGTATATCATATACATGGAGCTGTTTCCTCTTGTCACGGAATAGGAGTTTGGTTCCACCATTTGAGAGCTACGAATAGGGGTAAATAAAGAGGGTACAGACGGACGTTAAGTGCAAGAGGAACGTACCTCGAGCCAGTCAATATTAACATCATGATGTATAGCAGCAATGTTCAAGCTTGTATTCAAATCCATGACAAAGGCTGTTTGCAAATCCACCAAATAAGCAATTTGTTTGACACCCAACTCGTTGATCCTCACACTATAAAGTGTGATTTCTGTGAGCATCACGCAAAAAACCGGGTAGCACCGCCGTGGATATCTACCTGATGAGATGAGGACTCATGTGCTCAGTTCTACATGAGCCAAACACTTCATTGACTCCATATTCTACTAGCGAGAGTTCCCCTGCGTTGAATACCATACAAAATTGTGGATTCTCGAAATAGAATTTTTCGTTTCCACTGCCCGTCCATGATATCTACAACGGCCAAAACCATTTGGTTACGTCCGAGTTCCCATGTGATCCAATTCAACTAACCTCACTGAGTTTACAACTTGATAAATCACCCAGCAGCAGAGTCTCTGGAGTATGCGCCACAAGGAACTGATCCTGAAAGATGTTTATCTTTTCAACTTCGTATCCGTAATGTGACTTGAGAACAATCCTGGCACCAGTTGATAGTCTCTTGACAATGACTTGACTTGATGAAACATAGGTAAACTCAAATTTACCCTTGTATGTAGTCTTTTTAAGGCAGCAATCAAATTCTTCTACTGCCCCGCATTGTGAGCCCTAAATATATTAAGGTTTCTAACGTGCGCCAAAAATCTGACAGCAATCTATTTGCACATACTGCGTATAGTCGTGATCCATCAGGCTTCCATATGAGAGTTGACACTGCATAAAAGTTTTCAAGCTGTTTCGGTTTAGCTTCCTCCCAAGTCTGTTGACTCTTGAGCCAATTGTAGGTGTAGACGGCATTATATGATCCTAGCGCCACAGATTGTCCATTTGCATTTACAGTTATAGCCGTGAAATCCACTTCGTTTTCGTCTTGACTGTAGTCATACTCTTGTATCGGGTTGCCTGGTTTTTTTTGGGATCGACGATGAGCTCAAAAGGACGCAAAAGGTCATACTATATCGAGTACCTTTATCGTCATAAAAGGCAACCAGTCCATCACTACCAGCTGCTATGACAGTTTCTCCCCACGCTAGAGCCGTGGGAGCACATGGGTGCATGGTAAAACGACCCTGATGTTCACAAGTGTGTTACTGACAAGTCAAGATGGTGATTAAAGTCAATGTGAATACCTGTGAAGCACCAGATACACCGTCATCGAAGAAGAATCTGTTTATGGATCCGTCCATATGTCCTGTAATAATAGCAAGTCCGTCTGGACTACTGGCTGCAGATACGACGCAACTTTCCGTTTGATATAGAGTAGCAGCCTTGTTGACTTTGAGGTTTCCAACTCTGACCTAAAGCAGCAGTAAGAAGTCCGAAAAGAGACTTGTAATCAATGCATTCATTACTTTTCCGTCAGAAGATCCAAAAACAAGCGTATTTGGCTGTCCCAATGGCCAAGTTAATGCAGTAATTTCAGCAGTCTGTATAAGCTTGTTACAGATCGATTTCTTTTCTCCCCATTCGACGCCCAGCTTGTATACAAATACAACACAATCCGATTGAGCTACGGCCAGCCGAGTCGAATCAGGCGAGAATGCCATCGCGACGATCTGGTAACTCTTTGCAGTCTATATAAGAAAAACGCCAGAGGTGTCAGAGGAATACGGTCCAATTCATTGTTAATATAGAAGAATTTACAGAATTAATACTTTTGGATCAGCAGGTTTCGTAGCGAAACGATCCTTCCGTTCGCCCTTGTCGTCAAATAGTTGAATGATGCGATCAGCACCACATATAGCTAGTCGTTCATTGTTGGGAGACCATGCCATAGCAGTGATCCTGGCAGGCTGATCGTGAGCGGGAATCCATGTTTTAGCATGCCGTATCTAAGTAAATGGAATGTAAAATGTTAACATTTCTGGAATTTAACATTTGTGACAAATGCTGCTTACCTGCATGGTTGACCACAATAAAACTATTATAGATTACACGTTAACCTCTAGCTTCTTAGTATGCCTATCTCTCTGTCTACGTACTTAAGTAGACTTTTCCTTCCTGTGATTGAAGTTTGCCAGTTTTGCACACACTGTACCAATAGTTCTGAAGCCGACAGAAGTAGATCTGTCAGTCTGACACGTAAATATCGTATGTATTAATCTGATCGCGACAGAAGGTGTGGTATGTACTATACAGTGTCCGTCGTTGTTATCGTGCTCTATTGCAACTATTCATTGTTTGTCCATATAGAATGAGCTCTGAATACTATGGAAACGAAGGAGCAGAAGACTATTCCGAATGGGCAGATAAAGAAGCTATTCAACTGGACACTGTGCCAGAACCGTCTTCCGGCAGACCTCAAAGATCTGCAAACGTTGGACAAGAAGCAGGAATCAGGTCAAGAAGGAGTGTCGTGGTGTATTCCGAGTCGCCAACAGCCACAAATACTGCAGGAATAGTCGACGCCGGTTCAACTCGACAAGTAAACGGTCCTGGTGCTGTACATCAAACAACAACATCAGGAAATGGGTTTGATTGTGAGATCGTCTTCTTTGGTATACTCACTACCCTGGGCACGCTTTTCGTGCTATTCGGATCATGGTAAGCGTATCCTCCTAATCCTGAACTCTTAGATTTCTGTACTGATCATACCTCATATGTCAGGTGCATTGCCGAACGCTGTGAGGAATTGGGGACATGTATTGGAAACCCAGGATACTTTCAGTATAAAGGAGGATTCACTCCTTGCGGTCCATTGGGGCCGAATGCTGGCATCGCTATGACGGTCCTTGGCAGCTTGTTTTTGAGTGGATGTTTAGCACGGTTGACTCTCATGATCAAAGAGTACAATACATACAAAAGACTGCATGGTGAGTTCCAGTCGATGAGCTTCAATTTAATGAACGACCTTTGTTCAGTGAGTCTAGGTCGCACTGAACCTATTCCTGGTACTAGACAACCTGCATGGCTGAAACGCTGCATCACGGAGGATTTTCCCGCTGTAAATACGTATACCAATATAATTATCTTGTGCTATATTTTACACATTGTTTACATACATCATTCTAACGAGAAACCTGTGCTATTATGCTGTGCTCATGTTTGGAAGACAAACTAGTCCTCTGTTTCCATACCGTCACTACCATCTATGAAATGTGGTGCAAGACCATACTTGGAGTGGCCGTAGTCTCTTTGGGGACTTTGTTGAGTGGAAGCCTGGTGCGTAGGTTGTCCAGGTCTGGAGCAAGAACACCTATTACCACAGTTCAGTGATATCCAACTGAGTGACGGGACCCAAAATCAAAATCACATACCAAAATAGTCCTGATCATATTGGCAGACGGGATCAGGAGCATATGGAGCTGCAGAATAATGTCCACCATCTCCATAACCTTCTCGCTCATATCCGAAATGGATGTTGGGCAACGGGATCAGAGGCATATGTTCGAACAAAATCGTCTCCACCATCGCCATGGCCTTGTTGTCCGTAGCCGATATCCCTAATATGTCTCCGACGACGATCTTATACCACAACACATAAGCCACTACACCAATTCAATCAACTTCAGCAAGCTTCAAGTTCACAGGGCATCCGCTTACTAAGGCTGACATACAAAGCTACCTCGTGAACGACAATGGTACAATTCATAAAGATTTGGCCATTCTTCTCTGTGATAGCTTTCTGAGCTTCTTCGGCAGTAGCGAATTCGACCAACCGCATCACTAAAGCGGTTGGAAGATTATGGGTAAGCATTCTGATATGAAAAGGTCTGTAGAATACACCGTGAGTTCCATGCAGCATATAATTACCTGGGAATAGCCATTGGGATGGGTTAGGACATCACGGTCCAGTCGGCGCTCTTCATTTCGTTCGTCAGATGGAGTGTAATCCCATTCATTGGTACGAGGTTTGGATGAGCGAGAGCGAGATTGTCGCTAGTGTCGGCGTTAAGATCAGATGGGGTGATAGAGCGAGCTAATTTAATACATCAAGAAGAAGAAGCTTCAAGTCAATATACGGCAGATGAAAGACATTCATATAGTTCTCTGATGTATTTGCGAATTAAGCGATGCTTTCAAGCATTTATACCTTCTAGGACTACGAGAGCGGCCAGTAGCGTCACCATTGGCGTTCATCCTTGCTCTTTTCAATCTCTAATTCCTGTTGCTTTGGTTGGGACCAATAGTAGCTGAAATTGACGCGCAGCGAGAAAAGGAAATGCACTAAATTACTGCCTTTCAATAATAATGTGTATTATTGACGTTGTTGAACAGCAATTGGTGATCACTGACTGGGAATACTCAGATTTGACGTGTGTTCTCCTTTGTTTCGATTTATATTCGCGCCTTTCGAGAGGAGACAAGCAAAAGGAACCACATAAAACCAGTATCTGAAGAGTCCTGGAATGGTCTTGAGCTACTCAATGTAATCCAGGAACAGGACATACTCCTACGCGGTTGTAGTTTTAAGGAAATGGAAAGTATATAAGGACATACTCCTACACAGTTTCCAAAGCAAACACAACTCGAACATTTCACGACGATATGACCGTCGACCGTGGCAGTTGGAGCCCCGAATTCTTGAATTTCCTCAGTCAGAACTCGATATCTCTTGATGAATACGTTCCTCTCCCTAGGTATCTTCGAAAACGAAAGCCAATTGAAAACGAGGAATTGCACCAGGATTTCGACACTCCTGTCGAATCTGTAGAATGGTTAGATGATTTCGTTCGCATTGCATCGGGCGTTAAAGTTGTTCATTCTCCATTTTACAAACAAGGTACGTGTGATTACGTTGTTTGAGCATCAAGTCGAAAATGTACCAAGGTCCTTGCAACTGGACATTCTTTGGTAACTTAGGATTCATAATTGGCATGGATGCAGGATCTGGAATAGCAGCACGGGCTCTACAAGTCGGGCCTGACGATCATGTCCTAGATATTTGGTACAGTGCTGCAAGAAAAAAGTTGTTTGAAAACTCTTTGGTTGACCTTCTTCAATTAACTAGCTGTGCACCTGGTGGCAAGTTGTTATACTGTGCTGACTTAATGGGCCCCGGAACAGGCTCTGTTACGGGCGTCGATATCTCAAAGGATCGAATACTAGTCGCCAAAAACCTACTTCGCAAAAACTTTGACCGATTTCGCTTCTTTGTTGCTGATGGTACGACATTCGAAGTCCCGGCACCTTCGACGCCTCTAAGTTATCAACCACAAATGGTGCCCGACGGTGTATGTAGAGTGAAGCCACTGTATGCAACTCGATTACTTGTAAACGATCCTCAGCTGCCGCAAAAGGGATATGATCGGGTCTTAGTTGATGCAGAATGTAGTCATGATGGATCCGTGAGTCATCTCACGAATGTACATGGGAAAGTTGGTTGGGATCAAAAGTTTCTAGATCCAGCAAGGTTACAAGGTTTGGAAAAACTTCAGACTGGTTTGTTGGAGAATGGCTTTAGACTGTAAGATTACTTAATCAGTCTTTGCTCTGCTGATTCTAAATCTGAACGCTTACATTGAATTCATTTGTAGGTTACGAGTTGGAGGGATCTTGGTGTACTCAACTTGCAGTTTCGCATACGCCCAGAATGAGGGAATAGTAGCGAAATTCCTGCGGAGGCACCCGAAGGCATGCCTGATAGACATACCATTCGCAAAGGGGCTGCCTCGTGCCCCTTTAGCTAAACCACCAAACGAAACCTCCGAAGAAAGTGTTGACTTGTCACCGTGTATACGGCTCTCACCGCGTGCATCTGGGTGCGGAGCTATGTTTATTGCATGTATATTGAAATCATAATTTACGTAGATAACTTTGAATTTGACTCGTCGTGTTCAGCCTGTTTTAAGGATCATCAGCATATAATCGACATCGCGTTTTGTTGTTAGTAAGGCACGGGCAACGGAGCTACGATTAGTCTTGAATCTGTATATGCGAGTATTTTTACGTCGATTGTGGCATTCCAAACCATCTTCTCTTTTGAAAACTCGACGAACTCGTCAGCTTGAAAAGCATCATCCTATACACACGCTTAAGAGTGAGTTTCATAGCATCAGCTCGTCCATCTCATCACGTAAGTTGACGCGAAAGCACTTTCGTTCTTATTGAAGGCGGTCTGGCTCTTGCATTTCTCACGACATTTCACATCACTTTTTTTTCACAACAGGAAACTTGGACGCCAAGAGACACCAAGCTTGTTTCAGACTTATTCACAGACCTTCGACATTTCTGAAACCTTTTGACACGGTGTCTACTCTGTGTAAGTCCAGTTACATGGTAGTTTACAGGCTTTTGGCTGTATGTTCCTGCAATTTGCAATGACATCGTCAAAAATGATCACTGAAGTTATAAACTTGATACGGTCGTCATGTTAAGAATACTTATATATTGTTGAAATTGCTATAATTTCAGGCCTTACTATAAGTGAATACCTACTCCTAACCTCCTTTTCATTTGGCAACACAAACAGCACCAACCCTCAAAATGGCCGAGTTGGATGATGCAACTCTCGACAAGGAGCTCGCAGATCAAGGAACTCGTATTCGAGACCTGAAAGCTCAAGGAACATCTAAAGCAGATCTACAACCAGAAGTTGATAGACTCAAAGTGCTTAAAGACGAAAAGGCTAAGAGAGTGGCAGCTGCTCCCAAGGCACCTACAAAAGAAGCTGCTCCTGTTGCCAACGGTATTTGCGGTGGACCATATTTACTTTTTTCTGTCCAAATTCAAGTTACTGACAAGATTCTGATTTTGGTTAGGTGTCAAACCATTTGATAGAGTAGCATTGGAAGCCATCTTGACGCGACGTTTCTTTTATGCTCCCAGTTTTGCTATATACGGCGGTAAAAGCCTTACATATTGCTCTTCTGAGAAAAGCATCTCCGCTGACTCTGGCCTCCATTTTTCCAGGTGTCGCTGGTCTATTCGACTATGGTCCACCAGGCTCTGCCCTCCAAAACAACATTCTACAACTATGGCGTCAACATTTCGTACTCGAAGAAAACATGCTCGAAATCGAATGCACAAATTTGACACCTCACGATGTCCTAAAAACCTCTGGCCACGTTGATCGATTCGCCGATTATATGGTTACAGACTCTGTCACTGGTGATATACAACGTGCTGATCATCTAGTCAAGAATACGTTTAAAGATAGATTAGAACAGGATGATAAGATCAAGGCTAGTGGTAGTGAATCTGATGGCAAGAAGGCAGCTAAGGGTGGCAAGAAAGCTGCTGAGCCATTGACTCCTGAAATGAGGCGGCAGTATGAAATCATTCTTGAACAGGTGTGTCATTGACACTCAGTTCTTTTGTCTTTTTGCTTCCATATCGTCTTCACCAAACAAACTCTTATATTTCTATTTCACACAGCTGGACAATTATGATGGCGATGGCCTTCACCAACTCATAACAGACTACAAGATTTTATCACCAGAGGGAAACTCATATACCGCACCTCGACTCTTCAATCTCATGTTTGAAACCTCAATTGGTCCAACTGGTCAATTCAAAGGCTACATGAGACCAGAAACTGCTCAAGGTCATTTTGTCAACTTCAAAGTAAGTCACTCGGTTGCTACAAATGCCTATGAAATGTGGCAGTCCAGGACCTCACTGGTGCATTTTTTTGTAGAAACTTCTGGAATTCAACAACGAGAGAGTGCCTTTCGCTTCTGCGTCTATCGGTAAATCATTTAGAAATGAGATATCACCACGGCAAGGGCTGTTAAGAGTCAGGTACGATTGTCCCTTTCTTTGCCGCTTCCCATGATCCATGCTTTTTTTGTGCTTACACCGAAATTGTAGGGAATTCACCATGGCAGAAATTGAATACTTTGTCGATCCAGCCGACAAGAAGCATCGTCGATTCTCAGAAGTTAGAGATGTCATGATGACATTCTATTCTGCTGAAGATCAAATGGCTGCAGCTGGTACAAAGGAAATGACTATGGGTGACGCTGTTGACAAGGTAAAAAATCCGTCAGTGGTCGAGAGGAGCTTGTGACGGCAGCGAGTCCAACTCGTTTCTATTTAGGGTATTGTCAACAATGAAACCTTGGGTTACTTTGTCGCTCGAATCCACCTTTTCTTAATACGTATCGGTATTGATCGAACACGTCTCCGCTTCCGTCAACACATGAAGAACGAAATGGCCCACTACGCCTGTGATTGTTGGGACGCGGAGATCAAATCCAGCTATGGATGGATCGAATGTGTGGGATGTGCAGATCGATCCGCATTTGATTTAACCGCTCATTCTAAACGAACTGGTGAAAAAATGGTTGTACGACAACCATTACCTGAACCTGTCGTTCGTACTCGAATGGTGTTGGAGATGAACAAGACTAAGTTTGGACCTACGTATCGTAAGAATGCGAAAGCTGTAGAAGGGTACTTGAATTCGTTGATGGTTGGTGACGATGAATGGGATGAAGATAAGATTGTTGATTTGAAGACACGGATGGCTGATGCGGGGTGAGTAAAAATGTTCCAAGAATGTGTTCCTTCATGTCCATCATATATTCTTTTTGCGTTATGCTTGTTCATGTCTCTTTCTATTTTTTTAGAAAAGTGACCATTACTGGTACTGATGGCAATCAATATGACTTGACAGCTGACGTTGTAACTATTGGTCCAAAGACTGACAAAGTGAACGGTGAGTTTTGGACAACAAATAAAACAAGCTTCGCTGCAAGAGCTGAGTACACTGCAGAGTGTATTGGTTCTTTGCTTTGTTTTCAACATCCCCAATGGTATTGGATGTGCACGCTCCTTAGATCCCTCATTATGAAGAAAGCTCTTGTATTGCAAGTCTGCAGTCACAATCTTCTTCAACAGCCTATTCGCTGTTTTGTTGATGAGGCATGAGTCATTAGCGTGCTAGATTAGTCTCATGACATCTCCCATATGATGCAAAAATGGGGCGAGTGGTTATATAATCAAATGGATGATTTTGGTGTGAAGCAGCTTGCTTCATGCTCGTGGATGTACCTGTGATTTTTTTCGCTCTCGCTCATTCTCGTTATTGGGGGACATATGCAATCAAGATCAAAGAGAGTTCTCACTAATTCTCTTTTGCATCATCCACTTTCAATAGTACGAGAGTTCATTCCAAACGTCATTGAACCATCATTCGGTATTGGCCGAATCCTCTACTCGTTGCTTGAACATAGTTGGTGGACACGAGAAGATGATGAGAACCGCACAGTTTTGTCATTCAAACCTGTCATTGCACCTACAAAGGCCTTGATTGTTCCACTGAGCAGTCAAGAGGAGTTTGTGCCATTCATCCGAGACATTTGTAAGTGTTGGTTTGTTGTTTTTGGGCATTCTCAGACGTTTGACTGTCATTTTCTAATAGCACGAGAACTACGCAAAGCAGGAGTATCCAACCGTGTCGACGATTCATCATCAGCTATCGGACGTCGTTATTCTCGAAATGATGAATTGGGTACACCGTTTGCCATTACGGTTGATTTCCAAACCATTAAGGATGAGACAGTTACGTTGAGGGAACGTGATAGTACCAAGCAGATTCGTGAATCGGTATGGAAGGTTGAGTGAGAATTGCAGTCCTTAGGCCATTAGCTAACCTTGCCCTTCATTTCTCCTTCAGATTTCAGTCGTTGTTGGTATAATACGTGATTTGGTCACTGAACAAACTACATGGGAAGAAATAGCTGCCAAGTATCCATCATTTGTTCAACAAGAAGTATGAAAGAAAAGTTTTCTGAATATAAGAATTTGCATTCGAAGGTCAAAAACAGAAGGGCAAATTGTTGTCTTACTAGTGCAGGAGACGCACAACAGGAAACGATGAGAACAGTGAAAATTGCTAAATGTACTGACATTTGACGTATTTGCTGATTGTGGTATAGTGCGCTGCTTATGCGACAGTGACATCCGATAGGATGGTGCGAGCACCCAATATTTCTTCTGGTCCGTCTAGCTTTGGTTCTGCGCTCTAAGAAACGGAAGGGGTGGTCAATTGAAGAGCTAGATGTTAAACAGCATTCCATTCAACGCACCACTAGATCAGCGACCATAGTCTCGAGTTCCTTGTAAGCTTTACCCAATCGTCTCTTATTATCGGGCATCATTTGATGTGTTTCGTCCAGTACTTCCTTCTGCATTGATGTATACAAAATGTGGATGCTTGAATGCCTTCCAATGATTGCAATGCTACGATCTCAACTGGATATAATTATCTGTTTATTTTCATCACGAACATCAGCTCCAGAAGCTACCAATTTGTCAATTCTAGCTGCTGTGTGGTTGCTTCTTTTTCATACGATGCTAATTCTTTGGCGAGTCTAGTATCGAGAAGAAGGTGAAGATTGACTTTCTGATGATTTTGATGTGAAGTTAGGATCTTTACCGGTCTTTGTTTTCCAGTCTCGTACTGACATTTTTGTTGTCTAATGTTGGAAAAGCGTAGTGAGATATTATGGTGCAGATCAGTGGAGAACGAGAGAAGGAAGGCTTTATTGTTACTCTTTATTGGTAAGATCTATTGCTGACGACAGCCAATGTCTGACATTCGAGCCGGATACACGTCCTCCAAACGTGCTAAAATTGTTGATCTGAAGCTATATTTCCTTATTCCTTACGTTTCTACATGCAGAAAGGACGTTACGGCTCTACAGCTTGTGTACGATTAACGTTTTTATTCATCATAGTAGACTAGCCACCGGACTGTAGCTGTGACTAACTGTGAGAATGAGTCAACTTGAATGGAGAAACAAAGTTTCATGGTTTACTTCCTCGTCTAACTCGCTACATTTCGAAAAACTGGGCCTATTGGTAAGGGAACCCCCCTCGTGTTTGAACCAATTGCACTAATTGAAAACTGACATCACACCGCCTAGTATCGCTACTGCAACAAACTTAAAAAGTCAAACAATGTCTAGTGCTTTTCAGGCGTCAAACCAATCTGAACGTGTCGAGCGCAAAACGTTGCACCACTCGCTCAACACAACGCATCACTACCCTTGGTATATCGAAATACCCGCCTATCTCCTTCTTCTTGTGGCCACCATCGTCACATTTCGCTATGCATTGTTGCGCATCGAATCCGTCTTTGTTGTCTTGGTATTCTGGCTCATGTTTCCGATTGTATTTGCAATCTATTCCTGCTCTAGACATACTCCCATCCGTGTCTGGGCACTTCCAACCTGCTTTCTTTTGCTGACAGTCCTGCTTGGCCTCTTCTGTGGTCTGCTATGGAGGGCAGGTGATAACTGTGCTCTAGGGAATGCATTCTCTGGGCCCGGGTACTCGGCATATAGTGAACAACAGACTTCCTCAAATAATCCGTTGGACGATTCTATCTTGGGCGCAATCAGATCTGCTGTTTTGGCGTCAAGTGCACATAACGTGTGAGTGAAAAAATCCCCCTTCCGAAAATCATATTTATTTCAATCATTTTGAACATTGGCATCCCATTCTAGACAGCCATGGTATTTCCGTATTCCAAACAATGTTACTGTCCGTGTATATCAGAACTTTAGCATCAATACTGGGACTGTAGACCCTTTCTTTCGTGAGATGACCATTTCTGTCGGAGCAGCCATTGAGAATCTTGCATTGTACGTCTCGTCTACATCGTTTTCCTTCTTCCCATCGAGCTCCAGACTGAATCCTATTTACTTTTGAAGAGGTTTACTAGGGAATGGACTGCTAGCTACCATTAACTATAATGCCAACCTCTCCGCACTCAACGAGCTTGCCGCAGAGCTAATATTAACACGGACTGCCGCCACAAGGTCGGATTTATATGGTGCAATACCAACTCGCCACACGAATCGTAGGATGTACAATTCCAGTGGGATTGACAATTCGACCATCTCAGCGTAAGTGGGCGATTTGGGAGGAATCTGTCAAATTGGCTTCACCTTGAACGAACTAATGCCATTACTGCAATTTGTAGGTTCAATTCACTCAACAACTTCAAGGATGTCCGTCTTGCTTGGATCAACAACGCGTTGGACGCTTCTGCTTTCCGCAAATATGTTAAATTGGTCATTTGATCGACTTTTGTTGCGGAACTTGGCCACTAAACCCGCTTTTTTCTATGAATAGGCCATGGATGCAGCTGACGCCTTCGACGCCGACACAAATCAGTCCACTGACTCGTTCTCGTGGTATAGGCAGACGTGTGCAGATATCAATACTTTCAAGTCCGGGCTTACATTAGACGGGGTATGTTGATTAGATTTTCGTTACTCGAAATTCCAAACTAAATTGTCCTCATTTTTCAGAGCCAAGTCAGTCCTTTTCTGACACTTTTAGGAAAACTCGGGCCTCCAGTCACACAAGATCAGGACGAGCAATATTTTATAAGCGGTCTTCAAGGTCAAGTGAGTCCCTAGTCTGTTTTGAATACGATTCTCCCACGCATCAAATCTCACCTTTTACGATAAACCACACTTCCGTCTCTCTGTAGCTCTCATCAGCCTCCACCTTTGGCCTGATGCTCATCTCAAACCCCTCCCCATTAAACTACTCGTCGTCTCGCATATCTCTCATGCATGTAGGCCAGCTATGGCAACGAATGCAACTCTTTAGCACATCTCAAAATGTCACCAGTCCACTCGGGATGCAACCTTTGAATCAGTTGACTGAGCGAGCAGATCGAGAAGTGCAGCTTGGAATCAATTCCACGTTTGGTAGTGCTCTTGCTGTGTTGGGAGGACTCCAAAACACTGGTTGGAAGGTCGTAATGCCATTCCGTATCGGATTCCCTAATACGGGAGCAGCTACATCGCCCAGAAAGGGCTTGCAGGATGTTTTGCGTAGCGCCTGATTTTACCCCCATTTCAGGAGCACAAGGGCTGTTTTAGGCCTAGATTGTTATTTTCATATTTTATCCTCCAAATATATACATTATTATAACCTCTACCAGCGCGAAAGGTAACAAAAGCGTCTCGAAATGACGTTCTTGTTGGAATTGTTGAATTGTTAAACTTAAAAAAGGGCTATTATATTTTCTCACGTGTTCTACTTGCAAAGACTACCGTTACTCTACAACTGGTATACGATTACCAATTCTACTCCTACAAACAGCATCATACTAGTTACTCCTCGCTCAATTCCAGCATCCTGATACATCCTCAAACACAGACCGAAAACGTTGGGCGGTTTCTTAGGTGCTGAACTCAACTCCTAGCCCCAGTATCAGCAAGAGCGATAAATTAAATTGTCCCTTCAGAGGAATACATGAATGTAAAAACGGCACGAAAGGTGGTAGTGGATACGTCCAATCCAGCCTTGTTTCCCACATCCAAACCTGGCATACCAATGTAGTAGGTCGAGCAACTGAATTACGGGATAAACTAGGAAACGACTTGGATCTATTTAGCACTACTGATAGCACTCTCCAACTGCTCAAAAGATGGCTGATAGCTTCTCAAGACAGTTACAGCTTGGGATACTCTGCATCAGTCTGTGAAGTACCATTTAGCTTCATATCACTTCCTCTCTATTCAAATTGGGATTTGGGAAGGATGGTTAGAATGTTTCTGGTGTACTTCGAGTCGTGATAAAAATGGCGATTTGTCGCATTCCAGATTCCAGCATGCCATGTATCCTCTTCACGTTCATTCTAGCGAATTAATAGGATTTGTGCCTTTGTTCAAAGCTTCCAGCAACTAGTCATCAAATCCCAATAACCAAAATGAACAAAGAACAATCAAGAAGACAACCAATTATGAAGGAAGATGGAATACCTAAACAAGGAGTTTCTCCTTCTTGGATGACGGAAACATGCTGTAGTATCGTTGTTTCTTTGTTGTTTCCTTGTCGAGTCTCGAAATCGTTACTCATCTGTTGGTTCTCTTGTTTGTAATGCTGAAGGCGAGCAACACAAAATGACTATTCCTTGGATAGTGCTGAGACGAAACGCTTTGAATTCATATATAAATTAATTCGAGATGGCTTCCGTCTGCTACGGGCGTGTCGTGACATCCGACGCTAGTTTTTTCAGTTTTTCAACGGTGTGTGGAGGCAAAGTGAGGGAATAAGAACGTTTCCAAGAGGTATATTACGCGTTTTGCGTATCATTTCTATGCATCTGCAATGGGTCGGTTAGCTTTCCTCACCTTTCTAAGGCTCAAAAATTCTGTTGTAGTTCATTGACAGCGACTGCCACAATACCTTCATTCGACTTCGTTGTGAAAACGAATTTATTTCGAGGTTCATAAACATTGGTATGGTAAAGTTCTACGATTACATATACAGGTTCTTTCGATCATAATTACCGCTGCGTTGCTTAGTTGGAGGTCAAAGTCCAGATGCGTACTGGTCAAAGGCCCATGAGTCACTCAGGTCCTTATATATCGTAATTTTCTTAGATACCATCACCGTGAGGGTTTTAAACAATTCTCGGTTTCCCAAAACCACATTGCTTTTACAAGTCTTCAATCTCTTTAACTTCTCTAGCCAGCATGGACAAGGCAATAGCAATCCTCTTTGCTGGAATACTGTCACCACGCCCAGCACAAGCCAATTCAGTCAACTTGGCATCTGCTTTACGGAGCGTACTCAAAATATTATCAGTAGTCTGTTTGGATACATCATCCATTGTATCGTATTGCGATCCGAGATACAGCAAGATTGCGATAATGGTTGGGTGTGGAGCATCCATGAATGGGTCTGAGAGGACAGCATCAGCGTCGCTGCTCGTAGTGGGAGTATAGGGTGTTTTGAGTAATCGAGCCACCTTGTCACGTTCGAGAGATACCAAGACGTAGAGATGACCTGCATCTTCTGGTTGATCGAATTGAAGTACGTAAGACAAGTGTTTGCCAAATTCTGCGGTGACATGGATGAGATCCCTGCCACCCACGTGATGGAAGAAGCATTGTGGAGTTATGAGGGTGACAAGGTCAAGGTCATTGCTTCCAGCAGTTTTGGTGCTATTGATCGAGACGTTGGTTGAAGTTAGTACTGATTCGAATGTAGATCTAATTCGTTTCCACCGGTATGCTGCTTGGCACTATGAATAGGCAGGATGATCATCAACAAGATGGCACATACCACAAGTCGGTAAGATTTCGTTCTGGTTTAACCACGTATGCTCTGCTGTTTGGTAACCTCGTCCATGTACCGTTGCTGTTTGGGATGTATGGTGTAC